TTCACAACCTGAACTGGGCACTGGATCGCGGTCATCCGTGAATAATATACTTTCTATGGAGATCAACGAATCATGCCCAATCGCATGAGCGGAAGGATAGCTCCGAGCGTGGTCATATGTATGAAGGTTGTGTGTATTAGTGCTGGCGTACGCTGCTAGTAGATGACTCGACAGCCCCCACCAAAGACCTAGAACTCTTACAGCTGCTCATGGATACCTCGACTACGCCGCTACTTAGAAAGTGCCCCATGCAGTTCGATTTGACTACGATGCTAAGCTTTCGGGAGCTAGAGAGGTCGACCACTATGTCGTACATCGGTTCACCGATGAAGACGTGGAAATCCCCACGATCCACAAGATCCGTAGATCTGGTCTGTTGAAGTGTCTCGGAAGGCGGCTGCAAGTCATTGTGAGGTACCGCTTCGTGGTTCCTACCTATGGAGGGCGTCGGAGAAGGATCCCGACCAATCATTCGCACGCTATGAGTACATAAAGGCTGTTCCCAAAAGAGGCCTGATGTGCCGCGTATCCGTGCGAGGAGGGTGTATTGCGATAGGACTTCTGTAGTAATAGAACTGCGCGCCCGAGCACCGGTAACCATTAGGTCCTACTAACATAGTGTCTGCAATCCTATCGAAAACACACGTTTGCGGCGGCATGCGGTTTCTTGACCTCCCTTATGATCATGGATGGGATTTGCGGAGCCGGAGTACTTTACGATCCTGCAAAGCCGGTTGGACAATCCGACCTATCATAGAAGGGAACTGCAGCAGGGCTCGGTGATAAGCACATGCGCGAAGCGGAGGCAATGATAGTTGGAAGGTAGCCTTCGATCTAGCGTGTTATGTCCCGCTCTTTAGTCCGGCTTCGAAATTCTTGTCCTCCTTGGTTGAACGCAAGAAATTGGGTAAGTCAAGATCGTCAGGCCAGCACAGCCTGCGGCTCAAACCTGCCATTCCGGTGCCAGCAGGGTTTTCACCGACAAGCGAGCAAGCCTGCTACAAGCATCACGCTCATCAATTGCACGAAAACGAGAAACGTTGACGGGCCGTTGGCCGTTCGCTATTTGGAATGTGTTCCGTTCGTATTCCTCAAACCTTCTATCGGACCGTTGCCAAAGATCTAGTGTGCTGGAGAGTGGTCGCACAGCAGGTTTGTCCCTCACGTCCATGGACCACATGTATGCCGGCTGAAACGCCAACGGTTCAAAGTGGGGAAACACGACGCCTCGCATGCGGAGCAAGACGCCATACGCAGCGACTGAACGTTAAGCTTGCATGAACAGGGCCTGGCATGAGCGAACGTGACTGAACACGTACGCTTTCTTACCTCAACACAATCTATCTCGACCGAGGTATGCTTAGAGCACATGTCGGGCGTACATTTGCGGAGCTCTCTGGGCCGTAGGGCTGAGGTCTGACATGCTTGCTCTAGCTTCACCGTGCATTAGTATGCACCGCGGGAGATAAACCACGCACCACAACAGCCTCGTTTCGGCGTGATTTGCTGTGAGTATATGCAGCGCCAACTCGGTGCAGCTGAACCGTGGTCCATAGTATGCCTTCTGTACCACTGTGGTTTTCGATGCAAGGGTGTCGGATCCGACAAGAGCTCAATTACGTCTAAGAAGACTTGGCCGGGCAGCATTGGTCTCAAGATCATTACCAAAACCGGCATGGACGAGGCGGCACAGCGCGTTTACTGTTCCCTTGCGAGATAACCAGCCCGTGGCATGGTCTCGTCCTGCGGCGCGAAGTGCCGCTGGCGGCTATTTCATAATACTGGAAATGGCTGGGCTATGTTGCGGCGCAAGCAATAGTGGTTATACCAGTATCATCGGTAAAAATTGTGGGAACAGTGTAAGCTAGAAACGAGCCAACTGCCCTGGACTGACAAGGGCCATTTCAGCCTGCATTGCCGCGGACTTCAAGTTGGGCCAGACAATGCCGAGTGGTGCACTGCAACCGCTAGAGCCTTCCAGACAGGATATCGCAGCGAATGCCAAGCGGCAAGTGACTCCACGTCTTCACCGATCGCTGCACGTGGGCAAAGACACCATGTCCTCTGACCGGTCAACGAGGCAAAATGGCTACTGTTTCTCAAACTCTATGGTCCCGGTCTTCCATAAATCCATACAATGTTGGTAGCAAAGGCGGTGAATGATTATACAGCGGCTGGTCTGGTAAGAGACGCAAGGCGTGAGAGATGTTGTGAGTAGTCGAAGGCATACTATGTGGGTCCATCAGCGCATGGCATGCGCGCCTCTTCTGCGTATTCTTGTCCCTTGGTGGTGTAGAATAGTCGTCAACTCCAAGTGGACAAAGGTGGCCATTGATCAATGTGGGACAGCTGGGGAAACAAGCATTTTGGCTAGCGTTGAAGGCTGGGATCCGGTCCGAAGTCGGTAAGCTTCCGCTCAGCTCTGGGCAACATTTGATCAAGTAGGTGTAATGGAACGTATCCTCGTCCTGAATCCTAAAACGAGAAGATTGATCTGCCCAAAGGGTTTCCAAGCGAATAGACATGTAATCGGAGGGTTTCTGGATGGCCAGAAGGAAGAAGGAAGAAGTGCACTCCAAAAGTAGGATAGGCTATCACCTGGGATAGTGGAAGGATGGTCGAGTGTTCGCAGAAATGACGAGCTTTTGCCCCATGCGCTAAGTATGTGCACGCAATAGACGACAGAAACCTCGTAACGAAGGGGGAGCATGGGCAGCTGAGAAAGCCAAAGTTGGATCGTCGCAGCAAGGCTGCATGTTGCCATTGCGACAGGGATCTACCGATGGCTCACTGCGGTACCCGCAAGCCATGTCCGAGGCGACTGGTTCTGTAAGCGACGTGTTACGCCCCGGTTCGCTTGCTTGGTAAGGCCCGTGTGTCTACCTCAATGGTCTAGGAGGGGTCGAGTCGCATATCGATGGTCGAAATCTAGAGCAAGATGCGGCTTGAGCTTACCACGCAGAGGGTGGAAATCATCCGGAACGATTCAACGTCTTATGGCCGTCCAAAGGCAGCCCTCGACGTTGAGTCATGCTGTTCAGGATGGTCGATCTGCACTCCATGGCGCCTCGTGCACGCGATGGACAAGTGACCGTCACCACGTTCCGCGACAGTCACCGATGGCGACGTGGGACGGCCGAATGGGTGCTAGCGCCACGCGAAGGACCAACCGTGAGACGCTATCCGTCCCTCCCGGCGGCGAGCGCACCGGTCCGCGCCACAAGTACCTTTCTGAATTCGGCATAGTAACGAGGCACCACCATCGCGTCAGCGCTTTGTTCGGAGCGCCGCGTGAAGCGCTTTTCGCTTTCCTGTGGCGTGTCTTGACCATGTACGAGGTCTGTTCAACTTCATGGCGGCAACGACCCCTGCTCCCACTGTGCAGCGCGCTAATGCTGAGGTATGCATGGTGCTGAAGGCGGAGAGTCACCTACTTGACCGACCGTCACGTCGGGAGACAAAGGTCGAGCGACTAATTGCCGTAGTAGCCATTCAGACAGAAGCAGGCAGTAATGGTAAGCTCCGTCCATGTCGGTCTAGCCGTACAATCCCGCCTCAATCGACGTGGACGCTCAGGAGTCCACTCTGCCTACGAAGAGCCGTCCGTCATCTGAGGATGCAGACAGTCACCGAGGAGTAGTGCTGAGGACTCTCTGCAGCATGACTGCTTTGTTGCCTGCAGATCCAGAACCCCATGACGAGCCATCTTATCGCTCCCTCTCTTTCTTGAACTTCTCCAAACATGTTCTGTCGATAAATGAGCATGCTTCCCAAGAAAGAAACACGCCCCACGTGGGGTGGAGGACACGGGCATGGTGCGTGGCCCAGCAGCATGTCGATTGTGGCGCGATAGCAGCCGCACAAAGCAGCCAAAACTTCGTCCCAAACGCAATACTTACACCACCGCTGGCAGAGTACCCGGCCAAGCTGACGAGCTTTTGCAGGGTATTCTAGTTGACGGCAGTGGCGGCGCAACATTTGGCGCGGAGCTGATGCTGCGGGGTGCCTGCCTGTGGACATGGAAACGTCGACGTGGTATGATCATCCAGACGGCGCTTCATACGGTAAGACCTATAGGGCTGATGATGCGAGGATGATCGCGATCCGGTAGAGAGACTTTCGTGCAATAATGCGCGCTCAACGCCCGCTTGCAAGTGACGGTCGGTCCTGGGCTGTGCAGTCAAAGCCTACTAGTCATTCGGTTGGAGGGGGCCAAGTAATCTGCAAGGCTCTTTGTTCACGAGGCAAAGCTGGGATAGTCGTGTGGTAGGCGCATGTTACCCTTACGAAGCACCTTTCACGGCACTCCCGCTTGCGCGGGAGCGTTAAAAGCGGCGTAGTGATTGCCAAATGATTGACGAACCGCCCATGTGGCAAAGCATGGAATAAGGAGACATCAACCCGAGTTGTGAATGTGTTTCCGGACCCGCTCTCAAGGCACATTGTCGTTGGAGGATTCGGTTGCACAGTTCCTGCAAGCTGACATTAATACGCTCGAATGTGAATGCGACCGACGAATAGGAGCAACAAGCTCCTCACCAGCCTCGACTGCGATCGTCCTCGGGAGTCGTGTCCGGGATTACGAGCATTGGCGGTCTATAATACATCCCAGCATGGAATAAAGAACCTCGTTGTATCTGCGTGGCTCAGTCAGCTCTGCTGTGAGGCGCCCGGCGTGGCCTCGCTACCTTAGTCTTCCATGCGGCAAAGATCCTGGCCCTGTGCATATAAAGGGCCATATCCGGGTGCCTGAGACCTGCATCAACATCTTCATAATTACCTCGAAATCTCAACAACGGCTTTCAACAGCACCTACAACAACACCCAACTACCAACGATAACTCACTACTAACCACACTCAAATATCACATCCAACGTTCTAACCAGGATCCACAATGTCAGTCTCGAGCTTGAGCGCGAGATCTTCGGTGGAGTCTCTTCGGAGCAATTCTTCATTCGGCTCAGCACCGGATAAGCTCGCACCTTCCGTAGCAGGTCCAATGGTTTGGAAGAACTCGGAGCTCAACCCAACCGAATATGTGGTGAACCTTGGCGCCGCCGAAGTTTCCGAAGTTCGATCTGCTGTTATCTCGATCAAATGTAAGTGACTAACGATTGCTACTGAACGTTAACGGTACCTGACAATAAACCAGTGCAGAACCTTCAATCCGAACAAATTAGCAAGAAGAATTTCCCTCTGAGCGAAAATCTCTCCAGGAGGTTGGCTGCCGTCAGCAAAGAAGTCCATGATGGCTTAGGCGTTGCTGTTATTCGCGGTCTGCATGCGGCTAGGTTCAATGATGAGGAGGCTGTCATTGCCTTTGTCGGTATCTGTGCCCATACCTGCCCTCTGCGTGCCACAGACTCGTATGCGAACCAGACGTTAAGTGAGTTTCGTTAATCTTCAAGCGGTCCTGAAGACTGACAGAGAACAGGCCACGTCCTCGATGCAACTTTTCGCAAGGTCCCGCATTGGGCTAAGGATATCGGTCTGGCCGGCTCAAAAATCACGACCAAGATGGATTTCCATAGCGACCGATTCTCCGGTGACGTTCTCGCCATGCACGTGCGGGATGACGGTGGCGCTGGCAACGGTGGCGAGCAACATGTCGCTTCTTTCTGGAGCATCTACAACGAGCTCCTAGAAAAGGATCCGGCTGTGCTTGAGACCATGGCGGAGGCTCAGTGGCCATTTGAGCTGAAGCAAAAGTGAGTGCCTCATGCGAACTGCGAAGTACGCTGTTGACAGTATTACAGAGACGCAGCTTCTTACTTGGAGCTCGGTCCCACCCTGTTCTTCTCGAAGGGAAAGCCCATGTGTCAACTCGTCAAGGCGCCGCTTCTAGGTGGTCCTTACATCCCTCGCGATCCGGGGATGCCGGACCTTTCTAAGGAGCAAATGCACGCTATTCACGCGGTGGAAGAAGCGGCCCGGAAGGTCTGCGCCCAGCTTGATCGCCAGCAAGGCGACATTCAGCTCATTAACAATCTGAGTGTTATGCACGCTCGTGCAGCTTATGGCAAGAGGGAAGGGCCTAGCACGCGTCATCTTCTGCGAATGTTCCTTCGAGATCCTGAAAACGCATGGGATAAGCCTAAATCTTGGAAGCGCAACTTCGACGATCCTTTCACGCCTGACCGTCGTCAGGAGATTCCCGTTCACGACTTTGACCCCTGGCGCAAGATCAGCGGTCGTGAGAGCCACGGCTAAGCCTTTTCTTATCTCGTCATTTCCTGTCTTCGGGTGGCTTTTTCTTTCAAATCGGCCTGGCATATGCTCATTCGGAAGGGTAATTTGATCTTTGCTTGTACTAATTGGGAGGCATATTTCAGTATCACATGTACGATGCCCTTGTATCGTGTGTAACATACACAATATACCAAAATTCAGCTGAAACACTTGCTGCCACAGATGCATATGACCGATTGAACGTGTCCTAGTCCAATTTTCCGTTTGCTCCGTGGCTATGATTAGAAACGAAGAAGGAGAAGAATGATTCCAGAAGAACGAAAGGCGACCGACGGATGAAAGTAAGAAGCCACTAAGCGCCGGACGTTTCCAGAAGAGTCCTGATCCATTTACTAGACAGGGAGTCGTGTGTGGATCGAAGGCCGGTGTATGGTGATGTAGAATGAGCTAACAAGGGTACGTTAGCATTGCGCCGAAACCCCGTTTACACATGCACATACCGATTCCTCCAATTCTATCGATGATGTTCACCAGCTTCAATACATACTCATATCCTTGAGCATCCAGGTGACCTTTCTTACGCAGCTCTTCGGGATTCTCTCGCGCTACTTTGAAAGGCACATAATCGCGTATTGCAGTCTTCCAGTACGTTATAAGTACTTCGAAAGAGTACTCCCACTTCTCTATCTGTCGACTGACAACGTTGTTTACATGATTTTCGACAGTCTAATGTTGTTAGCCAGGGCTGTAACAGGAATGTCGTGTTTCGCTTACCGTTCCATTTTTGGACATGATGTAGGTCTCCGCACTGCGATGGATGTACTCCAAATTCCAGAAAATGACGTACAAAGCAAGATACAATTCATACCAGGGCTTGATCTTCGGCTTGAATATCTTGTTGTTCACCAATTTGTGACAGGCTGTTTCTAGTTTCTTCAGGAGCTTCAAAGCAGCGACATCGACTTGTTGGCTAATGGCTCCTGGCAGCGGGCGATCGCGAGAATTCCTGTCGTAAGCCTCATACTGGCTGCGACCTAACTTGCTGAAATCGTATTCCTGAATACCAGGAACATCAGTGGACCAAACGGTGCCATAACCCTGCGACACGATCGAGAGACATTGAATCCTCATGCAGAGGTCGAGCAGGTTCTGCGGACCCGGAAGGAGTCTGCCTCGTAGGCGGACAACTTCCTGGTACGTGAGGAGTGCTATCTCATCATGAGCGACCCGTGCGAAGATCCATTGTTCAACAGCGGGTTGCAAATTCGTAATGTATCTTTCCAGAAGCGGAACCAGACTTTGTGTATCGTAAACAGCGTACGGCGGCTGTTCGACAACTACCCGGCCCTGAGTGGTGCTCCACTCATTCGTTGCCGCATCCAAAAGGGGTCGTTTCGGGCAATATTGCCCGATCGTAATACGCATTGGTTGAATGTGAATAGGGCCAGTCCCTGGAAGGTTCCAAATGATATCCATGTTGAGGAGGTCCCAGTTTGGTAGCCACTCGTAACCTATGAATTCACCTTCTTCCTGGTTAGACCGGCCATTACCTGTGTGGCATTAGTGTGCGATCTGTAGGGAGGCCATGCTTCACGTACAGTGGCGGACCAGCATAGCTTCCTCAAGACGGATCCTGCAGCAGGGCATGTTGAATGATCTAGCCCCTCCCGCGACCTTTTGACACTTTTGACAAGGATCTCCGTGATCGCACTGGCACGTTGTCAGTCAAAGAACGTCTTGCAACGGTAGGCATAACGTACACCGGATTTGTAGAATCTGCACCGGATGCAGGCAGACTTCTGCTTACGCATCTCATGTGTTTTCCGCCGAGCCTGTTCGTCCAGAGGCCCTTTCCTCTTCGACACCTTCGACTTCTGCGATCTCGCAACAAACGCGGCAGGAACTTTCGCCACAGCTTTCTTTGTAAGCGAGCGCTTTCCTCGGGTAGGAGTGACCCCAAGGGTTGCGGGATGCGGGAGGATATGCTGTTCATGTGCGTAACTCTGCGGATCTGGCTCCACAGGCCACAATGGTGCTGCATCTGGCATTTGCTCATATACGGCTGGGGTTGAAGCACTGGGAGCAGCGCTGACCATGGCCCAAGTTGTGTCCTGTAGTGGCGCTTGGCTACCCAGCGCTACACCTGGAGGAAGAGCATGGCCAGTGTGGCCAAAAGCATGCCGAGGAGCGATTGGAGATACGTCGGAAGGAATTTCTTGAGCCCAAGTCACAGAAGCTTGCGGCGACGCATGCGTAGGAGAAACATGCATGTCTGAGTTGGCATAGTTTAGCATGGGAGCCAAAGTGCGGGCATCTGCTGGGAATGGCGGGGCATTTGCGGCTACGGCACCATCCTTGTGTGGGGTCAGTCAACGCTTACAGAGGTGAAGGTTCGCACTTACCGCAGTCACATGAGGGGCATGGTGGTCCTCTTGAGGCCGATATTCGTGAGCAGGGCTGCTCAGCGGGACAGTGGAAGCGTTTTCGTACGGGCGCGAAGACCGGGGGTCGACGTGCAGCACGGACTGTCGACCTTCAGCCTCGCTGTAGGACAGCGACCGCGAGGTGAGGGCACCCTCGCTGAAGTCTGGGTTCCATCCCTGAGGAGCCTGGGGATTCGGCCGGGTGTATGCTGCGTGCCATGGCGGTGGGTTGAGGTTGGGATTGAGGTGATCGCTGGACCCGGCGTAGTCGAGATAGTGGGCCGGCGGGCGGTGGGCCGGGGAGCTAAAGCGCTGGAGAAGGGCCGAAGGAGCGGGAGCTCGCGAGAAGGCTCCGTTGGAGCCATGCCACGATGTTGCTAGGTCGGTGTACAGGTGTTCTTGGTTGCCAGGCAGAGCGTGGTAGTGCGAGTGGGGAGCGGTAGCGCCTCTGTGGTACTGCGAACTGGCAGCCATGAGGGCGGAGTGCGATGTGCGGCTGACAGCGTGCGACGGTCGGCCAGGGCCGCAGGCTCATCAGCTGGGCTGCTGAATCGAGTGAGTCGCAGAGCGTGGGCCTGGGGCAGCCGTAGCGACGGGTGGGGTGTAGTATGAGAGAACCAGCGGCAGCGAGCTCTAGCATGCACCCGGAGGATGCGTGAGACGAGCACCTGGGAATGCGCTTGGCTCAGGCTCCCGTGGCCTAGCTCCCGTGCCCCCATGGACACGGTGGGCGGCACTTTCACAGGGCTGCAGCAATCCGTCAGCAAGTCCCCTTCCGGCTGGTCTGCCTCGTCCTGCCGAACACACGAGTGGACACAGCGCCTGTCCATCCTTTGCCCCCGGAGCCTTGCCTCGCTGACCACTCCATGGGCTGTCATTAGCCGTACACCTTTCACACCGCTTGACCCAGGCTTCCTTCCTTCAGTGCTGCGATCATCCCACTATCTACCCCCGACCCGGTCCCTGCGCATCCCCGGCTGCATGTACCCTGATAGTAGCCGTGACTGTTGGCCCGGTGGATGTGGCCGCCAGTCCAATCGTAGGACCGTTTGGTCTAACGCCGTCACTATTAGTAGATGGTTTAAGCAGTCGTTCCTTTCTTCTGACCGGTGTAGCGGAGGCTCAGTGGCCGCCCGTGAGCCTTCGACGAATAGCAAAAAGCAATATCCTGCAATGTCTGGTGCAGGTACTGCACATACATATCTTCGTCTGCATCGCCTCCCGTGGCCTAGTCACCATTGTCCGAGTCCGAGCCCTCCAGCTTCATGTCCCCAAGCTACTTTGGATTTCACATCTCACGCGTGCCTCTGCTCGTGTAAATCCTTCGACAACAGCCGTTGACACGCCATGCCATCGGTAGCTGTCTTGCCCGCTTTGGATGGCGTGCGTCTGGCTACCCAAGAAGACCTGGCCAGGATTGCTACTGTTGCAGCGGCAGGCTTCTTTCACTCGCCAACGTTCCATTACCAGCGTATTCATTATGCTGCTTATCCTGACGATACACTTCTGTAAGCAGTCCGCAATCCATCTTCATGCACTCGCCAGCAGCTCGGTCGATGATGCCAGAGGCAGTTTTGAAATGCTTCTGTTTCAATGCTGCTGCGAGATGCGTCGAGTTCGCTAATCTTAGGTCGACGGCATGACGAGTCCGGTGCTAATCTTGACCCGCAAGGGTACAGTTCGTACTGGAGCGAGTACAACCGAGCTATCCAAGACCCCGCGAGCGTTGTTCTTGTGGCCGAGGATACCATGAGTGATGACGAAGAGACTGCTGTGTATCCGGCCTTGAGCGAGGCTGCCGCTTATAGCCCTGGTGTGGGCACTGTGGGGTCGAAAATAGTGGTTGGCGTAGCCAGTATCGACATCAAACCGGGTTCTTCGTACATAGGACTGTTTCAGCCCCCGTGTGAGCTGATAAATATGTCACGATAAGGTTCAACCAGAAGCTGACCAGGCGAAGGCCCCACAAATCAGTCGGATTGCCGTACCCTTCCTGCCAACCCCGACCGTGACTTCTGTAAAGAACGAGTCCGCATATACAATGAGACCACCGCTCCAGCAAAAGCTAGGTATGTGGATTCCGAACGGGCTTTGCTTAATACTAATCGTGTACAGACATCTTCAAGGGCAAATGAGGTTGAGCACTCTGGCTGTGCATCCGTACGTCTTGCATTGCTTCGGATTGAGGGCTAGTTCGTCGCGACTAACTTTGTCAGCACATATTGGCGTTGTGGACATGCTTCGCGTCTTGTCAGCTGGAGTACGCGTCTGGCAGATCTCGATGGTGTGCCTGTGGTAAGATCAATTCCTGGTCGCGGCCAGTCTCTAGTATCCATGATTGAGGACCCAACAGGGGATATCTGCCGTGCCCCAAGGCGCGATCATCGCCGCAAGAGCCGGTTTCGAAGAGCGAGAACTTGTCCGTGTCAAGCGTGGGTGCGTGCATAAGGAGAAATCCTCGGTGGGCGGACCCAAGATGGCAGAGGTGGAGTTGTGGGTTGCAATTCGCCGCCCGTCTGGAACCCCAGTGTCGGGCGACGGTTCGGGGGACGGCGCCGTGAGCCCGGGGTCACAGTAGCGGGCGCAACAGTGCTGATCGGTGAAGAGCTTGGATCATTGGATGTCTCTGCAGATCGAATTAACCTCTCGGAATGAGGACGAGCTCGCCTCCTTCCAAGTGTCCTTGTGGTGCGCTTGAGGCAGTCCACGACGGACTACCGCGCCAACATGCGAATCGGGCAACCACGCACAACCTCGCGGCCTCCCTCAAGATGACGCACTCATGTACTCCCGGGCCGTAGCATAGCTTACGCGGAGCCTGGAGTGGTTTACCGTGCGCACCACAAGGGAACAGGAAACAACTTTTATCAGCATGTCGCGCGTTGGGTGGGAGTCGTCGGCCAGGCTACGAACACAGTGATGACCCGATTCTGAGTGTCGACTAGCTCTTCTTATAATGTTCAACAGCTTTGCTCAAACACGTACAGGACATGAGAATCGTCAAAGCCGCGGTGGTTATGTCGAGATGGGTTCGTGCCGTTCAGTTACATCTGGTTGCTGTTGACTGCTACCGATGAGCATGCCTCCATCTGATTCACCAGGTAGTGCGCTGCCGTGGCATTCATCATCTTGGACAGCACTAATCTTCGAATCCGGTATTGTTGATGCAGGCAGAACACACCATTGCAGGCGCAACTCCAGCGTTGGTCTGGACCCGTTCGGAAAGACATCTCGAGAACTCATTGGAAACATCAACACTACACGAACCATCAAACCCAAATCACACGTAAGGGTAGCGCACAGTGGAACGACCTGCAAGGGCATTCTATTCGACTCCACTTTAAATGGTCTCCAGCGTGCGTCAAATCTAAAACCACGAGAAGTACACAAACTTGCGATGACAACTCATGACCCTCATTTTCAAAGGCATTTACCTCTTCGCCTTCTTCTTCTCCCCACCCCCTTCATCTCCAACACTGGCTCTCTTTCCTGCCACTCTCGCACTCTTTCTCGTCCCCTCAACAGGCTTTTTCTCCTTCTTCTTTCCAGCCGCCGGACTCGCCTTCTTCGCCGTGTTAGCCTTCGGCTTCTCTTCCTCCTGTTTCTCTCCTCCGTCGTCGGGTGGCGGCGAGTCAGCTTCTTTATTCGCCTTCTTCTCCTCTTTTTGCTTCTTGCCCGAGGGCTTTGGCTGCGGTGTGCCCTTTTGGGGCTCGTTCTTGGTGCCGGGCGAGTTTTCATAGTCGCCGCCGCGCTTTTCGTATTCTTTGGAGAGTTTGGACGCCCGTTGGGATGTTAGTATGAAACTTGCAGACGGCGCATACGATGACACGAATTGTGCGCTGAGCCGGCCATACGTCCACCTCCATGAACAAGTCTCAAACGGACAAGAAGACGAAACAACCTCCAAGCATCCTCGCACCAACCCACGCTTATCCTCGATTCTAGGGAGAACAAAAGAACAACGTACCTTCCACGCACTCCACTGCCCCTTGCCACCCCCATCCTTATTCGGCTCATTCTGGATCTCCTCCTTAACCTTCTCTCTCAACTTAGGATCCGTTGGCTTTCCCTTGCTAGACGGCATCTTGCTCCACTTTGCGTTCGCACTCTTCAAAGTAAGAGAAGGAAGGGGCAGGGTTTGTTCAATGTGCCGTATGGTTAGATCAAGCTAACTAGCAGCAACGAGGGCGCGTCCCAAGTTATGTATCGTACCTGCATCGTGTCTGGCGATCGCGTTGGCGCTCGTGTCGCGTCTGTAAAACAATGACATCACGACTAGCCTACCAGCCCTCTCCCACTCAACGGACCAAATGTCAATACGTTTAGTGGAATGGCGCACTAGCCTGTATCCCACGCCCTTGGGTTGAAGAGTAGCGAGACATGGGCATCTGCAAGCGCGCATTGCGCGTCATCGATACATTGTAGAAGGCACACACTGTTGAAAGCGCGCCAGCAATCAGAGGCGCACACGCACTTCAGTCATCACTAGGATATCAAGTCATGCCAATCTCGAATCATATCATCCACACATCTATCGTCGCTAATGCGCATCATCCCTTTCGCTGCATCCCACTATACTCTGAAACAACTCACCTTGTCCCCTCTAATGTGGTGTGCTCTTGCTGAACTGAATCAAGCGTTTCACACCAACCTGTCCATTGTCAGCACGGCACTCGCATCCAACATGCGGCAACTTACCATCCAATTGCTACCCTCCTCCGTCTTGTTCGTCATCAAATCCGTAAACAGCGCAATCGCTTGGTCATACTGCCTGGCCTGTATGTGTTCCGCAAGCTCCTTCATCTCTTGAACCGTGTCTGGCTTAAGCAGATCCTCATTGTTCAAGTGATCGAAGAGGATGTTCAATCGCTTTTCGGTGTCTGCAACGTGGGCCTTGAAATTGGCTGGGGCCTTAGCTTTCACGCGTTGCATGTCTGCGTTGAGGATCTCGTAGATGGGACGGGATGCATCAGGAATATGTGACCGGTCGCCAGCAGCTGTCAACTTGTTAGCAAATACATCGCAAATGGTACTCTTTTCGGTGAGACATACGGTGCTTTGGCGCAGCAGTGGCTGCTCGCTGCGAGGAAGCGGTGCCTGGACGTGAATCTGGCCTGGGAGGACCGGCTTGAGGCGGACCTCCCGGCGGAAGGCCAGCTCGCGGCGGACCTTGTGGCGGACCTCGTTGGGGTGGCGCCGCCGCCTGAGGTGGTGCTTGCGCAGCTGGTGCTGGTGCGTACGGAGATGGTGCTGGGGAATAAGGCGAGGGACCTCCGAACTGGGTCGGCGGCGGTGCGACTTGCCGTGGCGGTGGCATACCCGCTGGTGGTCCTGAAGGCGTCGATCCGGGCGCTGGGGCATAACGGTTAGAGGGCGGAGCGGCAGACGGTGGAGGGTTGTAAGGCGAAGTACCACGGGGCACAGGAGGTTGCTGTGGGGAAGCAAAGCTTGACGATGGCGGGGTGTACGCGTTGGATGGCGGCCCTGGAGCGTATGGACTGTGAGCAGTAGCTGCGGATGTTTGTGGCGACGAGATACGAGGAGGTCCTTGCGGAGGCCCCTTCGGTGGCGGTGGAGGAGTTGGTCGCGACTGGGGAGGGTACGTCGGCGAAGGACCTCCAAATGTTTGATGGGGACCTTGCTGGGCTTGGAAGGGAGAATTAACAGCGTTGAGAGGAGTGGCGCGACGTGATGCTGGCTTTGGCGGAGCGATGAAGTTTTCTGGCATGTCATTCCAGTTTGGGATGTTCTTTTGAGTAGCCGCAGGTCCAATTGATGGCGAGCTGGAGAAATTACGCGGAGGCGGGGCAAGAGGATTCGCTTGAGGTTGTTGGTAACCGCTGAAACCACCAGGTTGAGGGATAGACGGAGCGCTTGGTTGGTAGCCTGCAGGAGTGTAGGCATTTCGGCTAGGCGCCACTTGAGTATACGGTGACGGTACAGCAACCTGCGCCTGAGCTGACAGAGGGTTGACAGGGGCATACTGAGAGCCCGGCTGCTGCAATGGGGCGGCAACGGGGACCGCTGGCGCAGGCGTTTGCGCTTGATAGGTAGGTACGACACGCGAGCCACGCTGGACGGGAGTAGCTTGGCTCTGTCGTTGAGCTATTTGCGGTGTCGCTTTCCTCGTGGCCTTCATGATCCTGTCCCTTGCAACGTCTGCAGCGGGGTACTTTTCGGGCAGGAGGTCCAGGTATCTCTCGGCGATGGACAGCTTGCCATGTGCAGAGGCAATGTCAGCGTACTCAACATACTTCGCGTAGAGCGGACCGAGCTTCCAGCCCTCTTCCTTCTGCTGCTCCGTATCCTGGAACTTGGTAACTTGCCGGAAAACAGTAACCTTCTCAATGAAGTCCTGCAGAGATTTTGCGTGGATAGAGAAACTGTTGTCGCCGGTAGAGTTCTCTACACTTGCGGCCTCGTTCTCCTGCAGTTCTTGTGCCCAATTGACGACAACCTTTTCGAGTTTAGCGCCTGCCAAGTAGCAGAAGGAGGCGTCTTTCCGGTAGGACTCTGTCTCTCCAGCAATCGCTTCCTCTAAGCGGTCACCCAGAGCCTCGCAGAGGTCAGGGAACTCATTCTTGTCAGCGTATGTGCAGAGCGTGACCATGACTTCCTTCCAGTCCTTCAGATCAGCGTTGTAAACAACGTCCCAGAGGTTGTTTCCAACGATCGAAGCCAAAAGGCGAGTGTAGTTCGGGCCGTCAATTTGCTTCTTGAAGTAGGCTGCTCGTGCCTTCGCAATGCACTTATCGCCACCGCAGATGGCGATCATGAAGGCATCTGAGAGCCTGTTTTCTTTTAAAGCAATATCCACTGCTGTTTCGAAAGAACCCTGCATAAGTGCCTGAGTGATTTTCTTGTCGGCATTTGACTCGGAGCCGGAGTAGATCGAGAACGGGTTGTTTGTCTTTGCGCCTTTTGAAGACGCTAGATCGGATAAAAAGTTGCCTCCTTCGTTCGACTGATCGAAGAAAGAAGCTCCCTCCTCTTCTGCGCCATCAGTTTTTCCTGGCTCCTTCTTTTCCTCGACCACTTCGTCATCTTCTGCGCCCGAGAAGCCCAGATATTCTATGAGGTGGTTCCGGGGGCTGTCGGAGATGAGGGTCTCAATGACCTTCCAGTCGGCCTTTTCCTCATCGGTACTCGCTTTCGCAATCTTCGATTCGCAAATCGCGGCAAGGTCGCCCTGCTCCAGAGTCTTGGCGAACTCTTCGCTTGCTGTGCCGATATCCGAGTCCACTTCGAAGGCGGATATGCTGACCTTTGACTTGCCGTCTGCAATGCCAAATCTGAGCAGTTTACCCCCAAACCCGAATGAGACACCTGCGCGCCGTCTGAGCCACTTAGGAGGCGTCTTCAAGGAGAAAGAAGCGCCTTGTGGTTCAACATGTGTCTTCGAGAAGAAGTCCTCGCCGTCCAGAGCCTGTGCGGTGGATTTGGTTTGCTCAGCTCCAGCTCCGGTGTTTTGGAGAGACTGAACGGCGATCTTGCCATCGAATGATGCAGTGGCAAGCAAGTTTGGATTGGATGGGTTGAAGGCCGTCTGGAAGGTCCAATTTGTCACGACCGGAAATTCACCGAGGTACTCGCCCGTGTGCGGGTTCCAGGCGATCGTCCGGTTGTCCTTGCCCGCTGACAGAAGGATGTCGCTATCCTGCACACACCACGATAGTGAAAGCACGCCCTGGTCATGGGCTTGGAGGGTCTTCTCTGGGGCGTTCGAGTTACGGAGATCCCACACCAGGACCAACGGGTTTTGGTCCGCAGGAATGGCTGTCACTAGCCTCGTAGGAACATCCGGGTCCCATGATACTGAGCTCACTGTTTTCCTGCCAAAGTTGTTCAATGTGAGGTTCTCCTTCTTTCCCTTCACATCCCAAACGGTAACAAAGCCTCCGCTGCTGCCAGTTGCAAGAATGTGTGCAACCTTCTTATTCCAATCCAATGAAGTATACTCGTCTGGGTTCGCGCCCGCCTTGCCCAAGCGGAATGTCTTCGATTGATCATCGATATCGTGGATATAGAGCTCGCCTTTCGCGCCAGCGGAGGCGAGGATGTTCGGTCGGAAGGGGTTGAACTGGATAGCCTGAATGGGACCAGTGTGCTTGTCGATCTGCTCTATGAGCGCATCGCTATGAACCGTTAGCCATGATCTCTGGCGTGAGCGGGAAGAGTATGGCAACCTTTCTCCCTTCTGCAGCTTCTCCGCATCCCATAGTACTAATGCCCCACTATCCAATGCGCCCGCTATTATTCCTCGAGGGTACGACTCGCTGGGCTGACTCCAAGCAATGCCATTGAATCTGTGCTTCCTTAGCTTAATTCCCCCGTTCTGGTCATTTGCCTACCTCGAGTCTACATTGACAGTAGCAACGGGATGCAGCTCGATACCTTGCTCCGCGCTGTCTAAGTTGAGCTCCCAGAGTTCCAACGTGGTATCATTTGAAAAGTCTGCGTCAACAGCCCCCGCCTTTGTGCCCGTAGCAATCAATGGCTGCGTTGACCCAGGCGACCAGGCGAAGGTGGCCGTCCTGGGTATTTCTCGAAGACGGACCATAGCGGCGGTCGCTCGCAGCTGTCAGACCAGACAAACAAGGCTCCGGTGTGCAAAATTTTGGGAAAGCGAAATCGAAGTTTAGAGGGGTAAATGTGCGAGAAGAAGAGGGAGGCGAAAGACGGATTGTGTTTGGACTTGGGGCGAGATTCTTAGGCAGCTTCACCATCAACACACCTGTCCTTCCTGCCATCACCGCGGACTTGGCAAGCACCACCCGTATTTGTGGGCCGGTCACGTGGCGTTTTCGCGAGCGCCTACCACAGTTCACTACCAATCAAGAGCTGCATCGCACGACTTCACGAATACACCCAGTCGACTCGCACGAATTATGGCAGCAGACAGTTCAAGATCAAAGGCCACCGTGTTCGTAGGTGGCCTCGACCATGCCGTGACGCAGCAAACTCTATATCACGCCTTCCTGCCGTTTGGCGACATCGTAGAAGTCAACCTACCAAAACCGGAGGCGCCATCCTCGAGCGATCCACACCGAGGATTCGGCTACGTTGAGTTCGAATCAGCGGGGGATGCAGTGGACGCTATCGACAATATGGACAGGAGCGAGCTTTATGGTCAGGTTATAAAGGTTGCAGCCGCTAAGCCCCAGAAAGATGCAAGTGAAGGTTTGGGTAGCAAGACAGCCATTTGGGAGCAGGTGCGTTTAATCCCTTATTTTTGGTATGAGTATGTGTTAACACGGATGTAGGAGGGCTGGATAGCAAAACATGCTGTGAGCGAAGAAGATCGCCAAGCGGCTCAGCAGGCGCCAGATGCTTCAGAAGATGGTCCGATGGATCCCATGCAAGGACTCGAGGGACTCGACGAGGCCGGTCCAAAGCCAGCTTAAATACCTCTTTCCTTTGACCTGGATCGATCACCAGGAATTATTGCCTATCTGTAAAAGGACGGGCGCCACGGACGATGGGACTGCGGGTTAAATTACCAGGCTCCTTTTCCCTCTCTACATGACAAGCTTCGTACAACGAATCGCCATCTAACCAACACGCTCATAATTGAGAAGCTGTCTGAGTCGGCATCTATCCTTTCGGTCGGTTCTCAGACCTCAACTTTTCAAAGCCACCGCTTTCTCGCTCACTTAGGATCGTTATCTGGCGTATCTCGTACACTGGAAGCTGTTGGTGAAAGCATTGATCACAACAAAGAAATTGTGGATCTGTTTGCGGTCCTTTATTGAATTCAGACGTCAATTGCTCGAATCCCCCAGGATATCACACCACACATCATACTACATCTTTAACGAAATGCAAAGAACTTGCGTTTGTATGATGTACCAGACATACGAAAGTGATGTTTGATTCTCTAGCACGATGCCAATCTCCCTGGTCCTAGATTTGTACAAGGGCCTTCCCCCAGCCCAGCTACCCCGCCTCTAATATTGCCTAAAACTAGTCCAACGCGTCTAGTTCCCAGCCTGCCTCTTGAGGCGGAGTGTCTTGTCGACCATGAGCTTCCGGCCGAGCGAGAAGATGGCGGCACCGACGGCGACCCTGTATAGTATTAGTATCAGCCGACACCATACACAGTCGTAACCGAGGAACGGGAAAGCTTACGCAAGGACAACACCTGCGGCCAATTAGCTATCGTTTTCCCAGGGTATAATAAAGAGGGAAACGTACCGAGAGGAATCAACTCAGCAGGGATCTTCTTAAGCTGGCGCAGGCGTTGGGAGACGCCGTGAGCTACAGCATCCCAGTTAGATCAGATCTTCGCGGCTCCAATTGTGGCTATAGCGGGCCAATTGCTTACCAGATTGCTCCTCCTTCTGCGTAATGTTAGTTACAATGTTGAGGAAAAGAAATAGAAGCTTGCTCAACGTACAGGGACGGGCTTCAACATGCGCGCCGTTTGCCGCATGTACATCGGGGCGCTCTGGCGCATAAACATCATCCGGGTGGGCTGCATAGCCCTGACGGTGGTAGCCTTGAACATGTTGAAGGTATCGATCAGAGTCGTAGAGCGGAGATTTCGCGTGCAGCGTGTGGTCGGTGTCGTAGGTTGGGGAGCAGTCAAACGTCACACGTCGTTTGAGGACGCAGGAGCTCCAAGGCACGCACGCAAAACGCCGAGCCGCTAAGCCGACAAAGCGCAATCGAACCACTCCTCACTGTCAGCCCGTCCGATTGCTAACCTCACCTCATACTCGTCACCACTCTCCGCGCAGCCATTGTCCTCCACACCGCACCCAAAACACTCTTCTAACCACCGCAACCATGTCCGACGAGGAGACCGAGACCAAGCCCTTCAAGTTTGTCACTGGTACGCGCCGCGACGCCCGCACACACGCGGAGCTATGCTAACATGACTGCAGCCGGTATGCCACCCACCGAGCTCCTGCGAAGCTCCTCGCAACTCCCTCCGAGCTCCGCATGCCCTTGCGAGGAGCTAGAGGTGTCGTGGGAACAGTACAGCTAACGGAATGGCCCAGGCTTTGACGCCCGCTTCCCGAACCAGAACCAGACCAAGCACTGCTGGCAGAACTACGTCGACTACCACAAGTGCATCACCGCCAAGGGCGAGGACTTTGCGCCCTGCCGCCAGGTACGGAGTCTTCACTCCAGGACACGCAATGGGTATTGACGCTAACGCGCACGTAGTTCCTCCTGGCCTATCGATCGCTCTGCCCCAGCGGCTGGACACAGCGATGGGACGACCAGCGTGAGAAGGGCATCTTCCCGTGCAGGCTCGACCAGTAGACAATTCGCAAGCTACGCTGTGCGCAACAGAAGACGGAATTCCTCTTAGGCTGGAATCCGTGGATCGTGGATCACAAACTGGACAGAACAATAGAGTCTCATCTGTACCATAACACTCGAGAAAGCAGCAACAGCAACCCAGTTTTGATCGATCTTATCCATCGCATCTCAATCGCGCTCTGTGTAAACTAGTAGTCATTACAAGCACTTCATTACTTCATGATGCGACTTTTGCATCGCTAACGACAGGTATTCCCCGCTTGCACACCATGCACGCCATGCTCCACCCCGTCTTATCCAACACAATCCAACCCCACATGCTTCTCCGAGCCCGTATGTGCGAAAAGGTATCATGCAAACATACGACAACAAATCACAATCCAATGGATCCAGCCAAGCCAATCCAAGCCACACCCCCCTCCCGGATTCCCTTTCCCCCAGACCACCACGCAGCACGCAAAAAGGCCACGCCAACCGTCATCATCGCGCATGCATGGCGGCGTGAAACCTCGCCTCGCGGAGGGAGTCGCGTTCGCTGTGTATGCCCCGCGCCTCGCTCAGATGCGCATATAGCTCGTGCCCTCGATCTGGTAGTCCTGCACGGGCGGCAGGTGCGGGATGGGCAGGGACAATCTCGCTGCGAGAAACACCACCTTTTAGTGCACGCTCTGCATTTCTGTCATGTCGGCAAATGAGGAAATGATTTCAAGGAAACGAACGAACACTGCGTGGTGTCGTCTGTGTCGAGAGAAACAGAGAAGTAAAGAGGCAGTAGCAAGCGGGAATCAACACCGGTGCATTGCTGGACGGGTGGCGTCGAGGGCTAGCGTACGGTACGAGAATAGAAGTCGTACAAGAAAATAGGGGGTTCTGTCAAGCAAGTAAGGTAGAAACGGAGGCACTAACGCTCTCGCCACCAGCTGGCAAATTTCTTCTTCTCGCCTGCGCCTGCGGCCTCGAGGCTGAGACTGCGGTCGTACAGTTCCTAGACCCCCACACATTAGTTTTTCCCCAAGAACAATGAAGAGCAAAGCAAAACTCACCTCCTCGTCCTTCATGATCTTGATGTCGAGGAGAAGGTTCTTGATCTCGTCGTTCTGCCGCCATGTCGGGTACGGTGTTCCCTGTGCTCGTTGAACTCTCACAATCACGTCCCCCATGAGCTCGAATTTCTTCCAATTGATGCGCTCTTTACCTGTGACGCCACCTGGGGGCGCCTCTCTTGAATTCCGGTTTCCGGCCGCGCCGAGAGATACGCTGGTACCGGGATGAGGCGTGAACACCTCGGGCTGCTTGGTTTTGTCGGTTACGAATGTCGCGTTACCTTCCGACGCCGTTACTAGATCTCGTCGGTGCAGAGGTAGGTATGGCAGGCGTTCTCTCGCGCTGTTGTCCCATGCTAGTCGGTAGCACTTGTAGGATTGCGATTGCCCCATGAGGATCTCGAGCTTCATAAAGTCTAGATTGGCTTGCTGGGGAACGAGTTCCCTGGTGGCTGCGAGGCGGTGCACTGCTGTACTATTGATACCGGCCAGGACGGCCCCGAGAGAATTGTAGTTATTCAGTTTTCGCAGCTCACGGGCTACCTTCATCCACTTCTCGAGCATGAGAGCACGATGCCGGTGCTTGTCTCGCATGAGGATGTAGTGTTGTACGAGGAAATGGACGTGGTTGAAATGATCCGTCATCCGTGTAACATTTTCCAAACTCTTAAATCTCTTCTTCTCTTCCGCGCTCATGCTTACGTGGCGGACCAAATCACGAGGCCGGATCGACGAGAACATGATCCAGTCAATTCTCGTCAATTCTTTGGCTATGGCTTCTTCGGTTTCCTCCATGAACTGGCGCCATTGGAGCTTTGTCAGTGGCTTTATCGGATTTGGAACAAGATGCCTCGCCAACCGTTCATTCATCTCGACCTGGTGAAGTAGTGTCTGCGTTGAACTAGTCGTTCCTGTTGTTCCTTGTGTAGATCGTGAGTGTCCAGTCATGCTGCTCCGCGCAATCGATAACCGTTCTGACGACATGGACATGTGGCCAAGCGCTTTGGTGAAGTCGTCGTCATCCGAGTCCTCGTCCAGGACAGTGTGGAACGTCGGGATCTGCTCATTTTGAGCACGCAGGCGATCGCTGCACGCCCATTCTGTGTCGTCATCTTCCGTGATAGCCTCATAATCGTGGAGTATTTCTGCCGCTGCAACGGCAAATTCGCGATTACCAGCGAGGGCTGTGGCAAATCTCCGCAGCGTGCGTCTCGTTGAAGGATAGGCAAAGTCTCCGGGATAGTGACTTGTCCACTGTTGCATGATGGTGAGGTAATGTAATTGCGCTATGATTCGGAGAACCGGGGGTGTCCGCCTCCTGAGTGCCTCGAATCGTTTCAATATCCCCTCAAGCAGTTGGCCTGGCGTTGAGAATTTTCTATAAAGAGCAAGAAACATGTGGACGAATTTGGTATCCTTCTTGTCCATGGGTTGCGCTAGGAGTCGATCCACAAGCTGATCGAAAGTATATCCGTTCTCGTCCGAAGGCAGCTCACAGGCCAGAGTTTCTCTATCGGACGCTTGGCCATCAGAATCATTGGATTCATATGTCGGTGATTCTTCTTCGAAGTTGAAGAAGGTCTTGTTGGTTTCGCTTGCTTTGTATCGGTGGCCTTTGACTTCAGCAGAGCTTGGTCGTAATCTTGTCGAAAATTCGGAGTTGGCGCGTTCATGTTTACGATCCCAAGGATCTCTGGCAGTGCTGGATCTCACTGCCGAGGAATTTGCTCGTCGGCGAGCCATTGATGCTTGTGATCGAGCTGCCTCGACTGTCAATAAAGAACGTAGATGTGATAAGGCATACGAAGATGTGAGCAGCGACTGGATCAAAAGACACCTGCAAATGGTGTCTACGGGAATTACATGGCATGTGGAATAAGGTTTTCACTCACGTCGCTTAGAAGAAATGACTGCACGCGTAATCACGGACAAGCAGCCTCGGTACGCGTCAGGCGAGGCCTCGGATGTCTGAAAGGTATTCACTTCGCCCAAGAAGGTTTTCGCCTTCTTCTCCACAACTGCAGGTTCGACCTTACGATGGGCGGGGTGATGGTCGCATTTGCACCCAACTAGTACGAATGGAAGTCCCGATCGGGACAACAGGCCTAACACGAGCCTTTAGCATGTTGTGTCCAATGTTCGACAAAGGAGCTGCCTCTGACCTAATACCTCTGGCACGCGTGCCAGGCTCTGTTCGCTGGTGACATCATAGATGGTGATGGCACCGTCAATTCGTGGCGTCACTGAATCTTCGAGGGTATCTGGCCATTTGATGCAGTTTTGGTCTCGAACCTGCACGTCGTTGATGGGCATTTCGAGAAATCGCACAACGTATAGTCCGCCGTCGATGGTCATCTTGCGGGTGCAGACTGCGCCTGGCCCAGCATTGGGCAAATTGAGGGCGTGGCGTATGAAGGTGGACTTGCCCGAACCGCGGGCGCCCAGTACGGCAACGTTGATGTCCTGCATGGACGCGGAGTCGCTGGTGCCGGACTAGACGGTTGCGTCAGTGCTGCAGCTACGCGAATATGGAGACCCCAAGAGCAACTTACACCTGCAGATGGAGCGGGCGATCGCGGGCTGGGAGGGGCATCCATTTGCAGCGGATGGCGGCCTTTGAGGTTCGTGGGGGAGAGGGGCCCCTCGGTGTCGGAGGACGAGTCTACGGAGCTGGAGGATATCTCGAGCTTGGTGGGCTGGACGGCGTCGGGGAAGTGGTATCGCTGGAAGAACTCGTCGCCGGCAATCTCCCAGTCCTCGGCCCCTTCGCCCAAGCTTTGCATGGCATCATCGTCTTCGGTTCCATGGTGGTGATTCTTGGGTATCATGGGCGCCGAGTGGGCGCGGTTCTTGAGGTTGGGGGGTCGCAGGCCTGTGGCTCCAGCTCCAGCAGCAGGGCGGGCGGACTGGGCCGACTCCTTGCGCGGCGACTCCATCTGCTGAGCGCTCGTCGCCTTCTCGGTGCGGGCGGGGGTGCTCCTGTGCTCGGTCGGCAGTGGCCTGGCACTCCGATTCTGGCCAGCAGCACTCGGAGGCTTCGCTGACGGCGACATGGTGGCACGGGGCGGCGAGGCGGCTCAGCAGCAGACGGGTCTGGAGGGCGGCGGTACGTCTTGTGCGACTGGGTGGCTGCTGTGGAGGGCGTGTGACAGCGAGCCACTGGCGTCTAGGAGCGGGAGCGGGGCTCGACTGCCGGGGGACATTGGAAGCACTGCTTCTTCGGGGGAGTGTGGTCGGCGTCCTCTAGAGAGGCATGCAATGGAGGAGGAGGAGCCAGCGCGGCGGGGGAGGTTTGCGGCGGGGACGGGCACCAGGGGATTGTAGCGGTACGGTGCTATGGCGAGCAGGTCCCAGTTCGCCGTTGGACGGTGCAGCTGCAGCACGGACGCAATGCTAAACTGCTCGTACAGCCCTGGAGCGACGCACTAGAAGGTACGAGTACGCGAGAGCACCACGTAGGACCATGTCTTCCGTGTGTGTGGGCAATGCTCGTCTCCAGCCCCAGCAGCCTCGCAGCGCCCGCCCGCCCTGCTCCTTGTCGCGACGTTGCGGAAAAGCCAGTTGGGCGCGCTGCAACAAGATCCAGAAGCGGAAGCTGTCCACTAGCACCGGTAGGCATGCGGCCTCCTGTCTCAACACCTCGTCTGCACGCCTCGCGGCTCACGGCGCTCGCTCCGAGTCTGGCGTCCGAAGAAGACGACAGTCGGAGCAACAGTCGGCGTCTGCGCGCTGCGTCGTTGCGGGCGTCTTCCGCTCGGACAATTGCAAAGGCAGGGCCCTCCCCCGCATCCCGTACCAACCCCGTTCCTTCGTGGCGGCTCTACTTCAAACCACGTACCTGCTGCTCTGTATGGCACGCAACGCTCTACAAGGCAGGTGTCGGAACTGGTGTCGGCACCTGACTCCCAATCAACTCCACACGCACCTGGTGTCTGCCAACTTCACTACCCCACGCCTTCGCTTCTCCTTCCTTCGTGGACCCTTGTGCGGCACAGTCAATGTACACAGTATGCACGCACGGGTGAGCCCTCTTCTCTCCGGCCGTGTCAGGGTCCATCTGAAGCCCAGCCGAGTGTGAACGTTCGGTGCCGATCCGCTCGGAGCATGCCAGTGACATGATGCGTGTGGCTTGCACGTGCGTCGGGTGAAGTCGTGCCTCGTGAAAGCACGACTTCAGCTCCTCACCGCCTCGAGAAGCTGAGCTCTCTTTGACACTAAGAACGGGAATGTCAACAACAGTCGGCAACCCAGCAAGGTATACGTTGCGCAAAACTAAACTTCGTTGAACAGCCACTCGTGGAGCTCTGTGTTATGCATGCAATTTCAAGCTACTTGTCGTCATATCCTCCCACCTGCTCTCCTTCCATCTAGCCGAGGATATATACATGTTACCAGGCTCCGGCACCTACGCCCTTGTTCGTGGTTCAACTTATGCGTAATCGTCTGGCTTTCTAGCCCGAGATGCACGCGGCGTACCGGGGCGCTATGTACACTATCAAGCTTTCCGAAACAGCCCGCAAAGAAATCCCTTCGACTTCTTCTTCTTCTTCTTCTTCTGTCCTTCCCCATTTAGTTCTCTCTCCCTCTTGTCTTCAAGCTCATTAGCCCGCCGTACTCTCTCCTTTATCTTCTCCCGTGCAACTCGTCTCTCCACTTCTTCTTTGGAACATCTTCTGACCGCGTTACGACCGCTTGCCGGGGACAATACTCTCTTGTCAGGGTTCTCGCGGTAGATGACATCACCTTTGTCCGCGACTTTTTGTATGTGTACAGCAGATACCCTTGACTGTGACCCACTTCGCGGGCGAGAATGCCCCCGTGATGCAATGGGGTTCTGTGGCGCTAGCATTTCCTGTGGATACGTCGCTTGAGCCATCAGCTGCGATCCTAAGAAAGCATGAGACATCGAAGGCGGAGGTGTTTTAGTCTCAACATGCGCCGGGCTGAGTGCTGGACAGGGCTCCGGGCTGCTCCTAACGGGATTCTGCCGCAGGGGGTGGTCAAGAGATCTGGTGTACGTGAACGATGATGATCGCTGAGATGGCTTGGTTGTAGTTGAAGAGACGCTGGACTTTGTTGAAGATGATGAGCGTGTTGAGTTAGACGAAGTCTGTAGAGAGCTAGAGGATCGAGGATCTAACAGTTGTCGTTCGGTCAGGGCGGAGCTTAGCATTGAGATCGAGGATGCTGAACGCATCACTGGGGCTACTCCACGGTTGACGGGTTTGCTATGAGTGTTCCATCGTAGGTCAGATGTTGCAGACAGGCTTCTGCGTAGCATAGGCTGCCGGGCAGTGCCGTTTGGAACGCGGGCCGCAACGTCCTGGAACAGGCACCCATCAATAACACTGTCATTGACCTGTCTCCCGTTTCTACCGCGACTGTTCCGACTTATCGCATTGGTACTCGTAGGCCGATTGAGCGAAGGCAGCTGCGAATAGTAGCGAGATTGCTGAGCAATGAGGTCATCAGCTTTTGCTGACGGAAATGGTGTTGCCGTTGGTAACGTCGAAGCACTCCCTATAGCTAGGCCAAGGCGTTCTCTTGTACGTCGAGCGTTCGCTTCGATAAGCTCTCGCTCGCGTTTGGCAAGCTCTCTTTCTCGTCGCGCGTTCCACCCTCCTGCGTGTTGCTCTGTCCCACGTGATACGCTATTGGGCTTCTTTCTTCCAGACTTGTTCCAGCCGGATGCTGGTAACTGCGAGTCCTCCTGAGGCATCGGCTGTTTCGATAGTTCACCTTCAGCAACTGGTGACAAAGAACGCCCTCGCGTTTCGAAGGATGAAGGCATCGAACGCCGCCTAGTATTATGCCGTGCGTTACCTTGTGAGTTATTGGGAGGTGTGCCTGAGCGATACAGTGTGGAAATAGCCGATGAACTTATTGGGGTACCTGTGTAGTCACGTTGACTTGTCGGGCTCTGAATTGGCAGACTTCGCCTACGACTGTTCCCCGAATGCCTCGATGCTACGTTTAGTGGATCGCCATGGATTGTAGCGTCATTACTCGCCCATAACAAGGAGCCTGTGGAAGCTTGAGTGGTCGCGTGTTGAGGTGTGAACTCGCTGATGGTTTGAAGTGTTTTCCGTGGCTGATTTAATGTGTGCTTGTCTTTTCGTCCTTTCTGGTCAGCACTTGGTCGACATTTAGGAGGCGGCTTCTGCAAAGGCATCTTTGAGTGAATGTCGGATCGTAGAGCTTGCGTCAACAAGCTGTCCACAAGTGCTGAAGACAAGGGGGTTGCTATGGAGCAAGGGTACCTCGGATGAGGTGGACCCTGAACAAGGGTAGGGGGGAAATGGAAATCAAGACGAGGTTCTGCAGTGGCGGTAATGTGGTGCCGTTTCCTTGGGATGGCGAGAAGGACGAAGGCAGGGATGGAATTCCTACATACCGCTTGGTGGGTCGTTCTTGAATTCGAATTGCGGGATATCCGCGGACGATACCGCCGAAGGGGTGAGCGCGTGGTCTTTCGGAAGCATGGCTACGTGTTTTTGGTATTGGTGTCACAGTCCTTGCATGCGATAGTCTCTGCAGATCCAATTGAGGACCCCGAAACCTGGCACAACTGACTGCGTATCACACAGCCGCCATGAAGGCGCACACGAGGTTCGAAGTAAGGAGCTGAAGTTGAAGCAGTTCAAGGGTGCGCGCTCGAGCCTAAGGTGCTATTCCAGTGGAACGAAGAGAGAGCGTCAGTTTCGAAGTCGAGGGACCGAGGTGGCTGCATGTAGTTCTCTCCAGCCACGAAAGCTTGACTCTCCACTTTCACACGGGTGCAGCTGGCCAGTGTTAAGAATGTCGACCCTGGCAACGTTGTTGAGTGGCTAATTGCTTTGGTAAGGGTGCAAGAATCTTGTCCGTTGGCAAGCGTCCTGCAAGGCATGAGGTCTTTGACACGCGTTCACGCACGCTCTATTAGCAGCGCCCAATCGGGATGGCTCCCCTGCTGCGTTGGTGTGTTAGCTTGGGTCCGTCTCTTCTGAGACACGACCAAAGGCATTAGCCCAAGATATGTCCCGTTCGAGTGTCGTCGCAATGGCCGTGCAAGGGATGTTTTGCGTCTTGAGCGTCGACTCAACGACGACGAGACCCAGGGCGAGAGCCATCGTGGACAGACGGGCTGGTGAGGCTGGGAGGCGAGGGGGGTAGTCCATCAAGCCCATCAACAGTGGCGCTGGGTCCCGCTCCGGGTGCATGGACAACCCGCAGCGCGCGGGCAGTCGCAGGAGTCCGAACGCATCGCAGATCCTATGTCGACGCGCCTGGGAAAGGTGCCGCCGAAGCGATGCAGTGGAACAGTGGAATGAGGCACCACGGAGCGTGTGCCGGCGCTCCAGAAGTCGGTGAGGGGAATCAAGCGTAGCAGCTGCCTTCTTGCTCCACGTGAGATGCACTCCCGGCTCGCTTATCGTGGAGACGATGGCGCTAGCACAGGGTCTCCAGTGCCCGACCCCATCTTCGTTTCGGAGAGCAATGGCTTCCTAAGCAGCGGGGTGAGGGGTGTCATCATGTCAACTTGGACTCGTCGTCGTACCATCCTTCCAAACATGCTGATACTCGCTCGCAACCACGAGCATGCCATCCCAGTTCTTGTTCTCTGCCGCTACTGCCAGTTCTTGAGTGATCCATGCACGGCTCCAGTAACTTTCTAACTGCTTGCGAGAATCGAACATGTTGATGAGCTGGCTTGTCCTGACCATGACCTCCATTCAATGGAAGCATTCCTTCTACTCCATTAGAAGATACAATCTTCAAGATTTTATCTTGCAGCACGTCAAGTGAATTGACGCCTGAATCACAGGGCCCAATCCATGCTAACACCTGCCTTGCGTGGGAATATATCTCCCCCCATTCGCGAATCTTGATGATTCCGTTCGATAGTACTGTTCTGGTTGATGCACAAAGCGTCGATCCATAATGGCTGGCCTGCGTATTTCTGACAGGCTATTTGCAGGAAGTCACGGAGGTTCTGAAGTATGTTCATGGGCTTCCAGTTGATAATGACGATTTTATAGTCCGAGCAATCCGATATACAGTCCGTCGGTGTCGTACTTGCTGTATTGCTGAAGTACGCGTACGTCATGGTCTGCGGACAGGGAGGACCGGGTAACGCTTTTGTAAGGGTGTCCACCTTGTTCGAGGAATCCGATCCAGTTCCCCAGACGTATGACAGGCACGTGTGAGCTCCATCCATTTGTTTCATGGACGCGTTAAATAGTGTGCACTGCACGTAGCCTTCAGCGGACCTCTCCGGAAGCACGGTGAGCAGACGGATAGAATTATACTGTTGGAATTCGAGCGGCGCGTCTTGATAGATCTTCAGAAGGTTTTGTGCAGTCTCGCATTGTCAGTCCCTCCGGACTTGATGTAGCACGTGCCGAAGCTCAGTGAAGGAATGATTGTTAATTGTCGAATTGAACATGTGCAATGGTGGGAGCCACAACTACCCCGCTTTGTGCAACGCTGCTGCCTGACAACATAGCGACGAGGGCAGATGTGAACGACCCTTACCGGATAACCACAAGTTTCCTCTGCGTGGGCCTACCATGGACCGCCTCCCCGTGAAAAAAGACACTCTGGCCCTGGCCGGCTTTCTTCGTCTCCACAACAGGCTTCATAGAACTTTGCCCCAAACTCACTGTCTCAGGGGACGAGATCTATATTCTACTAGGAGCAGCGTCGCCATTAGTGTTTAGGGTCCTTGAGAGTAAGACCGTGAGGTTTGTGTGGGGCGCACATGTGTGATGCTGGATTTGGAAGTTGATTGCAATGGAGGTTGATGCGTTGGGAAAATGGGGCTGCAGGTCTCTTGCCCTGTAGCGTTTACGGGTGATGCTGGAGTCTGATACTGATAGGAAATCCTCGGTGTTGAGGTTATTGACGTACTGCCAGAAAGTCGGCATCTCTTTTGCTCTTTCTAGGGGCCGAAGACCTTCCGGGATCTTGGGAGACACCGTTTTCCGAAACGCTTCTGGATACGATAGCTCCGTCGTCGGATGCGGTACCTCAAATTGGCGAATCATCTCCGCACGGCGCTCGCGATTCGAAAGATCGGGTTCGACGTCTTGGACAGATACAAAAGCCTTCTATGGCAAGAGGTGAGATATACGGGAAGGGTTCTAGATCCCGTTGGTAATTTATCTCGTCCATGAACACATTAGGTACTGTATCCCCTGAAGCTGAGAAATCGGCGACGTCTACAAGCGGGGTTGCCATCGTAGAGGTACACCACTCTGGACACAAGAGTGAGGTTTGTGCTGTGGGTCCGAATCCTGAACATGGTTCAGGAATGAATTATCAATTTTCTCAGTACCAGAAACCCAGTATGAGACAAGGGAAGTGTAAAGATTGATGACCTCCCGGTTGTAGCCTGGAAATGCGATCCAGCGGTTGTCATCATGCGAGATTCCAAGGAGGGCGAGAACTTGAACTCGTGGATCTTTGCTGGCTGTTGGGCGAAGAAGGGGGTATAGGCGCTTTATCTATTTCTGTTCAAGGAGTATCCCTGAGCGCAGCCATGCTGAATCGTCGGGATTGCTCGCTGTTTGATCACCGCTGTTCATGCGCTTCAATCTTGCCCAATCCCGTCGTAAATCTCTTTTTTTTTATAATAGTCTCAACGACGAAGACTATTGTGACCCTATTGTGCTCCTTCCCAATCAACATTCGTCTGGCTTGCATGGATCTGCATGCCTCGTAGAGGATATCCTATTACACTTCATGAGAGCCACAATTGATCGTTGCGCTTCTTGTAAAACAAGGCCTTGTTAGAAGAGCCGCGAAGGCTCTGCTACCGAGCATGGTTCTGAGCGTGCGATTTCGAGAAAGTGAATCTTCATCAGTGACAACAGTTGGTGGAACACGGACAAGAAGGGATTTCAGGTATTCAGTCTTTTGTTCGCGAATTCAGTCTTTTGTTCGCGAATTCAGTCTTTTGTTCGCGAATTCAGTCTTTTGTTCGTGACCAACCAGGTTTCTTCCTCTGGGAAATTCTCTGTTGCAACCAAATATTCTGTTGCGACCAGATAGTCTGTCAGTGGCATGAGTTCTAGTTCTGGTAGATTCGTTGTGAGTCTCATCCATTGCATCATTCCAGACGTTGCCGCCGCTTCGAAATCCCTTTCTCCAAGCCATGTGAGCACATTATCGGCGGCGGAATGTATTTCTGCCATTATTCGGACCTGTCTCAATTTTTATTGTAGCTTCTCAGGATCCCTGCCTTGATCGATGCAGATTTGGTCGATCCAGAGTGTGCGTACGCCTTCGAGATCGCGCAGACGTAACAGCAAGCGATAGAGACTATCAGTAACCGTCATTTTATGCGTGACTTAATGCGGACAGGCGAGTCCCAGGCCTTCGTTAACCATGAATGAAACAGTCCAGTTGCAAGTGATGAAAGGAGGGTTATCTTCATGGCCCCAGACTTAGGATACTGCTTCGAAAGGCATTAGAGCTCCTTCAAACGGGCTGAGAAGCAACGAGCAGATTAGGGGATCGTCGTCAAATCCGGGTTGAAGTTGAAGAGGCTCTCCATATTCGACCTTGTCTGTTGATACGTCGTTAAGTTGCTTCGCCTTCAAGGTAGCCGGAGTGATTAAGTCCGAAAAATCGTTGATGTTATGGTTGTTGAAAGGTAAACCTCCTGGTTCGGGGTCAGACGATGGAATGTCTCATTGCTTTTCCATTTTAATTCCTGGCTTTCTTGTAATGACTTGGGGTGATCACTCGCTTGAAGCGTCTGTTATGGCCGAGAACATTCAGCGACAATATGACTCTTTCAAAGTTGAATCGGACCTTCAGAATACACATCAGTACTCATATGTCCGCCTTGCATCAAAGAGGGAAGAGATGAATTCCACCTCGTCTTTTCAGCCGCAGCTGAGGTTAGTTTTGAGCTGGCAACATACGAAGGCTGGTCCAGCCTTTCATCGCTAGGCTGAAACCAGATTCCTCCACATGATCAGGTCAACGAAGAGAAAATTCCGAGCATGGCTCACAAGCGAGCTGGCCATCCAAACAGGCAGATCAGATGTATGAGCAGGCGCTGCAAAGGGTGGAGGTGGCGCTAGGTTCTAGGTAGACGTCCACCAGACACACCCTCGGTTTGCATAGTATGGAGAATGACTTGAAGACGCAAATAGACAGTGTGGAAGCAGGGAGAGATATTCGAAGAAACAGAAGCGCGCGAGGCGAGTAGAATTCTAATTTCTTGACTAGAATATATTCTGCTGTCCGTGTCATGATAGTTTTGTTCATACACTCAGAAATCCACAAACAACATGCCATACCAATAACGCCGTCCTGGAATATGCAGAGCAAGCCACTCACATTCGAGGATCATCGCATTTCCTGTTGGCCAGGTGTACCCGGTACTTGTTCGCCTTTGCTCCAGACGCTCTCCATGGCTTCGGCCACAATCGCCATACCCGTACCGATCTCCGCTTCGGTGATGATGAGAGGTGGGACGAACCTCAATGTGTTCGTTCCACAGGTGATGATCAGGAGTCCTCGTTCCCTCGCCGCAGTTACAATCGGCGTAGGGTCATCGTCAAGCTGCAGCCCGAGTATCAAGCCTTGTCCCCTGATCTCTTTGACGCGGTTAGGGAAACGCTCTTGCAATGAGGCGAAATGCTTCTTGAAAGCTGCTGACTTGGCGGGTATAGATTCCAAGATCTCAGGAGATGACAGGCGAGACAGGATGTAGGAAGCTACACGGCAGCCCAGAGGGTTACCGCCGAAGGTCGTGCCATGATCGCCCGTCTTGATGTGATCGCACACAAAGTCGTTTACAATTGTTGCTCCGATGGGGAACCCGTTGCCCAAAGCTTTGGCCGTGGTGACAATGTCGGGGTGGCACTCCTTTGGATACCCGGCGTGAGCCCAGAATGTGCCGGTCCTTCCTAGACCGCACTGGATCTCATCATAGATGAGGACGGCGCCGACCTCAGTGCAGCGCTTACGCAACGCAAGCAGGAATTCGGGCGTCGCGACGTTGACGCCGCCCTCGCCCTGAATGGGCTCGATGATAACTCCACAAGTGCCCTCAGTGACCAAATCATTAACAGCCTCCACATCGTTGAATGTTCCGTATCTGAAGCCGGGGACCATAGGAGAGAAAGGCTTCTGGTACTTTGGATTTGGCGTTGCGCTCAAGGAGCCCATAGTTCGACCGTGAAACGAGCCGTTGAAAGACACAATGTCGTATTTGTCTTCGCCCGGGGCTACCTCCTTCCCGACTTTGCGTGCAAACTTTATGGCAGCCTCATTGGCCTCGGATCCGCTGTTGCAGATGAAGGTGCGTGTGGCGGACGCGAAACCGCCTGTAGCGTGGGTGAGCTGGATGAGCTGCTTCGACAGGAGACCGGTGAGGGGGTTGTGGTATAGGTTGGACGTGTGCATGAGAAGTTGTGCCTAAGAATATATCGTTAGCATCCTGTCTCATCTTGCGCTTATATGTCGTACCTGCTCAGCAAGTGCTTGAGCCACGCCCTCGTCACAGTGCCCCAATGCGTTCACAGCGATACCAGAGGTGAAGTCTAGGTATTTTCGGTTCTCAACGTCATACAAGTAGCATCCTTCGCCCTTCTCGAACATGGGAGGAGGGCGCACGTAGGTCGGGACCATGTACGGAAGCTGTTGATTGACGAGACCGGCCGTCTTGGAGGTCGATGGAGGGTCTGGCGTAGGAAGAGAGGCTTCTCGCTGCCAATCAGTGAGCATTGAAGGCCAGCAATATTCAGAGTGAGCAACCGTACCCCTATAGAGTCCTTCACATCCTGTGGCAGGCTTGAGCCCTTCACCGCAGCGGCTGTAGAAGCATATCGCGCAGAGCAGCAATTGGCATGCGACGGGCGCAATGCTGTCGCAAAACGCTTGGAAGAGAATCGCAAAGCCATCGCACGCTCGTACAATACAACACAGCAGGGAAAACAAGTGCAAATTTGTGCTTAGGGTATCATGTATTCGCAAGGTTCTACATTTGCTGTGACTCCGACTCCACGCCGAAAATCATCCTTATCGATGGCGCTTGCCGAGTTCGGAGATGCGTCCCGCCCTACGCTGAAAAGCCCACGCGTGCAATGAAGCAAGGCAAAAGGCATACGCTGGTACTCCACGTGAGTCATAATCATGGCACGGGAGATCTCAATGCTTCTTCGCCTCCCTGTCCTTCAATTTCTCATCGATGACTGTGTCCAATCTCATCCAGCACGTCTTGCCTTCGACGAAGCAGCTTCCCATCCAAGCCCACCAGATGCCATCGTAGGGCGTTAGTCCGTGCCTGTTCAATTTCCTGGCCATGAACACTGTCTCGGTTGCATGAATGCCAATCATGATCCAGAATAAGTAAGGCTGGATGGTCAAGCAAAATTCGCCAAAACCGGCGACGCGAGACAGCAGGTGGTCGTGTACAAGTGATCCAGGTTTGAAGTTGGCCTTGCGAGAGAAGACGATGTAGGTGAGCAGGCATTGTGTGAAATTGAGCAGGTGGATGAAATGGAGACCCGGTGCGTACGGCGGGATGTACTTGTTGATGGGGATGTCGCTGCGACCCAAGGCTTGAAGGGCATCCTTGTCCATTTGCACAAGGCGCTCGCGTGCTTCTCGGAGCGTCTTCATGGGCGGATCCAACGGAAGGATGAGTTGCTGGCCGCCGCAGTCAAACTTCAAGTCGTTCAGCGAGACATCCGTCAAGCGCGCATTGCGGACCTGGTAGAGTGACTTTTGCTTGAAGGCTTCGAGATATCGACGAATCTGCATGGTTCAGCGCTCATTCTATTCTGGCGAGGTGAGCAGCGCACCGAGTCGGCGTGGTCAGCGTTCATGTGCTTGACGATTCGCTCTTTGGTTGCAGCATCTTGAGCCTCCGGCGTTGCCATGCTGTCGTCGGTGGTTGAGGGTGCCGGGAAGGTAGCTTGCAGCGCTCACGAGGATGCGATTTGTTCGGAGCGGGCAGACACATCGCTCCGAACAGAACGCTGCGTGTGCATCGTGCCCTCCGTTCGAAGGTTCACGGCTTCTTCACCAACAGACTTGAACGGCACACGGATAATACCGACGTCAAATGTCGTGCACATTTGCAGCTTCACATGTGTGCGCCACCACGGAGCCTGGAATGCTGAGGTAACGATCTACAGGTCTCGACATGCCAGCCACCCCGTCCATCGCGATCCGGTTAGTGATGGAATGCGTCGATGAGCGGCGCGGATAAGTCGACCGTGCTTCCACCGCGCCTAGACGTCGACATGATGCCAGGCTAAGCGCTGTCGGTGTGTGTAGCGAGGCACCGGAAGACGTTGGCCGCGAAACTTGAAAGCGGCAAGTGGACCTGGAGGCATGCATGGGATGATTCCCGGGCCCCGCTACCCCGTTCCGACACAACGCTGCGTGCAGGGATGAAGGCAAGTTTCGGCGACGCCTCGCAGGATTGGCGGGGGGGATTGAGCGTGCCACTTGTTGCGTCAGAGTGCATAGAAGAGTGGCTCGTGTGGCATGGGTGTCATGTCCCCTTCTCGTTCAAACCGGTTCCTTGTTCTCTGCGGCTTTCCTCTTAACAGTTTGCGCCGCTCGTGCATCCCTCCCAAGTTATTTCCATCGCACTACTACACACATACCCCATATACCCGACCGCCAACTGAATTGCACACAACACCATGGCGGACACAGTCGAAGAGACCAAGAACTCGGTCGCGGGAGACGGACAGGCCAATGCCAACGCATCACTAGGAGGATCTGGCCAGGCTGAAAGCACGAGTAAGAAAACCGAGAAAAAGGCGCCGAAGAAGTTGGGCAACAAGAAGCCTCAGCAGCAACAGCCCACTCCTGAAGCCACGCCCGCCCCCGATAGTGATGCTGAAGGAGAGGCTGAGCAAGAGGACGCAGGACGAAAAGAATCGACCAACAACGCCGATGCCGAAGACTCGGAGCCTGAACCCCAGCCACAGAAGTCTCAGTCAAGACGTCGCCAGTCTCGTGGCCGTGGACGACGAGGCGGTGATTCCGACTCGGAGTCTGTCGCCCGCTCCGACGTCTCTGCTTCCGGTGGCCGTCGCAACCGCCAGCGCCAGAAGAAGCAGCAGCAGCAGCAGGGCGGCAAAGGCGGCCCCCTCGGCGACATCAGCGAGAACGTCCCTGGCGGCGAACTCGTTGGCGGCGCAACCGACATGGTGCAGAACACGGCCGGCAACGCTGTCAACCAGGTCGGCAACACGGCCGGCCAGGCTCTCGGAGGCTTGACTGGCGGCGGCGGCGGTGGTGAGGAGGAGGGCGACAGCAAGGGCGAGCAGCTCCGGTTGCGATTGGAGCTTAATCTGGACATCGAGATCCAGCTGAAGGCGAAGATTCACGGCGACCTCACGCTTGGGCTGCTGTAAGTTTCCTACTGACTCTTTCACCTGGACGAGAGCTGACTCTGAACAGCAACTAAATGTTTGCGGCGAAGACACGTCTTCGTCTTTCGTATGTTGCACGATTGGACGATGTTCCACGATTGGATGGTGACTGAGCTATTGCTGGTTCGTCGCTGCGGCGTTGGGGACACGGCGCTCACAATGTAATTATCCATGTTTGCATTTGCATAGAAAAGCTATGTAGCCATAATCTCAGCCTGTTATGGATCCTCGATGCCTCTGAAAGTGCTATGCCGTGACGCCCTGTGAAGCTGGGGACCAGGCAAGCTGCGCTGCAGGAAGCTCTGACCGCGGCCCCGCACTTGGATGCGCGCGTCCCCTTTCGGACGATTCCAGCCACCAGCCTCCCGCTTTGTGCCAACTTTCTGCACCCGCGGTACAGCCACGCCGGCACCCCCGGAAGCAGGCGCACATGCGATCTGATGCGTGGGCTCGTCGCCTCCGATGACGTAGGCAATCGCGATCAGGATGGGAGGGGTCCGCAGGGATGCCGTGCGTGCCATCCAACGCCGCACTGGTCTGTGCACGCAACCCCCAGTCGCTCGTTGCGTCAATCTTGTTTTCGGGGTGCGGGCTGGGCCTGGACAGTACCTCGACTTGCTCCTCGTCTCCTCTGAACTCGCTGCGTGTCCTCTGAACCCTCTGCCTATCCTCTGAACTCTCTGTGTGCCGACTCTTCATCCCCAGCCCCAACAGAACGCGACACACTACACACCATGGCCGACGACCAGAACTACGACGACCAGCCGCACGAGCGGACCACGATGCAGCAGCAAAAGGCCGTCAATGCAAAGAAGCAGGCGAAAAGAGAGACCGGCGAGCAGACCGCACGCTCAAGATCCTCCTCGCGCCGTGCCCGACGACAGCGCATCAACAAGGGCATCGAGGATGGCAAGTACATGAAGACGACGTCGTTGGAAGCTCTCGAGGAGGCCGACGCCAACGGCGAGCTCAACCAGATGCAAATGTTCGACCGCATTGGCCCGGACAGCACATCCATGGACGGCCCCGTCACCAAAGCACGAGCGATGCGAGGCGAGATCCCCATGCGCGGCTCCGATCCCAATCAGCCCTACCGGATGCCCGAAGAGAAGCAGAAGAGCTCCCTGGATGATACGGATGGCCTGAAGCTCAAGCTAGATGCCAACCTGGAGATAGAGATCGAGCTCAAGGCGTCTATCCGGGGCGACCTGACGCTGTCGTTATTGTAAGCTGCGACCGTTCCCTAACCCTTTCATCACGCCCATCCACAACTTCACCCTGTTCGACCTGTTCGTCATAACCCAATACGGTCTGACACTCATCTCCTTTATTAACAGAGAGTAGTGCATGATTGTTGTTCTACATACCTCACGCCATATGAAAATGAAAAACGAAAGGGGACGACATTCTCGGCGTCAACCTCAGCTAAGATGCACGGCGCACATTTTCCTTTCTTATCTAGGCGCTGTATCTATGACAATGGGGTCTCATTCAAGCGTTTTGGAGTTTGTGCTAAGACTTTGACGCATCTTGATAATTCAGTCACTCAATCAATGAAAAAGAAGATATTGATAATGCTGCGGTCGAGTGTCCCATGTCTGGTCGAGGCCGAAATGCTCGGCTGTGTGGGTCTCAACAACTCCTGCGTCTCCTTCTCTGTCCATATCCGCATCTCAAACTATTGATTGCTAACACCTGGTCAGCGCTGCAGACGATGCCTTCGCAAACATCGGTAAAGGCCTGGGAAAGGTGAGCAAGGCAGTCGGTAACGTCGGCGCGAAAGTAGGCGGAGTGGCGGGCAAGTTGGGATCTACTGCTGGTGGATTGACGAGTATAGCTGGGCATCAGGTGGGAAAGGTGACGGAGACGGGGTCGAACCTCACGAATACGGTCACGAAAACGGCTCGGAATATCGCAAAAGGATAATGTGCGGTAACAGGAGATGAGCTATTGGTGGCCAGCGGTGGATTTCTGCTTTGTATGCGGTGGTTGCTGGGCGGGTATGTGTGGATTTTTGCGAGCGCTGCGTGGTAGCGAAGGCTCAATGTACGTAGGGAGGAGCGCACTCCTTTTCCCATATCCAATGTTCCTTTCCTTCTCTTCTTCACACATGCTCTACTCAGAATACTCGATTGCGCAAAGTCTATCATCGCTTCAGAACCATCCATTGCTACGTTTTCCGCATCAATCCCAGTCATGTCTCCGTCTCATCGTGCAAGGATCGAGTCTACCCAGGCTTCCCAAACGCGTTTCGGGAGCTTCAAGAGTTCTATGCGTAAGGGGTTGAAGAGCCTCAGAGAGACGTTCAAGGAGGAGAAGAAGGACGGCTTCGCTCCGAAGCCTACCGCACTTGCTCTGCAGACTCCGCCCATGGCTCCCCATCCACAGCCAACCATCAAGTCTACCCAGACTCCTCCAAATCGGTTCTCTACGCCCGCCGCTCCTAGGGAGAAAAATGATCGCGAAAAGCGCAATGTTGAATCGGATCTAGAACCAGCTACCATCAAGTCTCGACTGCGCATTCGGAACACCAACCGCGAGAGAGCCACCATCGTACCGGGTGACGAAGATGACGCTGCGACTGAGCCTATCACCAGGTTCAAGATACAGCATAGGTTTCGAACAGAGTCTCTGCCATCGTCTCCGCCGAGTAAGCCGCCCTCTTCTCAATCTGGGGGGGGGAGATGTGGAGTCTGCCTTAGAGGCTGAGTCCGCCCTCGCTGCGATGTATGAGAAAGAGCAAGGGGATTATTGTTCTGGGGAGAGAACGGCTGCGAAGTCTGAAGCAGGGGCGCAGGCGGAGATCGAGATAGAGGAAACGTTGACTTTGAGAGATTCGAAAGAAGGTGATTTGCCCTAGGCTACACTATACGAATTCTAAGCTAACGGCATGTAGGACATGTATCAGCTCCGCGGGACACGACGTCGGATGCTTCTGCGGTCGTCACCGGATTCGATAAACGCATGCGAACGCTCACAGCGCGCATGGTAGACATGAAAGCAAAGTTGAACAAAGAGGTAGAAGAAAGAGAGGAGCATGACTTCGATTTGGATGAATGGGGAAGTCACGCTCTGAGGCAAATTGCCTTTCTCAAGAATGAAGTCGCAAATGTTTGCGACAGTAAATACGTCCTCAGTGAAGAGGAAGTCGCCAAAATTGAAGAGGAGAAAAGAGCTAGCGAGATGGTTTCTACTGCTTGTATATCTTCTGTTCTTGAAGATGAACGAGATAAGCTCCTGGAGCAAGTCGATACTCTGTTGAAAGATGAGACTAAGAATGAGGCACCGGCAAATGCACCAAAGGCACCCAGAGGTAAGTGCATCCCAATACACTATATCTTGAAATGATACACAAGACTGAATAATACGAGTTATGCTTGAGAGGCAAGCCCAACGTGCTGCCAATGTTCAAAAGCGGCAGAGCCAGTCTTGGGAAAGAAGAAATGGTCCTCCTTCTCACATCAACAGACAGCTCAATACTGCCACTACTTGGTCGAGGAACAGTCCTCCCTACCGGAGACTGTACAGCTCACAAAGCATGCCCCGTGGTGGCTGGTCGAATGCTGCACCAAAATCACCACAGACGTATAACTCACAAAGCATACCTCGAGGTGGTTTTCCCTCCTATCCTCCTCGGTCGCTGCCCAGGCATCACGAGTCGCGGACTATGCCTCGCGGAGGGTTTGCCCGCGATGACTCGCGACGACCTCTGCCGATGACGTTGGATTTCGCGCCTAGGTCTAGAGCAAGTTCGACGACTGGATCCAATACAGGGAGACACTAGCCTCAACAATATCACCCTCAGGCCGCTCATACCCAAACAGACCTGAGGATCTGAGGATGCGCCATAGGAAAATCGTACATGATACTTCCTTACATGTGAGCTGCATGGGAGGGCCTGTATCATACAGCTCATATCCTCCACCGGTTGTACGCTCTTTAAACACGTCTGCCTTGGACTCAAACCACGCTCCATCCCGAATGCGGACACATCCGAAATATCCCTTCTGGTGCACATCAGCCGAAACTCCTTGGCCCCAAAACGCCACACTAAACGCCTTGGAGCCCCCAGAATTTCTCACGCTAATTCTTTCATCCCCACCCTATCCCAGGTTTCCACCCTCCTAACGCCACAAATACATCCACTGCCAACACCTCACTACGCTCATAGCTGGCTGGCGCCCATACTTCACACCACACATAACCATACCGACAACAGCCATGAGACCGAAGAACATCAGGACGGCACACATGAGTAGCATCAGCCGTTGGCAGCAGGTGGCGCGCCGGTAGTGGATGCAAACGTTGAGGTGGGTGGGTGGGTAGACGCGGTGAGACTCCGGGTCCAGGAAGTTTCGGCGGTCGGAGGGGTGATGGTAGGCATGATGCATGTTGGATAGTTGGCGGCCTACAGTAATGTTTGCGTGTTGGTACGGTCTTCTGTATCGTAACGAATTTGTTTCTGTGAAAGGCTTCCAATGTGTGGCGTTTGTTGTTTCCCTGCTTCAGAGACGTATGTGGGATGCCTAGCTTGGTGTGTGTAGGCAGACTTGCTTTTGCTTGAGCACCAACGTCGAAGAAGGATTTGGAAAACGAGAAGATTGAAGTCACAAGAATGTATGTATCAGTCTACACTACGATCTGTCTTACTGAAGCGGGCGTCCTGCTTGTTAAACACGACGTAGCAGGGGCTGTGCTGCACAACAGCTAGTAAGCTGAACCGGCGTACAGGCTTCAACGCTGATCCTCTTGTGTTACGCAATTGGGAGCCTCGTTGACGCGGTGGCCCCCATGGCAATCTTACCCAGCCCTTCGCCTAAAGTAGCTTAGTGGATGCGCGTTAAGCTTTTGCTGGGAACGCACGGCGTGTCTTATATTTCTCTCCCAGTTTTGGTAATGCAGGCGATGAAATTTGCAGGCAAAGATAGCTGACATGGGATTGTTCTCTTGATGCTTCCTCGTTAGGTGCAATTCGATTGTGGATATGCGTCGATCTCACGACGGCTGCGGCGACACGAACGTGGAACCTACAAAATTAGGTTAGTGAAGGTGGGGACTGCACAGCCCTGTCTCACCAAAGGAACGAGACAGCGGCCTTATGGTAATGGGAGACATCTCTCCTGCCAAAATCTCTATCGATGCGGGTGGATTCACTCAAAGTGAGGTATGTTACGGGTGTATGAGGCGAATGCTAAGACGGTGAACGAAAAAGAGTTGAAGAGGGGTACATTGTAGTCCTGTAGCATACTTTCGAGACGGATAGAGCCGTTGTGATAAGTTGCAGATGGAAGTTGCCAAGGTTCGTTCACACCTGTTGTAGTAGGGTTGTTACCTGACGCCGCTCACAGCATCTGCGAAATTTGAGACTACGATGCGAAGCGACATGAGATGCTGTGTCGTTGGAACTGTTTTGACCGTAGTTTGGGTGCGCCCTTGAACATTCGTACCATGGGCATGTCTTGCGCGAGCGTAAGCTTAACGTCTGCCAGCCAGCGCAACGTTCTATTGAGCTACAAGCTAGCCGCTTACAACATAGTGCCTTCTTTCATGTGTAATCCCGTAGCAATTGATCCATGGATATAATCTTCCCACGTGGCTGGGCTTTTGCATCATAGAGCGGTCTTCAATGTGTAGGGAGTCACTCTACTTAGCGTAATATTGTGGTTGTGGTGCCGCAGTGTCAAGTCGGGGCCATTCCTCATGGAAAAACGAGCTCCTCGTAGGCTTCTCGAGTCTTCCAAAAGTTACCTGCGGAAGGCCCGTGCGAATCTTCAATGACCATTCGCTAGGCCTGCGACTCGAGAGAAGCAACAAGTCAACTCAAAGTCTTGAATCAACTTGAGGAGCCCGACCGAGATCCCAACAAGGGTGAGATCCTTGCTCATGCGTTCTATCCAGGTCGATACCCAACGCTCACTATCTACACAGCACTTTTGAGAGAGAAACAAGTGAGATAACTGAAGAGCGTTTTGAGTCGCGAGTTGATCCACGTCCAATAATGAGTGTGCCATTACTTTGGTGTCAGGAAGACCAGGACAGCAACCTCAAGCCATCAGTCGAAGTCGGCCGAAGGGGTGATCCGTCGGTTAGCAATAGTCTTATCTCGGCAGGCTCTAGGACCGGCGTGATGGAGGCGCGTTTGGGAAGCGTGCGTTGCAGCGCTCGATGGTTGTGCATTTGGTAGGCGACATGCTGGTCGACGTATGCGCTCTGGTGATACGGACAGTTTTCGACGCTAGCTACATTGGCGATAACTGGAGGAATACGTCGTCGATTACAATATCCGCACTCCATTTGTTTACTTCATTGATGGAGATGATGTCGGTGGACGAACGCGCTTCAGTTGCCGGGATAGCAAGGCACCAAGGCTAGTAGAAAAAGTTCACCCCACCTGGTTGCGCTTGGGGTGGCGCCCCGCACGAAAGACACCCCCGCCGCCAACACCAACACCAACGCGCGAAAGGCAAGATGGAGGACGACAGAGCGCAGACAAACCTGGGTCCGGCAGCTGAGGACGGCGTGCCTGAAGAGGTTTATGCTGCACCCAAGCAGCCCAGGCGCCGGTTTGTGGGCAGGAAGGCAGTGGCAGAGGCGGGCAACAAGGCAGCGCCGAACGCCAACATTGAGGATTCTTCGGCGATACAAGGTGTGAGACCACCCGGACGCCATACAAGGCTTTTGTCAATCTCTGACACAAACACACAGTCGCCCAGCCTCGTCGTACCGCCCGCGCGCTGAACTCGTTACCCGACTCTATCCTCCACGACCCCGACATCAACGCCGCAATCGCACTTCTCCCGCCCAACTACAACTTCGAGATCCATAAATGCATACACCGCATCCGATCGTCGGGTGCGAAGAATATCGCCCTGCAGTTCCCCGAAGGCCTGCTCCTCTTCGCCACCACAATATCCGACATCCTCACGCGCTTCTGCCCCGACACCACCACGCTGATCATGGGCGATGTCACGTATGGCGCATGCTGTATCGATGACTTCACCGCGCGGGCGCTGGGATGCGATCTGCTCATCCACTATGCGCATAGTTGCTTGATCCCTGTGGCAGTGACCAAGATTGCAACGCTATACATCTTTGTCGCAATAGGCATCGACACGCAGAATCTTGTGAACACCATAACACAGAATTTTCCCACCGGCAAGACGATAGCGCTGGTCGGGACCATCCAGTTTAATGCAACAATCCACGGCATCGTCTCGATTCTGAAGAGAGAAGGCTTCGAAGCCATCGTCCCACAAATCGCGCCTCTCTCCAAAGGCGAAATCCTTGGCTGCACATCCCCTTCCATGGCGATAATGCACGGTCAGCTCGACGCAAAAGGCAGAGAAGAGCCCGTACCAGATCTTCTCCTCTACCTAGGCGACGGCCGCTTCCACCTTGAAAGCGCCATGATCGCAAACCCCTCCCTCCCCGCCTACCGCTACGACCCTTACTCCCGCCGCCTCACACACGAAACATACCAGCACACATCGCTCTACTCCCTCCGCCGCACGGCAATCATCACAGCTAGGAAGGCACGCACATGGGGTATAATTCTCGGCAGCCTCGGTCGGCAGGGAAACCCTCACACCCTCACCCTCATCGAGAACGAGCTCAAGCGGCAAGGTCTCAAATCCATTAATCTCCTCCTCTCCGAGATATTCCCGGGCAAGCTCGCGATGATGGACGACGTAGAAGCTTGGGTGCAGATCGCGTGTCCGAGATTGAGCATCGATTGGGGATACGCATTTCCGAGGCCGCTGCTGAGCCCGTATGAGGCGCTTGTTGCGCTGGGTGTGAGATCAGCGCCATGGTTAGAGGAAGAGGTTGGTGAGATGGAAGTGAGAAGAAATTTGTACCCTATGGACTTCTATGCCAGGGAGGGATTAGGGAGGACGACCGAGGGGCATGTTAGGGCGGAGGTAGAGATCAGAGGGTAAGGGTGAGAGTTAGAGAATGTAAGGCCATGCATGGGACGGCGTTGGGTAAAAGCGTCTTCAGGGTTCGGTGGCGTATATGGAAAAAATGGAAGCTGATGGATGATGATCACTATCAATGTAGTCGTTCACCACGACTACAATCTATGTCTTGGACGTAAATTTACTACTACCTACCTACCTACCTACCTACCTACCTACCTACCTACCTACCTACCTACCTACCTACAATCTATGTCTACATCAGTCGTTCGCCTGCATCATTCTGGATGTCCATTGTATCAACCTCTCCCGCCGGCCAATTTTTCAAGCAAATCCGCTCTTGATCAGGCAACGCAGACACAAAACCATTCCATGTCGATTGTCTCTAGACAAAGCGATACCGTTGAGTTCGCCGTTCACTTTGGCGCTCGCGCAAAGAGCGAGGAAAGGTTCTGCTAACGGCGAGAGCCTTTTGATGATGGACGAATGAGGACAGTGGTTGAGGCTGAGACGAGGGGCTGCGTTGATTCTTCACCCGAGCAAGCACGACACTGCAATCTTTCGCGCAAGAATATCACATTCCGCGAACGTCCAATGTGTCTTCTTCAAGAAGAGTTCCAGATGAGACGAGTGTCAATCTTGGTGGCGTCGTACCGATACGGGCGGGGTATGTGAAAGACTTCTGCTCCTGGTTTCGACCAAGTATTGGGGTAAGGCTTTGCACTTCATTCTTTATCTCCGACGAGGAGTTAGAATCGCAGGAGGCTGAACTGACAAGGCTGTCGTAGGTACAGACAGCACTGTAGGGTAGCGAGAAAAAGTCAGAAAAAAACATGGAACAACAAACAGCAAGTCCAGAAACCAATGACCTCGAATTAATTATTGAGAGTTTCAAAATTTCCCACAATTGACTATCGCCATTGCAGTTCATGGCACCGAAGAAGAAGTAGAAACGCACAAGGTTGGAGTAATCAGGCTGTAGCCCTTCCACAGCAACGTTGAGACCGCACGGCTGCTGCGAATGCCAGTTGATTTGACTGGAGCGTGGCGAGTGAAACTCAGAAGAAAATGCTGTAAAGGTCTACCGTTTCTTCTTGGACGGATCAATGAGTCGAAGACAACGTCAGATCTTCAACTGGCAGTTATTCATTTTATTGAGCCAATGTGTCGGCGAGCAATGCCTGTGGTTCAGTGATAAGGAAAGAAAAGAAAAAATAAGAAAAGAAATCTCGGACGCGGTAAATGACACGGCAATCTCAAATTTCGCCTTCGAACCAACCCTCGGATCTTTCACTGTTCATGTCGCAACGCAGGGAGATGGTGCAAACCTGAGCGGTTCAACTGAGATAAGCGTTGGCATGTGTCGCGTTCACCGCAATATATAGCTCTAACGAGGAGGTCATGATTGAACGAGGCTGGGGTACCTTTGGCGTAAGGCTGAAATACCTGATCTGCACTATCTACGATACGTTTGGTACAGTCCTCAATTTCAACAAGACCTTGCATTGAGTCAACAGAGCGCACAAATCAGCGTCTAATGGATTTGGCAGGCGGTTGCACATTAAGCGAATGCCTACGACGCAAGGAGGACGCTGTCTAGGATTTTCGGAGAGCTGCATCTCTTCGGTTCCCCGTGTCTGCTCCAAGATCAATGTAGCAAGACGAGAACTAAATAGAAGAAATGTAGCCATCACGAATGGACAATGGTAATCTCCCATTCCTTATTCGCTGTTTGTGCGACGCACCGTCATTATTACAAAGTGGGGTAGATCGACCTTCTAGAAAAGGTCAGCGCACTGCTTCAATGAAAAACGTGGAATATATATTATATTTTTTGGAATCTTACCATCGATTCCAGAGTTACCAAGCGCGTCCATAGTGCGCATTCCTCCGCTTGGTGTAGTTGGTTTATCACGTTCGGCTGTAATATCTGTTGTAACCGAAAGGTCCCTAGTTCGATTCTGGGAGCGGAGAACATTGTGTGGTTCTTTTTTGTCTCTTTTTCCCCGAACCTGCCTGTATATGCGCGCACTATAAGTATCTTTTATCTTTCCGGTACTGTCGCAGTCGGATGGGTGGATTAAATGTCTTTTTGGAAAGAACGTGCGACCACTTTTTAGTCAGGCTTTCGTCTTTGCTTCATATCGCGTAGAGGACTATAGTAATAGACAAATATATAGCGGACACGATGTTTGATGAATTAAATGTTTTTCCTAGATTTTTCTTGTATATCCCGTATTATTACTACCAATAGCCCATGTAGTTACATTTCGCCCCGTTATTCAAATCCCAACGCCTCGCTCGAAACGATCGAATTCCAAACAAGAAGAACCGGTAATTCAAAATGGTATCTCGCGTTTAAACAACCCGTATGTCGCATTCTCCTTCCCAAACAGATCGAGTTGCAATTTAGTTGCCGTAGTAAGTCCGGTAGGCGGCGCTCACGCTCCTGTGGTGTTCCTTGGCCTTTACTAACATCTTCTTTCCAAAACCAGTCTTCTCCACAAGTGGTTTGTATTCGACCTCGTCTGAAGAGTCGCTGTCCCTGGTGCAGACGCTGCCTCGGGGAGTGTTCCAGGCCTCGTGCGAGCGACGACCGCCGCCATAGTAGGTTGCGAAGGCATCGTTCATGCCTTCATGGTGCTGCTTGACCTTCTTCCATGTCTTGCCGAGGATGGAAGAGGTGCTGATTATGGAGTTTTGACGGGATGAGGCAGCGGAGGGCCGTTCGAATGAGGTGGACATTTTGGTGGTTGTTATTTTGGTTGATCGAAGACCGAATGCAGTTGTCCTGCTGGAGGTGGTTCGAAGATCTGATGTGATCAAGTTGAACTGTGAATTGATTGATGAATTGCGATTGAAGATTAGCTTGCTTGAGTGGTAGTTGGCTGTTGTCTGATGAAGAATTGACGGTCGATCTCTGCCCAGCCCTTTATACTTCCTCACTGTGCAGCATATGGCTCCTATGACACCACATTCCCGCATGTTTCCCGTTACCAGCCTCAAGAAAAACCTAGCTTACAAAATCCATCCCCTTATGAGCAACTCTCGAAACAGCCAATCATTTTGTCCGGTCCTGCACCATTGACGCCTTTCAGCCTTGCGTTTATCACGCCATCCCCCTTTCGGCCTCTTGTGCTGGCGCATGATTGGCTACATCGAGTGGAGCTGACAAAAGCTCTTGCTGACGAAACGACCGATGACACCTGCAGGGCGTGTCGTTCACGCCCTGGTTGCGTTGAGCGCCAAACTTTTTAGCAGGATCTGCTACGAGTTTTCCGACACGTCGGACCGCTTGTTTCCCGCGCTGTTTTGCGATGGTTGCCCGCTGGTTATCCGGTGGGTCACCGTCGGAGTGCGCAAAGGTGTTGCCCGCGACTTTCCCGTCGGTGGGTTTCCGTCGCGCAGTCCACTGTGAGTCCAACGTGGGGTTGGCGTCTGGTGTATGTACACCCGTCTCTACGATGTAGTTGCAGAACAATCTTCCTCACCATCGACATGCTCGTCCATGCGATCCATTGCAGATCTCTAGCAAACCAACCTCGAATCGACATTACACCACACCGCTCGAATCTTTGAATCATAGATGGTAACTGGGCAGTGATAGTGGGCTTCAGAAAGAGCTATGCAGGCAGCGTCAAGCTTGACGACGCCAGTGCTATTGTTACTAACAGTGATCGTAAATTCGCGAGTACCTATGCCCAATACATCCTGATGCATCACGTCCTACCGCACAGCGCCCGATAAGTTTAAGCTGTGTGCGCTTGATCTTCGAATTATCTTTACTGGCCCCATGTCACGGGCTCTAATTTCAATCTCATCCCATCAATCGGTTTACTCGTTATGGTCCCGCCAGGGCGGACCTTTTCATCAGGGTTTGCCATCTGCATCTGGAAATCACCCACAAAAGCAGCCACCAATGCTCTCAACTCCGCCCTCGCAAAACGTTCCCCAATGCAGCTCCGCGGTCCATGCAGAAAGGTCAGAAATGAATAGTTGCTATCAGCGCCGCCATTCATGGTGGTGCGTCCCGACTCATCAATCCAACGTTCCGGAACGAACTTCTCAGAGTCCGCACCCCAAAGCGCTGGGTCACGGTTTGTAGCCCATGGGACGATATGAAGGAGTGTGCCTTTGGGAATGAAATGGCCACAGACAGTGGTGTCGCGAGTGGCCATTCGTGCCGAAACGGGAATGGTGGGAAACATGCGGAGAACTTCATTGCAAACGGCGTTGAGGTACGGTAGAGATTCGAGGAGGGTGGCGATGGCGAAGTTAGGACCTGATAATGCCTTTGGATCGGGTATGTTCTCGTGGATTTCTCTCCGCAAGCGTGTCTGTACGTTGGGGTGCATTGAGAGTAGGTAAGTTGCCCATGTTAGAGCTGAAGATGTTGTCTCATGTCTGTGCTGTATCAGTCCAGTATAATGAAAATTCGAAGTAAGTGATACATACCCTGCGGCGAGAAATGTTAAGAGCTGATCCACAATCCCGTCGTCCGAGAAGTTATTTGATCGGAGCATGATGCTCAGAATATCCTTGTGATCTTCACTTTCCATCTTCATCCGGCTCTTCTTTTCCGCCACAAATTCACCGCAAATTCTCTTCAGGTTTCCCGTAGTGACTTTGACCCGTTCGTTGAGTTTCCAAGGCAGCGCCGTCATGACCCATGGCGGGAACAGCAGATGCAACACGAAGTACACGGCCTTTTCAGTGCTCGGTTCCAATATCTCTGCAATAGCTCATTAACAAAAGGGCGCAATGATAGGTAGAAGAGACTATTTGGGGCTTGATACCTTCGTAGTTTTGGACCAGCGCGTCATCGCTATTCCTCAATGACCCTATATCACGACCGAGACCAGCAAGTCCAATGATGTCCAAGGTAACTTGCGTTGAAAAGTGCCCGATGTCGAGGACCTTATCGGGCTTATCCAATAGCTCACGTTTGACCACCTCGCAAAGCTCAATCGACTTTGACCAAAATACAGGATACAGCTCCTTGATATGGCGAAAGCTGAAAGCCGGCATGATGTGCTTGCGCTGATGCCTGTGCTCGTCACCCTCGGTCATCAACAACCCATCGCCTAAGAATTTCCTCAGGAAGTTTCTCGCGAACGGCGGTTTCTCGAAGTCGTAGCTTTGGTGTACAAGCACGTCTGCAATAGCAGCCGGACTTGCCACAAGCAAACGGTCAGTGTGGAAGAACCCACGAAAGTGGATCAAACCGTCATTCTCGGTCTGTTTCAATAGCCTGAGGAATGCTTCACCAGGTGGGCGCTTGAAGAGTATCAGTCCGTGGCCAACCAACGGGTAGGATCCTTTCGGGGGGTGTGGTAAGTGACGAAGCGGACTACGGAAGAAAGGGTATATGACAAGTTTGTAGAAGCACCAGGCAGTGCCTTGGACCGTAACGAAGAGAAGGAAAAACGATGCCAACGCATTTTTAGGGAACACGTGAGGAAAGAAATAGAAGGAAACAGCGGCTTCCGCTAACAACAAGAGGAGGATGTTACTTGGGGCGAAGGTCATCTCGAAGAGCTGCCAGAGGAGACGTCTGCCAGCGGGAGCGGGATCCTGAGCGACTCTTTCAACGATTCCCAGGAATTCTGCCTGGTATGGAGCTTACGCAATCTTGAAGTGGTTGAAGCTGGAGTGGTAGCCCTCTATAGGACATTGGTGCAGGGGACGTCGTAAAATACGCGGAGCCACCGATGAAACGTAGATCGCCATCCAACAACACGAGGATCCCAAGTTTATAGTGAGGTCCTCATACGGTCAATGTTGCGAGGAAGTGCATATATCCTTGTTTACGGTCTTATTTGCGTTTGTATAATTGGCTCGTGTGGGAGGAGTGCGGAGGGCGAGGGGAGCGGGGGCGCGGTGAGCGGTGGGGTTGTTCTTGACGCCAGGCTGCTTTTAGCGCTAACCGAGGCTTCTTGCAACGAGCCTGTGAAGACGGCCAGCATCTATCAATCAACAACACAGCGATGTGGTCATCTCCAGCTTTACGCTTGTGCAGGACTCAAGCGCAATCTGCTGGCGATTAGATCGCACCTTACGTGGGGAATCGACTGATGGCGCGTAGCAAGCAGCACACCGAGTTACCCTCGCATGGCCATTTGATGCATTCGATGTTAGCTACGATCGCCACAACATGCTCTCTCGACCCGTCTCCGGAAGGAAGCTTGGAAGTCTTTGACGAGCTGTGGCCGATAGATGGACGAGCAGCTCTCAGCCATAATTGTGGACGTTTGAACAAGCACCTGCCTGGTGATGCAAAGTTCCGGCTCTTGTCAAGTGGCCGAATCAGGCGTAGCATTCGTTACTACGGCATTGGGTGGAAGCTTCCGCATTTCTCGCTGCCACGCATCACTCTCTGAGCGTCGTAGGCCAGGGATCATGATCGAAATCACTTTTGCCTAATGAAGTTGTGGCCTACCTCCAAGCAAGCTGAATAGTGTATGAGCATATTGCGAACAATAACATTGAGAACAGAACACCCAAGGGACTTCAATGAGTTCGGTCGGTGATTTAAAAATCGTTCTTCACGTATTCAATCAACTGCAAACATCTCTAAATGCAGTTGCACGTGCGCTTTCCTGGGGAAGATTTGCTTCGCTGGGCTTCTTTGTATTATGTACAAAGAAGCTAGTGAGTTCTACGATTTGGGATTTGAACCTGCCACTCACCAAGCTGAAATGCTGTATAAGAGTCCATTCGTCAAACACTGGAAGGCATGTTATCCTTGCACCTGGATGTGGACACACGGTAAGACTCGCTGCTCATATGTGATTGTCGTACCCTTAGGCTGTCCTGTTATTCCCCGTTATCGTGCCTCACAAGTCTCTGGAAGGGTAATTGCGCGTGGAGCTTCTTTCGCGCAAGTACAAATTTTGCGCGCCTGATATCGCTTCAACAGCAATTGGCACATTCACACTTCTGGAGTCTTTACTGGAACCTAGCATGAGTTTCCAGAGTGTATGCGGGAATTGGGGAGGTGATCAAATACTAGACCGTATGCGGACCAGGGTTAGTCTTGCGTGCCTCGGCAAGCACGGTACCGGTACGATCGCCTTGGATTCCACACCGTCTCCATTACACAACCATCACCCCCCTACCTGATTCATCCTATCTCAACATTCAACGCCATGAGCGACGATACTTCAGGTTCGAAAGCTGCAATGCAGTACGAACCTGATCCGAATGCGTTCGTCGAGTTCCAACGTGACATCTACCGTGGCCTTCGAAAACCAGCCTTTTCCACCAGGCCATCAAAATGGGAATCGGAAGCAAGAAGAGTACTGCCGGAGCCCAACTTCATGTACATTTACGGCTCCGCTAGCAGCGAGTCAACGTACGCGTCAAACCTCTCGGCATTTGAGCGCTACCGACTGCGTCCATGGATGTTGGTGCAGGCAACCCATCGGGATCTCTCAGTGGAACTTTTCGGACAGCACTACAAGAGCCCAATACTTGCAGCTCCTATAGGCGTCCAGGGAATTGCTCACCAGGATGCCGAAGAAGCAACCGCACGTGCCTGCGCTTCGACTCAAGTACCCATGATCTTGTCCACAGCTGCGACGAGGACTATTGAACAAGTCGCAAAAGCCAACGGCGATGGCGACAGATGGTTCCAGCTCTACTGGCCGGTACCACAAGCCGAAGAGTTTACAGCCAGTCTGCTCAAGCGCGCTAAATCAAATGGCTTCAAAGTCCTGGTCGTGACACTCGACACATTCATGCTCGGTTGGCGACCCCGCGATCTCGACGAGTCTTATTTACCTTTTGCGTACGGACAAGGCTGTCAGAACGGCTTCTCTGATCCTGCGTTCAACCAATTGTATGAGAGATTGCAAGCAGAGGACACCAGGAGTGCCACCGAGAAGATAAGCGAAATTTGGAGTATCCTCAAACGACCAGCAAGCCTGATCGGAGCAGCCAAGGTACTTGCTAATGCTACCGTCATGAAGAAATCTCAGCTCTTTATGAGCTTGACTGCGTCAGGAAGCTATAGCGATTGGAGCCGTCTGTCTTCCCTTAGGGAACACTGGGATGGCCCAATCGTACTCAAGGGCATCCAAACTCTTGAAGATGCCCATAGAGCTATCGAGTATGGTATGGACGGTATCATAGTATCTAACCATGGTGGTCGACAGCTCGATGGCGCCATCGCTTCCCTCGATGCTCTTGCTGAGATCGGCGGTGACGAGAAAATCAAGAGCTCGAACCTGACGATCCTTTTCGACAGCGGAATACGGACGGGATGTGATGTCCTAAAAGCGATTGCACTAGGCGCCAAAGCTGTCTTGATTGGTCGTCCGTACATCTATGGACTCGCTATGGGTGGCGAAGTAGGCGTCAAACATGTCCTCAACTGTCTTCTTGCGGACACAGATAATTCGCTGGCAAACTTGGGGAAGAAGTCCTTGTCCGAAGTCACTCGAGATGACTTGAGAATCCTCCAACAGCCAGCGAAATTGTAAATGTCACCATTATTGATATAGTCCGTTCGCAACACGCCCTCCTGATATACACATCACGACCCTAGTGCACCGGCGGAGGAATCGCTTCAGGTGTAGGCAGAGGCAGATGATGCATATGCAGTGATTGTACTTACGTTAAACGATTGATCTTTTAATTTTTTGAGGGCATCTGGTTTTCGAGGGATTATGTAGACGTGCTGTCGGGGATCAGAGCTAGAGCCAACTAGTGAAAATGTATTATGAGGGAAGAAGACCTTCATGAACCAGCCCTTAACAGGTTGGTGAGCTATTTCCGAGCCACTTTCTTTGATGGTGCACTACTTTTTTGTATCAATCTTAATTTGGTGCCATCTGATGATGGACACTATATTTACAACAGCCGTCTTCTAGGCATTTATTAGTCGCAATCTTGATCATGTGTGTAGACAGGCGCACAGTCCACATTTCGAATGTCGTCTTCCGTCGTTATCCAGAATACGATCAGCGTTTCTGCATTATACTATCGCTTTCATGCGATGTACCGTGGTCAGTATATAACTTCGTCTCTGCATTCGTCCTCTGTGGTCTTTATGACGGTCTCCCAGACTTTCATATACACATAATCATGAACCTCTTCCTAAGATGATCAGTCCTCGCTCGCTTCCAGTCCTTAAGCTATATATGATTGTCAAATCCGGTAGTAGCAAGAGTCCGTCAACCGCTCCTTCTCGACCTTTGCACCGTCACTACGTCACCTGTTCGTCTTTCACCCACGGTCAGCTCGAAGTTTGCGACTATATCCCAAAAGGGAGATGATGCCGCATTGGTCATTTCACCCCGACTTATGTATCTGCAGTTGTGTTATTTGGCGTCGTCGCGCACAAACCTCTGTCACGCTCTGTCATCTTGACCGCACGCTGGAGCACCACCTCACCATGAACCCGAAAAACAACCTGGAACACGACCTGTCATTGGAAACGCCCGCGAGCAGTCAGCCACAGCGCCATCACGGCAAGAGCAAATGTAATGCTTTGGGCGCACGTCCGGCCAGCGACACTAGCACTGCTATGTCCACCGCCAAAGCCATCGCAAAGGCTCCGGTCACATTTGCCGCCACGCATCCTAAATTTATGAAGAGGTACGCTCTACCTCTTGCCTTGACTACACTGTCCGGACCTCTCCTTTCCATCCTTCCGCTGGGCCCGCTTGGCCCGATACTGGCGTTCGTAGCTGTGGCGTGGGGGCGCTTCAAGATCAGGCAAGTCTTTATGGGTGGCGGGTACACGCTGCTGCACGCGACGGGGATGGCGGGGGTGCAAGGCCAGGCGCTGAGCCTGTTGGGAATCGTGGGGCTCGAGGCAACAGGTATGTCTTGGTCCTGACGGTAGCGCGACATCACAGCTAATTAGACTGCGTAGGCTCACAGAGATTACGTGACACGGCTGTCGAAGCTATAGTGGAGTCCAATGTAGGAATCCGCGCACAGATCGTTGGACTTGCGATCGCTGTCCTGTCCAGTACGACGAGCAGATTCGGTGCGCTGGGCTCTATGCTGGGGTCCCGTAGCATGAGCTTGCTCTTCAACGAGCTACGCTCGTTCGCGATATTCCATGGGCTCAGATGGGCGGCTACGAACTTACAAGGGCTGTGGCTAACATTGTGCGCTTCCAGCGATGTTGTGAAGGCTTCGTTTCTAAGTCATTTGCTTCAGCAGAAGGATGGCAAGAAGTGTGTCCAGGTCGACGACAACAAGCGAATGCAGTGGGCTTGCGACACACTGGAGAAGGTGGCCACCCAGATACCGCAGTTTCCGGTAGAGGCAGTTGCGCCGGAACTCGCGGCCATCTTAAAAGCGTGGGATCAGGAGAAGGGCCTGGAAATGGCCAGCCGTGAGGCCTTCGATGAGTGGGTTGAAATAGACCGCAACGACAATAACCTATGGGCCTCCATCTCCTACAACAAGTACGAAAACATGGCGTCCTCGACCGCAGATCTCGCCGAATACGCGGACAAGCCCACTTTCGAAGACTTCAGCCATCACCGTTCCCGCCTAGCATACCATGAATGGACCACCCCCGAAGACTTTAGCCATCGTCGCTCTCAAGCGGAAAACGCACAGGATCTGGAGCGGGTCGCCCGACAGACATTTGAAAAGTCAGGGATGAGCGCAGAGCGTATCCATACTGCTCTTGGCGAGATTGGGTTGAAGGACCGGCCTTGGCGGATGGAGGTGGAGGAGATGCATAGCGAGGAGGACGATGATGATGATGATAGCATCGAGGTTATTGACCTTGGAGACCTTTGAGGCTGTGAAAAGCACGGACGAGTTGCGTTAGACTCTCAGGAACGTTCATAGTATGATTATCTGGTAGCACGTGCGCCTCTGACATTACAGGCAGGTATGAATCAGCGGTGGCCAGCATCGACCTGTTGGTGGGAGGTTGTCACGAGAGCACGTATTTTCTTCAAGGTACAAGACGGATGAATGATACCCCATATGGCTTTGTACGACGTATTTGTTGCGATGCAACTGAAGTGTGATCTGTGATAATTAGTTACGAAACATGGTGAAAGTATTTGTGAATGTCCGAACTTCTACATTAACCGTGTTTACGGTTGATTAGCATCCGCCTGTAGCACTTGTCATGATCTTTGCATTATCATGAGGACATGAATGACATTGTGCCCTATCGCCAGACCCTATAGCAGGTATCGGGCCCACTGACCCAGAAAAGATGATCCGTATACCTTTTCCCGCCGTATAAGGAAGTATCGAAAACTCCACGCCCGTGCATTGTCATCTGTCATCTTCCGCGTCACAACCCCTCCATCAATTAGCCAGCCCCTTAGCGAGTCCTTGCCTGCACCTTGGGTGCGGCACCCTTGGCACCCTGCTTCGAGACCTTCTGTACGTTGCCTCGTGCACCGGCGGCGGCGGACTTGGCCTTCTCGGCCTTCTTCTTTGACTCGGCGGCAGCCCTCTTCTCCTTGCCCTCCTTGATGGCGGCAGCGCGGGCGGCGGAACGGGCCTCGGGGCGCTGGGCGCGGCGCTCCTTGATCACGTCGAGGGAGGCACCGACGATAGCACGCTGGTGCTTGACAGTGCGGCGAGTACGCTTCTTGGCGACTTCCTGTTGGCGAAGTGATTAGCTCTGTCCAGTGACTGATCACATGCTTTGGTGATGAAGTGGAATCAATACGTCAAGGTCGGTTGTGCACCTTGCTGCTGTGCGAGGGGGGTGTCCACGACCCGCACGAGCTGACTGATGTCATGCGGCGCATCGATCCCAACCGTGACGTGTAACGCTCTTCAAGACACCGAACATGCTTTTGCGTCGACTAACCTCAGAGATACCCTTCTTGTGTTGCCTTCGGTAGAGGGTCGTCCAAGCGATCCGACGGGGGTTCTTGCGCTGGAGGAACAAGCTCTCGGTCTTGCCATTCTGGAATCGGAAGATCTTGGAGTCACCACGGACATACAGCTTGCCCTAAACATGCCATCAGCACACGTCCCCGTCAGTTGCCCCAATACCCGCTGCATCTCTCTGTTCCAAGCGCTCAGGGTGCCGTTGCGGAATTTCGAGCCTATAGCGAGTATGGTGCGCGGAGGCAGGGTCGGTGGAACGCACCTTGCCCGGGTAAATCTTCTCGCCGGAGAAAGTGTCGTCGTAGGTACGCATGTTGGTGGTGGTGACGCGGTACCTGTTGGCCAGTATGGAGAGTTGTCGTGGGAGGCGTGGTGCTGTAATGCCGAAACTCGATTGTGCGCGCGGTGGGCGCTAGAGCTGAGAGTGGCTTAGCCGAGATGGCTGGGCTTGGCGCCTGACTAAGAGGCTCTCGTGCCTCTGCACCAAGGAAGAGGTCGACCTGTCGCGCTAAAGACCGAACATGAAAGCTAGAACCGAATTTAGAGTACCAGTAATCTTCCGATCTAATCCTGACCTGAACCTCAATGGTATCCTAAAGCATTCTGCACTTCTCCGAGCAACATGGGCCGCGGTGCCTACGATACAATTGGCACAATGACACTGCAAGCTTTGCCACGGACGAGGAGCCAATCACCAGTATTCAAGATCACGACACTTTCGAGTACTCTCCTTCTCGCAATTGGAATGAAGCTCTCTATATGATTCATGCTCTCATTATCAACATACATTACTATTGTGCTCATCCACTCATCTCAACTCGCTCTTCTTTCATTAGTGAATTACTGCTCTCTCAATGCAAATGCACATGCCGCAGTTCGCCAGGCCCAAAAAAGACTGAATTAGAGCGAGGTGCACGATGTCCCTCTAGAGAGGATGCAATGCAGAATAGACAGCAAGATGAGAAAGCAGTACCTACATGACACGAAGAAAAGTCGAACCGGGGAAAGGGGAATGGAAAAATTACACAATTGAAGTAAGTGCCATCAATTAACTTCTTCGAATCCCGGTTGCACTGCTCTCGTGTGTGGTTTGATTGACTGAGTAATGCCACAATGAGGGATGCTGCGCTGGAAAAATCGAAATGGAAGTCGAAGGTTTTGGGTGGTAGTGGTGCGTCGAACAGATGTATTGCCAAAACGTATGGTGTCGGTGCGCTGCACGATGTTGTTGTTGTTGTAGGTAATCCCGATAGCGTGTGTTAAGACCGAGGTGTCTTCTTCCAATGGCCATGAAAGGGGGTTATTGGGTCTTCAATACGGTAGCCAATGTTCATACCCAACGCGCAAATGGGCATCGAACCGTCTCAAGTAGCAACAGGCCACGCAATTTCTGAAGAGATGTCTGACCAGTATACAACCCTAATGCATGGTGCATAGACAAGTATTACCACACAATATCCAAACCGACGTCCGCATTGCAACCTAATCAGTTCACAATCTCACACATGGCGGCCTTTTTCTGCTCGTCTTCGATAAGGATATGCTTCTCCCGGCAGATGTCTTCAATGACTTCGACAGCTCGGCGGAAGCTGGAGGCGGCGCCGCGGATTTGGGTGAAGCGCGCAAGGCACAGGTTTGCACGCTTGTTGTCTTCTAGGACGACGAAAAGCTCAATGACGAATGCCACAGGCTTGAGATTGAGACCTATAACATACCAATGTCAGCTTTGAATGTCTGAAGATGCAAGTGACACATTACGCCAAAAAAAAGGAACAGCTTCCGTTAACTCAAGCGAGAAAGTATTTTGCTCCAAACTCCATGCCGTAAACAGAAGCTTTGTGAACTTACGGTTGTTCTTATCCACGCGAGCGTGGATGATATTGGTATTGCGGTCACACGTGACATCTCGGACACCGTAGCGCTGCCAGTCACGTAGTAGATACACCAGCTCTTGTCGAACCTTCCCACGGCGGATGTGGAAGCACAAGGCCCGATTCGCGGGCTTGATGTGAAGAAAGCGTGAAAGCCAGTTCATCTGGAAATCCGGATGCCCTGGACGTGCTAGAGATTCTCCAGTGTCCTCCGCATCGACGTTTGAAAGAATCGATGACGTGCTGAAATTATCTGCACAATATTGATTAGCGGGCTGTTGTCACAATCCCTGGTGAAACAACAATGTACTTACCCAACTCCAGCGGACGCTTGCTCTTGTCCTCTTTTGCTTTCTTTCCGAAGAAACCGAAGAAACCCTTGAAAGCTCCGCCACCCTCGCTCTTACCGACGGTTGTGCCACAGCCGCGCATAGGGAATTCGCTTGCAGCGCTCCCATCAGAGTGCTTTATATGCTGCTTGCTAAAGTCTGGAGTAGGGGTACTGGCTTTTGGAGGATCATTCTTGATGCGGTCGTCCAAGCCTTGCCATGCCTCAGGTATCTGCAAACGATCAGATACAGGCTTCGACTGAGCCTCGTGCGGACGGTCCTTTTCCTCGGGCGTACGACGGAACCACGAGGACTTCTTCTTCTTCACCGTAGCTTCCTTCTTCTCTGCATTTTCTGGAACGCCGTTCGACGGCGCGACTTGGTTCGTGCCCACTGCAAGCGCACTGGACTCTGCTTGTTGACGCGAAGGAGCGGAAGTGTGGCGGATAGGACCAGGCCATAGAACTCCAAGAGGACCAATCTCGCTCTTAGTAGAGCGGCTGGCCTCGCTCTTCTTCCGTATGGCAAGCGGAGCAACATGAGTGGGGGACTGTTCAACAAGACGAATAGTTGCATCGTCGGCTGGACGTCCGTGACCACTAGCCCCGAAAGGGTCAGTAAAAGCTCTATAGTTCGATGGATAGGGCTCGAACCGGTCTTCTTTTGCTTCTTCGGGGATTACATGAAGCGGAGCAGGGTGTTCTGGAGATTTGGCAGGCGCTGAGCAGGTCCGTTTCGCAACATTGGTAGCAGGCAACATCAGACGGTCCAAATTGTCAAGTACTTCGTTGAAGTGCTCTGTGCTATCACCGCTTTCTTCGAGTCGACGAGCAATCTCGGCACGTGTTTCGGCAAGTTTTCGCTGAAGGAACGTATTAGGCGTCTCGGTAGGGACCGGTGGAAGTGGCCGATGTTGATACATCGTCTTTTGATCTGGTGTTGCTGTACCAGTCGCACCGGAATCTCGGTTTGAGAAAGTAGTCGGCGGAGTCTCGAAGCCAGAAGCATCCTTGCGCGGATCTGAAGTTGTTGATGTACAGATACTGGACCCGATCGAAGACCGATTGAAGGCCTCTTCCATATGTTTCTCCAACTCAGTGCTGACTTTGCGAGCTGCGCTTTGAATGTATTTGCTGGGACTGTCTGCTTGACGTACACGCAACCGCGGAATCGCTGGGCGTGCTACGACTTTTGGTAGCGGTCTCACAGATGGGGAGTCGCCCACAGTACTAGGTCTAGCTGACCGCAGAGACGACCCTATAGAGCCTCTTCGATGACTAGAGGATCCTTGTTGCTCAGGTGTGTACTGCATGGAGGGGGTTTCCGCCGTATGTGCGGTCGCTACGGAGGGTCGCCTCAAGTGGGAAAAACTCACGCCTCGCTTGACAGAGGTGTTCGGCCTGATAAACACAGGTGGGCTGCTGGGGAGGTAAGAACTCGCTAGAGAAGAGCGCGACACGGAGCTGCGACGTATGTGCGCAGATCGCTGTGACGGCGTGCTTCGCTTGGAGGAAGCCCGCGTCATCACTGACCCTCGTTTCGAGTTGGTGAGGGCTTGGACTCGCAATGAGCTACCTGTACGGTGTCCCAAAGCCGTAGTTGGCCTCATTCTCCGGCTGGCAGAGCTCGGTCCTCGGTGTACTGTGATGTTTTGGTGGAGGTCATGGTTGGGAAGGACTGGCTCCCTCGAGGCCCTGAACGGATCGTAGCTGACATCGGATGAAGGTGGCTCGTAGAAACTATGTTTCGAATAAAGATGCTCATCGTTCAAGATCGAATATCCTGACTGTGAGCGCTTGTGATATTTGGACGGTAACTGCAGCATGTCCTTCGCAGTCGGCGAACGTCGCGCCTGATGATGATGGTCGCTATGTGAGTAACCCACGGGATGATGAGGGCTGGGCATATAGTTCTCGATTTGCTCGTTCCGGTACTTCTGAAGGGCAGCGTAGAAGAATTTTTCATGATTCTGATTACTACGCACGATTAGAATGATACCACTGATGTTCAGTAACACAAGCCAACTTACTCCTTGCTGAGAAGGCGTTGAATAATCGCCTCCTCCTTCTCGCTGTGCCAAAGGGTGCGCATATAACGGAGGATCTCGCGATCGATGGTGGATCGAGTCAGAGGGGTCCATTCAACGGGTGCACACGGACGAATCCATAGCCTGATCTGCTCTTCGGTGCGATGGAATCCCAATTCGCGATCATACTTGCGCATAAAGGGGTGGTCCCAGATTTTCGCGATTGATATGCGACGCTTGGGATCCGGTACAAGTATGGCTCGGATCAGGTCTTTCGCTTCCCGGGAGAGACCCTCTGGCATAACATAGTCGGCGCGGGTGATCGCTCGGAAGAGAGGCTTCAGGTTCTCGTGCTCCGCGTCATGACCGTCGTAATTGAAGGGCGGCGTGCCTGTCAGCAAAACATACAGTATCACACCACAGCTCCAGACGTCAGCCTTGCCCCCATCGTATGACTGAGATTTGATCACTTCGGGCGCAGCGTAATGAGGGCTGCCACAGGGAGTTGTCAGCTTCTTGCCGTGCGGTTGCAGCGCAGCCATGCCGAAGTCCACTAGTTTGATCGTCATGGTGTCCCTGTCCAACAAGATGTTCTCTGGCTTCAGATCGCGGTGGAATATGTTGAGTCGGTGGCAGTACCATAGGGCTGCAATGATCTGCCGGAAGATGTGGACTACTTCAACCTCCTCGATACCACCGTGCTCGCCAATGTAGCCAAAGAGTTCACCACCTTCGACGTATTCCATGATCAGGTAACTAACAACCGTAAGCATTTGCAAGCTTAACATTGATGGGGAAACCATACAGCTCGTTCCGGTTCTCCCAGATATCAAACAATTTTACAATATATGGGTGATCCAGAAGCTTCATAATGCAGATCTCGCGCTCCAGCCCGAAGGGTATGACCTTGCCACCGGCAAAGAGGGTCGGATCATACTGCGCGCTCTCGCAGAGGTTGGCCAGGCTAAGAGCTCGTACCTTCTCTGCAGTGCTCTTTGATATGATCTTGGCGGCCCCAAATTTCCCAGTACCACTGTGCCGCACAATGCGCACACGAGAGCAGCCACCCTTGCCGACTGTCTTGCCCAATTGCCACGGGCCGATATGTGTCTTACGACGGCCACCGGTAGACGCGTTTGTGCTCGCGTTGGATATTTCTGAATCGCGCTTTGTGTTGCGGGGCCGGCACTCGTCAATCACGGCAGAGAGTCGCTTGTGCTGGGGTGAAGGCAACGGGAGTGCTTCGTGTTGAACTGCGAGTGTTCCGTTGGGGACAAGCGACTCATTGTGCGGTAGCTGGTTTGGGGAGGAGGTCGGCACGACGTGCGCAATGGGCTTGTCGCCAATGCTTCGAGGCGAGCGCAAGCGGTGGTCCTCGTTGGCACGCAGGGTGGCGTCGCCGAGGGCAGCGCGTCGGCGGGTTGGTGGGCGTCCGTGAAAGCTGTGATCCATGTTACGAAGCGCGGGAGTGCCGCGAATGCAAGATGGAAGCTGGGTTTAAGCGGACAGGCTATGAGATGGTGGCGTGAATGGATAGTCCAAAATGTACAAATAAGATGCAGAGCACCAAGAAGCAAGTATCGAAGTCGTCTTAGCCGTAGTTGTCGTGAGCGTGCTGCCGATTAAGCTGCCTCCATAGCCCGGCTGCTGTATGTATGCGATGACTCGGGCTGAAAGCTGTGCTTGCTTGCCAGTCGGTGGACGAACGCCGGTAAGAGAGGGGCGGCGAGAGTCACCAATTGACCCGACCAAGACCAAAAAGTTAACAAGTTGCTGTCAATGCATACAAAATTGCTGCGGAGGAGAAGGCAATCGGAGGGTGGGCCGGTGGTGTTTTGACGGGTCGAGGGCACGGGCAAACTGGGCGATCGCGGTCGAGCAGCAAACGCCGGCGGTAGGTACGTACGCACTCGAGCTCGAGGCAGGCAAGAGCGACGGCGTCGAGGGTGGCGGCAGGTGCTGCTACCTGGATTCTCCGGGAGAGACGTGCTCGTGATGTCTTTTCTCGTCTAACCGTCTGATTCGATGGTGGCAGGAATGTGCCAAGGGCGAGGGTGAAGCTCTGTTTGTTGTGGCTCGATCGAGAAGGCTGGCACGCGTTGCCAGGTAAACAAGAAATGAGTTTGCATTCAAAGGAACGAGATGACTCCCACCTTGCTTTTAAGGCTGTTATTACGAATCTAGAAGCTGAGGCACGAAGGTAGTCAGCCTACAATGTCAAGCTCGAGCGGTGCGAATCTCCTGACCCGCGCCCAACGTTGGCATTCTCGCTCTTCACTTGAGCGCGCTGCCCACTCTTACGGTATAAGATGAAGTGGTTCATTGCATCTCGCCAGCGATAGAAAATTTGCGATCCAAAGGGAGAGACGGGTGGCGAACGAACGTGACAAATTGGGGAAGCACAAGAATTCGACATTTCGAGAACGCTCCACGGCGTTCTCCAGAAGATTTTGTCTCCTGTGGTAATTAATGTGAGGAGATGCTCGGCCGGTACTTCGTTGGAGTAGCCCGCAGTATCTCGCCAAGTCGACAGCGTACACTAATACGATGTCGTTTGGGTGCTTACACCTCTGCAAAGGGTTCCAGGATATACGTCAGGCTGATAATCTGTTGGAGGCTGATGTTGCGAGCATCACGAGAGGGGCGAGATGGTGGACTGCAAGTCTGCGTGAAGGTTGTTGACGTTGTCGGTGCCGGTCCGATCTAAAACCCAAGGAAGCGGCTCCCAACCCGGATCCGGTCACGAGATCGGCACCGACCCGCCGCCCACGAAATAACCTTAACGCAGCCACCTACAGATCAGGACCGTCCTGCATGAGCAACCACGAACCGGGTAGCCTCTCGGCACGCTCGAGCTTACGATTTCGTCACACTTTGCAACACGAACGTTGAGGACGAGTGGCAAAACGTCGATTCATAGCGCGGTATTTCCTCGTACCCTCTTGGGTTTATCTCTTGTACCGTTCCCTAGCCTAATACCTTACAGTTTGCGCCAGCTATGAGCACCAGATATCGTAACGTAGAAGCAGAGGTAAACAATCCCTTACACCGGAAAACCCCCGGTTCATGGCCTCGGACTGTTGTTCCCTCAAGTCGAGCCAGTCCCCCAAAGTGAACCGAAAACTGAAACATCGCGCGTCGGTGCCCCTGACACGCGGATGCATAACAACAACTCCTCTGACCAAGATACAATATCCCAAAAACGTAGCACAGAGTACACATAATCCTGAGAAGCGCCGACTAAGAGGTATCTGCTGCAAAAGTAGGACCGAATACACGAAACATGCGCCAAGACCGGAACTCCTATCAAGAGCATGGCCATCCTCTGGTCGGTTTCCAATGTCGGCGATCTCTTCAAGGGCGCCTCGAACCCATGATTGTTGAACAGCGCGACGGCGTTGTTGTCCGGTCCAGACCTGGAAAGGGTAATTAATACAAGGAGAAGTGAAATGAGAGGCCAGACGGCCGGCAAGAGAGCTGCTCTATGCGCGACCATGTATTATGGTTTTCGTATCGACGGATTCGGCTTTGACGTCCGGCGATTGGCTTTCCCGCTTGGTGTCGTCTCCAGCGTTTGCAATCTTGCCGCAGCCCTTGACCAGGATGTGTCGCTGGAAAAGATCAGTACTCTAGCTCAAACAGAGGAACGGAGATGCGACGTACCTTGAGCGCATCCTTTCGCGAAAAGCTCTTATCGCAATGCGTGCAGGGGAATGGCTTGACTGCCAAATGTATCCTCTTGTGTCGCTTCAAATCGTGGTTTCGATTGAAGCTTTGTGGGCACTGGTCGCACTTGAATGGTCGATCGTTGGCAGGTGGTTGCTGATGTTGATGTGGTCCGAGGAAATGTGGCATAGCGGCTGCATGTCCACTGTTGAATCCTTGCATCATTCCGGGGTGAACGCCGCCGACCAGAGCTAATTGGCCGTTCGGGTTGTTCACGTTCGTATACACTGGGCTGGGAGCCGGCACGTAGTTGCCGTAGGACCGTTGGTAAGGGTGGGGCGAAGGCGCCGGATTAGATGGTATCGAGGGAATCGCGCCATGCGACACGGCCGGCGACATCCTTGGTATGGGTCCACCTCCGCTGATCGGGCTTTGATGTGTCGGTGATGGGCCTGTCGAATAAGAAAATGTGGCCTGATGTGGTGTCGTGGTGGGGGGATATGAGTAAGTTGGTGTAGGTGGTGGCCTGAAAGGTTCCTGAGCATGTGCGGGTGACTGTTGAGGTCCTGAACTCGACACTGGAGTTTGTGAGTTCATCAAGTGATGAGGCTGATGTTGTGCAGGCATCGGAGGCATATTGGACGGCACGGACGATGGCGTGAATGGCGGCAGCTGCTGGTTCATTTCGTACGGTGGCGGATTCAGCCCTTTACCCAAAAGTGTGAGCATTGGTACTTCAGACTGACGACCGTTCTGCAGGGAAGTAAACTCACCTCCTCGGGCTTGGTTATATTGGTTTTGCGGTGGAGCACCATATCCATAATGGCTCGACGGCTGGGAAGCTGGCGAGTACATGTAGCCCCCGCTTTGGTTATAGGAAGACATTGTTGCTGGCTGGGCACTGCTTGTCGACACTCCTGAAGAAGGACTCAATACTTCACCGGGGATGTTGTTCGGTGGAGTAAGCAGGTTGCCAACGCTAGCGATAGTCGTTGGAGCTTGTGACGACTGTGAAGCGTTGATAGTATTGAAGGAAGAAAACTTGTGCGCGGATGGAGGTGGCAGTTCGAAATTACCCAAATGAGCGGCGTGTCCCCTCCTAGACGAAAAGCTTGGAGGTACACCCATCTGGGTTGGCCCAGGATGCATCGAAGTCGGATGAGCCACTGCAGCAGCCACGTTGGCGGTTGTGTTCCGGGTAGGTCCTAACGACCTACCAGCTTCTGAAGAGGGAGGAGTCGGTATGGATTGCAGCTGTGACGCTGCAAAAGGCGGAGTGGAGAAGTGCGCGTCGGACCAATAGAATCCACGTGAGGATTGAGAAGAATCCACGGAGGGCAACCGACGGCTCGTAGCCCCGAGGCGTGACGTGGAAGGTAAGTGCCTTTGTGGAGGAGGACAAAGTGCTAATGAGATGCAGGTAGTGGAGGAGCAACGACGTTGAAAATGGTCTCCTGCTCACACAGACGCAAACCGGTCTAGATATTCTACGGTGTTCCCCACTAGTATATCGGTCTTCCAGATGGCGAATGGTCGTTCCAGGTAGTCGAAAGCTACGATGGGTGGACGGTGCCGGCGATGGTACCTGCGCAGGCTCTGAGAATGGTGATACCAACGGATGCACGCCACTCCGGAAGTCTTCTAGAAGTCTCAGTCTCTACGCAAGATCAGTGGTGCCGCTCGTCGCAGGCCGAATCAGGAGGGCGTACAGAGCAGCAAAAGCAGATAGTCGTGGAACGCTGTCTCCAACACAGTCGGCGCTCGGTAGGGCCCGATTTCCTGGTTGCGCAGACGTAGTGCTACTGCGGCTGTCGTACGGGCTGTGAGAATGATGGTTTTTGGACAAGAGGTTCGACCTGCTGCTACGGCGGTGGTGGGCTTGTCGTCTGTCGGAGGACAATGGCGCTGGGATTGGCTAGTAGCGATGGTCCTGGCGGCTCAGATTCCACGGCACTGGGACTGGGGTCGCCTTCCAAACGGAGCAACGAACGCAGACGACTTGGTGCGGTTGGGGTCCACCACGGAGGCGTCGCGAGATGTGGTGTTGCACGTTGACGATGGTGGAGCCCGTGTGCAGTGGCCCTTTGGGGGTAGACAGACGGTGTATGTGAGGCGCGCGGGCGGCGGCGATCCCTCCTTGTTAAGCTCAGTTCCTGGGCGCCCCAAGGAGCGATGGCGGAGAAGGCTGGACTGTGCTGGGCCAAAGGCTTTGGTCGCAGTGAGCGGGTGGAGTCACGTATATGTAGGCGGGCTAAGGCGTCAGGGTTTGTGGTTCGCGTGGCTTCCTAGCGGGCTGGGGCTTCACCAGGGCATCAAGAGCCTAACCAGGCGATAGGGTTCGTCCGAGCGTTTTGGGGCAATCTGGATCGGGATGGGAGAGGAGGGCGAGAGCAGGCTACAGATGGGCGGTCGACGGCGCTATTCACCGCGCCTGGACGCAACAGGGAAGGGGAAACGAGACACGGGAGAAGCAACGAGGGTGGTGAATAATCAAGCTACCACACCGTTCAGGTGCGAATGAGAGGGCAGACGAGCATGGGGGAGCAACAATGCGGAGCTGGGATCACGGCACCAGCCAGCAGCAGACCCTGTCGCTCGCCCTCTGGTCGGAGTCGCTGGCGTGCGGGACGGCTTGGACCAGGACGGCGCCGGCTGGGCCAGGTCAAAGAGCAGGCGGGCATGGCACCTGGGATGATGGTGCTGGAGGCGCTGAGCTCGGCGGGACTCGCTGATGTCCTGCGTCTAGGTGGTGTTGGGTGGCGATGCGGGCGCTCCTGACCCAGGGTCGCGGCACAGCAACGCGGGCAAGAGAGGAAGCTTTTTGTTTTTCCAAGTACCAAGGACGAGCGACAGGCAGCGCGCAAGGGTCGGGACTGGCGCGTGGTCTGGCCAGCGGGTTCCGTGCACGCCAGCGAGACAAAGGGCTCCGCGCATACAAAGCGCGCGAGGAGCCAACTCGGCGACCTGGGGGCCAGCTCGGGCTGATTGGGCCGGCGCAGCGTGTCGCGAGGGCGCTGGCGTGGAGGCAGCTGCGCAGCGCTTCCCACACGAGCGCGGTGGTGGTGGAATCGACTGTACGGGCTGGGCGCAGGGATGCCGGTGCTTCGGCGACCAATGCGACGGTGCTTCAGGCTGCTCCAGCTGACATGGAGCGCGCTCGTTCAGGTCGGCGGGCTCGCGCTAGCCGAGCACGATGCAGGCCGACACATGACGCTTAGGCGGGAGAGGCTTCAGACGACAATGGAGAGCGCAGTCGATCGACGCACGCCAGGACAAGGACCGGCATGCGTCAGGGACCGCGACGTCCCTTGTGTCGCTCGTCAGGCGCTGGGTATTTTTAGCGCGCCGTCGTGCTCAGTATTGTCTGCGGCACGTGTCGGAGCCAGCGCGGACGGTGCAGCGCGGACTGCAGAAAGCGACGTCCAGGATGACGTCCAGGATGACTTGTCCACGTGGTGGCAGCTGCGGTGGGCTGCCGTGGGCTGCGGTGGACAGCGGCGCCCGGCCCTGGGTGTGTGCGGTGGACGAAGACAGCAGAGAGAGCCAGGACGCGCTCCGGGAGAGACGTGCTGTCGGTACGTCGGAGGACGACGTTTGCATGAGACTTCATTTCCAGCGCGTCGAGAGCACCAGACGTTCGACGCCCGTGTCACGCACCGTCACGCACCGCACGCACCGCAGCTGGTGATACGCGCCCGGCCGCCGCATAAGCGAGCAGGACGACGGCCTCGTCGGTCGTCGCAGAGCCTCTCCGCCGTGCCGAACGCGCTCGCGATGCGGGCCTGCAGCGGCCATCCCTGCGCCCACGAATTGCACCCCCTCTGCCGGAGTCGCGCGCCAGCAGATTGCAGATTGCAGATTGATGACTTCGACCTCGCGTTCGCGTGCAAGCTGCCCGGCTCCGTACGCACGCACCCCGCTCCGCCTGCGCCGTGTCCCCAGCCTGCAGCGACATCTGTCAGGTGCCGTGTACCTCCATCGCTGTCTCTTCCAGACGCATCCCACATCTCATACGTCGGGCTCAAAATCGCGGTACCACTGTCGCCCATCCACCGTCACCGTCACCGCGCCCCGCGCACCGCTGATCGATCTGCATCGCATCCGCCATCCTCGCACGCTCGGCGCCGTCCGCTGGGCTTGCTTTCGGGCTGCCCGTGGGCCCACCCCATTCGTCTGCCACCCCCTGTCGCACCGCGGCTGCACGACTTCGTTCTGACACGGATCGCCTTCTCCCCATCCGCCCCTGGCGCTGTTCGCTGTGGATCCGAACTCCTGATCTCCTCCGCCCGACCAAGCCCGTCCCGTGAGCTTGGGACTCGCAGCAGCCATCCACCGCCAAACTCTACTCGCTGTCCCCGCCGCGGTACGGCGGCCACGTTCAAGCCTCACCTCCCAGCCGCCCGGGTGCCATGCTTGCTTAAATCGCTCCTCCGCCTCCTTGACCCGCCTGCCACCCAACGCTTCTGTTCGTGTCCGTCGTCGCCCGTTTGGTGAGCCCGCCTGGCCTCGACTGCGTTTGGACATGCACCGCAGGGACAGTGCATTTCGAATAACCTTCTGTAAAGGAAATGACGGCCCCTCACCCCACACGTCCTGACATGCAGCTCTGCATCTCGGAACACGTCTCTGTGCGAAGCATGCCGCAATAGGCATCTTCTGCGGCTACTCGTCGAATCAATAGTCCCTCGCAATTTTGAGTTGGCTGGGACTCGCCAAACCCTGCTGCGTGCTCAGCGACAACGCCTTGCAGCGACGCACGTTTAGGCCGCGTACCGCTGCATGGATATCTCGTCGCTTCGCGTCGCCTTCTCTGCCCAGCATCTGGGCCATTATGCTCTAGGCTTTTGCGAAGGCCGTCATCCAGCCTTTTCCTATTGGATCCCGTCCGAGCCTTCGTCACTAATAACACTTTTTCCTGGATATGCTAATCATCGCAAAAGAAAGCCTTGCACACTTCGCATCTTCTTACCCTTTTCCAGCCGACTTGCAATACCACAGCTTGTCGGCCGTACTCAAGGCACTGACTGAATACGCCGTGCAAGCGGCAAGCGCTGGAGCTAGTGTCCTTGGATGACCTGAACCGCATCAATCTCCCTGTGAGACCTGGCCGGTGCGACTCTCCCTCAGACTCGGCATGCAGACTGCGAAAAAGAAGCCGATGCCCTTATTGCGCTGCCGAAACACTGTAAGCCAGACAGGGCTTTCGTTGACATCGAGAGCTAGCAAGTTGCTCATCTCAATTCCCGCGTCTAGGCTAACAATCTACCGCTTCGTTAGCCGGACGCCATCCAAGCCCGCCCCGGAGCTGGTCTGGATCACGCGAATCCGGCAGTGTGGGAGGAACAGGGAAGGCCCCAGATTGTTCAGATGCGCTGGTGAACCGATCTACATACAGACGAGGACGCTATTCATCATCCATTAGGTCCAGCTCCACAGAAATGGTCTGATGATTGCTTCACGACTAACTACCTCATGCGAGACGGTGATTGAACTCACACGAGTTAGGCTGCATTGTTGTGTTGAAGCCGACTGCGCTCGGGAAACAGCAACATTATTTAAGTTCAATAATTAAAAAGGCTGGAACACGACCACAGTGATCAATCCTTGTATACGTCACCAATAAAGATATTGGTCTCGATATCTTCGCCATCGCGAAGGCAGCGCCTCAAACCGTTTGCCTGTCATGTTCGATGTTTGTCACTATCGAGTCTGTTTCCTCGGTCTATTCGCCGCTAGCCCATATCTGAGTGTTGTAAGAATATCTCTCCAAGCACGGTGGACCAATCTCCTCGCATTCCCTTTCGTACCATGCGTCTCGTGTTTCGTTATTGCGAAACACTCACCAATCGCGTGAACACCCGCTTTCAACACTCGCACAGAGAGCGTGTCGTAACGGAGAAGGGAACCGAAGGCTGACTGGTAGTATCTGACCAAACAGTCACGTACAGCGTCACGCCTGGTTCTTCTCCGAGTGCGAATGTCTACGTCTCAGTCGTTCACTCCTTTTCTCAAGGATGAACCACGAAGCCGGCATACATACCATCCAATTCAAAAGCACTATGGTCCAGGACCCACCGCTGACACTGACCTGCGAGCGATCCACACTCCACGCGGATCTGGTGACTTCCACTTCGCCTCTCACGGAGTACACACCGCTTTCGGGATACCATTCTACGCCCATTGCTTTTTGCATCGTCTCAGAGTGACACGAAGCTCGTTGAACAACGATCCACGGTCGTGCTTCGCTCGCAAAGCAGCTCTTCATTTGCCCACCGATTTGTCTGAAGCTAATGATTGATCGCTCTGCAGTACGCTCTCGATCAGGTAATCGGTAGATAGCTTTCAGGGCTTCGGTGTGGTTGGACGCATGCAGCGACTTTGCCTGAACAAATGCCGCCCATCGTATCGACCTCAGTCTGCCTCCGAAGCGCTCAAGCTAATCCATCACATCGCAATCCTGTGCTCTCAGCCCTAGCCGCAGGTAAAGGCGCTATGGTTGATCGGTTCAGGAACGCGCTCGTGGTGCTGTTGGTGCACATACGGCAGCTTGTTCTAATGCTGACTGCACGCGGCTTGCTTACTGCCTTCCCAATCCACCTACACGAGCGTACCGGAATCTCTCAGCACCCTCTCTGTCTTCCACTAACTGGGACCCACCTACCCGTCTGACGCAGCGTACGCGAGGGCGGCTTGGGCATCGCGTGTGACTAGTCCTATCGCCCGGTGCTGGGCGCTTGACCAGGCTGGCCCCAAAGTCGCCTTATTCTTACATCAGAATCCTGCGATGCATGCAATTCCTTTTTGCGATAGTTCCGATTTGGAAGGCGAATAGCCATGAAGTAGGATAAGGCTGGTTGCCCGTTTGTTCTGTCGTGCGGTGGTCTGAAGGCCTTTGGTGTGGGTATGTCAATCCGCTGAGTCGACGCAAATGTTTTGAATCCTGAGCGATAACAACAAGCCAAGTGAAGCAACTGGTGCTCTAAATTTACGGGAAAAACGGCTACCGGGGTACGCTCCACCGCACAGGAGCATACTAAAATGTCCAGAGACTTGAGCGAGCTATGTTGCGCTCATTCAGGGCATACATGAGCACATATTATGCAGCCGTCGTCCCATACAGTTGACACGATTACAACATTACTGATCTACACGCACACCGATGACACACTACGCTGGTTCTATGCCTCTCTGCGCCGGTGAAGTCCGGCTATGCCTGCTAAGGCTGGGCGACCTCGACTCAGCACAAAGAATTTAGTGCAGGATTTCACCGTTGGAGCAGATGACAATGGACCCTTGTATAAACACATACAGCTTGGTCTCTTCACACTAGAAATGAGGACATAGCGACTAAGCTAGCGGAGCTTTCCTCGCAGTGATCAGCCCGGTGTTCTTCCATGTCACAGCATGCCAGTTGCGTCTGCTAAGCCACTGTCATGTCCTATTCCTACGAGTACTATCGTAGAGAAGCTCAGGAACAGGCTTCCGAGCCTACTACGGGATCTCTTCATCATCTCCATGCCGCGCTCACAGTCCAGGGTCAGCCCTCCTTTTCCTTCGCCCTCATTCCGCATACGTTCGAGTCCCGCCATGCACGCCAGAATCTCCCATCGCGTCGTTGCGGACCTGTTGGTGGGAGAACCAAACTTAGAAGGCGTCAGGGTGACCATGTCCACGCGTGGTCGGGAGAAAGAAAGAGAGCCCTCGCAACGGCGCCTAGCCTGGGGTGACGCAATGCACATAAACATGTGTCGTTCTTGCGCACGCAGGGGCTGAGTGCATGTGGCATACCGTTGTGTTGGCGTTGAAAGGCAGCTGGCATAGATTGCGATGGTTTCTTGGATCATAGCCCTAGACAAACACACACATCTATCCCAGCGCTTGTCCTTCAACACTGCGTGAACGGATGTGCCGGCTTCGACTCCGTACAATCACTAGAACTTAGATACGTGTCTTCATGACTTACCTGCTACTCATCGCTTCCTGTGGCACTAGACGGAATCGCACGCGACAGCAAGTCTCATACCCGCACGCGCTTCTCCGCATCGAGCTGTCGTGAACCTGCTTGTCCATAGTTACTCAGCCATCCGTCGTTGGCCCGTAGATGATGATGGCCGACTTGAGCTTGTCTCGCTTTGGTGTAGTGAGTTGGAGGCGATCAAGGGCGTTGGTAGTGTTCTGCACGGTGGGGTTGTTTGTTGACTTGATCGGATAATATCTAGTCACTTCGACCAAGAGTTGTGTGAGTCCGAGAGATCGATATTGGTCTTGAGGATATGGTAGAGCTGAGTGCGCTGCTTCTACTGATGTGTCCTGCAGCTGAGAAGACGAGAGTGTTGCCTCATAGTGATCAGGGTGGGAATGAGACAGGAGTGCAAGTCTTGTCTGAGATCATCTCAGCCATGGGAGATGTGAGACGCGGCATCAACTCCATACGCTAGGTTAATGTATGATTATATGGCCGTCCAGAATAATGGAAATACGACCCTTTAGGAAATGTTTCTTCGTTACTCAAACGGCGGCTTAGTACTCGTTGCCGACTGAATGCGATGCATGTTCGCTCCTACCTCTGAGCTTCTCATGCTCTATTCGCATCTTGCATGCCCTTGATAGGCGCCCTCCTCGCTCTAAAGCATTTCCTTCATACACGTCCAATGCACGAAAGCGATAAGGGCCAAGAAATTGACCTTTACCTGTGACTACCAATTGAGATTACTTTCGAGAACATATTGTCGAGTGATAAAGGGGATATACTCTCTCCGATTAAAAGAATACCAGTAAAACCCTTGCTTGAAGAGTCAACTGGTTTGATCACAACATGGTGTCTGCGCATGTTTAGCGGTGTGATCGCGAGGAAAAGCGAGCATACTTCACGGATAAAGTTGCATAAGTCTCGGGAGATGAGGACATATTGATCTTTTTGAGTCTGCGTATGTTGGGGCTTAAGTGCGTGCACTCAACATCCAGTCGACTTGTTTGAACTGTATCTAACATTTGTTTCTTGCTTTAAACTCTAACAGTCCATACTCCAGCCATCACAATGCATTACTACACCTTCAGATGCAGTTTTAATTGCCTGCCGACAATACGGTTCCGCATAATCTTGCTTACCTACCTCATGTCCTAGTTGCCATGGCCTAGGACGGATTGTTCCCTTCGACGTTCAGCCGCCGCCGCCGTCTCCGATCCTGAACTAACAGCTGCCGGGTTCTGCGCAGCTTTATGTGTGGGGGTCGGTTCTTGACGCGCGGACAGCTCTCGATACGTACCTTTGTGTTGGGAGGGTGAATACTTAATGGCTTCACGGCTGAAGCCGCCGTTGGGATCCTTACCACTGGGCTCTATTCCTTGTCCTCTTTGCTCTTTCGAGCGTTCAAATTGCGTCGTCACGTATGGGTGAAGGGGCCTTGTTCATCTTCGTTTACCATTTCTGGTTGTTCAACGACGAAAGTACCTGACTCATCTTTTTCCACGGTCTGCCATCCTTCGTCGTCGCCCCTCTTCTCATTGCTCTCAACCCCAGTCTTCTTCGTAGCTTCTATGAGGTTTTCGAGCTCGCTTTCCTACACCTGAATCTGCACAACTTTATCAGTAGTAAGTAGTTGTCAGGGCACAACCCGTGATCAAATCATTCCAAACAAGCCGTATGCTCACACCAACACTCACCAAATCTATCCTTCAAACGCATCTCGCACAAACCCCGCGTAACCTCCCACAACCTCATGCCGATCCTGTCCTCTACCACCACATCGATCTCGTGCGCCCTATCCGCCCTATCGGCCCCCTCGCGCGGATCCCTTCGTACAGCCCTACACCGTCGCACAGCTCGTTCCACCTTCCTCTCACCATGGTGCAACATCACTAACCGGGCGCTCCGATTGGTGTCTCAAACGGGCAATGCCTAGCAATAACAATTGTCTAGGGCGTGTCCCGTAGGAGCGGGCGTGTGTCTCACTGACGCTGCGAGAGAGTTGTAACCTGGCGGCTGGGTTGAGATGGCTGAGATGGGCGTACGGGCTGGCGCTGGTGGTGGTCCTGGTGGAAGTGTCACGCTGCTATGGGCGAAAGCGGTGGAACATGCGTGGGTGCTTGGGCGGGTGAGAGGCGTGTGATTCATTTGTGCGATGGCTTGCTGGTTTGTGCGAGATTTATGACATCCCTGCTTCTCAATACAGTGAGGGTGTCGTCGTTGATATTATTGGAAGTGGTCCTTCTAACTACGCGTTATGCAGAGCTCTCGTACATTGCCTGATATCGAGGTCTGTCGGATGTTTTTTTCGTGGAGTCCACTGCACGGTCCTGCACAAAGTCACGATGCAGCCAATGTACGTAAAGTAACGTCGAATAAGGAAGGCCGGAGACATGCATGTACCTAGGCGCTAATAAACTCTCCGGAGCCTCAATCAAAGCTTTCCTGCAGGGCTTCCTCATCCTGGTAGCCTAACTACAAGTATGTCAGCAACCTTCGTATATAAGAACCCAAAATACCCTGAATCAGCTGTGACACAACCGTCCATGACTACCTCTTTGTAGCATATACGCGTCAGCATGAGTGCCGCAGACCTCCTGGACCTTGCTCCCTTCGACGCTTCGAATGCGGGGACCTACAATGCGCTTTGCCACTGTGGTATCGTTCAGTACACGGTGACACTTTCGCCACCGTTAGAGCAGCAGAAAATTGTTGAGTGTAACTGCTCGATTTGTACGAGGAATGGTTATCTGCTTGTGTACCCGCACCGCGAGCACTTCAGGATCACGAACGGGCAGGAGGCGCTTAAGACGTACACTTTTGGGCCAAAGATGAATCTCCATCAGTTTTGTGGTCGTTGTGGGAGCGCTGTATTCTTCGACCCGCAATTGCCGAAGCGCGGGCAGGACATCGATATCATGGGTGTCAATGTTGGTTTTGAACTCCAAAGAGATGTATAGTGTGCTGAAGGGTCACTCACTTAGATTCGAATGTTCAAGGGCATCAAGGTGAAGGACCTTCAGACAATCCCGGTGGATGGGTGGTATGTAATTGGGGACTTTCTTGCTGTGCCTCTAGACGCTGACACTTGTTTGTCGCAGGAACGGTCGGCCGTTTGTAGATTCGGACTATCTGAGATAAAAAGATACAGGTTGACATGCTTTGGATTGGGTTGCGACGGTGATTGGATGATACCCAAGGTCAAAGGCTTCGATAGGAGGGGAAACGCGGTCTATCAACGAGTGTGCGCTGGCGATCCATTAAATGTACTTGTCGTATTTCCGAGGTATTCAATGAACTCCCCTCAAATTTTTAGAACGCTTAGGAAGCGAGACCGAGTGACAATAACCCATGTAAACGAGAGTTCCCAATGCCAAGAATTTCATGCCTCGGTGCATGCGGGCCTCCGTCAAGCTTCAACTTTTCGATCCCCAGCATCCACCGCCGCGGTAAGGCGCGACTACCCATGATGATACGCCCACGCTTTCGCATAAACGCCCTTTACATCATACAGCGAGTTGGTCACCAAAGATGTAGCCCAAAACGATATGCATCCTCGCAGCCTACCACCGCTCCAAGCTCCAGCGCACCAGCTATAAAGCCACGCCGCTCGCGCCTCTTCTACGCGTGGTACGGCCTCGTCCTCTTCGGCGGTGTCTCTGCCGGTCTCACAATCCGCAATTTCGTCAGCCCCTCGCTTCCAGTCCCGGGGAGCCGCGAAGATGAGTTCACGCTCGCCGCACTTAACAAAGACATCGAAGACCTCGATGTGGTGAAATTCATGCGATCACGAATTGAGCCTGTAGACGAATCTTTCCAAGCCAAGGAACAGGATGGATGGGTAGAGCTAGATGTCAAGACACACATCACCGAATCGAAGGACAACGAGGGAAAGCAGACACGCACGATAACGGGGCATGCACTGGCTGGGAGCAAGGGACTGGGCGTACAGAGGGCATTCTGGAATTCAGAGACCAAAGAGTTGGTTGCTGTGGTGTGGATTGGGACGGCGTTGAGCGGGTGGCCCATGATGGCGCACGGTGGAGCGATTGCGACTATCTTTGAGGACTGCATGTCCAGGATGGTCGCAGGGCCTGACGTATCAATTGGTAGGTTGCTCTTGGCTTCGATCAGATTGACGGAGTACTAATAGCTTCTGCGCAGACTCCGTCGCCCAACCGATATCGATGAGCGTCACCTACGCCAAACCCACGTATAGCACGAACTTCTACATCCTGCGCGCCAACTACTCAAGGCCGAATCTTCCTCAGGCTGCGCCACCGCAGGACACAGATCCACAGCCTGCGAAGTCGTGGTTACCGTCGTGGAAGGATCTTACGAAGAAGGAACAGCCAAAAGAGGCAAAGAAGACGGTGGAGATAATTGGGACCCTAGAGAGCACAGAAGGGGAGCTGTGTGTAAGGGTCAAGGGGACATTCCCGGTGTCTGGTTGAAGAATATGGATCGACTACTTGTACAACAATGATACCCAGGCTGTTGAAGCCTTCTGCTCTAGTGTAAGATCTATTGTCCTCGCTGGGGCTGCAGAGATAGCGTTACCCTTGCGAGGAGAACGTTGCCGATTTATACTATACATTGTTACTTCATCATGACGATTGGCTGCATGGCTATATGGTTGAAGATATGTGAAGAGGATATCGTACCATATTTTTCAATTTCTAGATTGGCCAGGAGAAACCCATTGTCGAACTTCCTGAGTCCTCAGCAGGTCGAGATACTTCAGCTACCTGTGTCGCTGCATTTGCGAAGGTCGTTGACAACATTGTGGATGAGGACTTGCTTGAGATCATCCACCGACAGTACAGCGAAGTACTTCAGGTCCCGAGCGCCAGGTACCCAGTCAAAATTGAGCGTTTCGCCAACACCCCTTTTTGGCGTTGTCAGCCGCGGCGCGCATCTTACGCCATATACTCGGTCATCTCAAGGCATGAAGATATGGGTACCTAGATCTGGCATTCTTATGTGATATATCAATCCGAGCTAGGACCTTTTCGAAGGTAGATGGATCCGTGAGATGGAGAAAAATATTTCCTAAGCTAAGTATCATCACAACGGGCAATAGGGTATCCTTGCGAGCATCAAAATGGTATTTTTCCGTTCATATGATGCATGTAATTCAGCTGAGTGGTCCTTCAAGTTCCGGCAGCAACATGCAAAATCGAGGGTCCTGCATGAAACACTGCCCACACTCCGGCTGGAGGGGCATGGCATGCTCTGTTACGGTGACGGCAGCTGTGGCACTGGAGTAGGTCAACTGGACAACAAACAAGGCTGGTGATGCATGGCATGACAAGGGCTGGTGCGGCCGATAGATCAGCGGCCATACCCGGGATGACGGCAGAAGCGACCCCACAGCGACACGCATGACACATTTGCGTGGGCGCATGCATTGAATGCCAGCATAAAGATGCTGACCGCGTTTTCTCGATTTATAAAATAGAAAGAAGGTGTATCAATGCCGAGATAGAAGACGTATCCCACGTTCTAGACCAAGGCTTTCCACAGAAGTAATGAGTGCATAGACGAAGGCCCATCTTGATCGAGGATCCTAAAGTCGCTCACCGCACTTTGTAGGTGCGAAACGGGAGCGTGTAGTTGCGGCAAACGCCATTTCAGGAAGTAATGAATCCAGATGCGATTGCGGATGTCGGCAGCCAAGTGCTCGCAAAACTTGGAGGCGAACATGCCATCCATTACCGGAGGGCTGTATGATGATCGCACGCCAGGATGCGATCCCAAAGACCGGGTTCCAAGGCATCGTCTTGCATCTGCCATGACAGGTTGTCCCAGCGCTAGCTTGGTGTGGCTAGACATCAACTTAGCTCTCGATTGGTTGCATGCAAGTTTGTGCAACCGAAGACATGGCTGCACTGTGAATGTCTTCATGTTCGCATGACGAGCGTAATGGTATTGCATCCAGGAAGAAATTTGAGGCGATTGTTGCAATGATTTTGCCATGGCTCGATTGGTAAATTCAATCCATCGCCTTACTATGTATACATCAAGACGCTACCGTGTCGGTTCCGTGGAGCACTATAGGCCAAGTGCCGAAAGTGTACCTTTCTCCACTACTAGTGTCTTAGGCTCGCGCTTTCCCCAGACATTGCTGTCCGCGCTGGATTAAAAGTGCAAGTCACGCCCGCAATGGCCGCTCCTACTTCCCAACCACGCAACCTCTCCCGGAATTGGGATCCTGTCACTTACTCTCATCTTCCCTCGACATGACGTTGCTTCTCGACTGCAACTAGATCACGGTGGTTTGCGGTCAGCTTCTTGTATACCGGCTCGAGCATTCATTACCCTATCGGGAGAACATTGCTGCGCTCGTTCAAGCAAGACAGGCTTTGTGCCTCTGCCTCACCCCGGGAAAGGTAACACAACGGTATCACTTCGCCCTGCGCCGCGACAGCTCGCTAGCACAACGACTTCCGCACCGCCGTCGGGCTTAGGATGGCATCTTTGTACAACATGGCTTCTCGACCGTCCCTCTATACGTTCCTGCTCGTGGTCCTGGCATTTCTCGGTCCATTCGTTTCCGCCATACAAGAAGGGTATGTAGTTGGAACGATAGGAGGTCAGGAATATCTTGTCAGAGATGACCGAAGGCCCTCGCTGTACACCCAGGATTTTGGTGACTGCATGGGCGGAAGCAGTATCAATGTCACCCGCTTCGATGCTGCATACTACAGAGACAATATGACCATACTTTTCCACCTTGGTGGCGAGACAGATTTGAAGAACGAAACAATCATGAGTATGCCACAGCGTTATCTGACGTGGAGACAAGGGTTAACTCAAACAGTGTACATCGGTGTTTTTGCTTACGGAGAATCGAGGTTCGACCTGACTTTCAATCCATGCAGTGCGAATATCGCAAGGTAAGACAGTAGTGGAATCCTGAGAACAGTCCTAACCTTCTGTAGCGCATGCCCGGTCATGGCTGGAACACCCATCGAGGCGAGCGGCATCATCCCTATCAGCCAGAACGACGTTGCTGGCATCCCCGAGATCGCTCTATCTATCCCAGACTTCGAAGGCCAAGCCATTCTGAGGATTTTTTCCAATGCGACCCAGAGCGAAATTGGCTGCTATTCCGGTGTGGTGACCAATGGAAGTTCGTTTTCTCAACCAGCATGGGTTAGTTCCATCCTCGGAGCATTCACCATGGTTGCTGTCGTTGCCTCCTTTGTTACCGCCATTTACGGGGAGAACGTGCCTGATATGCGTAAGCACTATGCTCACTCATTCTCGGTTTTGATTGTCTTTGCCGTCTGGCAGCACATCTTTTTCAGTGGGGCGCTCTCCATGAACTGGCCTAGTGTGCTCGTCGCTTTCTGGAGCAACTACGCGTGGGCTGGTGGGATAATCTATACCGAGGCTATGCAGAATACAATCAACAACTTCATCGGTAGCAACCAAGGGAATACATCGCACATGGGTGCGGCCGGAACAGGCGTTGCGAACCCAAGCCTCGGCGGTGGTTTTGATATCCAGAAGATCTACCGGAGAAACGAGCTACCCGACTTTCCCGACGCTCTGGGGTCGAACGAGACCCTCGTTGATCGATTTGGACAACTGCTGACAAAGAGAGAGGTCTTCGAGAAATTGATGTCGAAGAGAGACACCGCAACTAACTCAAGCGCATCTTCTTGGTACGGCCACCCTGTAAAGCCAGGACTCCCTCTTCCTGGAAATTTCTCTGGCTTCGCCGGTACGCTGGCTCAGGAGAACATTCCCGCTTCGAACGCGTTCATGACAGGCTTCCTATGGTTCCTTGTCCTGGTTGCAGGGGTAGCTGTCTCCGTTGTGGCCTTCAAACTCCTTGTCGAAGGCATGAGTGTGATGAAGATGATGAAGCGCGACCGCCTGCTCTACTTTCGGAGGCATTGGCTCGGATACACCATGCTTGCCGTCCTCCGCACACTCTTCATTGGATTCTTTATGCTCATGTTTCTTACTCTTTTCCAGTTCAGCTACCTTAGCTCATCTAGACCGGTCGCTCTCGCCAGCGTGGTCTTCGTAACCATGCTGCTTGCTTTGGGTGGACTCGCTGGGTATGCGTGTTTCCACAGAATCCAGTTCGGTCGTTACACATCCGAACCGGACCGACTGAATATCGAAAAGAAAAGATTGCTCAAAGTGATCCCTTGGTACAGATTGGAACGGAACAGCGACTTCCCACGCTCGGAGGACAAGACGTATGCCGGCTCGATTCGATGGTGGACAATCAGTTCCGCATCCGAAGAGCAGTCGGTGCACGATGATGACGGTTACACCAAGAGATTTGGATGGCTTACTGCCCGCTTTCGTAGAACGAGGTGGTGGTTCTTCGCAGTCTGGCTCGTGTACGAATTTGCGAGAGCTTGCTTCCTGGCCGCGGCGTCTGGGTCGCCAATGGTGCAGGTTTTCGGTCTCCTGGCGGTCGAGTTCATCGCATTCATCGGGCTCGTCATCCTCCGCCCATTCGAAGGCCAGCGACTGAACGTCATTGCTGTGTACTTTCTTGGATTCAGCAAAGTTGTGACAGTCGCCCTCTCCGCTGCATTCGACATCCGGTTTGGCCTCCCACGAATCACCGCAACAGCCATTGGTATCGTTATCGTCGTCATCCAAGGTCTCCTTACCATCGCCGTCCTGATATGTATCATGCTAGGCGTCATCTCAAGCTACATGTCGGTCATGCGCAATCGTGACATATTTCATCCGAAGCGGTGGGTATCGATCCGTGGAAAGTACTTGGACCATCTGGAATTCAAGGTGAAGGATATCCCGCGACCACCAAAGCCCAAGCCGGAACCTGTAGCTGAACCAGTCGCGATGGAGCCGGGGCTACCGAAAGAACCGTACTTCACTGTAAGCAGCATTCGACGAATGGCCAAGGTCGAAGACGAGGATGAAGAGTTCATGAACGAAATCAGCGGCGAATCTTCCCATTTGGCTCTGGATTTACCAAAACGCGACTCGTTGAATGGGACCGCAGTAGGCCGTCAACGTTCTCCGAGCATCCGCTCGAACATGTCATACTCGAGTCTGCCGTACGGTGCACGTGTGCATCGTGCGAGCTGGAGCACCCAAGACTTTGCCGAGGACTTTGCACCAACGCGCCAAAGAACGTTGAGTAACCCATTGTATACCCCAGAAGGAGGCAGCCGATTCACGAGCAGTGGTGTGCCCCCACTTGTCACCCGAATTTCAAGCGGCGAACGCGCAGCACGGCAATCGAGCCCGCTCAGCGCAGGTGTTTCTCGATCTATCGCGCCGGTGAGATATCCAACGTACGAAAACACTAGTGTGAGCCCGATTCCTCGACCTAAGAGTACGCCGAGAGGCGGGATTTCTGGTGGATCAAGACGGCAGCTACAAACAGTGGTCAGCGAGTCGCACATTCCAACTGCCCCGACCAGCGCCCACGCTATGGACGTAACGACGAGACACAATGAAGATGGGACATGATGATGGGGGCGAGGATTAAGATTACGAGCGCGTCTCCGTACGACAGCTTCTAACAAGCTCAACGAAAACACAGCACGCACGAAGAACACTGACCCTTTTGGCCCCCTTTTTTTTTTCTTTTTTCCTTTTTTGCATAATTGCGCGTCTACGCCGTTACGACTTTTGACGATAGCTTACGACATGACGAGCATTGGTGGATTATTTGCACATGCTTCTTATCTTCTGCGTAGCGGCACCATCAACGGGTCTGCATTAACATGCTCGCGATCGTCCGCTTGGCGCATTTGGTTAGATTATCTTTGTATGGCCAGCATGATAACGGGTATATGGTATTACAGGATGTGGCGTAGCTTTATGAAGTGTACATAGAGCATGGACGCAATGGGATGTGTTGGATCGCAGTTGCAAGCACGAACAAGGACGACAGAGGCGCTATCAGCTGACGCGGTGATGGTTGCAGGTGGTACTAATTCGCGGGTAGTTCAGCAGGTGCTCAACAAGCGCTCCAGGGCTGTCAGACAATGCGCCCAGCCACACTTTGGCAGCTCAAGCTCCAAGACGTGGCTGATGTCTCGTCTAAGCTCGCCACGCGGCACACGTGCCACTGGTTTATAGCAAGCCGCCCGTTCATGTTTGCGAAACGGTCTGGAACGGCAGCACGGATGCAGAGCAGGCATTCTCGAGATTGCCAATCTGGCGGCCAAGGCAAGCGCATGGTGACGCCACGGTGGCAGGGGTGCAAAACAAGGCATGGGTGAGTTGCACCGACTCACGGGTTCCGTGATATCGGTTGAGCGGTGACTTCGGGATCGGAGGGCTGGGGGATACGTCATGGTCGTGGGCATGCAGTTTGTGCAGTTTGTGGTTGCCATGACCTCGAGGAGGCTGGCGTGTTGGGATGGTGTGGAGGGGAGTGCATGCGCAGTTGCTGTCTATTCGCACGATGCCATCGGAGCCGGCAGGTGTATCCGTCGCGGATTTCCCAATGTGCCCTGGTCTCTGTCGATGGCGCGCGCAATCGCGATGGCAGCCACAGCGTGTGCCGCATCACGTCCCTGGACGGAAATTTTGGCTGCCTCTCATTCCGTCATGCGGGCAAATAAGCTTGTGGCTCTGTGGCGCGTGAGGGCGCGCTGCAGGGATGCGGCGACTGCGTCATGGCCTAATCGGGCGGGCGGGCGTCCATCGCTTCCGCTTCGGGCGGCGGTCCAGCGCGCTAGCCGGCGTCGAGACAAAGCGGCGTGGGTGGTCGCTTGGGTGCAGGCGCGCAGAGCAGGTTTTGAGAGGCATGTGCGTTTGCGGGTGAGCCTGCATGGTGAAGCCCGGCGTGCTGGGCCGTGCGGTGGTCAGTGTGGTGCGAGGGAGCAGACTGTGATTGGGGTGTGACGTCAGGTGCGTTGCCCAGGTAAGAGGGAAGGAATGCGCGCCGTTTATAAAGAAGGCGGTACACACTCGTGAGCGTCAATACCCTACATACCTCAGAAGTCCTCCACACCATCAACAAACACACGACCGAGCACACCCATCCAGCTCCAGCTACCGAGCCCAACCACACCACGTACGCTGACCACCCCATCCAAGCAACGCCAGCTGCTGACACACCACAGCACAAACACCACACACCACCAACAACCACCCGCACAACCGTCACCATGGGCGCCGTGCTCTCCTGCGTAAGCCATCTCCCTCACCCTTGCCCCCATGCTACCATGCTCACATCTTCGACAGATCCAATCCATCTTCCGCACCATCGGCAATGTCATCATGACCATTGTCCACGCCATCGGCGCCGTCTGCACCGCCATCATCAACGGCATCGTCGCTCTCTTCGACATCATTATCAGCTGTCTGACCTGCGGCAAAGCCGGCTCCCGGCGCCGTGGCATGAAGACGCGCACCACTCACCATACTAGTAGAGTCTAGGTGGTCCCGCCGCAGTGAGATGCACCATTAACCAAAGCTAAGGTCATCGTATGAGGCGGGATTTGGGCGTCTAGGCTGAATTGAGCGCGACGAGAAAGGACAAGCTGGCCAGTCGGGAGCATGAAGACATCAGCCGAGGTAATGCATTGCTACGGACTGTATGATAATGGACTTTGTTTGTGGGGAGCATGAGATGGATGACGGGCGCATTCTTGATGATTGCGTTGTAACAGATACCCCTTTTTGAATCAACTGCTACTTCAAATTCTTCATTATTCTTCTGCTGTCGTGATCACCTCACCGCACGGAATTGATACAAAACATCACAATGCGCCTTCCCAACCAAAGGCCGACATTTCGTAGGGTATGTATCCGTCCGTGAGGCTCGTGTCAAGTGTCTATCCACCTGTCCATTCCGCTAAAGAGATTTACTATAGCTGCTCTTTCAGCATCTCGATCTGCTCCCTCACCGCGCTCTTGCTAGTACCGCCCGTCGCATTCTTCAGCTCCACAGCACGCTCGTAGTCGAGACACTCAACCACATCGTCGCCCAACCGCGAGTCAATACCCTTGAGCTGCTCCAAGCTCAGCTTGTCCATGGGTACGTTCTCGTTCTCAGCCAACGCAACGACCCGCCCGGAAATGTGGTGGCCCTCGCGGAACGGCACGCCCTTCCTGACGAGGTAGTCGGCGAACTCAGTCGCCAGCATCTCGGGCGCTAACGCCGCCATCATCTTCTCCGGCTTGATTGTGAGCGTAGACAACACGCCCGTGGCGATCTGCATCGAGTCACCGACGGTCTTGATGTGGTCGATAAGCGGCTCGACGGATTCCTGAAGGTCCTTGTTGTACGTCGTGGGCAGGCCCTTGATAGTTACGTACAGCCCGGCCATGTGTCCGAATGCGCGACCGGACTTTCCTCGGATTAGCTCGAGTGAATCGGCGTTCTTCTTCTGTGGCATGAGCGAGCTGCCTGTCGAGTATGCGTCTGCTAGTCGCACGAAGCCAAATTCCAAGCTTGAATAGATGATCAAGTCTTCGGCCCACCGTGACATCTTGAGCATAAAGCTAGAGCCCCACTGCAGAGTCTCGAAGACGAAGTCACGGTCGCCCACGGCGTTCAGCGAGTTTGGAAGGAGGCCTTCGAAGCCAAGTTCCTTGGCCATGGCATGGCGATCGATGTTGAAGGGGTTACCAGCGAGGGCACCGCAGCCAAGTGGCGAGCGGTTTACGCGCTTGATGACTTCGCGGAGACGTTCAAGCTCCTGGGAGAAGGCGGTCGCGTGGGAGAGCACCCAGTGGGACCAGCGGACGGGTTGCGCCTTCTGGAGATGCGTGTAGCCCGGCATAAGCACTTCGATTTCTGCCTCTGCCCTCTCCACGCTCGTCTTGATGAGCTGCACAAGGTATCCTTCTAGCGTCCTGAGCTCCTCCCTCAACCACAATCGCATATCCGTCGCGACCTGTTCGTTGCGACTCCGGCCCGTGTGCAGCTTTCCTCCGATGTCCTTGCCGACAATCTCGCTCAGCCTCCGCTCGTTCGCTGTGTGTATGTCCTCATCGTTGTCCTTTACCACGAAGCTGTTCGACGCCCACTCTTCCTTGATCTGTGCGAAGCCCTTCTCAATGGCTGCGAATTCGTCTGAAGTTAGGATGCCGTTGTTGAGGTTTGCGCGGGCGAATGCAATGCTACCGGCGATGTCTTGGGCGTAAAAGAGGCGGTCGTAAGGTAGGGATGCATTGTACTGCTCCATTACGGGATCAAGGCCCTCTACGCATTGTCAGTGTGTGATCACACATGTATGATGGAGCATGAATGATAAGGCACATTAGGCCCTTGAGAATACGTACGTGTGAAACGGCCTCCCCAGAGCATGTTCTCTGCTACCTTTTTCTGCGACGCCATGATTGTGTGTGTATGAAGGAGGTGTAACGGCGATTTGAGGTGTGCGTTGCGATATCAGTTGATGACTGTATGCGTGTCCCCAGAAAATTGTATGCGCCCGCCGTATCGGAGACAGGGATGTGCTGTGGCGTTAGGTAGGTAATTGTGGCGCGTGCTTCCCGAGCGCGGAAAAGACGGGGTTCCACTCCTCTCTTGTAACTTCGCCACCAACAACCATCGCTCTGTGCCATTGTCGTCGAACATCGGTCGTCGTCGAACATCGGTCGTCGTCGAACATCGGTCGTTGCCATACTGACGCTGAATTTGTCGACCTTTCTCTCGATTCGCGCCATGAGATATACGAATTCGTGTTCGCAGATCAAGTCAGGCTGAGAGATACCCTTTGGTTTTTGCACATTACACTATATTTTGACCCCCACACCTGTAGAGATGTGCCAGGTATCCTCCGCGTGAAAGCGGTGCGCCACGTGTTAAAACACCAAATGATGGCAGCTCAAATGGCAAAGGGGCGAATCCAGGAACGTCGGGAAGGATGATGCAGTATCGATGCTTTGTAGAAGTTCCTCCCCGATCTTTTCATGGCTCGATGTGGACGACTTCTGGCTAACTTCCTAGGGCCCTGGGGATCGCAGTATTTCAAGGACAGCGACTCCTATTCCTCCGGTCGAGGCCTCGACGAGGACCTCGGGAAGATCACCTTATCGATGTCAGATGGGGATACTCGGACTCGTCATCGGCAAGGACGACCACGGGTCTGGTTACGCCCGATCGTACATCAATGAGGACGACTCTAGCTACATCGAGGTCCTTCGCAACCTGCGCGACAACAAGATTACTACATACCTCCAAACAATGCCAAGAGTGAGGTACTCGCATACATTCCATTTCAAGTCTCCCATCGATCCAGCGCTACTTGAGGTAAACCAGCAGATACACGAAGAAGCTACACCATTCTGCTACCGTTCCAAGATGTTCGTACTTGACTTCCATGCCGGGGAGCTGTGCGCTTCCTATTGTCTCTTCCGTGCTTAGCTCTGATCAATATGGCCTCCATCGCTCTCACCACCTGGGCAGCTATGCTCTAGTCTACAGCGACCTCACGTCAGAGCAGGAGGATCAACCGTGTGCCCTGGACCGGTATATTCGACAACTTTTGTACCGATATAAACTTGGCCTGGGACTGTTCACTCCATTCACATCTTTTCTCGCTACCAGACTTGTGAAGCTCAAGGACGTTTACCTTACGGTGAATATCTCCCACTGGACTGGCATTGCTCCCAAGCGATCGACGAGCTACTCTCAATACTCAATAACGGGCACAGTCAACATGGCCATCACGTTTTCTATAACGGCGAATCGCGTCGCCTTGTCCACTAGCTCCGTCAAACGCGGTCGTACTAGCGCAACCTTCAGTGGTTTCATTACTTCGCACTATCGCATGTTCCTTATGTAACTGACAGCGTCCTCCTGATACCTCGTGACTATTTGATGCGGACAGGTAGACGCCTTAAACAACTACACCTACACTTGCGAGGGACGACCAACAATTTCCAGCATGAGCTCTAGCGACGGTCCGGTCCACAGGCGCAGGCGGCACATGCAGTTTATGCTATACCCGTATAATGGCCTGCTAGACCAACGCATCGCGCAAGCATGTACCGTGTCAGTATCGACACGTGAGCGACGTGTGCAGGTACGTATCAAAACACTCATAGGGATGCTACACAATTCTAACAAGTCCACCCAAGCAGGCGTAGTTTCTGCAAGGGGGCCAGACGGCCTAATGTTCACCGCCAATTATAATACAAACTCACTGGGGCGGAAAGTTCACATTAATACAAGCGAATCAGAAGCGCAACGAAGAGACGTGAAGCAGAGGATATTTATGAGGAACGAAACAGCTGTGCAGGTTTGAACAGGCTGGACAACGAAGGCGCGCTGGGTCCTGCCACGTTATCGGAAGATATACAAGCGAAGAGCATCATCCAGCAGAACGGAGCGGCAGTCAGTCTCAGCGCTGTATGAGATTCGCAGAACAAGAGTGTGGGTATATACTATGGATAAGCTCGCGCGGTTACTGACATTTAAAGGCCCAGTCAAGAGTGCAGACTACTAAAAGCTGAACCGCGTCTATGAGAGAGCCGGGCGTCGATGTAAGATCCAGTTCTGTCTAGTACCTTCTTTAAGCTAATAGTGTGGCAGAGTAAAGTCCTCGTTCAGCACGCTTCTGCATCCTTTGCTCAACTAGAACTTCCCATAGAAATATGCCTCATAATCTATAAATCGCAACTAATCCAAGTCCGACACCATTTCGTGTACAATCCAGGACCCAAATTACTAATACTGATAGAACCCTCGTTATCTCAAAATTCTCTATAATTGTTTTACTTATTAGGACCTGCATTTTAATATACAAAGAAGTATTTCTAGTGTTCTAGAAGTATTACTTATGTTAGACTACCTCTAAAGGTATGTGCTCAGTATTCTAGAATATAAATAACTATAGAATACTTTTAAGCTAGGTTTCAAGTTCTCAGGCGCATAAGAAGGACACATGTCTGACACGTAGAATGCATACTAACATAACAAGTACTAACTTCTAAATCCTTAGGATACTATTAAGGGTTTGGAGGATACGACAGGGTATACTAGCTTCTTTGAACTAGGTAGTACTATAGAGGACTAACAGCTACAGCCTCGCCTATATTGGAACGTGTAGAATATACTACTAGAACTCCTTAAGCAATAAAGTGCAGAACGGAGTCTCACACTAATAGAATCAATCATCAGATGATACAGATGCTAAAGAGCTTCATTCCCCCGGATTTGGAGAAGTCGAGTTTCGCAGTTCACAACGTTTGAAAGCGAATGCCTTTGTTCTGCTTGCGAGTGTCTGACTTCCAGCATTGTTACCATCGAGCCAACACAATGCTGATTTTGTTCTTCTTCACTATGCAAGAGTGATGTCTTGCTATAAGATCATCTTGTACGCCATACCGGGCTCCTCAGAATTTTTAATCTTGACGCAATACGGGCAAGGTAGCTATATCCGACAGCGTCCCCTGACCTTGACCGGATGCTACTTGAGACGCACCTGCAGGCTCAGGCTCTTCTCACTTCGAGTTCTCCCAACATGTCTGCGCTAACCAACCCCCAGTGGAAGGACGCCCAAATTTTCCGCTCTACTTTCACGTTCAAGGGCGAAGTCGCTGCTGGGGTAGACGGGACTGTCTCCCACTGGAAAAAACGCACCACTGGCCACTCCGTCGCCGTCAAGACCGCCAATTCCGGCCGCTCGACGATTCTGCAAAAGGAAATCGCAGTCCTCAAAAAGGTACCTCCTTACGAACACATAGTGTCCCTCCTAACCCACTTCCAGGAGTGGCAGCCTGTTGGCCCGGCGCTCGTATTCGAGCTTGCAGAATATGGGGACATGATATCGTATCGAAAGGCTCTAAGAATGCAAGAGGGCGGAGATGGAGTACCAGAAATGACGCTGTGGAAGTTCCTTCGCGACATGAGTCTAGGGTTGGACTGGTTGCATAACCGCATTGGTGAGCCACACGTCCACGGTGATTTGAAGCCCGATAATGTTCTCGTCTTCTCGCCGCCTGGGTGGCAAAGTCAGGACGTTCCACTGCTGCCTACGTTCAGGATCTGTGATGTTAGTAGGCTCTTGCCGCTCAGCGAGAACGGAACATTTCGCGGGACCTATGAGTTTGGACCTCCATTCGCAGAGCGGCGCGTCAAACAAACGCCATGTGGTGATGTGTACTCGATTGGAGCGTCGATGCAGTGGTTCGCACTGGGTATCTTACCCGTCATGTCAAACGCCGAGTTCATCAAGATGAAGAAACTAGAGGGTGGAGCTATTCCTTCTCTGCATGACTTGAAGCACAACGAGGCGTGGCGTGCTGAACTTCCTCCAGAGTATCGGCCGCTGGATGCTTCCATTGACTTTCAGAAGCATAATATGAAGCTTGAGAGGCCGGTGCCACCTTGTTCTCACGAGCTCAACAAGTGGTATGACAAGATAATAGACGTAAAACTTGAGAAGCGCATCTCTTCTCGATTGTTGGCAAAAAAGGTTCGTTCCGCTGGCGGATATCCATATCGAGACGGCGATTCGGAAGCGTTGTTATGAGGCGGCACGCCAGCGGTACAATGAGGCTAATGCTCGACATCAAGTAAAGCCTGATTGGCGATACTAGACGTCGTGTTCACGTCGTGGGAATGGTTGTGAGTTCGACTAAGGCTCGCTCGGACGGTGGCGGAGACAGCCTAAATTGCTGGACCGAATGGATAGGAGCATAGATCCTGCAGGTCAGGGCTTGTCCAGGAGATACGCAGCATATTTCTTCCTTGCACTGCACCTCGCAATCTAAGCCCTTCCCAATGTACTATACAGTCGTACGGCCAGACCCATTTCGTCCTTGAACTGTAATTAGTTCTTCAAATGTTTCTACCGTACCCTTTGTAATGCATAACACAACCGAAGTACAGTCAATACACTACCATACCATTCTCTGCTTACTCGTCTTCCCACCTCTGTGCTTTGCCTCTACGCTGACATGATTGATCCTGCGGCCATGTCGGTTGTTTCCACCCATCTCCGACGCCCGAATCCTGCGCCACACCGCGGACCCTCCGTCTCTGAGTCACCCACGTAGCCTATACCATGCAACTAAGAGCCCTCATACCACGCCCAAGCACAATTACGCGTCTTAATCGGACATGTCGGAAAAAGCGGTTGAGCGTGCTGGTAGGGCCCACACGTCGGATGATGGACGGTCGCGTGGCCCCGCTAAACGCCGGGAAGGGCCGAATTCTGCGCACCGCTGCGCGTATGGCGGACACGCTGCGCTGAAACGAGCATGAGGGGAAGTCTGGGGTGTATATATTGCATGTGCTGTAGCTCGCCGATGAGAGAGCATGTCGTGTGTCCCTGCTTATTTGATCCTCATTTACGCTGTATAGCTTAACGCTGCTTGCTCTCTGATACTAAGGCTCTTGAACGCAAGAGCCTTATACCATTCCGCTACAAGGAGTAATCCCCGCAAAGAGATAGTCCAGCCAACATGTCGACGACGTATTTGTCGATATACGATCTTCTGCGCATCGCGTACACGTATGAGTCGCGAGCGCGCTTATTGCAGAGGGTTGCAAGAATGGATGCATTGCCACTATCTCCACTTGTCCAGTACGTCTTATCCTAATCCAGATGCCTACAGGATCCTATACTGACGCCGAACCTAGACACCCGGAATATGCAAGAACGAAGCGCCATCTTGTTATGAAACTTTGGAGACGGATTTTACCCACAAGTTCGCACGCACGAAGAGAGATAGCTGCGTGTCCATGTCATAACGGAGCTGCAGTAGGGGTTAGTTATCATTGCAGAAGCTATGTTGAGTCCCGATGACGCATGTCGCCGAGGGAGAATCCAAATTGAAGTCGCCGCCGGTGCGAATACCAGGCTACGTGTCTTCGGGAGTGTCGGGCTTCCCATGGTTCTGCGGCTGTTGTCATAGGGTTTCTTGCGGCGGCGGAACGCTGAGCGGACCTTGATGTGGATGTGGCCCAGGACACCACGACGAGTGGGAGGGCAGAGCCAGAGAACGACATGGCCTGGGGGTTTGCCAGAGGCGATTGGGATCTTCTGGTCGGTGGTGAGGAAGGACGGATGTCGAGATTAGACGAGCGTACGCGGTATGAGAGTGGTGGTCGACCGAATGAAGGCGAGCAATTCGAGGGTGGGTGGATAACTAGCAGGTAGACTAGTAGCTCATAATTGCGTTTCTCCACCACCGTGTGTTGCTTTCACGACCTGTCGCCCCAAGCTTTTGACCACTTCGCTCCTCCACCATGCATCTACACCCGCCTCCTCGCCACAGCACGACACAATTGTCATACAGCAGATTAGCCAACTCTAGTAGTGCGTATGTATATGGAGCGTGCTCCTTTCCACCGCCTCGATCAAGCTTCTCATCAGCATACGTACCTCAAGGTATCGCCTTGCTCTTGTTGCGCCTCGGCAAACCTATCAGCGGAGGTTACCACGAGGTTATAACGACGGGACGCTGACCGCTAACTCCCACCACCACCGTTCTACCTATCGCGACAGGCTAAAACAACCTGTCAATACAGAGTGCGCCCGTTGCAACTGAACCAGCCAGAGCATGGGCATGATCAAGGAAAATAAGTTAAGAAAGTGGGTGTGTTTCGGCAGGACGACTAGCAACTCCCCCTAGACGAGCGAAAGACCGCTGGGTCCCTGACGTAGACTCCATATACGGCGTTCGCCTGTTGTGCATCCCATCTCACAGAGGACCAGACCCACCGTGCTCTTCGTCACAAAGACTATGTCGTCGAATACGGTGTACAGCGGCATCAGTTAACTTAACCGAAAGAATCCAGTTGGGCTCGTTGACGCTACCTCTTCCGTATTGACACTCCAAGAAGGACCCTGTCGCCCAGGTCCGGTTCGATGATCCCACGCAAATTGCCCGGCTCAGCAACTGTTGTATCGTTCGACACTCAGCACGCCGTTCAGTTTCGCCTCGGCCGGAAGAATGACCTGATTAGCATTGACTTGCCGACCGAATGGAATCATCATCCTCAATGAACAGCCGTGCTTTCTAGGAAACGTACAACGGTCCCGTGTCAAGCAATGTAAACTTAACACCCAAGCATATCTGCCGCAGATGTAATCCCCGCCGCCCTAGATACGACGTGCTGGTGGAAAGATGACACAGGCGCCATACTGCCTAGCTTAATGGGCCCGCCCAACATTACCAAAAAAATACGCTACATTTCTTCGGGAGGTTCCAGCATCATCTTCAGCCTTCGGATCTTCTCGGTTTTGGCCTGTGTAGCTTGACTGCTTCCCGGCTTTTCCTAACATCTTTATGTAAGCTACTCATGGAAATTCAAAGCCCACGCGGGCACTCCGATTCTGGCATTGCTTCCACCCTGGTGCCATCCACTTCTACCTCTTCTCTGCTTAGAGCTTGAGAGTGTATAGGGTGTCTGAAAGCTTTCGCTCCTTGGAAAGTTTCACTGGCCCATATGGAATTTCTCGTCGTTGAGCCGAGGGCGATGAGCGATAGCTCGCGCCGCCAATGGAGTTACACAGCCTGATGGAGCGATCTCGTGTGTGAAGAACGAAAACCGGAAGGGGGGTCACCACAATTTGCATTTCATCAGAAGTCCAACGTCGGTTCAAAATACCATTCCGAGACTATCTGCATTGATAGGAGAGAGGGCCAGTTCAATGCAAGCTTCTAGAAGACCTCGCCAGTGCGCTTCTTCCAAACTCGGCCGCGTACTGTGCTTATATTGGTATTTCGACATTCGGGTCGCTGGAGATGTATGTGTAATGCAATGCCATTAACGTACGAAATGCCGGTTTCCGGAGCAAGCAGTGCCCGGAGAAGACAGCCTTTCTGTAAGAGTTACGTGCTGCCCGTCCTGTTAGCATTGCGCGGAACAATGACCGGCATAAAGCAATCATAGGCGCACTGAGAAGATGACAACACAGGAAGAGCGGACTGGATTCCTTACGGCTATCTCTTTATGTTACGTTGGGTTCTGAATCGTAGATGGTAGACGACAGCAGAGCATTTTCCAGGAACCATACAACTACTGCGAGGAGTGAATGCACGTTTCAATCAAATCAGCATGTCTGAAATCGCTGTTCATTTCCTCATGAGAGATCTCATGGTGCAAATACGGGGATATCACCAAAATCCCAATCCTGAACACCATTACCAATTGCCAGTCGCTAGTGCCAGCTCAGAAGACACTTGTGCATGTCGCCGTGCAATGGGGCCACCATTAGGAATCGCTATGCAAGTCTAAAGACCGAGGAAGTTCGCAAGCCGTGAACATCGTGAATATAGTTTACAAACAGTCGTAAGGGCAACACAGCTGGTAATACAGCACGTTGTTGCACTTCCAGTTGCGGTGAAACTGGGGCTTGGAGGGGATGAGAAATCTGACCTCGTCTTTCGAGTCATCATTCCAGCGACTGTCACTAGAAGAACCAAAGCTCGAGAAGACATGTCCTTCGTCACCCCAGGCGACGGACCATGCGTCGGCGCACGAGATGAGGTTGGGAAGCCAACGGTCATCCTCCTTGACCATCATCGACAGGCCGTTGACGTGGACTATGCCTTTGCGAACTTCTCGGTCCACTCTTTCGCCGTCGCGATTGCTTGGTTCTGGTCCTCCTTCCATTGTTGAGCCACGTCGTTCGCCAGTGGATCGTCCGGATTCGGAGCGCCCAGCAAAGCCTGGATGGACAGGAGTATGGTACGGATCTGAAGAGCTGGCGACCAGTTGCCTGAGCATGTTAGATACAGAGACGCGCACATAGTAGGATGGGCACTCACTCTTGAGCACATCCAAGCAGATCCTGCCCAAGCGGTCGATGTTCGGGTGATAGATCTTGGTCAAGAAGCGAACTTTGGGCGGCGTCATCGGGTAGTCGTCCGGAAGGAACAGCTCCAGTTTGAACACGCCCCCCTGCTCAAGTCAGTGTTGGTCGCACGAAAGGAGGCAACAACGTGCCTTCGTAGGGTGACTGGGCGGGGCCATCGATAGTCACGTCGAAGTAGCGCAGGTTGTCGTCGTGTGGGACTGCCGAGATGCCCGGCACTGGCTCCTTGGACAGCCTCTCCGTTTCCTTTATGATACGCTTTGGAAGGGCGGCCATGGTTGCTGAGAAGCGGGGCCTTGTCGTCGGCGTTGGTGTCGGGGCTGTAGAAAAAGTGAGCCTAGGATGCGAAGGGCAACACGCAGTCGGACCGCCAGCGAGGAAGTTGGAGTCAAGATTGCTTACCAGGTTGCTGCGGTCATGTTGCCCCGCCCTTGCAGTTTGTCAGGTCTGCGTCAGCACGGCGGCTTCTCCGGACGGGGCTGTAACTTACGCTTTCGGCTTGGTGGAAGGCGATCGGGGCAAGCGTGGGACGCATCTATACCCGACGGAGGAAAACGCCGCCGTAGCGCTGCCTTGGCGCTGCCCCTCGGCCCGTTTCCAAACAGCAGTACCTCCCCTAACCCTTGCCGCGTCCACTCCAGGGCTCCAGCTGCATCCTCCTCACGTGCCGAGCTTTGCTTGCAACCGCAACCGCCGTCATGGCTGGGCCGGCGGACCCCTTCCAATCACTGACGTTCGAGAAGGACGTGACATTCGACATCAATGAGGAGTACACCGCCGCCTCCATCTCCCCGAGCGGGCGCGATGTTGTCCTCGCAGGGTAAGTGCCTCCGGCGTCTCTACCCTTGCATCTTGCATGAGACCCGTGCTACTTCAGCATGCATTTCTCCAAAGTCACATACACGGGTCTATCGCAGCTTCGTACATTTTCCCGCACAGTCTGCCCATGTTTCCTCCATCCTATCAGTCCCACTGTGGGGTCTGCTGACCTGAAGATAGAACCGAGGGTCTCCTGATCATCGACCTCGATAACCCATACTCTCCGCCGCGCTTCATTCGCCATCGCATTGGCTTTGAAGTAGCAGACGTGCAATGGTCTCCGTTTGCGACACGGGCAGAGTGGGTTGCATCGACCAACAACAACAAAGCGGTCATCTTCAATCTGAATCACAAATCAAGCTCGGATCATGCGCCGATACAGTTGACTCTGGATGCCCACCAGGGGACCATCACCGACATCAACTTCTCCGCTCACCATCCGGATGTTTTGGCAACATGTGCGCTCGATACCAAGATCTTTGCTTGGGATTTGCGTACCCCCGCTGTCCCTAGCGGGGCGTTCTCGTCTCATCTTCGAGTACCAAGCAACAATTTCGCCGACTGGCAAGGAGGAGCTACACAGGTAAAATGGAATCGCCAGAACGAGCACATCTTAGCCTCATCGCATGATCGTTATGTGCGCATCTGGGACATGCGACGCGGAGCTCAGCCCATTACAACGATTCATGCACACTTCAACAAGGTTTACGGAATCGATTGGCACCGCACTGAGTCCACCAAGATTCTGACTTGCTCCCTTGATAAGACTATCAAGCAGTGGGATGGTGCTGGCATCGTCGAGTCTATTGACCGACCGACTCGCACCATCTTGACGGATTACCCGTTGTTGCGTGCTCGCCACACCCCTTTCCCCAATGGCATTGTCGCTATGCCGCAGCATGGGAGCGCATCCCTTAGTCTTTACAAGCAAGAGACATCCCTTCCATCCACCAAGAGTCCCCAACACGTCTTCACCAATGACGACTGCGAAGGCGGTCGCCTTCATGAGTTTCTTTGGCGGTCACGCGGGACCTGTGACACAGGCTTTGAGGATCGCGACTTCCAACTGGTGACCTGGGCGACTGACCATAAATTACGCCTCTACAGCGTCTCTGCCAATACGCTGAAACAAGCCGTGGGTTTCGAGAAGGGTCGAGCGGTGCCCGATCCACCGGTCTCCACCAGAAAAGGCGCCAGATATATCACCTTCGCTAATGGACCAGTGTTTCCGAAAGATGACGATCAAACCAACAAATCGCAGGAAGGGAACGCCCGCGGCGGTACTCTTTCGACTCTGCTCAGGAACAATGCTCCACCAAAGGCGGGTTTGTCTAGCTTGTTCCATGGACAGACTCGTGCTACTATGACTGCACGCACTGTGAGACGCAATCCGGCTCAACGGGTTGTGTCTAGCGTTACTTGGATGCACAACGTCAACATCGAGAGACGCAAGACCGACGGTGATTCCAAAACCCCTGAAGCCAACGAGGAATTTGATTTGGCCGCTGAGGTCAAAGCTGTGGGCCAAAAATATCCCAACGTATCCTTCGAGGTGTTTGATCCACACCAGCGCAGGATTGTGGTGGCCTTCAAGGCGCCATGGGGTGAAATGGATACTTTGGCTGCGGAGGGCCAAGTACCTATCCGCAAGACCGTCTTCCTTCGTCTAACGGTTGTATTCCCAGATATGTATCCCGGTGGAGCGGACATGCTGAATGAGGACCGGTACCTGTTTCCGCTTGATATCACTATCGAGAAGACAACAGCTGCTATCGCCCCAGCTATGATAGACCATCTTAGAGAAGTCCTGGAACAGATCGCGAATAACTATGCGTATAAGTCACAACCAGCATTGGCCGCTATTTTATCGTACGCACTAGGCGATGCCGATCTTCAAGAGATTATCGAACCAGACTCAGAAGAGCCCGAAAAGGGAACTATGCAGGAGAGCTCCAGTGAGGAAGAGGAGGACGATGATTCTGAAACGGGTGAATTCAACAAAGATCTTATGCTCTCTTCACATTCAAATACTAACATCCCTCTTCCTGCTCAGACTTTAGTTCGATGGTCCTTGACGGGAATGCTCTTGTCGGTCCGATTCCCACGGCCTGCCGTGACAAGAATTGGCCAGACCATGACTTCCTCGGGATTGTTGCTTGGGATGGCGGATCCTATCCGACTCCCGAGACACTTGAAGCAGAATCCCTCCAAAGATGACATATTCGAAACGTTTGGTCGGATTACAGCGACGTATGGTTCAGAGTCTCCCGGCTCTTCACTGGTTTCATGGGAATCGTCTTCATCGCCTTCGACATCTTCAGGCTCCGAAAGCGAGGTTGTCTTTAGAGACTTTTTGCCTCCATTGCCATGGCAGAAGATATCCTCGCGATTAAATACGAAAACTTCCGTACCGTCGTCTGTCGATCCGATCAGCGCCTATCGGACAAAAGCTATCATAACTATTCGGGGTGACTCGGTTGCTGAGTTCGTTCCTAGTAAGAAAATACTTGCGGAGGAATATCTGATATTTGGCGACGGTCCAACGGTTTGCTTGCATAACTCGGAGGTTGCTAGGAAACACGGCTTCAATGATTTGGCGGACATCTGGTTGCTCTGCAGGCTCATTTTGACCAATGAGGTTCCATTGGAAATCCTGCCGCAGTCTCACAGGAGAGATCAGGTCTTGGTGCTTGCTCGACGGGCACTCGTTAGGATAAAAAGAAAAGATAGTGGCTTGGACCTTCAGTTCGATGAGGCGGACAATGTGACTAATCCAAAGCTAAGAGGAAGAGTAAAATGGGGTCACCATCCTATCGTCACCTGGCTAATTCCCGCATTATTTGACCATTTCGAACGCTTGGCGGATACCCAGATGCTAGCCATGCTGTCCTGTGTATTTTCAGAACCAGCTGCTCGCGAAGGAGTTCCTAGTGCTATGGCCAAAATGAGGCAGTCTCATCTTCCCATGTCCATGGAAGCGCCGGCCTTTTCTCTCGACTACTTCGCATCCCCGGGTGCCGCCTGGAGTCTTTTCAAACCCACCGTTCCTATGCCATCTACACCCGCCCATTCCAAATTCGCTACCCCTGTTTATGAGTTTGGTTGGCATCGTCTTTCTAAGAATTTAGATACTTATGGTTCGCACGGTTCATCAAACGGACCTTGGGGTAGTGATATTTTGCCCTCCGAGCCTGTGACACCGTACTCTACCGGCAACACTCCACCTAACATTTCCAGGGCACCCACTCTTCGCTCCGTGACTATGGCTAACACGCCATACTCTACGAGTCCCGAACAAACCCAGACTATTGGCAAGAAAATATCATCCGCTGGATTCTCGAATGCCCTCGCGAACCTGGGCAAGTCGTTCATTTCGGCATCGCCTCCTGTCAAGTCCCGCACAGACGATCTCTCTACTTCCTTACCAGCGAGTGGAGTGACGTGGGGTACGACAACTTTCTACAGCAGCGGTAGTCAAGAACGAGGGCTTGCAGCACCGCGTGTGAAACAAGGAAAGAGAGCAAGCTTTGGCCAAGCAGACCAGGTCAACGTTGACTATATCTCAGACTCAGATTCAGATTATGACACTCTTGGGCCGGACGTTGCTTCCGAGCAAACAGCGCCGATACCTTCTAGCGCCAACGACGATGGTAGCTCCAGAATCAAGGTCACGCTGAAGAACCAGGATCAGTTTGACAACGAGGCCTGCGTCAGCGCGCCACTTCTGGACATGTCGAAGGAGGGGTTGTACCGCGCTTGGAGAGAGCAGTATGCTGAATTGCTCGGGTGCTGGGGTCTCATCAGTAAGCGAGCAGAGGTGCTCAAGTTCAACGGCCTGGTCTCGTACTTCCCGTTCGATGAGGTATCTGAATCCAAGGCTGGGTCGATGCATCTTGCACTCAAAAAGGACGGCGACCGCGGCGGGTCCAGAATGACTTCACGCACGCTGTCGCGAAGCTCTACTCTCGCACCAGGCCTAACTTTGCCACAGCAATTCAGACGCTCACCTCTTCCCTCCCCACGAGGCTTTTCATTCAACCCTGAAGCCCTCGAGTTCAAACCCGGCACCTCCTTCCAGCCAGTGAGTGAAGTACCTGCGCCTCCAGCAGACGTGTTCACGGCATCCGAACAATACCTTCGCCTCAGCATTCCGACTCCGGCAACTGAGGCCCAAGATCCCTTCAACTTACCTCTCGGGGGCAGCAAGCTCTCTCCTTACGCACATAAGGCCTCTCGGCCATCCCTCTCCCGCGGCACATCGAACGTCTCCGGCCGCTCGTCCCTCAACGTACCCACCAATACCGCCAACTCGCCTACCAAGAAAAATCAGAACGAGCCCATATACAGCTGTAGCATCTGCTGGATCCGTGTCTCAGGTCGCTTCTACCTATGTCCCGCATGCGGGCACGTTGCGCACTTCGACTGCTTGGCCAATGACGAAGGCTTCGACGAGGGCGAATGCGTAGTCGGATGTGGCTGTGGCTGCGGCTTCGAGACATCCCGGGAGCGGAGCCGCATCGAGGAATTCCTCGACGGGGTTCGAAGCTGGGAAGAGCGCGGCGGATGGCTTCCGGAGATCGAGTTTGATGAGGATGCCGCTAGTACGAGGGCTTATCGGCCGTATGAGGCGAACTATGAAGAGGAGATACATAGATGGGCAAAGGAGGAGAAAGGGAGGAAGAAGGAGGGCGGGAAGGGGGAGAAAGCCAAGGGCAAGAGGAAGGCGCGGTTGACGGGGAAGAGTTACTTCTAGTGTTGTTGTGCTGATCACGTGTATAACCATGGTAAGGTTCTTGAGGGAGAAGATAATACGTCTTGTGAAATATCTAGTTCACTAATATTTAGCGGGATATAGGATACCCATGTACGATTAGGAGTATTTAGCGACATGTCGTACTAATAAACTGATGTATGTAGGGCAGATTCCAGGGTTAGGTACCGTTATTAGGACCTCTTTTGCTGTACCTTGCATACTTTTTAAGCAGATGCGGCATTGCCCCGACCTGATTTGCAGAAGCTGAGGGCGGCGTGATTACCTCAAGTTGATGAGTTCCGACTAATTGCTACGCAACTAGCTCCGTACCTTGTATACAATACAAGGACATGTTTTTACACCTACCCTGCTAGCGACGCTTGTGAAGTTTGCGCCTTGCGCGAGGGAATATTGTCATGCGCAGCATCCTCCCTAATCACCGTTCCTTGGTGTTTATGTTATCTTCCGTCTCGTTCAGGTCTCACTGCATGAGTCTGTAGCGATTTCCTTCCAAGGGCGGAATTGAGCGTGAAACGAGTTAAGCAAATCTCCGCAACACGTACCATTGGGCGGCTGTCACCGTGCGCTCTTCTGTTCGGAAAAAATCATAGAATACACCGACGGATTTCACGAACTCGAGATCCTGAAGGGAAAAGCCAGTGTGGGGAACGGTCAGCCGACGCAAGACTTACGATGCCAAGATGCGACAGGGCAGCTGACATCGATTAGTCTCTGCACTGACGCTCATGACTTAGGTCTTTATTTTATTGTCTTCAAAGATACTTTGATGGAGGTCTACCTGCTCCTTCCGGTTCCTGCTCACATCTCAGTCGATGCTTTTGCCCCATCCTGTTTCAAGCGAGCCAAAGGCTGGTTGAAGCATTGCATGGAGCAGCGTTCCGAGAGCCGCCTTACATCTTCGGGAGCTCTTCTAACATGTGTTAACGCTGACGGAACCGATGAGCAAAAACCATGTCTATACGAACCGTGTCCGGGAGCAACGCGCGAATATGCTGCTTTGAGCTACTGCTGGGGTTCGGCGCGCTTCTTTACTATCACCTTGTCGACGCTCCTGGACTGTAAGTAAGGATTCCTGTTGATGAGCTCCCGAAGACCTGTCAAGACGCTGCAGTCGTAGCTAGAGCACTCAATGTCCCTGAGGTCCGGATCGACTCCTTGTGCATCAACTCGAATTCTATGGAAGACGGGGAACGAGATTCGGACAGTATGTGCGATGTCCATACCGGTTCCCACATCACATTTGCAACCCTCAGTTTTAATGACAGCGATACTGACTTGTTTATCGGGTGCCCAGGCCGCAGAAAAATTTCGCTCCCAGTCTACCTTTTGACGGCGCGACAACACAGGTATATGTTCGAACACATTACAGGCTGCTCCGTCTTAGCCTTTTTCATGCTGATTTTGACAAAGATCAACCACGATCGGGTAGATCCCTAAAGGGTGTGCTCGAGACTCGTGATGGACTCTTCAAGAGCTCACTATTTCTCCTCGCATGCTCTGGCTCTCCACATGGGAGTTGAACTCCTCCTGACGTGAGGACAGCGCCCGTTAATGCGATCCAAAATCACATAGATCACTTGCCTGCAATGTCTGGGCTCGCAAATGCCGTCCAGAGGCACACCAACGGCACTTATTTCGCAGAACATGAGAGAACAAAATAGTGAAACACTATCTCTGGTCCGCTGACTGGGCTAAAAGAAGCTTTGAGGCGCTGACTGGAAGCTTTGGCTATCATTTATCGACGAAGAAGCAGACCTACACGGTCGAAAATTTTGCCAATTTGCAAACTTAGAAACTACCTAGAGACTACGCTTCTAGTGGGGCATCGGTTTCTTATAAGATCTGCTTGGTAAGTTGCTCTCGCGGCGCAGGTGGAAGAATGCATGCCCTTTTCAAGGTGCTGAACGTCGACATTACGCCAGCGACTTCCAATATCTACGCATCCGGCCAAGGTACGCTGACAGTAAAGGGTCCAGTCAACCCAACCCCTTGAGAAGTGACTGTCTAGTCTACCACAGCTTGACTCCCACCAACCCGTCAGAATATTCACATATATCGGGCTCATTAAGACAAATGGTCTATTCGCTGATCGCAGGTTTCGAAGCGAGAGAGATACCTGATGCAGTTTGTCTTTCTATTTGCTGGCCTACAAGAAATGACGCGGGGCTCAACAGAAGGAGACGCTTTTGCTGGATTCGCTGAAGCGGATGCCGGAAGGGTCGTATCGAGGGTGGGTCTCGTAGAGTTGGAACTGGAAGATGACGGCGGTAATTCCAGATCGGAAAATTGGGAAGCAAGGTTAACCACCGAGGCATTGAAGCTTGGCTGTCTAATCCAGCTTTCGAGTGCGTGTTCTTCAAGGTTTGACTTCGTCAGCAGAAGCGTCCGCCGGCGGGTTTGCTTGTAGCCATATTGGCATGTCAGCAGCCCTACAATTGACATCGCATATCCTACCATGTCCAGCGCACCATCATTCACATCAGTCCTTGACCTAATTTCACAGCCAACGCACAGCGAACCTTCTTCCCAGCTAAATGTGACCTCACTCGTCAACGCCTCAACGCCCTTTAACAATGCACACAAATGTCCAACATGCGCACACCCTCCCCCAAATCGGAAAGTTACCGCCACGAAGTCCAAGCGCGCGTGCAGCACCTGCTCTCGGGCCAACGTCAGCGACATCCAATACTGAGTCAGTACAGCACGCGGAGGCTGATACTAGAAGCCGTCGCTGAAGAAGTTAGGATTTATCGCTTAAAAAAGGAAGAAAAAGTTTTACAAGCCAGGGAAAAGGCTGTTAACATGTCTGGAGGAAACGGGCAGGTAAGGCGTTGTTCGAGGGAGGCAGTAGGTATCGATAGTTGTCTTGAGAAAGGGGAAAGTAGTCATTGGGGACGGAGGGGAGAAATTCAACAGGACCATGATCAAGATCGTGCGTCGAAGATGGGAGAGAGGGAGAAGTCAAAGCGACACGAGGAAGATCCTGAGTTCTTGATGACGAATAGCGCATCTGGAGCGCCTCCGCCTGCCCAAGACCCTGCTCAACCAAAGCATGCTTCACACCAAGCCACGAGAAGGGACGGCTCCACCCCCTTACAGTCTGATTCTCCAGGAGAAGGCAGTTCGCGTGGCCAGCAGAGGCTCGATCGTAACGGCAATCCACTTGTTCGTGGAAAAAGAGGCTGGAGAGATGCGTCTCCTGGCCCATTTCCGGAGTACAGATTTAAGATGGGTCCTATGTTTGGTCTCGGGGACCACATGAGAGAACGGTACCAATGGGGAATGGAAAGCTATGATTTGAAGCAGCGGAGGAAAGAAAGGCGGGGAAGAGGTACGTTAGATGAGAGGAAGAAGACGAGGGATGAGAACGGGAACAGGGAGGACAAGAAGCGGATGACTGAGAGCGAGGGGAAGAAAGCGATGATCGACGAGCCGCGTAGGCATGAACCTAAAGGCGAGAGATCCTCCATGAGAGCGCAGAGTTCAGGTTCTCCTTTGCACGCCGGTGTGCAGGCTGAACGGGAAGATTGTGCGAGAAGGGAGCATTATGATCAGAGAAGGCCTGGTGAACGCGCCAGAGATCAGAATAGAGAGGGTCGACACCAAGGAATTAGTGGACTGAAGGTCCTTTTTAGAGCCGCGGAACACGCGACACGAAAAGCTCAAGCAGAGGTTGATGCTCGTTCAAGGGAAAAGCGCCATGCTCGACACGAAACGGAGGCTAAGTCTTCGCCTTCTGGATACCATAGGTATATAGGGAGCCGCAACTCTCCCAATATCGAAGTTGGAAAGAGCTATACGTGCAGAAGCTCCATTCACTCGAGCAACAACCACTTAGACCCGCAGATCCCTGTTTACGAACGAACGCCGTACAGTCAGCGCGTCGAAGCGCGTGAGAGAGCCGAAGCTAGGAATGCTGGTGGTAAGTAGAGAGCCTTCCGTATCTTGAGCTACTTCTCCAGTTTTGCTTATTCCGAAATTGTAGTAAATAAAGATAACTCGTGCTCTTCCAGGGCATGGGAGACAGTTCAGCTTAAACCCGATGATAACACGGGATCTGGTCATCGCCCTGATGATGAGCAAGTGGCTCAACATCTGGGCACCACAGAGACCATGGTCACGCAATGGTGGTCCGATCGTTCTGGAACTCCGACTGATGACGGTAGACACGATGCGTATGATAGCGAAGATGAACGACATTTCTCTTATCACTTCATTGAGAAACTGAGGAGCAGGACTGGATCCTTATCGTCAGGACCTACTACTCCAAATGCACATGTGCAGACGGTTCCAGGTTCTGGTAAGTCAATCGAAATTCCCTCATTACTGATGCTAACCACAGGAAGGACGTCGTGAGCTCTCTCCAGTGGATAAATTCTGTGGACAGATAGATCAGGCTGGGATTTTGCGCGAGGATCAGACACGCTCTCAGATACCTTCAGCGCCATCTTCCCCTGATGCCCCTCCCATGTTAGTTTCTTCACTCTCTACGCCAGAAAGTCCTAGGTCGTCACCGGATCGCACAGGCTCAGGCTCCCGCCCTAACGCCTCGGAGGCAGCTAGGCTGTAAGGTTGCCTGGTAAGGCCGATGAATAGGATAAGGCTTCAAACGATGTATAGCTGGGTCAGCGGAGCTCTACAGGATTAGTGAAGAATCGGAGAGCGCATCTGTTAGCGAGTGCGGCCAGCGGTGGCTTCTTGAGTACCCTGATAACACAGACAAGGGTGAGGTCTGATTAAGGAAAACATTCTCTCCATATGAATGGTCCGGTGGCATTGGCATCGATCAATTGGAGGCTTTACTACATTCACATTGGTGGACGTTTAGAGCTAGTCTTTTCGCTCTTCCCCGGATATACGGCAAACGTGAAGTCCTCCTCATAAAAAAGGCCACAGAGCACATGAAGTTCCCCTGCTCCCTGCAAGCGATGGATCACATCTCTCTCCAGCAACCACAGATGACCACATCAATCACATCCCCTCCAGCCCTCTACCCATCCTAGATAGCCCCAACTCATCAAATGTCATCCTCTCAGTACATTCCTACGCCGCCCACAGCCATGCAAATCCTCAATAAAGCGTCTCGCCAAAAAGCACACAAACCCACCGCCGCCCTAGGTATCCTCTACGTTGCGGCGCATATCCCTGAGGTCGGCGAATTGATCCGTAGCATTACGTTCACAGCATTCCCGATCTGTTTCGCGAGTCATATCGTACGGTCTGGCCAGGCAAATACATGCTCGCGAATCCTCCAGACGTGGGTCATCTGGGAATTCTCTGACCTGAAGAATCCTGTTGAATTCAAGAGAGGCCGGCGCTTTATGGAAGGGATGCGCCATTCGAATGATCCTTTTAGTGGGGAGTGTACGTTTGCGGGGTGGGAGCATGAGGATGTGCAGTATGTGCTGGTCCTGCCGAAATGGACCAGAATTTGCCAGTTGCGATCCAATAATGGATGGTAAACAGGAGAAAGATAAGAATAAGTGAGAAGGGTAGCTGCAGCTGGTCATGCAGTGAAGGCCGAATGTTGTGGTTGAGGAAGTGCTGAAGATGGCAAGACAGACCTCTTAGGTGTAGCAATACTCAATGCTGCATCCCGCAGAAATTCGATGAACTAGATTCTGAGAAGGGTAAGCCTATATAGTTGAGGTGGTGCACTGCCAACCCATTCATTGTAGACTGGCTTGCCCTTGATAAAACCATTCAATCCCACGCTTTTAGCACAAGCACGGCAGATGTATGGTCTGGTAGTTACTACACGTCTTCCCACTCGGAACCTCACTACCTGTCTGCAAATACAAGTCGTAATAATCACTCTCTGTACTCTTGCATGCCAGAAAATTCAGCTCTGCACGCCAGTTAGCACGCCGCCACCCGTCGCCAACAATACTTACGTCTCCCGTAGCTACTCTCCGTCATCGTAATAATCGTATCTCCCTCTAACCCCCATGCCGTGGTATCCGCGCTCTTGCCCCACAAAAGCGGCTTGTAGCTCGTACTCGCAGTTTGGATGTTGAGGTATGAAGATGTATTCTGGCTCTGAATAGTGTTGGAGATAGTGAAGGTGTGGGCAGAGGATTCAGGCCCTAGGACGGGAGTCGAAGCTTTTTCGCGGCAGTCAATGGATGAAGATGAGTGGGGGAGGAGGGAATGAAGTTACTGTTCTTAGGATTCACTTGCAGGTAGAGGTGATAGACTGGGTCTGCGACGCCGCGAAGCTTTCCTACGTTTACGGCGGCGGCGTTGAAGACGGGGGCTGCGCGGATTGGAGGGATGAGCGGGAGCGCCGTTAAGAGGAGGTTCAACATCTTGAGAAAAGGTCCAGGAAAAGAAATGCAAGGTTGCAGGAACTACACAATACCAGGAATCAGTATATGCAAGCCGGATGCAGCCTTTATATGGTCGACCATATAAGCTGTTACCCCAGACTGTTTAATTTGATCGCAATCTGTCAATGTACTGTCACGCGTCGCTAATTCTTCCGTGCCCGTGCATATCTGTAACCTCGATTTGCCGGGAAACACGCCAACGGTTGAAGCGGGCCGCACATGCCACCTGTCCGACTTGAACCTACAAACATACAATTAGTCGTTCCTTGACGCCTGAGATGGCACCACAACTGATAGGCTTGCTCACAATGTAGGCCAAGAGATTGTTTTGAAGACCGGCAGTCCCACATAGGACTACAGTAACATGATTTCATATCTAAAACGCACACCAGATCCTGAGAGATTCTAAGTCTTGAAGTATCCCGAACTCCATGCTAAAGATGCGTCAAGAAATCCAGAGCTAGTTTTCGCTAGACTTCGTCAGGCTCCATAGTTTTGGCTGTTACCCACGGGCATGTACCCTCCCGCCACATGTCCATGTCCTGTCACGGGAGGCGGACTGACAAGCGGCGGACTGATCAACGGCTCCATTGGGTAGCCCCCGTGCTCCGCGCCATAATATTCTGTACTTCTATGTGCCGCGTGTTTGGTGAGTGGTTGGGTATCCTCGCTTTCGCCGTGTATACTCCAAGCCGCGGACCTGCGATGATCAAGCAAGGCGGAGTTATGGTGTGCATGTCCCGATGTATGCGCGGCGTTCTCTTGCGCCTCGCCGTGACCGTGCTCGTGATGACCGTGCTCGTCGTACTCTTTCGCATACGGCTGGCCGTTCTTAAGCAGATGCCAGTTGCAGAAAACAGCGCTCAGCTTGTCGAAGCAAAGGACAAGGAAAATGAGGCTGAGACAAACCGGTAGGACGGCAGGCGAGCCGAGAAACTGGTATAGACCGATTTCGTTGGAAATCATGGCGCAGAGGATAGCTCCAATGACGAGGCTCATGATGCGCGAGCCGATAGAAACGAAGTCGAAGAGATCGTGACGGTGGCGGCGGATGAGGAGTAGGAAGACGATAGAACAAGCCATCAGGATGCAGAACGAGACCCAGTAGTACAAATATACCAGCTTCCAGCTCTTGAGGGCAATCTCCGCTGCGGTGTGCTTGTCGAGTTTGTCCGCTGGTAGCTTCATTCCGAGACCGACGTACACACCATTGAACATGTCTATACTCATGTTGTAGAACTGTGTGGGAATTGAATTGCTGTTGATGTACTCGGTTGCGTTCGACTTGGAGCATATGTCTGTTGTGTTGCCGATTTGCCATATGGTCTCTTCGGTTATTTTCTGGAATTCTTGCGTCTCAGTCTTGCTTGTGAAGTAAAAATAGTCCAGAAGCTCAACGAGCTTATCGCGAAGTTTCGCGCCGTCTAGGTTCTCGGTGAAGCAGTACTTGCCAATAGACGTATCGATCTTGGCCCAATTTTTGATAACGTAACGAGCTAGGGCGACTTGCTGGCTACCTTCTACGACTCCAACGATAGCGAGTTGGAACGGGAAATGTAGGACAGACCAAACTTGTTGGCGTATCGTTCCGTAGTGCCCGTGGGGAAAATTATCGAAGTAAAGCGCCCTGCCAAACCCGAGGGTACGAAGTCAGTGTACGTCGCAAAGAACTGGGTATGATACATTGCCTCGGCTAAGGGAAGGAAAGATTCTTGTCTTGTGCTGTAAGTAGATAAAGACGGTATATATTTTTTTCGCTCAGTGGAAAGAACGCATCCAATTTGTACTAGGGTGACTTGCCATATTAGGACCTGCCGAGGGTAAGCCTTGCACGAAAGAATAGCATGTCAGTCTTGACCGATGTTTGGGCTTACCAAAAGCGCAATGATGCACATGACGAGAAAGCAGCCCTCGACATCTAGGCCGTACTTGCCCATCAATCGTGAGACGGTCTTCGTTACGCCAATGGCACCCTCTCCAATGACGATCAACGTCAACAAACTCATGCGCTCCATCAAATGCGTCTTTTTGAAGCTTAACATTCTCCACACAGACGAGATGGTTATGACTGCGGCAGCTTCTACAACCATGACTACATACCAAACAACGTAAACGCCTCGATGTGATTCATCTCCTTCTTTGAAGGCGGGTGTCATGGCAGCGAAAGCGCCGGCGGCAGTTAGGTACAGAGAGATCATGAGGCCCATCGGAAGGAACAGCTTGGAGAAGCTCGCTCGCACGAGGTAGAACTAGATGGTCAGTCATCCCTGTTCACCCGGATGAGACAAGAAATTTTACCAGAACAATCATATGTTGGATCGCCAACAGGCCTCTGCTAACGACGAGGGTGTAGCAAAGGATACGGAAGTTCTGCAATTCGTGTGAGGTGATGGTGGTGGCAAGATGCAATGCGACAGACTCACAGTATTGCTTGCCTTGTTACCCCCGTTTGAACCTTTGCCTGGATTGAAGGACGACCCGACTAGGGCCAGTCCCACAAAAACAATGAACTGCACCGTCTTGCAAAAACGCTCGTATAACGAGTCTCTGGCGAAGCGCACATCGTGAAGGGTGACCTGGAACCAGGACGACCATAGTATACCGAAGAAGCCGACGTAGGCGACCAGATAATCGCCGTCTGTGATGGAGTGGTAAGTGGTGAATGTTGCGAGATTGGCGACGAAGAACAGATCGAAGAAGAGTTCGACGGTATTCGCTTCGTGGCGCTGCGAGAATACAAGATGTTCGTGATCGGCGCCGGCGAGAGGGTCCTCGATCCAGGGCACGGTTTTGTGCAGGCGCTTGAGATGCTTTTCCTTGTCGCTTGCACTCGTCAGTGGTGATGTCAAATGGCCTCGTCGGGTGGGACGTACACGTCTCTCTTGTGGCCGTGGAATGACCAACCCATGGTGAAGCAAGTCTTTTGCGAGCTCCTATGGCGCGAAGCTGACTGGCCCAGCCCGACACGGGGCGGCCGCGCCCTTTAAACGATGCACCTCGCTCCTCCGCAGTGCGGCTTCGAGGCACGCGATGTTTTTTTAGACGGCGCTCGCACGCAGCCCCCGGGGACGGCCAATGGGACGGTGCCGCGCCGCTGCCCCTGGCCTGTGCTGCCCGCACTTGTACGCTTGGGTGTTGAGGCTGGCGGGCCAAGATCGTCGAAGCTTTAGGCGACAGGGCCAGGCTGGGAGAGAAAGCTGACGCTCTTTTGCTAGAGAGGGACCTGTTCAAGCCAATGCAAGTGCCTGCGTCGACCACGTGTGGTGCATCTTGCACCGTTGGCCAAGCATGGCGGAGCGCAGCTGAGAAGCTTCACGTTTCTTGAACCGACCGTGGCTGGCGCTCCACTGCTCCATACGGAAACGTGCTGCGAGCTGATCGTCTCCGTGATTGTACACATGAGGTGTTTGTCGTTGGGTCCGAATCTGGAACCCTGCGGCGGAACCGTGCCACCGGGATGGACTAGTGCGTCGTGGGGGCCGAGTAAGCAGCGGGGCGTTACCCCCGACCAAGTATCCCGGGTACCTTTTGCGATGCTTCATGGTGCACTGCTCTGCAAGAAACATCTGCGACGGGTGGGTGCTGGGACTCCTACCATGGCGCAGCCGTGGAACTGGGAGGCTAAGTCCACGTGCATAGCCTGCCTTACCAACGAGAAACGAGATGCGAGCTAGCACATCAACACTGAGATTGCGCATTCGTGCAATAGTCTATTACATTCCTCGTCATGGTTATCAACACTCGCGCCATCAAGTATCCACAGAATAGTACCGCCCGTATCCTACATGCCCTCTTCCGATGAGCCAATGCTGTAGCAATCAGAACGTGGCGCTCAATATAAACATTCCAAGGGAAACGCTACATCCTTGCAATCACTTGCGGATCAATCCAGTCCGCTCGTTGGCATGCCCTCCTTCGTCACCAACGTCTTCCTCGTCTTCCTCGTCTTCGTCCTCGGAACTCCACCCATCGGCTTCGAGTCCACTCCCGCGAATGCCAAAGCTGAGAAGAAAGCCGATGAACGAGACACCGGCGAAGATGCCAAACGCCAGCGCCTCGCCTTTCGGTTGAATCTTGGTCGCGGCGGTGAAGAGGGAGCCTGAGACGAACGGGCCAGCTGCGCGTCCAGCTGCCGAAAGCGTTTGCGCGAGGCCGTTCAGCGTACCGAGCACATTGTGGTTGGGTGCAGAGTTTGTAATCTATTGCTCGCGTTAGCGTCGCCGCCATGTACCCCCACAACGTCCCTTACCAAGAGTAGCGCAGATGTCAGACCACCGACGCTTGCTACCGTCTTGATGACGAGTATCGCCCCGAGCTCCGCCCACAGCCAACCGGCTCCGGTTCCGAGCCCTTGGAAAGGATTACTCTCTCTGTATCCAACCCACGGCATGAGTATGAACGCAACGACAAAGGCCGCCAAACTGATGCGGTAAGTGACTTTGTTGCCGATCCTCTCTCTGAGCTTGCCATAGACACCGATCTGAAACAGTATGGTGATAACGCCCGCGAATGCTAATGAGAGTCCGACGCCCTCAATGTTGAGACCCCGACCTGTAGGCTCTTCCTCTTCTGCGAAAATTGGGTATAATGAATTGTAAGATATGTTGGCAAGCTGGAAGATGAAGTAGGTGACGAGTAACAGGATAGTATCGCGGTTCAGAACTTCCTTCTTGGTGAGCACCTCGCCCGATGACTCGGGGGAACAAGACCGGAGGCGACTCATCCGAGTCGACATCCGACACTTCCTCTTCGTCCTCTTCCTGAACACCATCTAAATGAGTGTTGTGGTGCCGGTTTTTCTGTTTCCGCATGAAGCGTTTGATGTACGTGGGTCGCGTCGAACTCGTGAACTGCCACAACCATGAAAATAAGCTCCCAACTCGCTTTCCTAATGGAGGAAGATGTTTCGCTTCTTCCAGGCTTTCCTCCAAGAAGCCCATGCAGATGATAAGGTCGATTGCCAGCACGACGGCGGCAAAGAGATTAGGGGAAAATATATGGGTACGGATTCGGACGATCTTTGTGGAAAGGATGGTGCTCCATAACCAACACACCACCCACAATAGGGCCTGTGATGGCGCCGAGACCGTATACGACCGGTAAATAGGTAAATGCTCTGGACTGGTTGCTACGGTCTGTTATCTCGCCCAGGCAGGTTGAGACCACACCGGCGTTACCATTGACAAGACCCATGCAGACCTGCACCAGTATTGCCTGCCACAGCGTGCGACAGAAACCAAAGGCTACAAAGCACAGAAGCGTCAAGAAGGTCCCAGTTATCACAACCGGCTTTCGTCCGATGCGATCCGACAGCCATCCCCAGAAGAAGTTTGTCGCAAACTGGGCAAGCGCAAACGACGAGGCGATCAATCCCACGTACAAGCCTGCCTGGCCATCCTTCACTTCGGGGAACGATTTCGCCATCTCGGGAAGGTACGGGCTTATCGAGTTGAGGGCTGTCTGCTCGGCGAGAGCGATGACGGCCAGGACAGCGAGCTGCCGGGTCGGTAGCGGGGACTCATGATGGCTGTCGTCTGAGTCGGAGCCGTGGCTTTGGTTGCCCGAGGGCGAGGCTTGAGAGCCTAGTGGGCGACCGCGAGTGCTAGGTGCTCTTATGGGGAACGTCTGATAATGCAGTGTCGACGACTTGCGCGTGTCGATGCCAGGACGAGTGCGGCCCATGGCGGCCGTGTGGGTGGTTGAGGACGTCGATATTGAGCCGCAGCAAGTCTACCTCGTCGAGGCCGCCGTTTCAGTGCCAGAGCGTGCTTGCATCGGGGCACGGCAAGAAAAGGCAGTGAAAGTGGTGCAGGGTTCGCGCAGAGATGGGAAAGTGAGAAACCCAGGCTGACAGATGCAAAAGTGCACCATCACGCGGGACCTGTGTCGTCATCCCGCTAATCGCAGGTACGCGTCTTGGCAAAGCGCGTCACGCTTCCGGGGCCACGTGCACAACAGGCTATACGTCGCACATTCAGAGAAGCCGTTTCTGCCATCTATCCCTACGCGAAATCCAAGCAAGACGGAGAGTCCTTCAGGTTCTGGAAGCGTTTTCAACCAAGGGCAAGGACAGGCCGCCATAGGTGCCCAACTTGTCACACGGCTTCCAGGTGGGACATATCTCAAAAGACACGCGATGGAAGCTTTGCCGGTCGTCTGAGTGCGCTGCCTAGCAACAGGTACGACGTACTCTCAGGGAAGGTGAATGCCCGCGGTACATCATCAGGTCAGCGCTTGGAACAGTCACAATGGCTCAAGTTACTAGCACAGTCTATCCAAACACAACTTGTATATGCTTCGTGTGGCAAGCTATGGCTGGCATTCAATTCCACACCATTAGATGTGTGATCACCAGCTGTTGCCAGCAACCTTTTTGGGTTGCTTAGTCATATCGTCGGCCCGCTCTTCCCCGGCTCTCTCTTGGCTTCTCGAGGAGGGTGTATTCCAGGGCTTCCTTCCGCCTTCACACTCCATAACTTTCGTCGACACTGGACTGGAAACTTGTGATAGTCATTCTCGACGCCAATCGTACCACCTCGCCAATTCATCATGCCTGAGAAGAACTGCATATGCAACCTGCCAGACGAATTATTGCTCAAAATCGTGCAGTACATGTCACCGTTACAGTCAGATCCGAACAATAATCCTCGCATATCATGGGGTGTGCAAAGACTGCCTCTCTCGGACTATCGCTCTGTATCGTTAGTGTGCCGACGTCTGAACCGAGTCGTAACTGGTGTGATGTATGCCCACTATGATCACGAGTCCGACTACGTTTCCTCGGCCTTGTTTATCAGAACGCTTGTTCAAAACCCACTTCTGGCCCAAAACTTGAAGAGTCTGAAAGAGATCGGGCCGTCGATGGGAGACACGGGAGTCTCGAAAGTGGAACCATATAAGCGCTCAGCTCCCATTGTCGAGTATCTTTGCGCTGCAGTCCAGCAGCTTTACCGAAAAGTCCCAGACGTCTCGTTCAAGAAATACAAAACAGTCGCGTCAGCGGAAGTAGTAAAAGGATACTTGAATTCTTCCAAAGTGGAGAAGATACGGTGCACGGCCTCGAGACTGCACTGATCCTTGCATTGGCCCCGAATATTCAGACAGTAGCGTTAAGTTACGCTTCAGACCAAGACTATGATCTACCCCGTGTTTGGAACCCTTGGCTCAGACGAGTGAAGCCGTTTGGTATGAGGATGATGATTCCCGGAATTCGAGGATTCCCGCACAACAACGCGCATCATTTCGAACATCTTCGAAAGTTGAAAGTCAATATGGCCGGTATCGAATTCTGTGGCATTTCCGGAATCCTTCGACTGCCGTCACTGGTTGATCTCATCCTGTGCAGGCACGACAAACACCTTCGTAGGGCTACCTTCGACCTACTAGATGATATGGATCGGAACTGGATCTGCGCTGCAAGAGAGTCTAGAGTCCGGACAATGCGCCTTGATGATATTGACGTACATCACTTATATCTCGTGAAGCTGGTTCAATCGTGTGGGCACTTGGGGGCGTTTGCATTTAGGAGTGTTTCGGAGTGGGACGTACCCCATCTAAATTATTCCCTATTCATCCGGGAACTTCAGGAGCACCAACCCGAGCTACAGTCCTTGAGCATTACTGATCCTCGCCATCCTCATGATCTCTATGATTCCGGCGATGTTCCGAGTCGGATTGGCCCTCTCAATGGCTTCCAGAACTTGAGGTACCTAGCCGTGCCGCTAGAGTTGCTAGTCAGTAAGTACCATTAGGCTATGGTAAGCATTATTTACCAGATTGAAATGACCAGGTCCTTTGAACTCCGGCCCGAGCCTCTATCTCGGCAATCTTCTTCCGCGAAGCCTTCAGACTTTTGTGCTCAGCAAAGGAGAAGGACTGTGTGGACTCCAAGGCCCCCGTTTCAATGAATGGTTTGACAGAGCACTTTGCGACGAGCATATACAGAGTATAGTCGATGCACTTTGACTTCTTCAAGTTCACTCGCGACTTCATAACCTGCCATGTACACTTTGACTACGTGATCAAGGTCGACCACGACGGCTCATACGGTGCGTGGCAACTGCAGAGGAAAAGACGAACAAGGAGAAATCGCGCACTGCTGTTGCGTCTGCTAACGTAGAGACGTAGAAGCCAATCAGCGTTTAATTTCCGTGCGTAGGATCAACGGCGATGCCATAGCGGATGAATACTCCCATCATCTGAATTCGACGTTCGACCCTGTGCCAAATCATGAATTGACAGGCTTTGGGCAGCCTCGTTTTCTGGATACGGAGCGCGACGAGTGGAAAGTGTATAGGAACAAGATCCCATATGAGTTGCGAAAGGAGGTTTGAAACGCAGAAACGAATCGTTAGGTGTTATCTATTCAAATCCCACTACCTTGATATATCGTACTGCGTCCCCTCTTGCTACGGACCTCTTCGACAACTTTTGAACCTGGACCAAAAGACAACCCCGGTCTTTAGTGATTGTCAGCTCTCCGGGAAGACTCACAGCTGTGTCATTAGCATTGCATTCCTCGTCAAAAATTTGGTGCTATTACCCTAGGGTGAGCAATACAGAACTCAAACTTCGGACGTGCCATTCCTATAGTCGCCCGTACAGATATAAAACGCCCAACTTTTGCTTTCCCCCAAAGCCTCGTGAGGCATTATCCATAGTGCGTCCTTGAAGCCTCGAGCCATAATGTGTGTCCACTGATATGTCCGAATCTCGTATCTGATAGCTCCTTCTTGTTCCGTTTGACATTGTACGTCGTTCGCGGTCACGCAGCTGCCGAGATGTGAGCGCATTGCTCAGATCTCAGGACCGGCTTGCCATCGCACCATGAGGGTTCCATCGGATCACTTTCGGCGCAGGCACCGACGGCGCTTCAGGGTCGGTCTTCCTCAATTCTACGTCGCCTCTTGGTGTCTTCCGCTTCGCCGTCACTGAGTAGATGATACCGGCAATGCAAGCGAGTAAAATAACGCCTAGTGGGACACCGATGCCTATCGAGGCTGCAGTCGTAAGTTTGGTCATGGTGTATTTGATATGTTATCAGCGCAAGCGTATGGAAGATGTTCGTGGGTATCGCGTTGCGCCGCGTGCTCGCCTGGTTCTGAAGCCGGATTCTGCGAATCAGCGGACGGCGGGGTCAGAAGAGTCTCGGCGGTGTTTTTAAGTCCCGGACGGCTTGGATAATAGTAATACGCAGTTCCGTGGCGAGATGATGATCGGGCTCCTAGAAAGTGTCGTGTGACTGCCCCTGCGAACGGTGATCGTTTAGTCCTATAGCACCCTTCTGGGACTCGATGTTGACCAATATATATGCGAATCTACCGTAGAACAACGAGAGACGAGACCTCAAGGCTGTAAAAAGTGACCGCAGCACCTACGTGCTATATGGCAGTGCACCACGGAGCATAGCAACCTCAATTGTGCCGGAGTTAAATTGAAACACTGAGAGGAAGCGGCACAGCCGAGGCTACCATCCATCCATTCGCTGTGTGACAAATTTCTCAAAATCGTACTTGCGCATTGCTCCTTTAGCTGAATCACCTTCCCATCTAGGTCTGGTTGATCGCTTGTAGATTGAGCTTATCGCTATAGAAGCTTTCGAGCTGCCTTGTCGAGCAACGGCCCTCCTGTCAGATCCCAGAAGCATGATAGATGTCGGCTTGCGGCCGTAACAAGACGCTTGCTTGCTGGCTCTAGTTTCTAGACGGCTTGGTGTACGATGGAAAATCATGAGGCTGCAGTGTGATGTAGCGGCAGCACACTAGTCCAAATTAGGTACGTAAGCAATTTCGACCTCGAGATTAGTTCCAACCTCTGTTTTCACTCAAACTCATAGAAACTTGACTATTGACTGCCTTGACTAGTAAAATAGGATGTTTATAAGCGTCACCTCTAGATCTGTGTCCGAAAGTGCGCTGAGAAACAGGAAGATATCGGCAAATGTTCGGATGGTCACAGGACCAAGAACTTTCTTCAAAAGAGCCCGAAGAACGGTCGCATATCGGCAAATCTCAGCTGAACACTAGAAAGAGTTGTATATTCAGGCAATGGAGGTGATTGTGCGCGCGAAAAGCTCAATCGAGGCTTGCGTTTCAGATCAGCCTCAAACCTTGCTCGTCTCCTCCCTTACACCTGAGACGCGTAACGACTGAGGGCGCTAAAGCATGGACCCCCCATATTCGCGATCAGATTATGTTATTACTATCACCATTCACTCCAGTCGGGCAGGCTTCTTGAACACTCGCGAAGAATGGAAGTCCACGAAACAAAAGGTCAATTGGGACGAACTGGATACCGGCCAGAACTGCAACTAATCATTGAGGGAGGATGAAAGCTCCTGATATTCGGCCCACCGTCCCGCCAGCTACATCAGATCGGTCCAGGTCCCGGCTTGTCGTGTCGCGCTCTGGAACACAGCGTTTCCGACTTGCCCATACCTCATGCGAACCACAATTGCATCTTAAGAGATCGGCCCTGCACTATACGTGACTTGCATTTGCTCTTACTGCTAGACCTTGGCCCCACCCGCACTCACCAAATATGAGCCGACCGTAGACGCTGACTACCGGAAAGAAATACCACCGTCTATCAGCAGCCGCTGCTTTCGACCGACCCGCTTTGCTCTATACTCAGAGTCCTGGAGTCATGCCGACGATGCTTACTCTAAAGACACTGCTCGCGCTCCCCGTCTTCCTCTCCTCAACAATCATCAGCTTCGCTCTCGCAGCACCGGGCGGCTCACCAAAAGGCTCAGACGAATCGGACGGCTTCCTCGACGTCGACAAGAAGGAACCTTTCCTCAACTACGCCGCATCATTAACTGGTGGAGAAGGCTGCAGAGACAAAGACCTGAAATGGATCCACGACGGCTTCGATGAAATGAACAGACTGTTCAGCGCAGCACAAGACCCCGACTTCGAAAAGGAGTGCGAAATTGAGTTCTTCGGCCGTCCATTCCAAATAAAAAATTACACAGATCTAATAAGAGCGAATTTGAGACGGGCGGGGCAGTATGCGAATCTGCAGGGGGATGATCTAATTAATCCGGATATACACGTGAGATGCGACGATCCGAATAATATATGCGACGAGGGGAACAAAAAAGACGGCAAGCACGCGGCATATAATGTTGGGAATGAACCGCACATAAACTTCTGCCAGAGGTATTTCAAGCTGGACCCGTTGGACGAACAGGTGAAGGATGAATCGAGCAATGACCAGGCCAACATGTACCTAATCAACTACTATAATCGAGGTGAGTACATGGTTGCGCTCTCAATACCAGACTGACCCCCAAGCAGCTACGCTATGGGCCCGGATGGTTATGCACATCTCGAACGTTGGAGAAGCTGTAGTGATGAAGCCTTCCCCAAACCTTCAACCTAACGCCACTCGAGAGTGGACTTTGGCCCCCACGACAGGCCCGATGAAAACATCTGTTATAGCAGGAGTTATGGACGACAAGCAAGGGCCAATGAACATCCGAGTCCTGAAATTCGCGTACGGTGTGACGCGCGCCAAGCTCCTTGCCACTCTGTCCACACAGAACCCTTATGATGCATTGAACAATGCCGAGAACTACGCTTTGTATGCGCTGGCGCGATATGTAATCCAGACGAAGGGATTCTTTCCAAACATGCCGCTCGTGAACTTCGGCAATGATATGGCCGTTTTAACGAACGAACAGATCATGGATGGGGACAAGAAAAAGTTCGCCTGTTTCGATATGCCGGATGTCGCGTAAGTATCTACATTATTTGACCAAAGTTACTTTAGCTTACCCGTTGGTAGGCTGTTAATGGATGGAGTGATACAAGAAGGCGCACAGTTGCCATCTTCGGCAATGGGTATGTGGGTGCCATCGGGACATATTGTTTCCCTGATATTGGCCGCGCTCTTACTTCTAGCGGTTGATTCCATTAGTTAGCTCGAAAGAGGTTCGAAAATTCTTGACCTACCATAAGGTCGTTGCCGCCCAGCGGTCTCAATCCGTCAGGCCCCACGCGTGATTAGTTGAACATCTTGTGAGATTGAAAAGGAGTAAATGGTGGAAGCCAAGGGAAGTAACCATACAGAGAAAGCAAGGAGAGATTACGTTCCAACTTCTATGGAGGATTGAAAATTACACTAGGGAAAGGTTTCAGATAGCGCATGACATAGAAACATAGGTTACACAGACCGATACTACGTCAAATATCGTCTGCTGTTGGTCATAGTACAAGATGACATGTTCCAGCTCAGGTATAGTGCTTGTGGCGGAAGAAAGAGCAAGCGAAACGAAGGTGCTGAGTTGGATGGCGAGTGCAAGGACATGAGAATGAACAGACGAAGTGCGACGTTTAGGAATTGACTGTAGGAATCCAAAGATCGAATGAGTACCGAGATTGAGTACGCTGTAGAGTAGAAAAGAAGGTGAGACGGCAGGATCGTTCCTGGGGTGTCTTCAAGCGACACGATACTGTATGTGAACGCTTAGCACAGTCCATGTCCCACTGTGTAATCGAACGCACACTCACTGAATGGATGTTGGTAGGCGGATGCCCGTGGCCTTCAGCTCAACGACTAGGAGGCTGTTCCCAATGTGTGAGCATCTGTTGGATCGCCCAATGCCACTCTACCACAAAAGCATTTGTCAATTGGGCAACGCTGGCAGAGGATGGAGTTTGGCCTCCCCACATCGCAGGCTGTGATGCCTGGGATTGTGCATATGGGATGATGAGTTGACTGTGAGATGTCAGGGCACCGTTTCATAGATCAGGAGTGATACTTTCTTACTCTCGATGAACTTTGTTCAAGACTAGCCAGCAGAAATTCCAGCTTGCGTTGGATTCGGGATCCGAGTAGACCCGCCTCTTTGCTTCTTCCAGGCACTCTGAGCTATAGCAAAGCACGTTGGTCAGTGGAAATGGACCGGAGAACAAGTTTTCTCAAATACCTGAAAGGATAATTCTTCGTCAGTCCGCGTAACTCAGTCAGCAATCCGTGGGAGTTGACGTAGTAGGACCCTGTGCGAACTGTAAGCGGTTTGTGTTTGCCTAGGAGAGTGATACTCACATGCTGCAGTCATGGGAGCAGCTACATCTGATGAGCCAAGCTCTGCAAATGCTTTCTCGATGCGCCGAAGCCCGCTCAGAGTGTTGATTCGGTGGGTGTTGAGCGCTTGGATCATTTGCTCCTTCTCAGCCTACAAGTTGTTAGTGTTGTATAATCGTCACGCATCCTGATGTGCGCCTTTGGTAAGTTATTCCATCAAGAACAGGCAGTACAAGCACCAACAATAAAAATCAGGGTTGCGTCAGTCCACTCAACAAACTATCTTTTGGATCCCGTATTTCAACAAGGCAGACGGATGGCCGGCGCTTTTATATAACTGAAACAAGGACCTACTTACTGTAGTGATAGTAGAACGAGAATTAGGCATATTGTAAATAGACGGCACACGATATCTCCTCGCAGGAGGGTTACTGAAATCACTTGGGTCGGGATCGATGGAGCTTGTCGAGCGTGCAGACATGGAAGGTTGTGGCGTTCCTGGGTCCCCTGCTACGCTGGGAGATCGTGACCGTTGCCTCGCTAACGAGTTGTTGGGGGTCGATGATCTGAGGCACAGAATTGCTGGATCCAGCCAAAGTCGGCGTGGAAAATCGATCAAGCTCTTTTTCAAAAGAAGTATGCTCGGCCGGTTGAGGAGTTCTTCGTGAGGGTCGCGAGCCTGACACCGATAAATAGCTGGATAGGTCGAGGCTAAAGGTCATCGACGCCGTCTGTGTGGCGCGGGAAGTAGTTGGAGTCACGTCCTGAGATGATGCGTACACGAAGTAGCAGTTGGGAATTTGATCCTTTTATATACTTTGTGGTTGGCCTGGCGGAACGTGTGAAGTGCCACCCTTTGATGAAAGCTAGGGCCGTGCAGGTCAATGTTTGTCTCTGATCGTAATGCCACTCGGCGCCACGATGTCATGTGGACAAAAGAGATTGTGTCTTGAGTGCCTTGGGCACGCCCGGGATAGCTAGTACGAAGGCCGACAATTGGGGTCTGAATCGCATGACTGAGGTGAAAGAATACAAGTTGAGCAAGTAAATAACCATAAGAAAGGCGGATGACAGAAGAGACCACAACCTAGGGCTGCGGTGTACATCCTACAAGCGCTCCTGGTTCCCCTCTGTGGAAGTAGGTAGGCCGCCTAGCACGCAGATCTCCCGCCCGTCAAGGTCAGCAAGACGCAATGATATCTCAGCTCTGGATCGAGAGTCTAGCTGCCAAAGATCCGTAGTGGGGTCCCTTTTCGGCGATGTACTCAGGTAGGCATGTGCAGCTTTACAAGGGGAAAGGCACCGCTAGGTCCGAGCGTCAGCCACAGTGCAGGCACGAAGACAACCACGGTGCACTGTCATCTGTCTTAGTGAACGGAAACCAGCGTTGTGATGCATCACCCCAAGATTTGCAACAGACAGGTGGAAGGTAGCAAGGTCCTTTCTTGACTTCGCGCCTCGACCGTTTTGGTGACGCTGAAGTCACAATTCCTGATCACTGCGAGGGATAGGCATCCGGTCGCAGCACACGGAATCCCGCTGCAGAGAAGGAGCACAGTGTATGAGCTTCGCAAGCACACTGCCGGATGAGCTCCTGGGCGGGATGAGAACTCGGATCTTCGTGTTTCCGTGTGTAGTGTGGATATGTCTTGTACAGCGTGGAATACCGAATGCTTGGCGGTGCACCCCGGTCTGGTGTTGAGGCTGGTGCTGATGTAGAGCTGACGAGGGTTGGCGTGAAGGTTGACGCCAGGATCCGCAATGGCGGGTACAGCGCGGCGGGTGCGGTGGCTAGCGCCGCCACTTAGGCTTGGTCATCACACAGCCTCGCACCTTCCAACATAGAACCTCACCTCACCGCTGCTTCCATACCTGTGAACCCGGTTGCCTCCTGTGCAGCTTTACATGAAGAAGCTGAACCTCAAGTAGCGTCTGGACGGCTCTGTCGTCATCCATAACGATTTTGGCCCTGCGATCACCATAAGGCGAAATGCTGCCCCTGGCCCATCCTTCGGTATTTGTGTGACTCAATGGGTAGCCTCGCTTTGCTCCGAGGCCTCAAGCCCCAAGCAACACTGCACTTGAGAAATAAGCATTCCGCGATCACCCGCTAGCAGTAAGCATAACTTTTTCGGCTTTTAAGTGCACGTGGTGGATGGCGGTAGCATCGGGAAACATCAAGTTCAGCTCCTTCGCTCCACCTGTGATTCGATTTGGCGCCAAGCAACGGATTACGAAAGTTCCACGCGGTCAGTAGGGTGTTCAAAGAGCCCGGCAATCAGCTTAAACTTGGTGTTAAGGTTGTTTTAGAGTTGGCCATGCATGTCTACGACGGCACCCTGCCGAGAAACACCGGCGTCCGATGGCCTGCAGTGCCGAGTTCCTTCGACCTGTCTTCAGATCCCACAAACGTCATCATGCCTGTAATCTTTCCAGGTAGACATCATTGGCACGAGACATTGAAGGTGGATGCCCCTCCAGGTGTTTCAAAGACGTACACATGGCCAAATCAATAGTCTTGTGTAGGAGGCCTTCCACTGCTTGTCACACGGAAATAGGCCCATCTCACGTAGAAATGCATGCTCAAAAAGCTTCAAACAGGAAACTTTCTTGTAGTTCTACATCATATTGAATCAGTGTTGACAGCAAGCGCAGTGCTTAGTGCTGAACGACAAAGAGTCCGGGAAACCTCATGCAGTTAGCCCCCAGTCTTCGCCGTGCCTGTCTTGTAGGACTACTACGTCCTACATAGCGATACCGTTCATCAATCCACTACGGACTTCCAATTACGCTCTATGTATGAAACACAGCACTTTATCTATCGCAAAGTCATACCTTCCGCATCATCCGAGACTGAAGAACATGTCCTACGCCCCCTCCGCCTAAGACCCCCTTGCTCAAGATCTTCTGACTCTTCACTTACTTCGATTTAGGCAGCAAAAACCACACCGGGTTCGCGATTGGGCCTCGCTGCATACTATCGACAGTGGACAAACAGTATTTTCGACGTGTCAGTCTTCCATCAAATGCGCAGCACTTTGGATTGTGCAGACGGACAGCTCATTCGTGGATTGGAGCATCAAGCCACAATTTGAACTGGTCTTGGTTTGATAATCTACACAAGCGTCTTCATCGACATCCTCTTCGACAGGATATTCTCGACTCCTTGCGCGTTCTTGATTATAGCTACTACACTCTGTCGCCTGCTGTGCGGCCATCTTTGCGCTCCTTCGTACCTGGACTGATAGGCGATGAATCACGACTAGCTATTCATGTGAATCCCTGAAATGCTACAACCTGTCACTTGAATGGAAAGTTTCGGTTTGAGATTGCAGGATCCAAGCGTAAGCTGCCAGAGCCCGAGGACCTCCTTCTGCCGCACGCAGGCCTTTCCTCACTCCTATATGGAAGTAGGCTTACCAAGAGAAGGATTTAATTCCTGCTGATCTTATTCGTTAGTAATTTCGTGATATCATGGCACCGTTGACCCGAACATCTGGGTGACTAACTTGCACGTGATACGGATTATGTAACATGGACTAGCGTACGGCCATGGCGAAGTGCGGATCGCCGCCGCCCAGCCCAGCACACTAGAGTGTATCTCCACGCCCGCTCTCACCACATCACCTCCGCCGCCTCACCGCGAACCTCGAAATACCCGTAATAACATACAATAACCATGTGGATCATAAATTGGTGAATTACGTCCCATACACCATTCACGGAATGTCTACTAACAAATTGTCTAGGTGTAAGCAAACGTTCCCACTTCGTCTACGCAAGCCAAAACACAACGCCTACGAAGCCCCGCCCGCCCAATGTATACGCAAAGCGAGACCGTCCAGAAGCGACAGCTGCATTACGTTGGGCAAGGGAATGAAGGCTGTGCATCTTTACTGTCAAACGGGCGGGCTCTCCCAACGCGCCCGGAAAACTCCCTCGGCACAACACCACCGAGAACGTTGCTTTTACCGGAATGGATACTGATCTTGCTCACAGTCTACGATGTTCTGGCATCACTGGGCCTGCTTAACAAGGTGAATAGCGTCACACGCGACATTATGCGCACCGCTGACGCAGGGTAACAGCACGCCAAGCTGCTCTTTCTCGGACTGTATGTGCTCACCCAAAACCCTCATATGTATACTCGAGGCTGATGTGGAGGCAGAGACAACGCCGGAAAAACCACGTAGGATCATTTGTTGCCACGAAATGGCATCCAGGCTTATGTAGACAGGCTTCTTCACATGCTCAAAAATGACAGGGTGGCAGTTCTGTAAGGCTTTCACAAATTTCTAGTAGAGGTTGCATACTAAAACGTCGCTTTAGTCAACCGACCCTCCACCCCACTTCTGAAGAGCTCTCGATCGGCAACGTGAAGTTCACGACTTTTGACCTTGGAGGTCACGCGCAAGCTCGCCGCCTCTGGCGTGACTACTGTACATATGCCAGCATGTGCCCAAATATGTCTTCCTAACATCTCACAGTTCCCGAAGTCAGCGGCATAGTTTTTCTTGTCGATGCGAAGGACCACGAGCGTCTCACCGAATCAAAAGCCGAGCTCGACGCTCTCTTGGCCATGGAAGAGCTCGCCAACACCCCCTTCGTCATTCTCGGAAACAAGATCGATCACCCGGACGCAATCTCCGAGGACCAGCTGAGGGCAGCCCTTGGTTTGTACCAAACCACTGGCAAGGGCAAGGTGCCGCTTGAGGGCATTCGGCCGCTCGAGGTCTTCATGTGCAGTGTCGTCATGCGACAAGGTTACGGCGAGGGAATCCGCTGGCTTAGCCAGTACGTCTAGAGAGGACGAGCGAGGCACTGAGGCGCGCCGTCCGCTGAATTGGACATATGATAAGGTTTGAATGAGGCGTAGGGAATGGATGAGGTTGGATGTATGATGGTTCTCTTACGTGAGGCAAATTTAACCTTCATGAATTGGCGTTGTATCTAGGAATGCCAATTTTCATCATCACCGATGGCTTCTAATCTTCGAGAAAGCCTACGTGCGTGATTTGGAGTGTGGGAGATGAAAAATAGGTGCACAGAAAGTTGAAGTGAATGTACATGACGTGAACTAATTTTCCATCAAGCGTGAAACCGCTCCAAGACTGGACCTATACAAGACCAAAAGAATTGCACAACGCGACAATATTGTGTCGCTGACTATACGAGGAGACCATCAAAAACCATACGCCGCCCAATGCTATGCCCCAGAGTGGATATCGTTTTACTCGTCATACTCAATTTCCTTCACGCCGCAGAAGTCTGTTCCCGTGCAGGAATCGATCGCGTACCACAGCTGCCAGTATAGACTCGCATTCGTGTGGTCGAACTTTCCATCCGCGTTGCGGGGGACTTGGTCGCCGATGAGACCGTTGCCGGAGCCAACGAACCACCCTATGACGGGGAACTGGCCAAGAGTTTCCTGCCACTTGGGACGCGTAGGCAAGAAGACTTTGCCTTCCTTGAACTCGCCAAGCTTTACCTTGAGGTTGGAATTGGACTTGAGGCGGAGCGTTGAGGTCCCGGAGTGGCGGTGTTGAGCCGATGTTATATGGGCGAGCGACTGGTCTTGTGATGTCGGAGCTAGTGCTTGAGATGTTTGTGCAGGTATGACGTCGAAGTCGAAAGATGGGTCCCACTCGCCAAGACGAGGCCTTGATGTCCGTCGTGCAGGTGCGCAGCTGGTCGCTGTTGCGGAGGAGGCAGTCGCTGAGAATTGAGAGGCACCGCCATGCACGGTCCCGGATGATATCGTTGCTGGCGAGGCTGTCAGCGACAGGGAGCCTGCGGGAATCGGCCTATCGCCGTCTTTCGGTCCAACTCCTCTGTACTCCTCCGCATAGACCTCGTAACCCCAGATGGTGTGCGGGGACCAGTGAATGGCGCGATCCGCAGCCTCCGCCGAGTCGAAAGTGACCTTCACCCAGTGGTCTCCTCCTACATACTCGTTGATTTTTCCAATCTGAGAGGCTGAGAGCTTGCTTTTTTGCAGTTCGCGTGGAGGTACGAAAGATAGGCCGAACTTTGGGTCCTGCGGCTGTCGCTCGTATTCCTCGTATATTTTGCCATTTGAGATATCCTCAAACTTGCTGATTGCGGCCCATTGTTGACCCTCGCCAAACCCATACAGTATGGCCTCTTTCGGTATCTTGACTCCATTTGTAGAAGCGCCAGCCTGGAACGATGAGGACAGTCCTCCCGCTTCGAAAAGATTCGGCGCAGATGCGGACACGGGGAGCTGTGAGGCAGAGCTCTTCCGAAGCGACTTCTGCTTGTCATCTGCCTTGTACTGTGCGAAGATGTCGTCGATGTGCTTCAGGTTCTCCTGCTTGGCGAGATCTTGGGCGTTCGATATGTTGGGGGTTTTGCTACGGCTCACTCCACGCTTGCGCGCTTTGCCAAAGGGTCCTCGTTCTTCAGGTATGCGGCGCTTTGAGTTCTCTGAGCTGAAGAAGTGCCACGAGTTAGCGGTTGACCTGAGGTTGAGAAACGTCGTGGGTGGGTAGGTGACGGAAGAATTTCAAACAAGCAATAATCATACCGCGCGAGTACTTGGAAGCTATCGCCGCACCATGCGACAAGCGGTATCGTCGTGCGCGCAGCGAAAGTGATCTGAAAATCACAATAGACTTACTCTGGAAAATCAAATCCCCATGGCAGACGGCGACCGGTCGAATCAAACGCACGCTCGGAGTCAGGTACCGCGTGGACCTGCATCGTGTCGCGTGATCGTGAAAATTGACTTGGTAGTCCACGGGTATCGTTGAACGCTTTGTTTATGATGTTGATCATGGGGAGAAACATGAAGTCCGCGGTTGACAGCCACAAGTGGCTGGAGCGACCGTGCGCCACGAGCTAACCTTCTCCCGGCGCGTTTCGACGCTTCCCAGTCGAGAATCATAATGAATCCTTATTCGCTGACGACATCGCTGCTGCCTATTTGTTGTGCTGTGGAGAGGTATGGATTTGACGCCCGTCAGGATCAGGGGAAAGAGGAAGAGACCTGGAGCCGCGAAATCAAATCTGCAAAAGGCACTGGAGGCTTCGTCATCGCAGAGCAAACGGCTTCGACCAGCCCAAAAGCCCGTCAGATCGAAGAAGAACGCAGATACAGCTATGCCGACCCTGCAGGATCTGCCACAGGAGCTGCTGGAGATGGTTTTTCTGTACAGCATGAACATTTCTCTCCCTCGTGCTTCGCCCATACTAGGCCGCAAATTGTCATCGAAAGCCGTCGTCGTGGAGTTTGTCCTACAGTCTTTTTATCACACCGTGGATCACAAAAGCAACTACCGAGACCGCGAGGTGACCAGCGATCCTGTGATTCAATCACAACTTCTGGCGTGTCGATTCTTTACCTGGGAGTTTTTCCGCGCATATGTGGCGAAGGCACATAGCTCATACATTCAGCAAAGAGGTAACATATGGAAAGACGCCAGTGCCCAACCACTTGGCGTGGAAGCCTTTGACGGACTCTGGCCTTTTAAATTCATGAAGGTCACGTATCTTGGTTTTGCGGAAGGTTTCCATATCCCGGATAAAGTGCTCCGTGGACCTTGGACCACCGACAAGGTGTCACTTCTTTATGTGCTAGTGTCTGTGAATGGAGAGATCGACTGGGAAGGGAGCATGGCCGGTGAGATCGCAAAAGCCGGCCTTGTACAGGCTATCAGAGAAAACAATGAGCGAGCGGTGGCTGCTTTAGCGGTGCTATTGGGCGTCGCACAAATGATCAGTACGAGTCTTATCCGACAGGCGGTCATAGAGTGCGGGTGCAACCTCAACATTGTGCGGCAACTTTTGTTTAACGCTCAAATACTGCATCAGAATTTGCCGAAAGAATCTCTCGATTTCTATGGTCAGTCATCCCAGGACACGCTAATTCCAAGACATCCATTGACTGGCTTGTAGATTCGGCACTGTGGCGATGGGCGGATGCACACGAGGGGAAGGGAGTGCTGCTGAAGGATCTGCTCCGCAAAGCCGACAAATTTTCGCTGGAATTCTATCTGGAAGGTGAGGAGGGTACTCAAGCAAAGATTGTGCCGTTTCCATATGGTGGAGCCAAGTTCGACCCTCGAAACCAACTCAACAATGTCGGACGTGAGATGCTGGTGCGCCTTTATAGGAGCTATGGAAGAAAGATGACTGTAAGCCCGCAGCGTAGAAGACCACGTAACGACGAACTGGAGGTTTTGAGTGAGGAGGGACAATGAGGATGAACTGAAGTGCCTATAGAAGCTAAGCTACGAGGCGTAAGAAGACAGCCTTTGGACGCATGCCAAATACAATACTCGATCAAGTTCATAGCCCAAGTTTCAACACCGGACGCGATGCGTTTCCAGGCAAGATCTGAGGCCCGTGTCCTGTTACTACCACTACTGAGGCAGCAGACTTTGTTCTACATCTAACAAACTGCGAGCATATCCAAACTTTGAGTTACAACCCTGCTTTGGTACGTTAGTAATAGTCCTGCGTGAAGGGCAATGCGAAAATGTGAGTGTATGGTTTCCTCAGTGATCTTGGTGGAAAAGAGTAAAATCAGCCCCAAAGGGTCATTTACTATCTAGGCAAAGGTTTTTAATCATTGGAAAGATGACGACGTGTAACGAACAACCAAATAGGGGCAACTTACCACGGGAGGAAGTAGTTGACGAGGATTGGGGCTGTGGGTTAGTCAAAGCTATCGATGCATCGAACGCGATGTGATCTATATTTGCTGACGGTTAGCTTTGACACATATAATCGAATGCAGTGACAATAGTCAACGTGAGAAAGCACTCAGAATATGTAAGAAAGTGAATATCATGGGTCCTAGGCCGTTAAGAAACCCCGGCGAGGGTCTCCGGCAAAGGACTCAATCGCAAATTTGACTCATCATTGAAGGATTGAAGAAGAGAGAGATGCAAGAAATGCAGGCATACCTCTACGAGCTACAGAGCCTGTCGCGCTACGACGTCAATACCAGTAAAGTAGCAGGACAGAACGAGAACGCTGCATACACGTCGCGATGAGCGTGAAGCTGCCCGCTAGAAGGGTGACACCGACGACTTGGACTACCTGCAAGTCGAACGAGAATGCAGCTGTTTTGTCGAGTTTGCGCGAGCTGAAGTTGAGTTGGAGGGACGTTGCAGGAAAAGAAAAGTTAAAGAGGGCCGCACTTTCCGCGCTAGTCCACGTGATTGTTCGCTAGTCCAGAACAAGCACGGCCGTCCTCGCTTAGATTTTGGCTTGCACACTCGATCATCAAGCCGCACAGCACACCTTCGACCGACAACTAACAACACAGCAAACGACTCTCCTTCCGACCGGTACGCCTACGACACTGTTTGCTACATACACTGCCAGATTCTGACCTGCAATTGTAGCACATACCGTCGAAATGGGTGACGCTGATATCACAACGAGCCAGTGGAGGCTGGTCGAGGTCGGCCGCGTCGTTGTCTTCAGCGGCGGCCAGTTCGATGGACGATTAGCCACCATCGTCGAGATCATCGACCACAAGCGTGTATGCATCTATCGAAATTCCGGTTCTTGCGCGCCGCTCACAGGATGCTAGGTGCTCGTTGACGGTCCCTCCAAGGACGCCCCTGTCCCCCGCCACGCAATCGCCCTCGCCAAGGTCTCCCTCACCCCGATCGTCATTCCCAAACTTCCCCGCGGCACCGGACGTGGCTTCGTTGCCCAGCAGTGGGAGAAGGAGGAGGTTGACAAGAAGTGGTCAGAGAGCAGCTGGTCCAAAAAGCGCGCTCAATTCCAGAAGAGGAGGCAGCTCAACGATTTCGAGCGCTTCAAAGTCATGAAGCTCAGGAAGCAGGTTGGTTACCATAATTCTACATCACTTTATAGAGCGTCGTATTTTGAAGAGCATACCACTGACTGCTTTATAGGCCCGCTTCGAGGTTCGCAAGTCTCTCGCCAAGGTCCGCAGCGCAGCATAGATGATATCAACGGCGTCGGGGGGTACGGAAGGCGGGTGCATCGTCCCAGGTCACAGCGGAGGGCACCCGCATGTCATGAGCAACTCGAAGGGCTATTCACGGCATCCAAAATTTCCAATCCTAACTGGGGCAAATGATTTCCTGTTTGGTACGGTGCAATTCGGATCTGGAGATTAAGTCGACTCTCTCATGTGAGCGCATGTAGAAAGAGTCAAAATCCCAAAGTTCATGAACCCAACATTAGCATTTCTGTAATTGATATCCGGTTTTTGCACCACATGTCTGGCGCGCGACGGAGATGCCACGAACGTGAATTTGAAAATCTGTCTGCCAGTCGCCTGGTTAAATCAATCTGCAGTGTTCAACAGCAATGCAACATATATACTTCCGTGTCCCTAGCTACAATATATTGCGGAGGTGACGTGATGCACAGCGCAAATGCCAGGTAGATCCACAATTGCATGGGCGGTGCGGAACAAAATTGAAACAGGAAAATAGTCATACAATAGGATACAGCATCTATCAATTGATATAGGGTTTCTTGATCGTTTGCTCCGTCCGTGTCTAAATCCGCGTTCGTTTGTGAGGGCGCCAAAAGTGAGTTTTCGCTTAAGCTCAACCACAGCACTAACCTAGCCCAATTTGCGATCCCTCCACACGAACTTCCACACACATCAACGTCAACATGGCCAACCCACGCATTGAGGAACTCCCGGACGAGCCCGAGAAGAAGAACGTCGAGGTCGAAGATGCAGAGTCTGACTCTGACTCCGAGGGCGAGGCCGAGGCCGAGACTGGCGTCCCTGCAGGCGCCTCGGTCACTGTGCACTCGCGCAACGAGAAGAAGGCACGCAAGGCCATTGGCAAGCTCGGCCTGAAGCACATCGAGGGCATCACCCGTGTCACTCTCCGCCGGCCCAAGGGAGTGAGTACGACCTGCGCAATGGGTGCTGGGGATCCCCGCACAACGAGCTCTCCAGCACCCGCGTTACCGCGGTTCGAAAATTCGCTGACAGCGACACCCAGATCCTCTTCGTTATCAACCAGCCCGATGTTTACAAGTCGCCCTCCAGCAACACCTACATGTATGTTTGACCTAAAACAACCCCGCATTGCGTCACTAACAGGCGTGCAGCATCTTCGGTGAGGCTAAGATCGAGGACTTGAACTCTACCGCCCAGGCCAACGCTGCCCAGCAGCTTGCTGCTCAGGAGGCCGCCAGCCACGACCACTCCGGCCATGACCACGAGGGCCACGACCACGGCAAGGGCAAGGCTCCCGAGGACGCCAAGGAAGACGAGGAGGAGGACGACGACGACGATGACGAGGAGGTTGACGACTCTGGTCTTGAGGCTAAGGACATTGAGCTCGTCATGCAGCAGGCGTCCGTGTCAAGGAAGAAGGCCGTCAAAGCACTCAAAGAGAACGACAATGATATTGTCAATTCCATCATGGCGCTCAGCATATAGGCTGGTAGGCTTGTAACGCGTAACGGCCGCGCTTACGGGACACGAATGGCTTTGTCTGAGCGTTCGGGAGCCTCTGGCACTTCTAGAGTCATGTAGAAGCCACACACCAAAGATATGGTTGCTTCATTATGACAATGCTGCAGTCTTCGTGTCGTGATGATTCTGTTGTTATTCAATCCGTCAGTATGGCGCCCTGCACGTAGTCTCAAACTATAAATGAAGATGTACCCGAAGCATCAAGCTGCTCTCAGCTCTTGAAAGCACCCGTCAGTGCCCGACCTCGGGCGAATGCTGGGGCTTACATAATGAGCGCCAAGCCCTTCTCCTTCGCTCTTGCGGAACTTTGACCTCCCTCACCGCGACCCATCCCCACCGAAATCCGTCCCAATCCATCATCACAATGGCTGTTGGAGTACGTTTCTCTCCTCTCTCGCACCGTCCAAAGCTCCGTACAGCTGAACTGCTGCTCTGGGAGCGCTCCCCTAGGCTCAATTGCACGCGAAGTGCGGCACTAAGAGAATCCCAAAACTGACACCTCGCAGCGCAGCGCCGCCCTCAAAATTGACTGGACCAAGATCGGCACCCAGCTTGGTCTCAAGGGTCAAACCGCCGCCGCCCTTCAGTCCTTCAAGAAGCGCAACGACGATGCGCGCCGTAAAGTGACAGTGCTCTCCGAGCAGCCGCAGACCGTTGACTTCTCCTACTACCGCTCCGTGCTCAAGAACACGGCCATCGTCGACGAGATCGAGAAGCATTTCAATGCTTTCAAGCCCCAGACGTACGATGTCGGAAGGCAGGTCAAGGCTATCGAGGCATTTGAGGCGCAGGCCGTGAAGAGCGCTGAGGAGACCAAGAGCGTGGTTGACAGGGAATTGAGCGACCTGCAGAAGACGCTGAAGAACATTGAGGAGGCGAGGGCGTTCGATGAGCTGACTGTGGTACGTACATGAAGGAATGGGAGGCAGGGCAGACGCTAATCTAGGAACAGGACGAGGTTGCTGCCGCACAGCCCGACATTGACAAGCGCACCGAGCAGCTCGTTTCCAAGGGTCGCTGGGCCGTACCGGGTTACAAGGTAAGTCTCACGTCGATATTTAATTTCAGGAAGCGGATGGCTAATTCCCTCTTAGGAGAAGTTCGGAGACCTTTCGGTGCTCTAGGCGTTTTCCTTTGCTTCTTCAAAATTCCCCGGTCTGGGTTGTACTACCTACGTGTGAATAGTTTCAAGGTCTCAATGCTATCATAGAACACAGTACTGGATTTCGTCCTATCACTCCGGCCGTGTGCTTTGTCTCGCTGCAAAATCATTGTTTGAGGTCTGGGTATGTTTCCTCTTCTACTACAGCACGATCGGGCCACTTTGATAGGTCTACGGTCATCTGCGTAGTTATCAGACTTTGTGGCAGCGCAGCGTACTTGGAGACCCCCGGGGCAAAGCTGCACTTCATTGTAGCAGTATCGCTTTTATCGGTCGACAGCATTCTCAATAAGGCGACGCACTGCACCGATGCTCCTAGACTTCCCTCCCGCAATTCCCTGTATCTACGGCATCTGCCCTTCACCTCAACTCACCCGCACATTCCCTTTGCCACTGTCGCGCCAGTACACCATCTGCGCGGACAATTTTCCACCTTACACATACAAGTGACCAATTACTTGACCATACTTTACAGGATTTACAGTATCTATCCTTGTCTCAAAGACTCTATGGCCTATACTAGACCCTTATGAAATCACTTAACCCTTCAGCTAAACGCTTCAGTCTTAGTCAGCCTTGCCAAAGCCTCAGCGCCCTTAGTCAACAGAACTTGAGTCTGTGAGGAGAGGTTCATAAGTGTATGATCGTTGCACTCCATGCTTGGTGAACGCAAGAAACGCAAGTGTCAAACACCGTGCAACCTGTGTGAAAGGGCTAATGTGCTTTGCGAGAGCTCAGAGCATATAGAGAACTTGATGAATTATATAGACGGGTGGATTGTATTGTCGAGTATGAACCAGATCGCAGCGCATAAGCACACAACGCACTCAGATTCATTAGTTTCTTGCATGCGTAATTCGTTAATCATTCAATCGTTTATGCTGACATATATATCCAACTACCCAAGTCGCACTTTTATCCTACTCCCACACCCTCCACTCGCCCTCGTTTTCTCTCAATTCGCCCTTCGCCTTTTCCCACTCCCATGTCCCCCTCTCCAATCCGTCCATCCACCCAAGAATATCCCTCCTCTCTCTTCCCAGCCTCACCTCCATGCTCTTCCTCTCCAGCACCTTGTGCTCCAAATATCCAAAACTTTCCTCCTGAACGGCAGTCTCAAATATATTGCGCATCCGCGTACTGTACAGGCAGCAGCTAGATCCGAGCTCCGGGCCTTCGCCGGGTACGGGCTGAATGGTGCGGGTGAACAGCTTAGGTATGGTGGATGGCGCGGATGGTGAGGAGGAAGAGGATGGTACGAGATGTGGCCAGATTAGCTCGTCGAAGCATTCTTGGCAGACGGTGCATTCGGGCAGGACGGGGATGAAGTGCCATGCCTTACGGAGCAGCGGCTTGTCGCGCTGGCACTCGGCTTTGAAGGCGTTTTCGCGCGCGAGCTGCACGAAGCGGGCGATGTGCGGATGTTGGTTGAGCGCTTGGGCTTCAGCGTCGAGCTCGACGAGGAGGTCGAGATACTTTGGGAAGCGGCGGGACTTGACGCGGAGGCTGCACATGTATGTTGGGGGTAGGGGGTAGGGGCCGGTCGTCGCAGGGATTCGCGTGAAGTAGCCCTTTATGCTGGGGAAGAGCTCTTCAACCATTCTGAGGTCGCAGGGGCAGATGGCGAAGTTGGCAACGTGGATGCCATCGCGAGGGTCGGATATTCCGTACCATACAGTATGGTCTGTACCAAGCTCGCGATCGCCCGGACACGGTCGTTCTTGGTCGGAAATGGTGGCAAGATTGTACAGTAGGTCAGGAGACTGCCGACGTTGCTTAATCGTCAAAAGCCATGCAAGCCGCATCCAGGGACTACTGAAGTCACAGAATCGGTCCACGGGTCGCTCGTACCAACGACTTTGTGTAAAGTACCTCGAGAAAGGCGTGTCGACGAAAACGCCTTGGTAGCAACTAGGACAGATGTCGAAGCCGGGGCAATCCTGCAGTGTGTACCAATCGTTGTACTTGGAAGATGGCTCAGCTCGCGGACACGACGGAAGAGGCTTATCTAGACTCAGAGGCACAGTAGTCTTTCTTTCTCTACGTCCTCCATCGTTACCGTTCTGTGACCGGACGCTGTTAGACCTCACCCTCGGCGACCTAGGTATCTCATCTGTAGTATTTGGCCGATTACTAGGCTGAGGACGGACTGGTTGGCGCTCACGAGCTGAGCTGAAGACGGGTGAGTCCAAATGATCTGGTCTTGGAGACGCCGTCATAGGCGTGTAGGAAGCGTAAGCGTGGTCATGTTGAAATTGCTCTTCTGGTGGCATGAAAGCGTCCGCGGGCCTATTGTCAACTGGGTAGGGTAGTGGGTTTCCAGCCTTATGCGCTCTTGCAGGTGAGGGACTTTTAACATTGATCTGCGGCATGGGCACTGGCATGGTTTCATATCGTTCAGGTCGTGTGGTTGGTCTCAATCTGTCAGTCGCGGGAGGGTAGGTGGCATGCCAATCAGCCTCTGTTATCGGCACTCTTGGAAACTGTTGAGCTTGAGCATGTGACGAAGATAGCGGAGAAGGAGGTCGCTCGGATCTTGATGACGGCCTGGAGGCATTGGGCGAGGGCGGTCGACGCGGCGGCAGACGGGGTGAGCGTGGAGGTGATGGGTCATGCTTTGGTCGTGGCGAGCTTGGACGAGAAGATGCGTATCTAGAATCTTTCAAGCGGTCTGTGTCGAGTGGAGCTGGCTTTGATTTTCTGGACTCTGCATGCAGTGACGAGGAGGAAGACCTCGGCGAGTCGGATGCTGGAGTGTGTGACTTGGACGAACCCGACGAAGAAGTAGTCTCTTTGCCTGCTTTTGCGTATGCATCACACCGTGCCAACAGTGGTGGAGAATTGTCCGGTCTCCTCCTTTCCGACTTGGCCTGGCTGTCCAGAACATTTGCCCTAAGATCCTCCTTCTGCAGGTCCGTTTTCACGAAGCTGTATCGTTGTGGTCTTCGTTCGGTGCGGAGGTGGGATGTATCTGACTCGGCGTCGGAGTCTTCGAAGATATCTTCTCGGTTCTTGACGGGCGATGACGGTCGAGAAGAAGAGATGTGCTTGGGACGGACGGGTATTTGAATCGCGGGCTTGGTATTTTGATCGCGAGCATTTCGGCTTTCCCCGCTCAGTACAGATCTCGGAATGCTGGATGAGGAGGGGAGCGATGGCCTCGGGCGACAAGAAATACTCGCCAGGCGACGGTACCAGCGACTCCTTCTGCGGCTTCGTATAGGCGTACGGGGTAGACGTGCGGTTTGTGAACAGCGGCGGGTCGTCGAGGTCGGTCTTCAGGTGCGGCATATTCCCCCCGCTCGACGAAACTTGTACGCCTCTGGTCTCTTGCTGCGCCGCCATCTTCGCCAGGGTCCGAGACGAGAACGAAGCGTCGCTCGTCGTTGGTGGGCAGCTCGATGTCCTCGATGATGGGGTACTGATCGACACTGCCCCGCGATTTCGCTTCACCATCCTCGACCACCGACCCCGCCGACGAGCGAACCTCTCGTCCCAGCGAGGCTGTTTCGTCTTCGAAGCTGGGCGAGGGCGGCCATCGGTTCCTGTGTCGTGTGGTTTGTGGTGGCACGCGGGACGGCGGCGCGGTGTAGCGGGGTTCGTAGCCGTAGTAGGGTGTGGAGCGGTATGTGCCAGACTCGCTGTAGCTGCTCATGGCTGGCTGAGAAGGCTGCGGACGCCTCGCGTATGCGTCTGTGTCGCGGGACGTCTTAAAGGAAGATTCATGGCTTGGAGTGTAGGTATGACGGGTGTCGTAGTTGGAGTAAGCCATGCAATGTGGGATTCTTTGTGACCGAGGTCAGGCGAGCAACAAGCACTGGCAGGGTATTGCCTGTTCTGGGATTGCACGAGCTTTGGAGAATTATCGAGGATGCTGGATTGCAGGACCGAGGGAATGGAAGTGTGCGGTTACATGGCGCAGGGCATGTAGTAATAAGAATAGCGGAGCTGTTGGAGTGAGGGCCGCTCTGAGTACATTTCGAAGGGTCCACTGGCCCCAAAGCAGAATGGACCCATGCACGCCGTCGCACCGCCCATGACTTGCCCGCTCCTCCAGTTCCTGACCGCCGCCGAGCAGCCCTGTGCATCGCGTCGCCGCAACTCCAGAGACGGAAGCGTCCTCGCTATTCTATCGCTTGCTCCGCTAGCTTACATCCGGCACCGACATAGTCTTGTGGAGTACTTGTTGCCTTGTCCACTGGCTTCATGCACCATGTCCAACCACAGGCGTTTACGTGTAGGAGCTGCAGGCTGCAGTACAGCTCGGACCTGCCCCTGTGCTACGCAAGTATGCTTCGCGATGGACTGCTTCTCTTCCTTGTTCCTTTCGTATAATCACTTACCGTCTCTCCGGCGGCACCCTCCGAAGTAGCGGTAAGACCGTACTCCTCCGCCACACCAGCATCTGCCACAGCCACCACATTACCCCGACCCCGCCTTGCGCAGAGCCGCACTATTATACTGACAACGACCGTCATAATGACCTCGCAAAATGTTGTGCTAGGAGCTACAGAGTCGTCAACACATCACTGCTGACTAAATCAATCGTGGGGCTGGTCCTTCATTTACACTCGGAGACGGCAAAGAGACGGAAATCATCAACACCCTCCCCCCTTCTCCTTCCATCTTCATCCTGTGCTACCTGACCAAAATTTCCACGCACCGTCCCACTGTTTAGTTCCTATCCGTCATTCCTTGTGAAACCATGCCCGCATCAAGATATCCCATTTCCGAAAACAATGCCTGGACGCCCGAACACAATGCACAACTCACTCACCAAAGTGAGGCACATTGCCCGCTCTCTCAGGCTGGACCGCTCCAGGTCGTACACATTTTTGAGCGTAATACTTCATCCCTCTGCTTACTGGTACCCCGAGCCCATTCACGATGTGCTCACTCTCCTCAGGCGTCATTCTCTCAACTTCCTTTCGGTTGTCTTTGCTCCAAGTGCTTTCGGGCACGCGAGCGTAGCTGGACGCTTTCTCTTTCACATATGCTTGGACTTGTCGGATGAGGCCTTTGGGTCCCTTCGAATCTTCTCAGCCGGGGGGCGCCTGAGCTAGAAGACGGGGGCACGACGCACCTTGTCCTCCCTCCGCTCTAACACCTCCTGCGCCGGAAGTTCGGTCCCACGAAGCGCATAGTACCCAGTTTGCGTGTTTGCGATTTGACTGAGCTGGTCATGGAAGGGTTCGTCTTGTCCTGAGTGTGTGCCTTCCATATTGCCCGGTTTCTTTTTGCTCTTCTTCTTTTTTTTGTTCTTCTTGGCAGCTTCTGCAAGCCCCATGCTCAGGGCCGCTGGCGTCTGTAAGGGCGTATGGAACTCCTTCGCAATCGGACTAAGCGACATTAGTGGAGGACTAGGTCCACGAAGCGTGGTAGAGCTGGCAATAGAGGCCGAATCTTGTGGCGCAGCGATTTCGGACGGGGCTACGGTGGTTAATAAGGTATGTATTCATCGATGCGGCAATACATACCTTCAACTTCCTGTTCGCATCGAGGCGGTTCACTGGACGCTCCTGCTGCATGGGCTTTCCCGGATGTAGGTGAGTTCACCGAGAAGAAAGCCGTGTGAGGGGGTGTGGAAGCGCTCGTAGGCGGCGACTTTCGATTTAGATGCTCCAACTTAGGGACAGCAATCTGCTGAGGGACTATCTTAAGCTTCCTTTCCGGTTCCTTGGTTTGTTTTTGGTCGCTATGTGACGCAGCAGACTGGGTAGGCTGGGCTGCGATCGTTGCGGCAAGATTCGTATCTGTCTGAATTTTCTCATGAGACTGCACAGCCGGAGGACTTGCGACATGATCCAATATAACCTTTTCGGTTCCCTGAACCAGCACAGACTGTTGAGCTTTCAAGTTCTGAGTTGGCGCAACAAAACTCGCGCGACGCGAGTGCTTACCTGAAGGCTTATCGCTCTGCTCACTCTGCTCACTCTGCTCACTCTGCGAGGGACAATCTTTATTGACGTCGTTATTCTGCGCGCCTCCCTTTTCCTTCACCTTGCCTTCGACCTGAGGCTCTGGCTTGCCTGTTGTCTCGGCCCTGCTCTTCTTCTTGTCTTTTGACTTCTCCTTTTTCTTGGCCACCTTTTCCTTTTTTTGCTGAGCTCTGCTGGATTTTGAGTACGGGTTGAGCGATTCGATCTGCTTGACACCCTGCTTCTTCCCGGTATCAGCTTGAAATGCCCCCGAAGTTACTGCTACATCTTTGTTGTGCGGCCCCAGAAGCATGGCAGCACTCCGATTGACCACCTCATCTTCGTCAGGGAGTTGGGTAGCCTCATGGTGCTCGACTGTGGGTTGAGCGTCCTTTAAAGCTACCCTAGCAGCTACCTCTTCCTCGGTAGTGATGGCGCTCGGACCTGGATCTTTCTGAGCTTCAACATCGCCGTCTGGCTGTGATTCTTGGGCGGAGTGAAAACTGAGGTCATTTTTCTGATCATCATCGGAGGGAGTCTCGTCTTGTGCCTGGGGGACCGCAGCAAGATCATGAACCTGCGAGTCCTCAGCAGCAGATTTCGCGACAGTCGGCTCTACTTGCAAGACCTCTTGCGCTTGCTCAACTCGAGGCAGGGCCACTTCAGTAGGTGCGCTCAGCAGAGGGCCTTGTGAATCGGCCGGTATTGAATCAGATATGCTCGCGGGGGCTAGTTGCACACTAGGGGTTTCATGAACTTCAAATGCTTCTGTAACATCTTCCTCTGCGACGGCCTCCGTAGTGACCCCTTTGAGAGGTGCTTCTTGTGCAACACCGTCCGGACTCTCTTCAACAGTCTCGGTAGTGAGAATGACTGCGGTATCTGCGGTATTTAGACCTTGTGTCAAGGCCTCATCCCGTTTCGTGCTGCCAACAGCCTTGGTAATCGAGGGTGCACTCGCGGAAGCGCCCTCCGTGACCCCGGTCTGCTGATCTTCGCGTCCGGTATGAATCTTCTTCTTGGTCTTTTGCGCTTCAGGGCTTCCGCGTGTCGCCGGAGGGTCAGGCTGCTGTTGCTTGTTCACACGGTGCAGGTCGCTCCTAGCATCCTGAGGTGAATACTGGATCGTCTTTACTGATGGCATGCCATCACCGTTTCCAGGGCGACGTGACTCTTGAAACCCTCCACGGGGATATTGTTGCGAAGACGCACCGACTTGAAAGTAACGCCGCGCCACACTGATGTGCAATCCTTGATCCCTTAACTTCAGATTCTTGGTATTCAATGCTTTCCTTGCATCATCTGTATTATCGAAGATGGCAAAAGCATGAATGAAGTCTTTGTGGTCGCCATATTTGATCTCCAATTTTGCTGGCCTAACACCCGCACATTCTTGGAAAAGGGTCCGGAGCTCATTATCTTGGACATCGCCAGGCAGGTTCTTAACGTAGAGCTGGCGAACGGTATTGTTCTTCGGACCAATGAAATTGTAATCACAGCCAAACTTCTCGTCGTTGGTTATTTTCGGATCGGCCTCGAAGGTGTAGTTGCTGCTGAAGTTTCGTGCCTGTGGACCCTCACCGAACTGACCACTGCCATACCTCATAGCATTCTCGGGAAGGTCTGAAGGGTAAGCGCCGTAAAGAGACCGGTCGAACGTTCCTGCTGAATACTTGCGGCTTCGACCCACGTTGCTCGAATAATTACCACGCCCTCCTTTCCGAGCGCCCGTCGCCGCGAATCCGGCCTTATCGGGCCGCTCTGCACCATATGGATTGAAAAGCCCAGACGGCTTAATGGACTGACTGCTGCGTCGCTGCATTCCGCGTGCATCGGCGCCACGAACTGGTGCGTATTGAATATTATTTGCCACGTCTACAAATGGCCCAACACGTGAATCAGCCGCATTGGGACCATACTGCTGATACGCTGGGTCATGTAGCTGCGGGGGAAGTGGCCCCGGCGGAGAGAACATCGCAACTCGGGGCAACATCTGCAAGTGCTCCATCTGATGAGGATGCATGGGTGGTGATGCCATCGTAGTGCTCAGTGGAAGACGTGCCGCGGGATGAAGAGGGTTTACTATGCCTGGACCCATCGGCATCGTCGGTCCATAACGATGCATAGTACCGCTTAGTGGAGGACCGGAGGGATGTCGCATATATTCAACGGAAGGCATACGGACGTTTTCACCATAGCCGTGCATCTGTGGTGTTTGAGCATAAGGGTTGGACCCTGATCTATCAAGCCTGTGCGCGAGGCGAGGTTGCCCAACAATGTGCCCTGGCATCATAGCGACATGATGGCCCATGGAGACGGCGTTATCTTCGGGGAGGAAAGCTCTATGTGGCTGTGAGAGAGAGAAGGACGGTTGCCGCACTTGTGGACCACTCGGTGCAGACGAAATGAACCCAGGTGCTGCGAATGGCGAGCCAGCAAACGCCGATTCTGCGAATGTGTTAGTGCATGTGCGCGTGAACGGGACCGGGACGTATTACGCGGCCTGACGGAGCCCAGCTGCTGCTGCTTGAGCTCCGTAACTACAGCATGCTCATTGACCGTGGGAGACCACGACTCAGCTTTGCTCGGCAGTCCAGCAGAGCCTACAGGCTGTACTGCATGATACTTTGACACATACGAATGCATACCTCTCCGCAAGACGCATAAAGCATGAAACAGGAATTGGCACGGGCACTCGTCCTGCTCGCCTTCGGTGAAGAACTCGTCGATGATAGAATATTGGTCCTTGGCGTAGCCTATGTGCCTGATATCACTCGCTAGCTTGTCCATCTTGTCGTGGTTTCGCTGACACCATGCCATGGCAAAGTTCGTTGCTCCCGCTGCATTATCGCGGAGAATGAAGTGAAGGACTTCTTCAAGGAAGCTAGGTGATTCGACATGAATATCAGCGTCGTCCCAAAGATCATTGATGCCCCATCCGCAGTTCGGGAAGAAGCAAGGGTACAAGTCCGGACACCTCTTGCGCCAGTAGTTGGCAAAATCGATGACACCCTGGAACTTGTCGCTGCGGACCATTACCGGTGGGGGTGGAATTGGAGGGTAGCGTCGCGGTAGACGGCCGCCGTCGGTGGAGAAGACTGCAGCTCCTGTACCGGGCCGCGCTACCATCTTACGCAGACGCGGGGGCGCGCGAGCAATGACGGTCTTCTCTGAGTCGGCAGGAGAAGCGACAGGCGGCGCGTCGTTCAGACCGGCCTCGACAATGGCGGTTTCGTTGTCGGGGGTCGACACAGGCGCTGGCGCTGGCGTTGACGCTGGACGTTCGATGTCCACCATGATGGAGATGCTGTTTTTGTGATACGCCAAGGGACGAGCCCACGAAAGAGAGAAACGAGGGGTTGGAGAACAGCGTGTTTGAGAGAGGCCTACAGGCAAACGTGACGCCGGGACGCCGAAACGCCAGAAAGGAAAGAGTGATGGTTGAGGAGAAGCGGGAGGGAAAGGAAGGTGCGGGGTGAAGTTAGACAGAGCAGAGTAGCGAGAGTTTTGGGGACTGCGGGAATCAGGAAGGCACGCGTCGCTCGCCTGGCAACCGTGGGCGCTTGACCAAAATTCAGCGGTGAAGCTGAAATCGCGGTTGTGGTCGACAGCACCAAACTAACCTCACCGACTCCCCCAAGCAAAGTAGACAAGCCGCCTGAGAGCGGTACAATGAAAACACAGAGAAGACGAGACAGATCCGGATCAGATGGTATAGGACATTCTAAGCTTTCATCGCAGCTGCAGGGGAAGCTCTGCCGTCAGGCTGGGGCTTTGGAAACTGAAATGATGGGCATGATTACACTCGCACTATGGTGAATCCACGGTACTAGACGAATCAATGAGATATTTGCTTCGAATTGGAGATGCCTGGGCCAATATCGTGCAGCCACCCGTCGCTTCCCACTGTGCGTTTGCTCTTAACCCTGGCACGTGTACGGTGGACCCGCTACACCTGCATGCTCAACAAAACATGACCATTCCGGTGGACTTTATGTACAAACCTGAATCATTGCTGCGGTATTACGCCTTATCAGTCTCCTTTGGGATAGAGCGGAGCATAGACAAGATCTCGGACTCATTGTCTCCGATGACTGCAAAGTTTAGTTTTGTATCAATGAGAATTTGCTGGAGTGATAAACATACCTGCTTTGCCTTGGTTCCAGTCTACCACCTGTTGCCGGTTAGCAGTTCGACCCAACGTAGGTGCGCGACCACACTCACCACGGGCCGCAAAAACGTCTCGCCGTCTGCCTTGAGCCTTCGCATAGCATCTGCCTCATCCTGTGCCCCCGAAACGACTTTTGATGCAGCTCCAGGTCCACCTAGGTAATCGAGAATGGATTTGAGCTGGTCGCTGGTGGGCGGCGCTTCGGTCACGTCGAGCTCGAACTCCATGCGCTCAGTCTTGTCCTGCGCCTGGTGGGAGCTTGCTTGGTCCTCCGTAGCGTGCGCCACTGCTTGCGCGTTCGTTTGCTTTAGTATGGTGAGTACGCGGGTGGATGCGGTGCTCGACGGCTTGTGGAAGAGGGTCACGACGTTCTTCGCGCCATGCTGTGGAATTTGTTAGTGAAGCTGGCTTAAACCAATTGAAACTGTGCCTACCTCTCCAAAGAAGCGCTTGAACATGATTGCAGTTTGTTATGCTCCACGCGAATAGGTGGCTTCGCTGCTGTGCTGGAATGAAGCTGTGTGGAGCTTCACAAGCTGAGGTTGGGATGTGACGTCGCGTGGCGCGCATAGGCTAAATTTGGTATGACGCGAAATCACGGAAGCTATGCCCGAGCTCTTGCATGAGAGAAGGCAAGTCTAGAGTGCTTTTGCGTTCGATGTAAGGAGACAAATACTTTCAAACGTATCCTCTGAAGCGTGGCGTGCATTCGATAGGGCTCGAATGCTGTAGATCTGGCTCCATGCTGTGCAATGCATAGCTTTGCTCTGATCCCATCAGCGAACCGCCATGCTACTTCAAGGAATGACAGGTTCGCGACCAGAAGGGCATGATTTCAAAACAGCTCTATCGCCACGAATCTTCTTGTATACATTGGCTCATTCAGTCACGGAGGCGAAACAATAGACAAGGCTTACACTGTCGGCGACAACCAAAAGAAAGCGTTGCGAAGTGGAAACACGATGACTCGTTTCGTATGCAGCTCAGAAAGTCGAATGTACATGGACGCCATGAATATGCCCCTATCCTCCCAAAGCCGTGGAACCTCCAGCGAACAGACATGCCGGAGTCACATCCATGCCGTGCCAAGCCTCACAATTCCTCTGATCCAGAGTCATAGTTCATCCGGAGAGAACCGAGTCCATAACAAAAGATTGAGTGTGCGTTCCACATATTTGCGTTCCCTTTTCCATCATCGTTTACGATCCGGGGTTGGGGTTCATCTGGAGATGCGTCAGTGTCCGATGCTTCAAAGATCCGATGGCTTGAGGTTACGCACCTTCCTCTTTCCACCGGTCATAGTGACGTTCACGAAGCGGCGGGTGTATGTGAGTCTCTTCTTGGCGCGGCCCTTGGGGGTCTTCTTCTTCTCTTGAGGCTCAACCTGCAGACTAGAGTATCAGCGAACCGTGTCCAATCAGCAGCAAATCATGTATTGCGCAGTTTCAGACAGATCTCCAAGATTTGGCTCTCCTCTGGATCCGAGCCGTGCTCCAGATTCTCTTTCCTTACGATCCATATATAACCGGTATGCGTACCTTTGGTGTCTGAGACTTGACCTTTCCGGCACGAGCGAGGGATCCGTGGACTTTACCCATGATTGCGGTATACCGGTGCGATAAGGGGAGTAGATGCGCGGTCGGTAATCGAAGTTATTTCTGTGTGGCGAAAGACGATGTTAGCCACATGTGCGACGCCTCAAAGATTGGAGAGAGCGCAAAACGGTCGGACCGGAATTTGCTGTAGCCGGAACGTTTTGTTATAATGGAGATGCAATACGTACGGGGTGCGCTGGTTGTCGTGGTCAGGCGGTGGCTCTGTGGGCCGGCGACGATGCTGTGGTCGAAATCAGTGTGGGAGGGGTCTTGGCGATCTGATTAGATGGCAACTGCAATCGCCGAACGACATGCGAAGAAGCAACGGGCGAACGTCAGGCTCAAGCAACGGCACTTGTACATCTATCGTCCTCGAAGTCAATACGTTGCTGCACGCTCAGCCTTTTCAATAATGTTCTTGAAGGGCTTTCAAACAGCAGAAATTGACAATTAAGCTGACCGGGTCCCCCACGCAGGCGCTCGGGTGATCTTGTGATGCGATACACTACTGCGACCCTCGATATCCTTCATCCAACCTCATCTAAACCTACACATCTTTCCTCAACCTGCGCGGTGAGGGCATGATACTTATCACTCGACGACGTTGCACATACTGCATTTCTCACAGCAAGCACTATGCGCCTAGGAACCGCCCTGCTTCCCGTCATCTCCTTGGCCTCGGCGTCCGCCGTGCCATCGTGGCACGACAAATCCGCGCACGAAGTGTACCACGATACAGCAGCCTCTTATAGGATACCCACCGTACATGAGTCCGCCGTCCTAGCCCGCCGGATCCTCGACATTGAAAAGATTGCCACGCTGTCAACCATCTTCCCTAACACACACACTACGGAGAATCGCCCCTCAGATGTTGGAGGCTCACCCATTGGCTTGCCAGACTACTTCGCCAATTGCGAGCCGGACACGGGCAACCCTACCATCCTCGAACTCCCGATAGCGACCTCGTTCAAGAACGTACAAGCTGGGTCCAATATCTCCCTATCGCTAAGGTGGCATGCGCCCTATAGACATTGGTATAGCGTAGCTTCTGTGCCTCGCTTCAGCCTCGTTGGCTACCTAGAGGAGCTCACGGACGAGGAGGTCAAGGAAGAAAGCATAGCGGCTTGCTTCGTGAAGAAGCATCCTGACGCTGCTGCGTGGTTGCCAGGCAACAGGATACACGTTAGCAAGTGGGTGCGCTTTGTTGTTCAAGAGATTTATTGGATTGGGGGCTTTGGGGACCGCGCATATATTGGATGGATTCCGCTGGAAGAATGGCAGAGCGTGACTCGAGAAGAGATGGAGAAGGCCAGGCTCCCAGGTGAGGGGTCGGGAAGGAGCTCGTGGAAGTCATGGTTTGGGTTGAATGACAAGCAAGAGATGTTGGAGCTGTGAGGTACCAGGCGCCACTATAGCACAGCACTGCGGAGATGTAATATCGGTGGCACACTTGCTTGCCACGTGCTGTGACGTTCGGACTACAATGGCAAGTTGGTCGCTGGGGCTTGTCATCCGTACGTGTCGTATACCTGTAGATTGTACATGAAACCACACAGCTCAACGATTCACGCTGATTGTCGACGAGGCTTGCATGCGTACCACATGGAACAATGTCGCAAACTACCAGTCGTGCATTCACGAAGATAGCAATTCCCAGCGCGCCGGTCCTTCCTATACAAGACTGCAAGCCACAGCCTCGATGCACACAAGGTCGCCAAATACGCTCATCTCCCGCCCAAACGCACGCCCATGGCCCTCATCTGCGCAACGACGGTCACGACCCGCGATATTCCCTGCGCAGCTCCCCTAGGCGAAGTGAGACCATCCCCGCGCAATCGCACCGATCCACGACGACTGCCCCACTCAGGCAGCAACGCACCGCATACCTCCGAGAAGCGCTCGCATGAAGGTCAGGTTGCGTTCTGAGGCGTCTATTAGGCCCGAATGGATGACGTTTCCTTTTACCCTTTCTACATGGCTTCCGCGCACATGAGTCAGCAGCCCCCAGAGAAGGGAACTTGCCCGCACTGATCTTCCGGGAGCTGGCCTGGAGACGGTGGAGATCACCCTCGGCGCGCTGATTTACGTGCATGCCGGGCGGCTGATGCGCCTTCTCTTAAATCCAGTCCCTACCGTAGTTTCTCCAGTAGCCGAGTACGATGCACCGCGATGCGGCACGACTCGTAGCAGCCACCCATGGCGCTGGCGCGTTGACTCGCGGCGTTCAGCCGGAGGCAGTCGTCGCAATGAGCAGAAGGTGCAGCGATCTCCTGGGACCAAGGCGCGCCGTCGCTTGTCGAAAACCGACGTGCTGGGAACGCTGGCAGCACTTGAGAGGTTAGCTGTCGCAAGCAACAATGGAACAAAGTTGATGCGACATGACAGCTGCAGCGGCCGTCGATTGAGTTCGCGCGACACCTGACCGCGCCTTGTGTCACCAAACCTTGGCGGAGGCGGCGCCGGAACCTGGCCAGAGAGACTACGAGTACAGAGACGATCCCTGCGCAAGGCCCGGCCTGCGGTGGGCTCCCACGTTGCTGAGCAGCCGGGCGGAGAGGAGGCGCAACGGTCTCGTGGAATCTTCCATTTGTGGGTTAGACAGGATTGCAGCCGGGACGAAGGTTGTTGCCGTGGGCATCGAGGTGCGACGTTGCTGTGTAGTATGTCGAGTGCCTGCGAGGAATCCGCCGAGAAGCAGATATGGGTTGCGCCGTCTCTTCTCTTCTCTCGGGACACTGGTCTTCGGAGCATGACGCTGTAATCGTACGAGTGCTGCCATTTCTTGCTTCTTGCCATGCTCCATCCCATGGCAGTGTCATCACATCACACTAGCACGCCGTCTGTCGTGCTTCCCCGTCCAACATTACATGCGCATCCAGCGAAGGCTGAGCGTGCCGGCTGCATGGTATGACCCGCGATCCCGGTCTCATGTGCTCCTTCGCGGCCGCCGACGGCATCGCAACACCTCGCCGAAATTCGCTCTCCCAAGTACTCTATACCGGAAGTCGCTGCAGCCCCGACCCGCCTCGTGCAAAAAGGCTGCACAGATCAGCATGTCTGCGGATCGGGTGAACGCCGGCCAGTGCGTCCCCGTAACGCTCGCTCGCCTGATGAGTCGAGCCCGCCAAACCCTTTCGTCCATGATGATATCCTTCATTAGTGAGACGCGGCAGAGGGTTTTGGGACGACTTCTCGTTGCTTTTTGTTGCCAACGACATGCGTGCTCCATCAGTAGCCTCGGGCTCGGCCTCGGGTTGGTCTAGCATGAGCCTCCGCAATCCTTCCACACGTGCTCACATTCCTTCCAATCCATTGCAACGGCTCGTCAAGTTTAACGAACGCGGAGTAGATTACAGTGCACTGAGCTCGAGCTCCTGGGGATCCTCACACGCATGCGTACCGCTACCAGACGTGTCAGCAGGCTACTCAGCGCAAGACCGCCACCGGCCTCCCTGGACATCCCAAAGCGATTGTGAGTGCATGTGCAGAAATCCGAAGGGTTGTGCATGCCGTATACCTTTTCCTCTCTCAACGGTTACAACGTCCCGTCCGAGCAGATCGTCCTCCCGATTAAGATCTTCGGCACAGGCAGACCGAGATGTTTTTTCTCTCACGGCTGCAGGTACACGCTCGCGAACGATCGCATTTTAGTACGAGGGGTTCACATCGCCCGAAGTAGAGGAGTACTGCTTTAGTTGTAAAGTCAGGAGGGGCTCCGGTTCGATAGCCGGGTGGGTAGCGGGCGTCTAGATTTGCGAGCACTTCGCATTAGAGTAACGTCTATCTACAACGGTGATAGCAGATTGTCTGGCCTTTGCATCTCGGGCAAGATGGGCGAGATCCACGCAAATCATTATCGAGCGAAAGGGGTGAACTGACTCCTGACAGCCCTGCATCGATCACTGTTATGACTCCTATAGAACGCCTTCCTAGCCCGATCTTACCATAGTAGTATGTGATTGCTGATGCTCCAGCACTTAGTAGTCGTTGGTATGATTCTCCCCACTAGGACGCACGTTACACTGATAGACCCTTCCCATGGACTTGGTGAAAGACTGGATGATCCTGGCCCCTGGCAGGCCTAGCAGCAGCGCGTGCTCGTACCCTGAGGGTAACAAAGATTGGCAGTGTCGTACGACGGCAGAGCATGTAATCTCAGCTCAGACTTCACCGCCCGAGGCAGCTCTTTGTCTTGTATGCAGGCTGAATAACTGGCGTCGGTAAATGCGGGAGCGGAAACGGTCTCAGGGGAATAAGTTTCAATGCTCCAAACCGATCGACGCAACACCACACACAGCAGACAGGCATCGACGCGTGTACGTTTCCGCCCGTCTAGCTTCGGCGAGTCGCCCGTAACATCCTGAAAATGACAATCTGATCGCCCCACCGGCACGGCCTTCATGCGTGCGTGCGATGCTCATTGGCAATTGCTCGACCGTCAAGTGTAGCGTGAGCGTATTCCCCAGTTGTTCATGCAACCAAGGACTACGCGGCCTCGTCGCACCCTCGAGATGGGTTTTCAGGAACGGCGCCGGCGAATGACAGGACAGCGCTTCAAGGGTGCTCCTGGCATGGCACATAGCAACGGCTACTATGAACGTGCGATTAACTGTCCAATTTCTACCTGACGTTGCGGTTTCCACTACAAGGAGCTTGGGCCAGGTGTCAATGCGTTGCAGAGCGAGCATCCTTACACCGCCAGAGCCAAGTGGTAATCTCACGGAAAGCAGGCGGAGTGGTGGTGAAATCTCTGGATTTGGTCTGCTTTCGCAGAGCGACAAAGCGGTTGTTGCTAAGCGCAGGATGCATATAGTACAGTGGCGGCAAAAGCACTCGCCGAAACATTGCGACTGGCCCAAAAGGCGCCTGGTCGTTGTTGATCAAAAGGCGACATACATCTCCTAAGTATTGACAATGAAAAAGCTATGGGTACAAGCCCGTATCGTAAAATCAGCGAACGCCATGGTGATGCAGTAAAAGAAACATTAGATGCCGCTTCAAAGAACGCCTGTTGTGGTGCCGTCCAGTGGACTCACACCGACCCATAGATGGTATAACGAACGATTGCGACCGCGCGAGATCCTGATATAATTAAAGGCAAGCAAGGCCGTGATCAGAACGCCAGGATATGAAATAACTGCACAAGTTTTGGAGTCGTCATGTCGTAAGAGTTGTCGATGCGTGGCAGCCTCGCTCGTGACGCTTCATGTTGCTTCGAACACTAAACGCCTTGCCGCAGCCCGGTTGCGGGCATTTGTACGGCTTCTCGCCAGTGTGACTGTGGCTGTGGATGCGCAGGCTGCTGGGTCGTGAGAAGGCTTTGTTGCATGTAGAGCAGATGTACCGGTCTTGCGATTGTGGGAAGGCAGATTGACTCGAAGTGCTGATGTAGTGGTGGTGTTGCCATGGATTCGAACCATTACCAGTAGGCGTAGGCAGCGGCAGAGGCATTTGAGGTTGGAAGTTCGAAGGCAATGGTCGCTGTCCATACATGCTCATGGAGTATGGGTGAGGTTCCGGGGAGTAGAACGAAGCCGCCGACGCCGCGCCTGGCGAGGAGGCATATGGCGACGGCGCGTAGGAAGAAGCACTGTAAGGCGACATGGAGGACTGTGGGAGGGAGGCTCGCTTGATGGCGGACATGTGAGGACCGATTTGTCGTTGCTGGTGTGGCTCCATGTTGTTGAGTGACTGGCCGAGGTAGTAAGAACCGGCGCCAGAATGTGTTGAAGCGGTCGACGGAGACTGATTGCCGTCAACCACTGAGTCCGGATGCATGGGCGGCGTAGGAGGAAGGGTCAGTCTGGGGTGGCTCACGATCGTAGAACCGAAGGCTTGCTCGGAACGACTCTCTGGTTGCTGTTTTGCTCCTGCCGAGCTAGACTGCTGGTCCTGTCCCAGCTGCGGGGAATGTTGTTGTGATCTGGGACTTTGACTTTGTCCGGCTACAGCTGCCGTTAGCGGTATGCAGGAAGAAGTGCCCGGGTTGCCGTTACCCGTCTCAGACGCCGCCTTGTCACCATCCGCAATGTGCAGCAGACTTGATATTGATGGCAGTGAGGGCTTCTGCTCTTCCACTGGTGGCGAAGGTGGCGACTGCGGGTGCCGCTGGTACTGGTACTCGGCTTGTTGCGGGATGTGGGTCGAGTACTGGGAGGGAGCTGCTGCGTATGACGGCGGTTGAGGATGCTGGTGGTGGTGGTGTTGTTGTTGAGGATAGTAGTGTGTCTGTGGGAGTTGCTGCTGTTGGTGTTGATAGTGACGGTCGTGCGCCTCACGTTCCCTCCCGCTGCCGTGTACCATACTAGCAAGATGCATAGCCATGAAGAAGTCACGGGTTCACAAAGAAAGTTTGTGTAATGGAGGGCGAGATGAGGAGGCGATGACGAGAGGAAAAAAGAGACGAGGACGGGTACCAGCAGATGTACAGAATGGGCGCCAGGACGTCGGGGCGTGGCAGAGCCGGACGAGTTGTTGGGCCTGCAAGCGTTCAAGTACGACGGGCGGTTGGCGAGATTCAGCACGCAGGCAGCGTCAACTGGAAGGGCCCGCGGTGACCAAACCGTTGCCGGCAGGGTGGGTCAGACAGCAGCGAGGGGCCCTGGCTGGTGTGTCCTGTGCGGAGGATGTTGCAAATTGCTATTGAGCGGTGGACGAGGCGGACCGTTGTCTCCACGCCGCCAGCCGCTCAGAAGAGTTAGGGAGCGCCGCCTGGCCTGCAACGGTAATGCAGATGACGAACGAAAGCGGTTCAGGAGGGAGGATGCGCAAGCCCCAGGCAATGCCTTGGCTAAGCGATCCGTCCTCGCGCACCCTAGGCTGCCAATCTATACTGCACCGGCTATCGAGCCTGTTGCGGTGTTGAGGCGGTGGAGGCGCACCAGGGGCCCTGCCGGGCAGTCAAGGACAGGCCGTGATGCACCGCAGATCGACTTCCCAGGGAACGAGCGCCGCACACAGGAGACAGGCTGGGGATCCCTCCTCGAGAAAGCAGCCGTCCCCACTGCTGCGGTGGAGAAGACAGAGGCAGTGAGGCAGTGGTGAGCGCCCGCGCAGTGCTGCGGATAAGAAGACGGCAGCCGGAAGAATAACTGAGCACCCTAGGAGGCAATGGGTGGTGAGGTCGGCGATCAAAGCTGCCTGATCCTGACGGCCGGCTAGAGTTGGTGCTGGAGGCTGGTGTGGGTGAATCCGGTAGGGATGGCCTGCACGTTGACCTCGCGTGTGAGATCGATCGACGACGGGCGTCCGCGAGCACCTGCTTCCTGCTGAGCCGTGTGCGTTTTCGATTCGAGCCAGAGTCAGAAGCTGCGTGTTCCTGCGCAGGGTGGAGCAGTGGGACGATGTCTGTTCGTAAGCTCGACAGGATGGCCCTCACACAAGCTCACGCAGCCAGAGCGCCAGAGCAAGGCGTCGAGACAGGCGCGGGCAGGGCTGACGGGGGATTACGTGGTGGGCCGTTGCAACGAGTCGAGCGAAGTGAAGGGAGCGAGCCAGGTCCGGGGTGCCGCTAGCGACCACGGAGCCACAGAGCAGCCTGAGACGCGCGGGCAGAGATGATACACAGTACAGCAGAGAGGGCACCTTTGGAGGACCCTGGGCGTGCTCCCTGTCATATCGTCTGCGCTGCGGCGGCGGTGGGGGAGTCGTCCCGCTTTGGTGGGTGTCGAAGCTCCCTAATGCCGTCCAGTCAGGGCCAAGGCGGTGTCGAGCAAGCAGCAAGCAAGCCGCGGACAGCGACGACGTCGGACGCTACACCGGCCGCTAAGGGCGACGACGGCGTCCGCGATGCACGCTGCGTGGTGAGGTTGCTCGGCCATGGCGGAGGAACAGCGCGGGAGAGGGCAGACAGAGCCTCGTCGCCGTGGTCGTCGTCGTGAAGGTCGTCGCCGCCGTGGTGCGAAGTGTCTACCGGCCGCCATGTCCCTTCCTCCGCGGATCACGCCCACAGCAAGCAGCACGCAGCACCGTGGACGGCACGCTCTCCACCGGCGAGTCGTAAGGTGTTTCAGCACGCTGGCGGTCGCGGTCGCTGGTGCCGGCGTGCCGACCCAAGACGCTTCCGGCAGCCTCTCCGTTCGCGCTACGCGAGCCCTTGTGGCGGGTTGTCGCCGGCCCTTGGCGTCCGCCTGTCGGTCGACCATGTCTTCTTCGAGGGCGGGTCGATCAGCACAAGCGCATGCACTAAACCCTGAAGCCACGTTGGCCCTCGCCCTCTTCGCCTCGACACCGCGTCCGAGTGTCGTAGCCGAGCTGCCGTCACCCACAGTGCGCTCCCGTCTGTTCTGGAACTGCTCGCTGACACGCCGGGCCCGCTCGACCTCCGTTAGCCGCTGTCTACACCACCAAAGCCTCCCTCTTCCGCGCCGCAACACCACGTGTCGCACAACCTCGCTGCTGGGGAACAGAACAGTCTCGCTGCCAGGGGCATCCCAAGCTCACCGCTGCGACCTCGCCTGAGGACATGAGCTCGTCGGGATGCGTCGCCGTCGTACGCTTGCACAGTCGGCGCAACCACCGCCAGCGCTGGGGTGACAGGAGCTGACAGCCTCCACGCTCCGTACGCGCCTGCCCATCATCCGCATGCACCGTATTCGCTCAGCTCTCACCCCCAGGAGACCGTCAAGCACGCGAGGCATTTTCTTCGCACGATTTCGGTGCACCGGACAATTTGTCGTGCAGGGAGCAACGCATGATCTTCCGGGAGAGAAACCTTCCAAGCCTTGTCGTGGTCAGAGCGAGGCGTGGGAGCGCCGCAGGGATACCGAGGCGTGGCCCGTGGCACGAGCCCTCATTTCAACGCTCCGGGCGGGCAAGCTTATTAAATGCCATCCGACACTGGCTCATCATCGTCTCCATCCAATTGCCTCGGTCTGTTCAGCTTGTCAAGTGCTCACTCAACTTGTCATGGTTCCATACGAGTCTGCCAAAGCCATGTTATGCCTTCTGGAGACCTGTCTTCACCGTCGAGAACCCCCCAAGAAGGGTTAAATCGCCTGCCTATTTTGTATCATCTCTGAGCTCAGTTGTCGGGTTACATTGTTGGCTCAATAGCAAAGACCGTATGCCGGCTGCGTGGTTCTGCAAATCTCACGAGTCACCTGGTAACGAAGGGTCGGCACTTCATTACGGATAAAATGGACCAGCAGACCATTCCCAATACAGCATCATGTCGTCCCCCACGCGCGCCGCGATTGGACTTCGGACTATTGATCTGCAGCCTCGTCCTTCACCGTGTATTATATGGGTCTTCGTTGTCCAGTTGCTGCAATACCAGGCTCGTTCAATACACAGTCGAGGAGCCTTCTTTTCCGCTTCTACGCCGGCTGTTCTGCAGCCAGTTTCCTCCGTGCCATGTCAGCTAATCGTTCCAACCGAAAGCCTCGCTTACCGACGACATCCTACCGTAGTCGGCCACGAGACTGAAGTTCGCACTGTGCATGAGCTACCTAGACACTCCGAGTTGAAGTCAAGTGCCTCTCAGTTTGCGCGAATCGCGCATTGCTCGTCGTACAAGTCCGCCGAGTGTTATAGCGCCATGTGAGATTCGAGCCAACAGATTGAAGAGGTCTCTTGAAGATCATGACAAGGAGGCGAACTGGGTCTCGTCTACTTCCATCGGCGGTGATCGGTCGCTTGACGTTTCCGTGCGTTTGGGGCATAATTGGAATAAATAGTTCCCGGTTATACTCGAGTTTAGTGAGGCTGTACACTAGTAACGCCATGACTCTGCCTGACAAGCACGACCTGGCTGTTCACTGCTGTCCTACGCACACAACAATTATCGGGCTCGTTACTATGCAAGATTAGCAAATGACTGATTCAGGATTCTTGACTTCTCAATTAACCTCGAATCTGGAACTGCAACATGCTGCCGTCGCTGGTTTCCTCGATTTTGGCCTGCACATATCGCCTAGCAAACTTGCCACGCTTGTCATCAATTCAATAACCCATCGCTATCTACAGTACGGTCAAAATTGATCTCGGAACGTTTGATTGTTACTGTAGCGTCAAATTGCTCAGAGGACCATACCCGAGACGAAGAGCGGGTTATAGCCACCCCTGACATTGGTTAAGCTTCAGCTCTGCAGCTCCCAGGGTTCATCAGATCTGCGCTCCTTGCGAGCTCCACGGCGATTTCCGTTACACGACGTCCTCTTGGGTCACTCATCGCCTTTTGCGCCCACCAGTCGATATCAACATCGACTGTATCCTTAGCAGGGATGCGGTGGTGAAAAGAAATTTACCACTCAGAGGGAACGATGCCTGACAGAACGGGAACCGAATAATGAACCCAAGACTAAAAGAGGCAGCCACCACGAGCTGCTCCACCGACCCAGCCCCTGATCCATGCACAGCCGTTTTGAGCTGGTCGTCCGAGGGCGTCAACCGCCTCAGCAAGGGTTAAAGAACGGCTGACGTCGATCCATCTCGAATCCTGGCTATCCAACACATCGCGATGTTCTTGGCTGACCACAGCATCGGGGCCAAGTCTCATATCAGCCGGAATACACCCATCGCGCCCACACGAGCAACGCCTGAGTACATGCCCACGCTCGACTTACCTGCTCGACATGTGTAGCTGAATGGCCTTTTCCACACTTTCCTGCGCCATGCCGCCACCTATCTAGAAGTCCGGTGTTCCCTCGGACTACTCAAACTCTAAGGACCCCAAACCAGCGCTCCATGAAACACGAGCGGCTCGTCATTATCTCCGCATTCGGTTGTAGCCACGCTTGCGTCAGCCCCACTGTGGATTTTACTATGTATGCATGAGGTCTTGACTGCGTATAGAGGATGCAACCTTCTAGCCACCAGCAGAACGACGGAAGATACCTGAAACTCAGGTCATTGTTGAACCCGAGCCGATTGTCCTTTCCCCTTCACTGTCAGTGGGCCTCACATTATCGTAGGGCGCAAGTGGCCGATATGTTCCACTTCCCTAAATGTGCGCCGGAATGTCAAGCTAGCCAACGTCCGCGTCTTCTTGCCCCTTGCACCCGTTCAGCCTTGGCGTACCCTTTGGGTATTGATCAGGGTCTTGATGTCCTAACGAGCTATTCAGTCTTCACGATATCGCGTCGCTAGTATAGCTTCAAACTCCATTTGGCATGGTTGCCAGCCGTCTGCACTTCAAAGCCACATGGGTACGCTCCCGCGTCGCCTCGTAGCAATCCTCCAGCAAGCTGCATTTACCTGGTAGCGAAGGAAATTCGATGTGGCTCCCAGAGTGAAAGCGTGGGCGGATTCCCAAAACTATGGTCCTACCGCCCTCGATCAGCCTTCAGAGCCTATGAGACCAATCTGAATTCCTGGCATCCAGGGCGCTCCGCGCGGTAAGCCGCATTATTTTACGAATCGCCCAAACGTCATACGACTTTTGCAGGCATTTCGATCTCGCGCGCCATTTCCACCACTAGGGACAATGGCGGTCTTTCGAACCCTAGCGTCTAAGGAATCATTGGAATAAGATCTGCAGATGTTCGGTCAAGGATTGCTTGGGCAAAACTGTCTATTACAGCACGTGCAAATAATCTGCGGGTCGTCGTCACGCTCGTCAAATTTGATTTGAAGCCCGTTAGACGCCTTCCCCTTCTCACAAAATACTGCATTTCGACCTTGCACCTCCAATCAAAAGGTTTAGGCTAGGACAGGCCCTTCGGACCGTGGTGCATGTCATCGTCGATTATTGAATGCATGCGTGTGTTGCACCCAAGCACGCCTGTCACATTCTCATGAACATGCTCGCTCGCTATGCCATGTCACTGTCCCATGTATGATCTTCAACTGGACCGTGGCTTCGTCTTCGGTTGCTGACGGAGATAAACCCGACTCTATGGAAATTCAAACATGAAAGCTCTGGCCACACCCAATAAGAGACCGACATCGCCGTGCTATTACAGGTGCATCGATAACCGCGCTGCAATCTCAAACGGTCAACCGCGTTCGCTTTCCCAAGTCTGATGGATCACGCACTCCAGGACGGCACGCATTCTCCGCCTGTGCGGCCTGTTCCTTAGCTGCAATACGACCGTCAGCACCACACGGCATTGACGGTAGTATAGTACGATCTGCAGGGTGTTCGAAGGGTCTTGAGGATCGAGGTCAGGACCCACACTGGATGCACAATCCCTGATGTCGAGTCACGACCATAACATCTCACATTGGATGGTGCTTACGAAAACCGGATAATGCCGGGCGATCATGTGCTGAAGCGCCGTGAAGACCTTGTCGGCATCGAAATTGAATGACCTCGGCGCGAGCGGCCTTCATCGTTGACGGGCACTCGAGTACGAATGATTGCTCGTAAGGATGCGGAAGTCTATCGGAAACCTAATCTACGGCCGGAGGATGTAACCATTCATGTGGCGATGATGCAAGCAGCCATGCAGTGAGCATCAGCCGGCAATGAGAGCAGGCGCCAGAGAATCTGTGTCAGACTGCGATGCCGTCTTGCGGGGGCCTTTGGCAGTGAGGTTTGGGGGCTCGCAGGTTGCCCAGCTTATGACGACACATTCACGCGGCAGGTACGCTTCCTCATCATCCCACAGCGTCCTATGCTTGACATTATGTCCTCCGCAGGTGCACCAGCGATCTGCGATAGTTGGCAATCAGCTCATGAGATCATAGAGCATCTGGAGTACTATGACTTGTTGTCTTGACCCTTCTTCCCAGCGTTCGAAGCCTGAAATATCCCATAGTCATCTAGGCACATTGCCAGCCACCCTTCGAGAAAGCGCAGATGCAGCCCTGGACCAGCGATATGCAATCACCCGGTGCTTCCACCCACGCGAGCAAGCGACCCTACAGCGTCGCTACCGAGATCGACGACATCGGCAGGAAGTCTCGGGCTTCTCTGCAGCGAGCTTTCTTGTATGACGTTGCGCAAATGCTCCATATGCAGCATGCAAGGCTAGGTCCGACAGGTACCTTCAACCACCAACAATGGTTGTCCACTGGTCAACGTATCCCCGTCTCGCTCACATGCAATAGAGACTTGTTCGTGTGACTCTCCCTGCAGTTGGTCACACAGTCGGCACCCTTTGCCAACGTCGATCGCCCCGTGAAATACGATCCTGGCCGTGTTATCGACATGAGGCGAGCGCAAGGCTGACCCAGAGTCAGCTATACTTGCTTGAGCCCAAAAATATAAGCTATCAAGACTGGCGATCTCGATGGTAAACCTCCAACATCAGCACCTTCCGCATGAGGACCACCCTACTCCAAGGCTGAGGCACTTTGCTCAGCGTTAGTTTGGTGATGTACCATCAGAATCGATTAACAAGTATAGGTCGATTAACAACCTCGTGAGAGCGATGCACGCGCGTCTTCGGCTCGCGAGAACGAGTGTTGGGCGTATACCATGCGAGCTAGGAACGGTGTGACTACCTCATATACATGAACCGTACATGCCCACACTGCGTATAGCAGCAACGACTACGGTGAAGGTCCAAAGCAGATGAGGGACATGTTCCAGCCTCTCTTCAAAGACTGGCTCTCTACGACCGTTCGCATACAGATCAACGGCTACATCCCAGGCCGCCTATCTGCCGCGCTCGTGCACTTTCTTAGAGACCAGGAGAACGTATGCTGTTGGATAAGCACGAACGTCTCTTGTTCAGCCAGCCATTTTCTGCCGCTCCCCTTTGGGCTGACTCAGCCGATGCATGCGATCTATAAACCTCATATCGAACGTAAGCTCGGAGAGATAGAATGATAGACCGATATCTTGGTAAAGGGATCATTTTCAGCTCATGCGTCTTCGAACGTAGAGATTGGTCCCTGAGGTAGGTACCAGATCGATGTTTCCCTTAGTTTATCTCCACTAGCTCGTTTGCTACATCAAGCCGTGATAGAATTACGTATTGCAAAGTAATCTTATGAAACGTCCATGTAACGTAGGCCGGACTGTGTTGGACGGAGACAGTGAGTGGACACATTACGTAGTCTATGCTGTGTTCTATAACATAACAAATCTGCGGCGGCACATGCTATCAGCTCGTCACCGATTGGCAGAGTTTGCAACGTAAGTCGATCTCCGGGTGTCGCTTGTACACGAACCTCTCCGAAACCACTATCACACGCCAGGCTCATCAGGTAAGCAATAAGCCGGCCAGTCTCCATGTGCCGTTACAAACAACAATTCGACCAAGGCATCTATCGAGTATACGTCTACTCTTCTTACAGAATCCTCTGCTTTTAGGCCACTGGATATTTAGGATAAGTCGAACGCATTCAGTACCCCCTTGGACCACGTTCCAGCTTCTGCGCATCTGCCGAAGAGCACATTCTAGAAGGGAAGAGTTGGGGCTTTTCGCTCTTCTGACGGATACGATACAGGGCGTCTAGTAGCTTGATCACATGGCCCTGGCCCCTTCGTCCACTATATTATATAGGACCTTCAAAATGCTATCTGCTTTGGTTCTATTGGAAGGTGGGGGCAGAAATTTTACAAAGCACCGATAAGCTATGTCTGCCCTAGAAAATATTGCGACTACTTCGGTGTGCTAGATAAATTGTCGTATCTCTTGGACCTACGACTAGTCCATAGCAGGACGCAAGAGTTGATCGAACAAGCTGGTCCGGATTGTGTCCAAGTCCAATACCGCCTGCACTTCTTCGTCTGCTCTTTCCAAGAACGCCTCGTCATTCCACAAAGGTTGCCATCCTAGTCGGTAAGAATTGACGGGTTCAAGGCCGCCACTCGCAATGCCTGTTAGACGGGTTGTCAAGTGGTGGAAGGGGCTCTTACCTGGCAGTACCCATGGCTCGAATGAATTGAGCTGGGAAATGCAAAGCCTCCGCGGCTTCCTCATCACTCGGCCAGATCTCCAGTTCCGGGTCCACTACGAGTCCACGTGCGTACAATGAATTGGCAATAGCTTGCATGTAGGCCCACCACGGCGCTCTATGAGCCATCGCGAAATAGTAGCCATTCTTGCCGTTGGGAACGTCTTGGTTTCGCAGTATCCTATCCACCAGAATACCGTATAGCGCGACAATATCTGAGATATGCGCCGCAGGAGGACTCTATAATCGATTGCGCGGATCAGTCATCGAGCCCCGTGAACAAGTATATGCCCAGGTGATGTCGAACTTACACCATCTGTGTCGAATTTGTGTACTTTCTTCAGTTTGATTCCGGCTTGAATGAGCGCTGGAATGAGGATGGAAACTTTCCTGCATTCGCCATTGCCCCTTCCATCTATCTAGATTAACATAGCACCACGATGGCCTTGCGGGGACCACATACAAACATTCGGTACCACAATAATGAAGCTCGTGACGTCGCACTCTTCGGCTTTTTCAACTGCTACAAGGTTGGTCTGTATCTTCCATCAGCTGTTGCTATTACTGTACAAGTAGACTCACTGACCTGTCGGACTGGATGAGTTCCACCAAGCTCTTTTTCCTTCTCGTAGATCGAGTCGGTGTCTTTAAGCATTCCATGCGGCCACCCAGCCTCTTCCGAGAATAATGTCGTGACTGATGACTGTTCGTCATATTCAGTAGTATATCTAGTAGCTTGATGTCTGAAGACCTCACATGTATGAAGTAGACAGGCTTTCCGGTCGCCGCACGGCGCCGTCCAAGTGCTTGAATCAAGTTGATGACGAGCAAAGGGTCTGAAGAGTTCGCTGCATGGACAATGATATCAACTATTGCGTGTTAGCGGGATCAATGACAAGACTCCCAGGGATCTCACTTTCGTTTTGCTCGACCGCGGCCGTCACAGCTGCTTCATCATTGATCTCGAACCGAAGTACATTGACGCTAAGCTTGGAGAGCGCCTGGGCCTGTTCCTCGGTTCTGACGACGGCGTTCAGAGTTGCTGCTGCGCTCAGATTTGTGTGCGACAGGAAGTCGGCAAGAATGGAGCCGCCGCTACACTTCAGTCAGTGGCGCTTTGCCAAATACGCAGAACACAAACATATATCCTGCTGCGCCAGTGATCAAGATGCCCGGAGCGCGGTTCATGGTGCTTTGCTGTGGTCGTTCGCTGCCTTGACTTCATGATGGACGGGATCCCAACGTTAGTTATAGTACGGGTGCAACGCCATGTGGGACTTGTGCGAACGGGTGAATGGTCTTTCGACATCAGCGTAGATGCGCGGATTTGCATGCGATTGCGGGGAGGATGATTCGCCGTCAGCGGGAAGGGTCAAGGACAGATGCCTCAGCCAATGACGTGGAGCGTCGGAATTGCGCGCGTTTCCGCAACGATGTCGAAGCCGCCAAAAGTCTCCGAAGCTTCATCCTGATTACGAAGCCTAGCACACCTCATTTGGTCGAGGGCGCCGCGACCTGCAACCGTCTCACAAGCACGCCCGCCTCAATTCAACCATGGAAAGGCGCGGAGATACGGCGGAACGCCAGGAAAGGACGTTTCGAGTCGGTCGACGCTCAGTAAGTATGGTCGAATCCGCTGCAGTTGATGGCTCACGAAACGGAACAGTGTGATCAGTGTCGTACCCGTAAGGTCGGTTGCGACCGCGGCTCTCCGTGTGCCCCCTGTGTTTCTGCACGTTTGTCTTGCACCCATAGCGCAGTGGCCTCTAGTTCTGCTAGCCCCAAACAAAGAGTATTGATATCTGCAAAATAGTAGGTCCGCATGCTCGTTGTTCTAGCCTTGGGTATACCACAACACAAACCTGACCTTATAGTGAGCAGAAGATTGACGGCATCGCTGAAGATATCGATGGAATCAAATACTTGCTGCAGGCTCTTCAACTCAACGGACCCGGGGCTCAGCTTGAGACCCTACCAATGCTCCAAAGGATGCAGCACAACTCAGCATCGCTCCCCAAAGATACACAACAGATCCCTGAAACAGACGATGAGATTGCATGGGGCCATTCATCGCACATGATCGATTTCATCAAAGCTATTGTGAGAGACGGAGCCTCACGATCAATTGATCCTGAAGCAAACCAGGTCCTTCTATCGTTGCAGAAGCTATTGCATACACTCGAGGCCCCTCCCCGAGCTCTGAGCATGCGATCTTCACAAGAAGAAGCGACTGCACCACGCGTTGACACCTCCATGCCGCCACAAGAATCAGTTGTGATCGTTCTGAGATGGGCGAAAGGTTCGGCTTGTACTTACGGCCGAAATCCACGTACTGACCAGCAGCAGAACATGCCTCTAACGCTAGAATCAGTTGGCTTGCAAACATACTTCCCCTTGACAGGTTTACTAACATCTGCCAGAACGTATATTTTTCAGTTCATGAATATTCCGAAATTGACTTCATACTTGCCAACGGGTTTCTATCCTACGTCTTTTTCGAACACGTTGTTGTGTCAGGGCGACTAGATTACGCTGAGCATTCGCGGCTTTGTCGGCGTAATCTCACTACCGCGCTGTCGCGGCTTCCTTTGTTAAGCCCCTCATCAATGGATGTCGTGGCGACACTTACACTAGGGGTAACATTCAAAGTTAGAAACATATGGCAACATGTTGACTGAAGTAGGCGTATAACGCGGTCGAAGATTCGAAAGTCATGCAAGCTTGGACATTCATCTCTGCTGCCTCGAATCATTGCGTAACGCTCGGTTATAACCGCCACCAGCTCTACCGTGAGCGAGATAGGTTTTCATTGCTCGCTCAAAATAATCTCTTCTGGGCAGTCTACCGACTAGATAAAGGCATATCGCTCCGGCTCGGACGATCTTCTACGATACGTGACGAAGATATTTCCTTGTTGCCAATGCCTGATGACCCGGGCATCAGGACAGCTAGGATCCAGGGACGGGCCTACGATGAGCTGTATAGCCCGAAAGGCCTGATGCGTGAAGATACCGAGCGCGCATACATCGCAGAATCCCTTGCTACAGAACTGCACCAGTGCATCATCGATACGCGCGCTGCAATTTTGGTGCGTTCTCCCTTGGATCACGACTCTTCGTCACTAATGTCAGACCATAGAAAAGTGCCGACAACCTCGCTGACGACAGTTCGGACCCAGTAGGAGCAGTCTATATGCAATGCGAACTAATCTGTCAATACTCTTTGCTCACTCTGGTGCTCCGTGCTGTTCCTGCACCGGCAGGGGCCTTGTGCAGCATCTCTGACGAATGTCTCAAGGTTGCGCGCGAAGCTCTTCGCGCACATGAGGAATGCATTGTTACCGTACGGAGCTGCCGGAACGAGCCATTGATGTTGGCTAGATACGTCCATTGGTAAGTCGTGATATCGTTTCATTGGTGATTGCAAGCTTCTTCATCTACTGCATGTCGTCAGACTCACAGTGAAGTGTCACAGGGCCATCGTCCACTGCCCATTCCCGCCATTCAGTATTCTACTCACTCATGCCATTCAATTGATGAATACGTCTGAAATAGAATATTTGGAGCGGTTTGCAGCATCGCTAGAGCCATCAGGTTTAGCAAAGTCAAATTCGATAACAGAGCCTCATCATCTCTACAACATTCTTTGCAAAGCTGCGCGATTGTTCTTAGACTTCAACACTGGTCCCGTGGAGGGCGATTTACTTGGGCTCGGTTCAGATATCTTTCCTAGCCTCGACCTTGCTGGGCAGAGAACAAGTCGTATAGGTGTAACTACGCCACTAGAAGTTAGACATGAGGAAGGTTGGTTAGGGGAATGGTTCTATGGAAATCAGCTGGTCATGAGCGTTCTGGACGAGAATGCCTTCTTCTGAAGCTAAAAGTGTGGGTGGGCTTGAAAGTGTATGTACGAGACAAGCTGTTATTTACACTGGCAGCTCAGGATGACAGAGAGGTTCAAGGTTTGTAGTTCATATCCTGTAGGCGAGAAGAGGTCTGTTACAGATAATGGCTTCTTGGACTTTGTACAGTACACTTGCAGTACTTCAAGCGTTATATCTACCAATCGCAGGGCATAATACATTGCTGGATAGTCTCGTTTAAATAATCGCATAGTCACTGTTCTAATAGTCATTACCAGTTGACCCATACAAAGGGCTCGTCGTTAAAGGACCTGGCAAGCGGGCGAACCTAGGTGGAGCCTACTTCTTCATGTCCGTGAGCAGTAAAGGGTGTGACTGCTGTAGTCGATGGGGCCCAAGAAAATGGATGACAAAGAGTAGGTCGAATGTGAATGTGGAAAGGTCGCGGTGCAGGTGCCGACGCAGGGTGCTGACATGGCACGCTTAGCCAAGCTGGGAACAGTGAAAAAGCCTAGCTATCCGATCGAATGACTGTCGAGGCTACGCCTGCCATAGTGTCACCATTCAGCGTTCAATATGCACATGTAGGAGCTACGAGGCGCATAGCTAAAGGGAACATACTTCGCGGATAACGAAATCTTCTGGCGATGTTCTGCTGCTTGCCAGAGCGGCTGCTTCGAAGGGAAGCTTCGATCAGGAAGTTTTGCTTAGGCACCGCGCTATCATTGTCGGTAATGCCACATTCGTACTTTGTTAGTAGTAGACATAGGAATTGTCGCTTTCGCTAGCATCGTTGGACGTTCCATTCTGGAGCCTCTGCGTGGAACGCTACGGATGAATTTCTTCTGAAGCTTTCTTGGACATGCGTCTTGGTTCTGTTCCAGTAGGATGTCACCTAGCTACATCGGCGCTTTTTTCTTGTCGAGAATGCGGGGAAACAAGGATGTCCTTACCAATAAGGCCCCGAAGGAGACCGCCAAACGCGCGAGAGCCCTTGTAATGTGACCTTGGTGCATTGTACAACAGTCCAAGCTGCGCGAGCAGACGCAGCGGCGCGGTTTACTGGTTGAACGATAAATAGCCGAGATTTGAGGCATAAGAGAAAACTACGCACCGTAAACGAGGACCCCCAGAAGCAGCAGGTAAGCTGGTGTAAAATGGGGGCTGGCTAAAGGTGTTGGTCAATACTACAGTGCGGCTTTCGGTTGCGGAGAAGGTGGTGCACTGGTCTGGGCAAGGCCGAAGGCAGTAGGGTTCGCGGCCGAAGTCAAATGCTACCGGTATCAAATCTCGTTACTGTGGTGGTGAAGGCCTTGCTGATCCCTGCGTGGCGATGCGCTATGCTCACACCGAGCAGGTGAGCGATGTTCTCGGCCTAGCATTGCCATAGCAGGACCACATTAATTACTCCCTGCGACCGGTTCTTATATAACCCATCCGTCTCTAGTGTAGATCGACTAGATCTCTCGGGCACTGTCGCATTCCCTTGCTAATAAATGATGCCCCAGAATCTTCCCGCCCGCATCAGACTTCCCATCACGCAATGACGGCTCTTTGTCTTCGCGACATCTTTGCTTTGTTGATCTTGTTCGCTCTTCACGCCAGGTCTGCGAGCCTGAATATCTCGGGAGAGGCCGTCACAACAAGGTTCTGGGACTGCTGCAAACCTTCGTGCGGCTGGAAAGAGAAAGCCCCATTCGACCGACCTGTGCTATCATGCAGCATCGATGACAAGCCTACCGACATCGAGGCTGGTACCGGATGCAATGGTGGCTCTGCATATCTCTGTTCTAACCAACAGCCATGGGCCATCAACGACACTTTCTCCTATGGTTTCGCAGGCGTCTTCATCATGCCAGGCCTCACTGGTGGCAAGATTGAAGACGCATGGTGCTGCGCATGCTACCGGATGGACTTCACCAGCGATCCGCTCAGAGGAAAGACCATGATCGTCCAGGCCTCAAACACTGCCTATGATATCAATACCGCCAACCGGTTTTCCTTGGCAGTAAGTCAATCCGATCAAACGTAATTTGCGTCGCTCATTTCCGGCAGGTGCCTGGTGGCAACACAACCTCACATGACGCCTGCGCCCGCCAGTACGGTGTGGATCAAACCGTCTTCGGTACCGACAACACTGGTGTCAGTTCCAAGGATGACTGCAAGAAGCTACCGGAAGCTCTACAGAAAGGTTGCCAATGGCGCTTCGATTGGTACGAGGACGCAGGCTTCCCCACGTAAATAAGCATACCTAGATACAAGGTGTTGTCTAACATCCTACAGCGCGAACTTCACACGCGTCCCTTGCCCAACCGAGCTCACATCCATAACACAATGCACTCGCAGCGACGAGAAGCAGCTCATTTCGGGTGACACCTCATCGGCGAAAACTTTGTCGCCTTCATTCAGCATCCTCCCGGTAGTCGTCGCCGCCGGCATGCTATTGGTGTGAGTCCACTCTGCCATTCACGGTCGACACGAACCCCCCAATTCTACCCTCCGTCGCCCACACCTTCGGCTAGGGACCCCAGATCAGACGATACCGCGCCATCCGTCTATTTCATGCATGGATAATCTTCTCACAAAACCCGCCTATGGCCGGCTAGGGCATCTACCTTCGGATGCACCACCGTTGCACAGGCCTCACTACGGACGAATCATGCGCCATCTCCACCCTACGTGTGCACAGGCGGTAAATCACCTTTTCCACACCGATTTATGTTGAAACGTCTCTGTCCTCTCTCTTGTAGCACAATTATCAAAAGGTTATTGGGTTGCGAAGTGAATTTTGAGATGCTCGTCCACGTTGCCACGCGGTCTGGAGAGGGTTTGATGGCGTTCCGTGTCGCTCATGATGGGCTGTCATGTTTCCTTTCTGCATCTGGAGGCTTGCTCCGCACCGCATCGAGTATCGTTTTGGGCATCATTTCTTACGAGGCAGCATTCACTTCAGCCTCCGTTCCTTACGGCTTGTGATGGCGTGAGGCGAAAGGATTTCTGAATGACAATTTTTCAGGGAATTGGGGCTCTGGCGTCGTCTATGGCTTGTCAAATCGATACGATTGCCCCCACCTGAGGGCGGAGGATTTCCCCTTCTGCGACTCCGCGTGCCTGCATCAACTACATGCCCGTCATCATTCGTGATCGCTCACAAGCTGTCGGAAGATTTTTACCGCCTCTCGCCTTGCCTAGCAATTGACCACGCCATCGTTCGCATCTAGGCCACGCGTGTCCTACATCCCAGCATTGCTTCTCGAAGGAGCAAATAAACCTCAGTTATTCATCGGCTAGGAACACTATGGACAGGGATATTAACTGCCTGAATGTACAAAATTGTGTGGCTGGGGTCGGGATCCACAATATCAGGGATCTTTCGCTACTTTATCCATATTTACCGCGGGGTAAGTTGCAATTAGAACCCCAGAATCCCAGAATCCCAGAATCACAAGCCGGCCACTCCGAAAGTTCAAGTTGCCCCTCATTATCTTGAAACCTGTTCCCACAGCATTTGCGCTATGGTGTAGCACAACGCATGGATTGCGTAAACGAAGAAGCAGCACTGTAAAGAGTAGCGTACGGAAGAGCTATCGATACCGAGCCGCGCCGCAGAGATTAGCTTGCCGGATCGAATTTCACCTGGAGTTTAATCGACCCCTCGATCCCCAGAATCTTTGCATGTCACGCGCAGCGGTGCACAGCTGCCGAGGGCCTCTACTGCAGGGCCACCATTACGACGAAGGAGCTTCACGGAAGCTTGCTCTCCCCTGTATCACAGATTCTCACCCACACCAAGGCTAAAACGGTTGCCTTTGGTCGCAGCATAGTTAGCAAAGGTCATTTGCTATTAACTGCCCGAGGTGGCCCATAGTGGCATATGTACACCGAGATCTTCGTTATCACTAATTTTCGTGACAGGTCCTTCGAGCCAATGATAGGGAAGCTCAACAACATTCTCTCGTGCTTTCTTAACCTACAGATGTACTTACAGAAGCTCGACACATCCCTTAAACTAAGTGAAGCAACCCAGTTACTCCTAATCACCAGCATCAATACCTGCTAGCCTAGCGTCCGTCGACAGTTGAGCACGGAAGCCATGCTGAATTGAATCTGTCCGTAGCTGTCGTACTACACGTGATACTGCTGCTTAACCGGTCAACTGGCGCTAACGCCACCAGCGCTCGGCCGACGGGCCTGAGCGCCGGCAAGGAGCGTGAGGTGGTCTGAGTGCTTGAGGGAGACTGTGCTGCCATGCGAGACGAAAGATGGACTCTGGGGTGCAGGAGGCATGCTCAACGATCATGCATGGAGCTTGAGAATACGACATTGGACCGATGTTTCGGCCATTTATAACAGAACTTCTCTAAGACAATACTGCAATCTTCTCTAACGACCGTGTGTGCGCGGAAACCCTGAGCACGTTCATGAAAGCTTCGTGATTTATATGCTACGCTATGCTACGCTATGTTATGTTATGCTATGCTGAAAAGTAAATCATGGGTATCTTAGAATCTCGTCCTCATCCTCCTCTTCCCTAAGCAGCACCGGGCTCAAAGGTATAATCGGACTAAGCACTGGACTCAGTGTCGCGCCCGAAACCCGTCTGGGGCTCGACATGAGCGCTGTCTCTGAGTTACGCCTTGTGCTAGACATGAACGTAGCCTCTTCGGGTCGCCTCGGGCTAGACACCATGGTTGCTTCACTCAATCTCCATTCGATCTCTTTGTGAATGTCCACTAGCGTCGGTGCGCTCCCTAAACTTCCAATAGTCGTCACTGTCTCTAGAACGTCGCCCTTCTCAAGACAATCGGCTTTTTCGTATCTATCAACACTGTTCCTGCGACTTGGCTTACGGGATCTGGGTTTAAAAGACCGAGTCTTCTTTCGTAGAACCGCAGGTTTGAGGCGGCCCTGATTTCCCGAGTCGAAGAAGTCGCCTGAGCGGGCGAGCGAGGAAGAGAAGTCATCCGTAAGACAAGGTATGATCTTGTTGAGGAACCTCCGCTTCCGACTTGCCACATGGGTAACCGTAGATGAGTTCGAGTTGCTCCATTGCCATTCACTCCGAAACTCACGCTCCATGGGTGTGGCTTTGGTCTTAAAGTTGAAAACCCATCGTGTAACGAGACCGCGCAAAATCGGAATGTTAGCCACAATAATGGCGACGTTATTCTCGATGTGGCTAATGCAATAGTCAATCGGGTAGGTCCAGTCGGTCTTGAACGAAGTAAACAGTCGGTCGCGATACGTAAGATAGATCTTGGCTGCGCCAATTCCCGTGACACTGATTTTGTATTAGAGAGAGACGTTTGAAGATGGGTCGGCAGTAACTCACGCTAAGCTCGAGGTGAAGACCGCCAGCACCACTAGCCGTGATCGTAGTCTCGCACTCATCATGCGGCGAACAATGATGAAGGGAATTGGAAAAATCAGAAGATCCGTAAGGAGATTCGCGCATGTAACCCAGATTAGCATCTCGCCCATCCGATGTCGGCCCATGCAGTGTAGTCCCCCAAAAGTTCGCGGTTTCCATGTGTTCCCCGTCTGCGGCGGGCAGATGAAGATGTACAGACACCACGGGATCAGCGCGCTTCCGACGGTAACTATGAGTATGCCGTATAGAGTCTTCTTCATCCATTCGATGACTGACCCAGCTCGTAAGAGGAGGAGAATGATAGAAGCTTTCACGAGCGGCAGGATAGGTATGTTGAGGAGGTTGAATGCGAGCAGGACCTGGAGCAATTAGACATATGATTTGATACGGCTGGGGAATGCGCACTTGATGATATTCGTCATAATTGGGCTCGATATCGTTTGGTGGAATCTCCCATATATGTATGCCTACGTGCCACATCTTCACATCTGCAAAGATGTCAGAGGGATGTGCAATCGAGACTGCAATGCTACTGACGCCTATAGGAGGGCCCAATGAGGGCGAGAGATAGTATGGTGGGGAAGACGATTAGCCAGTCATCTATGGAACACCGTTAGCACTGCGAGGTGAGATGTCGCAGTCCACTCACCCCATCCTAGTCGTAGATTGAGCTTTCGTCTTGTGTATAGCCTGAGTGCGACGAAAATCGTGGCCAGTACTGGCGTGAAAGTAATCACAGCCAGGCAAGTATCTTGGAGAGGATACCTGGGCATCTTGACAGCGAGGTGGTCTCGACCGATAACCGCGAAACGCACAGCGCGCGGTTGCGCGCGCGGGCAGCCTCATATAATAGCTCGGGTGGCACCACATTCGTGTGGGTATTGATCCCGGCCCACGCTGTCCGGCTATCCGCGCCTGGCTTTCCCCCGCAATATACAAGGGTCTGTATATTAAACGACGGCAGCAAGGTAGTGATGACCCCGGTTGACAAGCGAGAGCTACCGGTTCACGTGGACACTATAATATGTGAAGAGGACACTAGCCATCTGATTAAAGTCTTGCATTCCGAACTATAGTGGCATGGTCCGGTTTAACACCAGCATACGAGTTGACGTGGATTTTTCCGGCTTCCAGATGTCGACGATGGCTGCTGCTTATTGCAGAGGGACAGGACCTAAAATCTAGTTCTGGAGCATAACCTCAGGGGTGCAACGTGATACGAGCCTTGTTAGACCTTCAGGCGTCTCGCTTGCACACATGATTCGGGAAGGCAGATTGTCGTCGTGGGACTTGGTCGACCTACGCTCTGGCTTCCGAGACCACAAACTTCTGTTCGCAAAGCTGGGATCACATGTGCGTAGTTCTATCTGTGGGAGGTTTTCCTCGTGGTCGACATGCGGTGCTGTTGTCCGGTTAGATATATTGCGAGTTGATAATCGAATCGTCTTGCGATGCGCTGGCGAGTAACACCGCAGGTGCCACTTATGACAGCAACAGCTGCGTCGCAAGATGTAGGCTATCCCATATACTGCGCTGGTTATTGGTGGCCCATGGCGGGAACGCCCAGTCGCACAGAGCATGCTCGGGTGGACGGATAAGTGTAGTCTCCGAGAGACGACAGCCGGGATAATGCAATGTGGTGATCACACATTTTCATATAGAGAGAACCACGCCTGAAGCCTCTCCACGAATCCGAACCAGGCGTGATGGAGCGTATGACGCAAGACAGGTACCGGAATCCCTGCAGCGCAAAGCTCGGCTGCGCAGTACCAGGAGAGAAGGGTTCTGCTTCTCAGCCTGCGCGCATGGCTGGATGGGTCTTAGGGTGTAGCCGCTGCAATAGGATTCGGGCCGGCGAGTGATGGTTGTGACGGGGGAACGAAGGCTCCTTGATGGAGGCCTGAGGAATGCAAACTCCATTTCATCAGTAAATCCCGAACAGACCTGGGGATCTGGGACAGCACGTGATGTATCAGATCACGTGAGCGCAGTGGGCCGTGGACCCGACAGAGCCACAGCCATGATATGTACTCGGATCGATGTGCATCTAGTACGCATGTTCGGATTTTTGATCGACAGGCACGCACATGTCGCTCCACTCTAGCTTCGGGTAGATCAAGTTTGCACAACGTCTACAGTATCGGCTATGGCTCGTCATCCACCACCAGAGCTAAGCTTTCGGATCGCACATGGGAACAGCACTTACGGCGTTCGTTTACGGTTGCAGCTGGCTCGAGTGTAGGATGCCCGGCTTGCTGATGATGGAGCCAGGAGTGATTACAGCGAGTACAAGCACGGGGCCAATGCAGGAACAGCCGGCCTTCGGAACAACGAAGAGCAAACATGAAGCCCCTGCAGAAGTGCAGCGTCAAAGTTAGCGACGAGCGATCCGTTTAGCAGAACAGGTCCAACCCGCGGGCGATCCCAGCGCCATCCGTTTGCACAGCGCGTTTCAAAGCTCTCCACAATTCTGCACCCACGCCGCAGCTGATTCGTCCTACTGCCTCTCATCTCTCTGTTTCCGACCCCAACGCTGCCACCCACGCAAGCCACAGCTGCCAGAGTGGGCAGGACGCCACGGGGAGGAGCGTCGGACCCCCCTTTGATTAAATGTAGTCCGCATTTCGTATGCACCCGGCATCATCGCGCCTCCATGTGGACATTGAGCGAATCCAGATGTCTGATCTTGCGCTCGCATGGGCACCCGCAGCTACGACTTCCGACGTACAAATACAATGTCTACGCCCCGGGGTCCAGTGTACCCCACGGTCTCTCTCGCTTTCTGGCTTCCGGTACTGGAGTACCATCCATTCTTTCTTCATCCCACATTCATTGCAAAAGTCTGAGACTTATTTCTTCCTTCAGTGTTTGGCCTATCCGACTGACCTGAACCTGCCGCTCTCTACCCAATAACTTCGCTCAAGTAAACAACGTATACAATGCATTCCAACCTATTCGCTGTCACGGCCGCTCTGGCTGCCACTGCCTCCGCCTTTGACTGTAATGGGCCATACTTCAGTTTCTACAATCGTCACGGCCCTGCCATGAGCTCGCAGAGACTTGATCCCGCCCTCTTCCCTGGCCAACAGAGTCCCCACATGCACGACTTTGACGGTGGGAATGCTCTTAGCGCCGATGTCTCCTACGAGAGCTTGCAGGGCTCTGACTGCACCACTGCACGCATCAAGCCCGACAAGAGCTTGTACTGGCGCCCTGCTCTCTACTGGAACGGAAACGGCACTGGCATGTACCCTGTGCCCAACTCCTTCCTCAAGGTCTACTACAAGTTTGGCGACAACGATAACGCCAAAGCAAAGAACATCTCTGAGTTTCCCGAGGATTTCGCCATGATGGCTGGTGACCCATTCAAGCGATCCGAGGACGAGAAGAACGAGGCTGGCATCGACTGGACTTGCATTGGCGAGGACTACTCGAGAATCACTGCCAAGGGCTTCCCTACTGGGTTTACATCTTGCGGACAAGGTTTGACCACCCAGCTCACCTTCCCTGCCTGCTGGAACGGAAAAACCATCGACCCAAAGAACCCAAACGCACACATGGCTTACCCCACTGCTGGTGGCGCGGGGATTGATGCTTGCCCAGAAGGCTTCCAAGCTGCTCGTTTCCCTAGCATCTTCATCGAGTTCTGGTGGGACGTGAAGGCCTTCGATGGACAGTACAGCGCCAACGACAACCCATGGGTCCTCGCTCAAGGTGATCCAACCGGTCACGGATTCCACGCTGATTTCCGGAACGGTTGGGCAAAGGGTGTCCTCGCTAAGGCCACCTCTGACGATGGTTACTGCAACTGCGGATGCGGATGTGGTGACGACCAGATGAGGGAGTGCTTTGGCGCTGAGAACGTCAATGACGATGCCGACATCTCAACTTGTGCTGCTAAATCGGCCTTCGCCGACGAGGCTGGTGTTGTTGAGGAGCTCCCTGGCTGCAACCCACTTCAAGCTGGCCCTGGAGAGGCTACAGTTGTTTCTGGACCTGACTGCACTGCTGCTGCTGCTCCAGGTGCTGGTAATGCTACTTCTGCTGTCGCATCTGCCACCAGCGCCGCCGCGTCTGTTGTCTCATCCGCTGCGTAAGTCGCCTTCCTGACTACTCAACATGCATTCCTTTTCTGACATGCCACGCAGCTCCGAAGCCATCAGTGCTGTTTCTAGCCTTGTTGCTACCGTCAAAGAAGTCGAGTCGACAGCCATCCCTGTGTCCTCGGCCGGCCCGGAGTCCACGGTCCTCCCAACCAACGCAACGACTTTGGTGAGCAAGAGCCGCCACAACCATCACCACTACCACACCACCGTTCCCGGCGATGCATCTGAGGCACTTCCGGCGGATGCTGAGAGCAACGAACGCACCAACGCGGCCACCGTTACCGTTACGCCACCTCCAGTCACCGTGACTGTCACGGCTTCCGCTGCTAGCCAGAATAGCGGCTACGTAGTGGACAGGAGGCGCGGTAGGTACAATTAGATTTTACGACAGTCGGGAGCACATAGGATAGATGGATTGAATGCATATCGAGTGTGCTGCCGACACCACCGAGATTCTAGACTTTGTTACGGTTTATATTGTAGATATCCTTTCACTTGCTTGAAAACAAGCCTCGATCACATATGATCGCTTCACTTCGAATGAGAACATATTCTCCGACCATAATAACAAATGCTTCTCCAATTGAGATCATCTTTGATAGGAATCAGACAGCGAAGGTGCTGTGGAGGGGCCTGAAGGGTTCCATCCGACAAGCTTCCCGCTGACTAGCGGGATTGCCGAAGGATCATCAAGCTCGTAGGCCAGCCTCGCGGATGCAAGTCCGATGGCCTCATGCGAAGAGATTGGAAATGTGCATGAGTAAGATTGGCAGTGTTTGAACTCCTGCAAGAAAGCAAACATGAAATAAGTTGTCGACGGCGTGTCCGAGCTATTGGTTCCTGACTAGCAGCCACACAGTGCCACACTAAGGGCCCTGAGCCGCAGGCGACCATCTCAGCTCCAGTGTCTCAGCACGAAAATAACCACCACTAGCCTGTATATACACAGTACTTGCACAGACGCCACCAAAACCTCCTTTCGCTCCCCTTCATTCAATTGCAATTTGCGGCATCATTTTCAGCCTTTCTTTCCCCCCGCTTGACCACCCTTCCCAACACAGCCACGCGTCCGCCTCACCGCCTACCCCACCATCCCGCGAACGCATCCTTGACGCCAACGCTCGCGCTGCGACGACACATCAAGTGTAACCCTTCAGCTTGGCTAGTTGAACTCTGAAGGGCAGCATGTCTCTCCTCACACCCGTCACCGACGACTCAATGCCGCTCTTCAGCGCATCTCTCATCTCGCCCGAAGTCGTCTCACAGCTCCCCGAAGGCTACACAATCCGGCCGCTGCAGCGCGGCGACTACGCAAAAGGCTTCCTCGACGTGCTGCGCGTGCTGACCACTGTCGGCGACGTCACAGAAGAGGTATGCACGCTCTCCATCGCGCGAGGCCCCCAAACGGTGGTTGACAACGAGAATGATAGCTAACCGGCATGTGTGCATAGCAATGGAACCAGCGCTACGAATGGCTCACCCAGCACAACGACCAATACTTCCTCCTCTCAATACTCGACCCTTCCTCCCGCGTCGTCGGCACCGGCGCCCTCATCGTCGAGCGCAAATTCATCCACAACCTGGGTCTCGTAGGCCATATTGAGGATATTGCCGTCGCGAAAGACCAGCAGGGCAAGAAGCTCGGTCTGCGCATCATCCAGGCACTCGATTACGTTGCTGACAAAGTCGGATGTTACAAGAGCATTTTGGATTGTTCTGAGGCGAATGAGGGATTCTATGTTAAGTGTGGATTCAGGAGGGCGGGGCTCGAGATGGCGCATTATTATGGGGAAAGCAAGCCCAAAGGCGGCGCGGCAAAGGGGCAGTAGGATCAGAGGGTTTGGGAGAAGGGGAGGTTGTAGGGACGTGTCACGGATATAGAGACGATAGACTTGGCTCAGCGTGGCCAAACCTAGACAGCCGCCTGAGGACTGATACATGATGATTTTGAGCGCTTCCTCTTCCGAAGACGCTGACGGTGGTTGAGAGACGTGGGAGAAACTCTGCTGGATCGTTATTTTGTTTGACTAGGACCTGTTCCTTGGAGCCTGATGCTGGAGTTCGATTGAGGTTTGCGATGAGCTTGAAGAAACCATCGTGGTACAGTGGGCCACCTCACACGCTAGTGAAAGTGTCGGTGACCGAGAAACTTCAATGCTGATTATCAACCGTGAGAAGAGATGGCAGGAACGTTGATCAGTCAAGCTTGAATTGATGTTAGTTTGCAACCTCTCCGACGCATTCCCTACCCGTAGTGCCATGGCTATTCTCCGGACAGCTGCCGACTTCAGTAGTTCGTGCAAATATTTTAACTGATGAGGCGGCGGTGAAGGGCGGATAACGAAAGAGGAGCACTTTCTGATTGGCCGGGTGTCGGAGAAACCATCTCAACGGTTCCGCCGGCTGGACGCATTAGCTCCAGCTACCTACTGTGTAGGTACCGTGTGCCCACGAGACAGTGCGAAAACCATCTTGGCAACGAGAAGCCCCGGTATCTGCTTAACTGCTTTTGGATATTTCTTGAACCTGAAACCGCTCTGCACAAAGCATGGCTGTACAAGAAGGGCCAAAGGTCCCCTACAAGCGAGACGACCATGATGCCCAACAATTCGCTATCGAAACCCCGACTCACACCACCCCCAGCGAGCCTCGACACAGAAATGCGCCAGAAGACACTCGGCCCATGGTTGGGGGCAGATTCGAACCCGTAGACTTGGAGGACACGCCTGTCGTTGAGTCTGGCCTTCCACCCGAGATATGGACCATTGTGCAATCAGCACCTGCAAGCTTTCCTCCGCAATGCTTTCTTGACGTTAGTCGGAACCTGCTAGAGAATCCCAATCTGACCGCATCGCACCTGTCACGGGCGGAATTATCGTACAAAAGTTTCACGGATGCTTCGTACAACGCCGAAGCCGCTCATCCGCATGAGCTCGCAAGTATTATAAAGCACCTGAAGCCCGATCATCAACCGCGCCTGGTACCTGGCGGCGTGCCAGGTTACAAGCTTGAGTGGACCGTCACCCGAAAGCTGATACCTAGGAACCCTAAGTTGGACGAGGCCTTGCAACAGACGTGTCATCTGTACACTTCTACCGAGCAGGTCGTAGTACCAGCGAAGAACAGCAGCAGCAGCAGCAGCAGCAGCAAATCCGATGCCGAAAGGTACCTCGTACTCTACATTCCTCACGTCTCAGATGCAGACTCCATACCATTCTACCATCCCAAAGTGCGAGGTGTTGCGATTTTCTACTCATATCTAAACCAGCCCCCACCAGATACAGCGCCAGGAACCTTGTCACTATACTATGACCTCTTCCCCAGACAGCCGCTGGAGAACCGTATGTCACGGACTGCGTTGAGGATGCTGGAAATAATCCACAAGCACGCTCGTGGACGCATGCAAGGCTACCAGAAACGCGTCCACCACGATGTAATCATCCCGCAGAAGACATTCCAAGACACGTACACCTATTTGAAAGGCAAATATGCCAAAGAACTTATTGATAATTGGGTTGAGCAAACGCCCGCGAATAAACACGTCTTTGAAGATTTGGGGATAGCGGCATTCCTGATCGAGCTATGGACGGACATGTACGGCGGAATGATTCTAAAGCCGGACGACCGATCAAGCAGCACGGATTCTACAGATGCGGAGAAAGTACAGTTGGAGCTCCAGACTCTAAGGCGGTCAATGGCACAGCAAGCTTCTCCCGGGTTCGTCGATATCGGTTGTGGTAACGGCCTACTGGTATACATCCTCAACAAGGAGGGATGGAAGGGCTGGGGCTTCGATGCACGCCGGCGCAAAACTTGGGGTACATTTGGCGAAGTGTACCAGCAGCATGTGAAAGAGATGCTGCTCGTTCCAGGCGTCCTGCAAAACCCTGAGGTCGACAAAGAGACAGGCAGCGGGTCACCACCCTGGCACAACGGCCTCCTCCCCAAGGGAACTTTCATCATTTCGAACCACGCTGACGAACTGACTGCATGGACACCCGTTCTCGCCTACCTTTCGGACAGCCCTTTCATGGCGATACCCTGTTGCAGTCACGACTTCGGCGGCACGCGCTTCAGGGCGCCGTACCGCCGCGAACACTTCCCATCTGCTACCACAAACTCGGCGAAACAGGTATCTGCGTACATGTCGCTCTGTAGCTATGTTGCGCATCTCTGTGCGGAAATGTCGTTTGTTCCGGAGAAAGAGCATTTGAGGATACCTTCAACGCGCAACATTGCCATCATTGGGCGAAGAAGGGACGGTGACGAGGTCAAAGGTAGTCAAGAAGACCGGCTTAAATTTGTTCGCGAAGTTGTAGAAAAGGAGATGGGAGGTGAAACATCGATCGAGCAGGTGAGGCTACAGTGGTTAAAGAGAGGAAGCGGCTTGATGAAGCCTGCATCAGGGGTTCATTGATTGGAATTGAAATTCAGTTAACAGATGCCCAATTGGCTACCATGAACTAAGAGCACTCTCATACCTCACTAAACATGCATGTTACTCCCTTCTCCTTCTTCGAGTTCTGAGGCATGGGGCCCAGAGTTTCCCGACGGCCTGGTTCGGCGATAGATGCCATCGGGAAGCTTAGCGTGGGGTCGACCCCGCGTTATCGTACCTATCGCGTTCCCTCACGCCACGAACGCGTCCATAGGTCATGCTGTAGTTCCTGCCGCGATGGAGTGCTCTTCCTTCTTCCCTCTCAACCACTCGTCCCAAGCATGGCGGCGCCAGCTTGCAGCTTCCACGCGGCTTTACAGGCGGCGCGTAGGACGGGATTTGCTGCGTCCAGGGCGTTGAATGCATCGAGAACTCTCACAGCAGCAAACATTCCTCAACGACAGCTACGAAGAGCCTCCAAGGTATCGAGATCGCTGTCCGGATATGACCCGAGGAGGTTCTTTAGCCAGACTTCAACATGGCGGCTACAGACGAAAGAGTTGGACGAGGACGCACTCAAGAGCTTGAAAGTGAACAAGCAGCGCTTGATGGAAGATCTGCACCACACTTGCCAATGGGGCATTGGAAAACGGTGGGGGCAGTACGCAATCAGCTCCCAGACTCACCGGTGCCTCTGAGCTTGCTAACAAATGCTCTAGAGCCGAAACAGAAACAGGCATGACGCGCCTCGCACTCTCAGACACCGACAAGCAAGCCCGTGACTGGTTCGTCAAGACGACCGGAGATCTCGGATGCAAGGTCACTGTCGATGAGATGGGCAACATATTCGCTGTACGGCCCGGGCTGAAGAACGATAAACCGCCCACGTTCGTAGGATCGCATCTCGACACGCAGCCAACTGGTGGTCGATATGATGGCATCTTAGGTGTTCACGCAGGCATAGAGATGCTGAAGGTACTGAATGAAAATTGGATAGAGACGGAGTATCCCGTTGGGGTCGTCAACTGGACAAAGTACAACAAATTCCAGCCTAACTCCATTGACTTCTTATGCTAACCCCTCCCTAGCGAAGAAGGCGCCCGCTTTCCCCTCTCTATGGCTTCCTCCGGTGTATGGGCGGGCTCCATTCCACTTTCCACGTAAGCGAAACAGCGGGTACAAGGTGGATATGTGTTCCGCCTCGAAGAAAGATTTCTTTCTCGCTGGGCTGATACATGCGCAAGGTATTCGCTAACCCTGTCTTAACTCATACTGACTTTGTAACCGCACAATAGGGCACACAACCTCCGCGAAGTACATCCCGGCACCGCAACCATGGCCGAAGAACTCTCTCGTATCGGGTACCTTGGCTCCGTACCGGCTTCGCATGAAGCCATGCCTATGGCCGCGCACTTCGAACTACACATTGAGCAAGGCCCGCTCCTAGAGATCACCAATAAGAAAGTTGGCATTGTAACAGGCGTCCAGGCGTACAAGTGGCTCACCATCAATGTAAAGGGCCGGGATACGCACACGGGTACCACCGATCTTGTAGGCCGCGCCGACGCGCTGCTCGCGGCCTCTAAGATGATTCTGCATAGCCACCGACTCGCCACTGCGAACAGTGCGCTATCTTCCACTGGTATCCTGAATCTCAAGCCAGGAAGCACGAACACTGTCCCAGGCGACGTCAGCTTCTCACTCGACATCCGCGCGCCGGCCGACGAGACAGTCGCGAGGGTGCTGGCCCTTGTGAAAGAGGACTTCCCCAAGATCGCTGCCGGAGAGAACCTTGGTGGTCTCAACGACGGCGGAACACCGAGTCTCCCCTGCAGCATCGACATCAAAGAAGATTTTGATAGCCCGGCCACAACCTTTCACCCAAGCTGCATCGACGCTGTTGCCAGGGCGGCACACAGGGTGCTCGGGCCGGATAGCAGGAGCCTGATGATGGAGATGACGAGCGGAGCTGGACATGATAGCGTATATACGAGCAAACGATGCCCGACGAGCATGATTTTTGTGCCGTGCAGGGAGGGCGTGAGTCACAATCCCGAAGAGTTCTGCAATGAGGAGGACTGTGCGACTGGGGCAGAAGTGCTGCTGCATTCTGTGTTGAGATATGATCGTATGAGAGAGGTGCAGAGAGTGAGTTGGAAGCAGGAGCCGTATACCCTGTGAGCATATACAACATGTAGAGTGTTGTAAAAGAAGACCTAATACTAGCTATACTAGATGCATGCATCTAACGCATGAAATATATCTATGTGAATCGGGCAGAATCATGCTTGGCCCACGTACAGAGGAGCAGACTCTCTGCGTGAGATGTTCAAGTAGATATTCTGCTGGAGATACTTCCGTTGAATGCTCTTATACTATTGATTCTGCTTCACTGTACACGCAATCCCACCCTCCTAACCTTCTCTTGTACTTCATTTCTCAGCCGTATCGTGCTTCTCAACCGTTCCAGACGCCCATCCGGTTCCAAAGACTGTATCGAGGTTTCGCTTGACACTGGCGATTTCATCCTTTGAAGGAAATAGAGGCACCATGATCGAGATAAACGGTTTCGTTCCCGCGGCTACCTTGACGATATCGACTAATGGGAGCGTGGGAGCTCCGAGATCGCTGGACTCTAGTACGAGGGGCGCGGGTGCGCTAGATGTTACCATAGAAGTAGAATAGGGATCGCTGATGGACTCGATCGACGTCTTTTCTGCGCGGATTTCTGGATGAATGTCAGAGGCAGAGCTCCATGCGCGATCTTTGGAGGGCTCATAACCTTGGGACTCTTGGCTGTCGAGACCACGGTGTGAGCTATGCACGTTAGCAGACCTCTCAAGAAGCAGCGCGTCAAGTACTCACTTCACTACCTTGCCATTTCCAAACTCCTTCGGCTTCAAGTCCTTCACCCACTTGGGCACTGTCGCTGATTCCAATTCAGCAGCCTCTCCCTGCTTATCCTGCTCCGCCTCCCTCGCCAGCAACTTTTTCTTCCTTCGATTCTGTTTTGATTGCTGCTGGACCTGGACCTGGACCTGGCTCTGTGCCTGCTGGTTCGCCTCGTTCACCAGCTTCTTCCGCTGCTTCTTGCTCAGCGGCTGTCCATTTTGATGTTGGACTGCACCCGCACCAGGCTGGTGCGGAGCTTGCTTCTTCTGTTTCTTCGTGCGGGCTGTACGGAAATTAACAGTGGAGGCGGGAGGGAAGGGGAAGGACCTACGCATTGTGTTAATTGTGTGGTGAGAAGAAAGTGCGGAACGATGGGAGCTATTGTGTTTGGGGTGAAAGGTGTAATTGGTTGGAGGGAGCTATGTGGCGGAGCATGGCGAAGCGTAGGTGTTAGATTTGTTTATATTGTAGTGCAAAGGCAAGTGCGACTTCACGATGCGCACCTTCCTGTGAACTGAGGTGTGAGACACCTGGGCACCTGCACCACACAACTCACGTGCGTATTATAGATACCTGGAGGAACGAGTGAACGAGTTACGATCAAGCTGTCAAAATTTCCTCTGTTATATTTAAGATAGATCTCTTTGCAAAACACTTCGTGCTTACAGAACACAATAGGGTATGACAACGCCAAACGACCCACACTGACTGACACACCGAGGGTGACCAATGAAAGATCTCCAGCAAAGCATTACTCAAACAAAAGAGAAATAAGCGGGATGAGAGGGTATGAGGGTATCCAGGTTCGTAACGTCGTGAGCACTAGCGATTCGAGCACGTTTCTAGCTTTTGTTGCTGAGTGATTCTTTCTTAATACCGCCACGAATCGTATCCGCTGCGGCTGTCGTACCCGTTGGTGCCGCCTCTGCCTCGATAGTAATCATCGTCGTAAACTGACCGAGGCTGTGAGTCGTAGGAGCCGTCCGTGCCGGCGGTGCTGCGGCGCTGGTGACCCGCGTTGTGGTCCGCTTGACGCACCGCCCATTCCCTCCTTGTCTCGGCGTCTTTACCAAATCTCCGTTTTTCCTCATTCTCGTCGTACATGTGAGAGGTATAGTATCCGCCGGATACGTTGGGATCAGAGCTCTTGCCGTAGTTGGAGAAGCTGGGGCTCCTAGGTCGTCGGCCGTTGGTTTGCGTAGCAGATCGAGGATACTGAGATGGGTCGGGTGGTACGTAGGGATGTTGGCTAGCTGTTGACTGGGTCCGCCGCCGTTGTTCGTGCAAGGGTACTTCTGAAGGTGCGCTTCGACTTGTGTCGTCTTCGTACACCTTGCCTCCACCAGGCGCGGCAGCATATGGTTTCCTCTCTCGTTCCAAAGGCAATGAGATGGGGACATTATCTTCGTCTTCGGATACAACAGCTCTCGGATCCGGCCGACTTGTGTATGGGCTACGCTCTCGTTCAAGGCTCGGCGGTACGCTTGCGCTCTGGCTCATTGGTGGCGGTGGCGGGAATGTGGGAGCCCGACGAAGAGGGCCGACACCCTCGGGGGAAAGAGCAGCAGCGCAACGCTGCTGAGCTTGCAGGTTCTCAATGTGGGGAAACAGGCGGCGAGGAAGTTCTTTCGGGAAGCGCTCCTTGCAATCGTCGGCGTTGCTAATCGGCATATCAAGCACCGCTCTCGAGAGTCGTTCGTACTCCGCATCAGGGTAGGATTGTATCATAGCTGTCATCCATTCCTGAAAGCCCTGAGGAGTGAGAGCAGGAATATCAGGCTGAGCTGCGGTATGCTCCTGAATAAGATGGTGTTCGCAGCGCATGTCCCGGTAGATCTTACACAGCGTAGAGTAAGGCAGCTTTCCGAATATTGCTATCGTTTATCAGTATGTGGCTACATGTCTTGCTGCACGAACATACTGTCCCAGGGGTAGATCTCTTCAGTGAGTTTGACGTCATTGTAGAACCGCAGCATCTTGGAAGGTGTAATGACTAGGCTCTTCTTTGGCTCATAGTCGTCAATCTATAGAAGTCAGCAATGATTAACAACTGTAGGTACCACCACTGACTAGATGGATAGCAAGACCTCGCAGGAACTCGCCTAAGCGGGGAGTGGGCTGACCTTGCGGGTCGAATAACCGCTGCCATCTTCTCTCAATAGGTGTCAAGTCACTTTCCGTGGGCATTCTCGGAGGTGCTGCGGGTCGGGGGATCGGTCTTTCGCGTAGAATGTCGACAGGCGCACTGCGTTCGTGCTTAGGCGTTGGAGTGTCTCCAGCACCGTCGAAGAGAGTGTCGTGTGATAGGGGGTCTGGAGAAGCACTTCCGTGACTGCACAGGTCTGCCTGTTTTGGCGATGGCGGAGTGTACACGTTGCGTGAAGGAATCGATGTCATAGAGATGGGCGATTGCGGGGGGTACTGCGGCGGTGCAACGGGCTGCTGCGCAGTGACACCCATTCCCAGCTTGATCTCGTCCAACACGGACTTTTTTACTTCAGCTGTGATCTGCGCAATGAGTTGAGGGTCGACTTTGCCCGCTGAGTCGGACTTGTCGAAAGCATTCTTGAGCGCATTGTGGAGTGGTTGCTGGGAAGGCTGAGGGTATCCGTCGTTTGTAGCTTTGGACGATGCAGGAGATCTAGGGCGTTGGGGCTCGCGAAAGCTTGCGTCTTGCTGATAAGATGACGGATAGTGAGAGCGTGGGTCATAGGAAGACGGGCACGGTGCCTGGTTAGGGTCCGGCTGGCTGCGGTAGCTGCTGTCCATGGTGAATGCTTACACCAGCGGTGGAGCCTGTCCGATGACGCTTACTGGCAGGAAACGATGTTGATTGGTTGTGGGGTGGAGACGTTGATGGTGCAGCAAGACGAGCTGCAGTTACTGTGTGGTGCCCATGCAATATGCGTCGAAATATGCTGCGGGAAAAGACGACTAAAAGCTTGGTGGAGAAAGGTGCTAAGATATATGGTGGTAAGCAGGCTGAGCTGTGGAGACGAGATTCGGCCTCGCTCCTCAGGAGAACACCTTGCTTCTGTCACGAAAAGGAAACGGTTGGCCAATCTGATCGCTGAATTGTGGCGGTATTATTATGATGCAGAGAGTTGACTGGTGAGAATGCACGTGCGGCGAGGTTCTTTGGTAACGGCATGTGTAGCTCGTGGTCGAGGAACAGGCGTGCGGCGCATTGCGTCATCGGCATGTGCACGTCACCTCCAGCCCTGTTCTAAGATTCTAAGAAAAGCCGTTGGCCAAGATCGACTTGGATACCATCACCATACTGTGTACATTGTCCGTACGACAGATTGAGCAGGATTCGGATGCTGTCAAGGACTCGCAGGCTTGTATGTGCCTGTGCCGCGGATCGTCATCATGCCCGATGGACATCAGGTATCGGACTTTAGAGGGGGGTCATCAGTATATACTGATAGCAGCTGTTAGCTCAGGGTCTCAGGGGCTACTGCGAACGACACATGTGCATTTCCAATCGCAGTTGGTATCTCGTACGTCTTGACAAGACACACCATGGCGCGCGCTACCCCCCAAGGCACTGCACGCGCTGCTGTAGTCGATGGGTGCGTGGGGCTGCCCGCTGTCACTAACCGCCCGACGGACACGGTACCTAGGCGGGATCCTACGAGACTCCCTACGCGACATGGCCGAGGCATCGCAACAGCTAGACAACATGTCCTAACTGCCGCGTCACGATGTTTGTTTGTTCGTCTTTTGTTTCAGCGAACAGCGGACAAGACGCGCGCGGAGCATGTTGCACGGTTGAGATGGTGCGCCGCCCGGCCTGGCGCCATGGTTTCAAGTTTGGCTGCAGGGACAGCCCTTTTGCCTGCGGCCGAAACAACGAACAAGGCGGTGACGCGGATATGGCTATGGAGAGACGGGGAAGCAAGAGCAGAAGCGCTCGCTGCAGTTGATGTGGCTATGTGTCTGCAGTGCACGTCGGCGGCTGCGGCACGGCGTAGTATCTGAACGCTCCGGGCGCGCAGCGTGAAACGCATGCGGTGACTAAGGTTGAGGCTGTAGATCAGGCACGAGCGGCGTGCTTGCTGGGCTGGGGCGGACAGACCGGGCACTGGCAGGCAGCCAGGAAAGAGGTGCCGAAGACAGGCTGCCGTTGGTGCTGATGAAGGAGGGCTCAGGGTCCCGCAGAGAGGGCCCGGGCGCTCTGGTGAGGCGCTCCCGTCGAGCATTGCACGTCGCCTGCAAACACGACAATGCTTTCAGAGGCAGCATGAAGCATTCATCTCGTGAAGCGCCGCATGGGAAATCACTGTGGAGTGCTGATTGCGGAGAGATGGGACGGGATGATTGCTATGCCCGCGCGAGCACTGGGAGTCTTCTTGCATGACCTGAAACCCCCTAGTCCGTCAGATATGGCGCCCTCATTGGCTTGTTGATCCCCCATCGACTTTCAGTCAGACACAGCTCCTTGATGGCCGCTCCGCCTTTTCTACGTCGTTCCCGCCGCTCGTGATTTCTGTTGTTTTGTCTGAGACTCCCGCGTGTTTCTTCGCTGTGTCCGCCGCCACGCTGCCACCGACCCCTAATAATAAAGGGCCCTCACTGCTGCACCGCACCGTACTGTGTATTGTGTACAACGCCGGACGCCGAGCACCACCGCCTCGCTCACCACCCCTACACCCACACGACCCTCCTTCACCAGCCTGGCTCGACGCCAGTAGCGCTGAATAATCGAACCTTCCTGCCCTCCCCGGCACTCGCAGGCGTTCGAGGGCACCCGCTCCGCTACAGCCCTTCGTACCAACACGCACCACTGTCGTGCAACCTCCCGCAACTGCACCTCGCCGGCACTCTTGACCATCTGCCACTGAGCGGAACGCGTCACGCCATCCACGAACACGCCGCCTGCCTCCGCTCGCGACCCCATTATGCTTGCTTGAGTGGCATTACCTGGACCCGAGACAGACACGCCGTCTCATCGGCACGAGAAGCGTCACGTCTGACAGCCCACCCGCCTTGTCACCCGCACCCCTCCGCATCCTTCCCACCGACGTACAAGGCATGGCCATGCTCGCATCCAAACCATCGTATTCGGCCCCCGCGCTGGGCTCGTCTTCGCAAACGTCCACACAGTACAGCGCCACCTTGTCAAGCTACCGCAACCAAGGTGCTGCCTCCCGTGCAGACCACTCGCTCTATGCTTCGCCCACCGAGTCGGAATTTTCCGAAGTCTACGATGCCCCGGACGCAGTCAGACACTGGGACGAAGAGAAGGTCGGAGACTGGCTGAAGCGTATCAACTGTTCTCAATATGTGGAGCTGTTCAAACGTATGTGGACCCATGGACCCAGTCCTAGTTCACAAGACAACCACTGACTTGCCTAGAAAACAACATCAACGGCGAGAATTTGATGGAGATGGACCAGACACACCTGAAAGATATGGGCATTAAAAAGGTCGGCGACAGGGTCCGTATCGGCTCGCAAGCAAAGCAGCTCCGCAACAAGGAGTACAAGAAGGCTTCCAGACGGGTGTCAAATAGGGTATGTGCCCCTTGCACTTTAAAGAAGCAACGTCTCTAATGCCCACGCAGCAATCCCTTGCCATGTTGGACAATGCCGCCTATACCCCGCCCTCGTCTGCCTCGCCTCGCCCATCGCACTCTGCGCGCTCCATTCCTTCTGGCTACCAAAATGCCTCGAAGCGCATGTCTCGGCAGATAACCGCTTCCGATCTGAGTTCTTATGCCTACGGCGGTGCCAAGTCACCTTCACGTCCCAGCTCTCCTATGGTTGATCAAGAGTCTCGTGGCACGAGGCGCGAACGTACTTACGGCGTTGCCAGTCCTCAGGACAGCAAGAACTATGCATCGTCATACAGCAGCCTGCCCCTGAGCGCAGCCAACAGCGCAGCCAATATGTCGTATCGCAATCCACGAACCACGCCCACCGAAACTCCCCAAACCGCCCGCTTCGCGAGCCACATTCGAAATCAGAGCATGTCGGAGAGCGCCACTAACAGCGCCATATTACCATCCGACAAGGCTGTGATCCGAGTCATCTACGACACGGGCCGGTCGTCTGTAATAAATATTGAAGGTTGCAAAACCGCGGATGAGATTATGCTCAAGACTTTGAGAAAGGGGCAGCTCAACGAGGGCCATCTCAAGAACTACTGTTTCTATATCTTGGATGGACCAGAGCCCAAGCCCGAGCTATGCCACAGACTGAGCGATATCGAAGTCATTCGGTTGTGCAAAGACTCGAATCGACATGAGAGAGGGCGTCTCATCTTACGAAAGATCCATACTGGAGAACCTGAAGAGGATCAGTTGAAGGCGGCCGCGGGAATCTACCAACAGCAAAACCTGCAGCAGACGCAGAACATCATAGTGCCTACAAGTGAGCGAAGCAAGAAGAAGATCCAAGAGATCACGGGAGAGTCGTTGGCCGCAGTCAGCTATCCGCTCTCGCCTACCTCAGCAAGGGAGCGAGAACGACATATTCACTCCACCGCACAACATCTGGAAGGTCCGTCCAGATCGCAGGCCTTTGCGACGAGAGCGCGGAAACTTAAGCAGTTCTACGGTGCACGACCGCCGAGCGAGCTCATCACTTCAGATCTTACATCATACTTTCCAGATGTGGAAAAGGGCGAGATTGATAAGACCATAAGAATGTCGATTCGACGGTCTCGTCGTCTTAGCCGAGCGGCTTCCCGCTTGTCTATGGCTTCAAACTTTAGTGTTGCCTCGAGCCTAAAGGATGCTCCTCCTCTTCCATCTATCGCGGACAACTGGCTTCAGAACAACAACAATCAGGCACGCCCGCTGAGACCTCTTTCCGTTATGCGCCTTGGCCTCCCCTCTCAGTCTGGGTACCGTGATTCGATAGCATCCTCAGTCCTAGAGCCACTGGAGGAAGAGTCACCTCTCGAGCCGAACCGAAAATCGTACGTGTCTTTTGGCGGCGAGAGTACTACAGAGAACCTTCAAGTCACCGACCCTGAAGGTCATACGACCATGCAGTCATACTTCGACGACGGTGGCAGCAGTTTGGCCGGCAGCAGCGCTGGCAACACAGAGGCCGGCGATTCACTCAACAAGCGACTTTCCGCAGCTATCGCCGAGGATGGCGAGGAGTACGACGACGAGCTTGCCGATTACCTTGAGCAAGATTCCTGGGAGAATGTCAAGTACATGAAGGGTGCTCTGATCGGACAAGGTTCCTTCGGTAGTGTCTATCTGGCGCTTCACGCCGTAACGGGCGAGCTTATGGCTGTGAAGCAAGTTGAACTCCCATCTGCTTCTGGAACCGCCCAGACGGATCAGAGGAAAACCAACATGGTGGAAGCGCTCAAACACGAAATCGGCCTGCTCAGGGATCTCAAACATAAGAACATCGTGCAGTATCTTGGCTCAAATTCCGACGAGCAACACTTGAACATTTTCCTAGAATATGTCCCAGGAGGGTCCGTTGCCACCATGCTTGTCAACTACGGTCCATTGGGTGAATCTCTCATCCAGAACTTCGTACGACAAATTCTCCAAGGTCTGTCTTATCTTCACTCAAGAGACATCATCCATCGTGACATCAAAGGAGCCAACATCCTTGTCGACAACAAAGGATCCGTTAAGATTTCCGATTTCGGCATTTCCAAGCGCGTTGATACATCCACCTTGCTCAACGGCGGCAAGAAAGGCGCTCAGCGCGTTTCCCCTGCAAGGTTCGGTGTTCTGGATGGCACCGGAGGTCGTTCGTCAGACGGCGTACACCCGCAAAGCAGACATATGGTCACTCGGTTGCCTAATTGTGGAGATGTTCACCGGAGCGCACCCGCATCCCACGTTGAGCCAACTCCAGGCCATCTTTAAGATTGGTGGTCCTGGCGAAGCTAACCCCGCCATACCTGAAACCGCAGGCGAAGATGCTCGTGCCTTCCTGTCGCAGACCTTCCTGATCGACCACGAGCGGCGCCCAAGCGCCGATGAACTTCTCGCCAGCCCCTTTTGTACCGAACAAGCTTCATAGAAGCCATGTACGGCTGTTCATTATTCTTTGGCATATTTCGACGCTGTCGATATCTTTTTGCATGGTAATGGTTTTACGTGACAATGAGGAGGAACATAACATCGGGAACCAAAATAATTGGAGGGAGCAAAGCTTCTGGGGTTCTACAGGTTGTTCTTCGTTCGTCTTCCAGCGCTTAGTCGCACCTCTATGCTTTGTACGATACTATGTTTGAGAAACGGGGGCTTGTGGTCCAGGCCGCTGCGCGGGGTTTTCTTCGCTGAATATCTGGCGCGTGTGGACTCTCACGTGTGTATCATAGCTATGGACATCTTCGACGATTTCACATTTGCAGCTGCCATTGCCTTGTGCCTATCCACCGTGTTCTGGTTGTACACGATTCGGATTGGTAATAGGTCATTTGTGGTCAGTCCGCGGCGTTTACATCGTCAACTTGCTCGCTGTGAGCCGCAGCATCCAGCCTTGTTGCCACAGAAATGATGTCTACTCTGTTCGTGTCGTCGAGTCAGTCTAATCGCCGTACCGCAGGCTCGGATACACACCCACTAGCGAAGTCCAGTTCTGTGTGTAAGGGTTCAACATGCGGGGTAATTAGTTGTAGCTCCACCACCTCTGACCATGGCTTCACCGTTGATTGTCCTTCGCCCCGCAAGCAGAACCCGCATTCGGGTACCGAGGCTCTTTATCCGATGAGCGATCCGGTCTTGGGAGAACATTCTTCAGAGCTAGACTCAATAAGGACATCAATGATACATGTGCATGTCGTAGGGCGACGCGCCAGGTGCAGCTTCCCACCATGGAGGAGGGGTTCATTCATATACCCGTGCTGCCGACCTCATCAATTTCCTCTCTTATATCACTCACAGTTTCTTCTCACGCTCAGATTCTATACTCACCGTCTGAGGATCACCTGCTTGCTTGCTTGCTCTTTCTTCCTTCTGTCGTGTCAGGATAACCCGACTCGCACACCAGACTCATTCACAACTCTTCATTGCTTCGACTTCACAAGAAAGCCTACAATGGCCGCCTTGGTTGATCTACCGAAGAAATACAAGGCCGCCGTCTATGACAAGCCAGGCTTTATCTCGACCAAGATCGAGGAGCTAGATATGCCCGAACCTGGGCCAGGAGAGGTTTTGATCAATCTCTCGCATTCGGGTGTTTGCCACTCCGATATGGGTATCATGACTCAGTCGTGGAAGCACATGCCTTTTCCTACTCAAGCTGGCCAAGTCGGTGGGCACGAAGGCGTAGGAAAGATCGTGAAGATGGGCCCTGCGACGGACAATTCGACGGTCGGTGTAGGCGATAGGGTGGGGATCAAGTGGATGGCAGGGATTTGCGAGACTTGCGATGCGTGCAGGGTGGGGTTGGATGCCAGTTGTGTGAAGGGTGTAAGTCCAGTTGACGACCTACCTCTAGGTTGCTGCTCAGCGCGAATGAGCTGATACCCCCCGCAGAAAGTGTCAGGATACTACACACCCGGTACATTTCAGCAATATGTTCTCGCGCCAGCGAACTACTTGACTCCCATCCCCGAAGGCTTAGACTCGGCAGCAGCAGCTCCCATGCTCTGCGCAGGAGTAACAGTCTACTCTGCGCTCCGAAAGAGTAATACCCAATCCGGCAACTTCGTTGTCATCCTTGGTGCAGGTGGCGGTTTGGGACATCTGGGCACGCAGTTCGCCTCGCGTGGAATGGCTCTCCGAGTAATCGGTATCGACCACTCCTCCAAGAAAGATCTCGTACTTGAATCTGGTGCTGAGCACTTCATCCCCATTGACGGCACAGACGACGTCGCTGGCGCAGTCAAGGAGCTGACTGGTGGGCTCGGTGCCCACGCCGTGATTGTACTGACATCCAACAACAAAGCGTACGCGAGCTCCATAAATTTGCTCCGCCATGGCGGAACGGTCGTGTGCATTGGTGTGCCTGAGGGCGATCCCATCCCGATTCAGGCAACGCCGGCACAGCTAATTATGAGTGCGATTACTATTGTTGGTGTGGCGGTCGGAACGAGGAAGGATGCTATCGACACACTAGACTTTGCGGCGAGAGGCGTGGTGAAGACCCATTACAGGGTGGAGAAGCTGGACAAGTTAACGGATGTGTTTCGTGAGATGGATGAGCAGAAGATGCAGGGGAGAGTTGTTATAGATCTTTCCTAGCGGCATAAACGGGCTAGAGGAATAATGTTAGAAGCAAAGCCTTAGGAATCGAGATTGTATCGACCTTCTTTGGAGGTTCCGAGTGACCTGTCGTGACATAATCTGCTATTCGATGCGCCGCCGGATCTCTGAGCTCATAGCGTACCCGCAGGCTCGCTGCTGGCGGCAGAGAGCTGACCTATGTGGTCGCATATAAAACTACGCTGAAATTGACACTATATAGCATATAAACTGTCTCCGTGAATAAAGGAAAGAAGAAAGCACACGCCGTATGCCAAATGCTGCGCCAAGCCACCACTTTACGCGACATCGCGTCCCGCGCAGACGCGCCTCTAGCACGACCAAAGTCGCAATCCAACTTGCACTCATACCCACATGATGGCATTGCTCGTAGACAAGCACCGACCGCGAAGCCTCGAGGCTCTCAGCTACCACTCAGATCTCTCAGACCGCCTGCGATCACTTGTAAGTGACACCTGCACTCAACCCTTCCCCATACTGTATAACCCCCTCCCCCAACCGTGACTCTAATGTGAACCAATATCCACACAACGACCGAACATCCATTTCCTAACACGCACTACAGGCACAAAGCGGCGACTTCCCCCATCTTCTCGTCTACGGTCCCTCTGGCGCCGGCAAGAAAACTCGCATCGTTGCAACCCTCAAAGAGCTCTACGGCCCGGGTGTCGAAAAGATCAAGATCGACGCGCGCGTCTTCCAAACCACGTCCAACCGTAAACTTGAGTTCAACATCGTCGCCTCCGTGTACCATCTCGAAATCACACCGTCTGATGTCGGAAACTACGACCGTGTCGTCGTGCAGGATCTCCTCAAGGAAGTCGCGCAGACGCAGCAGGTCGACTTGAATGCGAAACAGCGTTTCAAGGTTGTCGTTATCAACGAGGCAGACCATTTGACTCGCGATGCGCAGGCGGCATTGAGGCGGACGATGGAGAAGTATAGTCCAAATTTGAGGCTGATTCTGTTGGCAAACTCGACAAGCAATATTATCGCGCCGATTCGGAGTAGAACGTTGTTGGTGAGGGTTGCGGCGCCAACTGAGGAGGAAATTTGCGGTGTGTTGAAGGTAGTGGGGAAGAAGGAGGGGTGGAAGGAGGTTGAGGGGTTGAATAAGAGGGTTGCGAAAGAGAGCGGGAGGAACTTGAGGAAGGCTCTACTTATGTTTGAGGCCGTCCATGCGCAGAAGTATGACCTGATGCCTTTCTTCGAGGGAACATTTACTCACGAATGCACAGCGAGAACATCACAGACACAACACACATCCCTCCTCCGGATTGGGAAGCTCTCATCAGCCAGATTGCCAACCAGATTGTCGAAGAACGGAGTCCAGCTCGTCTTCTCCAAGTCCGCGCAGCGCTTTACGATCTCCTCTCGCATTGCATTGATCCGACGACCATACTGAAAACGCTTACATGGAAACTCATCCCCAAAACCGACGACGCGCTCAAGCCAGAAGTCATAAAATGGGCGGCTTTCTACGAGCACAGGTGCAAGACGGGAAGCAAAGTCATTTTCCACTTGGAAGCCTTTGTCGCGAAGTATATGCGGTTGTATGAAAGGTGTCTTTCTCCTACCATTCAGTTGATGTGCATCTGCTAACTTTCGAACAGCTTCCTCATGGGCATCGATTTCGACTAGAAGACGCACAATTTTGTGTCCACTCAAACCTTTCCATAGCATGCTTCAGATAGCAAAGGCGTTTAGGAGTTGCATTGAGAGGGGACGACATTTCGGAGGTGGAGAGTTTTGACGTCATCATCAGCTCTAAGCTCCCTCAGCCTCTTTCAAAGCTCAACCATTTGAGCTTCAATACAAACTTCAACTGACTTCCACGCTCTTCATCACCCCGAATCCACTGACATACTTCCATATCTTGACTCCGCGAATCAATCATACCACAATATGTCGAAGAACCTCATGACAACCGAGCCCGGCGGCGAGTCCCAGCAGTACGAAGGCAGCATGGGCTACATCGAGCCGCACTCCAAACAGGCCGGCCAATTGGGAGGTGCGCACCTTCCCCTCTTCTACGTCTTCCCTCTCCCCAAAGTCTCCCATCCGTCCCTTACCGTCCCCTCGCCTATATTAACGCTCACCCAGATCCCTCAACCACAGATCAACCCCGCGACCCAGTCAACAAGTCTGCTTCCAGCGGTCCCAACACACAGGGCGTGACGCCAGCTGAGAAGATGCGATACGGACAGACGATTCAAGAAAGTGGGGGTGGTGCGGGGAAGACGGATGTGCAGGGACAGGCGAATAGTGAAGGAGGATTTGGAGAAACGAAGAGGTTAGGGGAGGAAGGGGATGCGGTGCAGCAGAGGAGGGCGCAAGGGTATGGCGGAGATATGGATATGGATCGGAACATTGGGGCCTGAGGGGCTTGAGCTTCTCAAATGTTGAGTCTGACTGTAGATTTGTCTGGGTATCTGAACTATGACAACGAAATGCTTCCTGAACGCCATACGCCCTGGTAGTAATGTGTAGCGAGACGAAGTCACACAAGTCTAATTTACACAGCCTTGCCCTTGCCCTTGCCCTCGTACTTGGGTTTATCCTCTTCTGAAACACCCTCTTCCTCCTCGCTTTCACTTAGATACTCGTCATCCTCATTCTCCCAACCGAACATCGTCCGCTGAGCAGCCGACTTTGAAGATTCCGTAACCTCCTCTTCCTCCTCCTCCTCCGAGCTAGATCTCTGCTGCGCCAACAACATCTTCTCTATCGCCTCCCTAGTCTTATTCTCAGCCTCCTCCTTACCCTCAACCCATTTTCCGTCCAGGCGAGCCTGCGTCCTCCCGCTCGTCAGCTCTTCCTGCTTGCGCTCCGTGCTCGCTGCAATATCCTCCCACCTCTTGCGCCGCTCCTCCTTCTCGCGTTTGTCCATCTCTGGCTTGATAGCGAGGTACTCCGCGAGGGTCTTCGCTTCCGCTACGGTGCGCAATCGTCGTCCGTCCAGGTTGCGCGACGAACCATTTACTTCGCCCTGCTTCTTCTTGCGCGACGACATACGGCCACCCTGGGCGCGGAGGATCGAGCCGAAGCCTCCCTTACCACCGCATAGCGGTACGGTCAGGCGCAGCGATATGAACGTGTCGGAGGCCGAGCTGAGGAGTGAGGAGACGGGGCCGGCGGTGATGGGAACGGTGCGGCGGGAGTGGGTAGTGAGGATGTAGGAGGTGCTTGTGAGCCATGGGGCGCGCTCATAGAGGGTCTCATATATGGATGATAAAGGTGCATCTTTCGCTTTGGTGAAGGCTATTGTGCCTCGGACGGTGTTGACGAGGATATTGACCGGGGCTTCGCCGCTCTCGTTGAAGGTCTGCACGCAATAGTGCCCAGGAGGTGCTGCGGCCTGGGCCATATTTGTTGTTTCCGTGCTGTTGGTCACTGCGTCATAGGATACGATAAACGATCGTCGAGTCGTAAGTCGTGTGTCAATCGTTGTGTTCTTTCAGATTATCTTGAGGAAAAAGCAGAAGTGGCGTTGGAGGCTGCGAGCACGGCGAGCAGGAGCGATCGGACCGGGATCAATGTCTTGGGCTGGTCTGTGCTTTGTTTAGCGAGCCGCCCACAAACTTGATCGTACCTTCCTTCTTCTTTCTTTTCATCGACCACCTCACCACCGACCAGCACCACAGTCTTTTTGTCGACACACGTCAAGATGCTTATCCCCAAGGCCGATCGCAAGAAGATCCACGAGTTAGTCATTCCAGCATCGCACACGGGCGCAATCGAAGTTGGAATTTCGCGAGAGATTGTCCACCTTGAACATGAGCCTTCCATTACCCCTCTTCACCGAAACTTGCAATTGAGCTTTGGCTGACTCTTTTTTTAACAGGTACCTCTTCCGCGGTTAGTATATACCCCGCTCGCGCCATGGCTATGGCAAAATATACATGTTCTGGTGGCATCTTGCTGCACATAAGGATAGGCTGACACACGGTCACCACAGAGGGCGTACTCGTTGCTAAGAAGGATTTCAACCTTCCCAAGCACGGTGACATCGACACTAAGAACCTCTTTGTGATCAAGGCTTGTCAGTAGCGTCCCGCCCCCAGCAGCAGAATACACGTTTACACCAAGCAGTGCAGTCCCTTGACTCCCGAGGCTACGTTAAGACCCGTTTCTCGTGGCAGTACTACTACTACACCCTCACCCCCGAGGGTCTCGACTACCTCCGCGAGTGGCTTCACCTCCCTGCCGAGATTGTGCCCCAGACACACATCAAGCAGCAGCGCACCCACGCTCCCCCGCGTGGTATGTTGGGCGGGGACGACCGTGAGCGCCGTGGTGGTGGCCGCGGTGGACGTGGCGACCGCGACGGCTACCGCCGTCGTGACGCCGGCGAGAAGGGCGAGGGCGGTGCCCCCGGTGACTTCAAACCCGAGTTTCGTGGTGGCTTCGGACGTGGACGTGGCGGCGCCGCTCCTTCTTCTTAGGACTAAGAAGGTATCGGACGCACCCGGAGTATGGACATGGTTTCAGGATCGTTTGCATGACGGGCTTTTGCTGGCTTACGCATCATTCAAAGGGTTCGGACATGGTTGCTCACGGCGAAACGAAAGGATGATCACTATAAATGTATAGCTCTTGGGTCCCCTTGAGGGTCATAACGAGCATGCTTCCCCCAATGATACCCTGTTCACGAAGTGAAACATGCTCTACCGATTTGTGCGTCCTGTGTATACTCTTGTGTTCGCAACGTGAACAGAAGCTTCATGCTATGTTCGCCACACCATTGGGATCGATGTGGTACTAAGCGTGTCAATGTCTTCACAACGTTGGAAGAGTTTAATGTCACACTGATCGCACTTCATTGTCATGGAAGGTATAATTATGCCATTGATGTTTCGTGAGCCATGAGGCATGCGTCGCATCTACGATACTTGTAAGTTTACCAAACACAAACCGAGGCGAAGGCAGCCCTTGATTACCCATCCATCCCCAGATTCAGTGAGGAGATGCTGTCCCAGAGCTAGCGCGTGTTGACATGCCTTCCCACCATCGCATGATAACCATGCATTATGCCTCTCAAAGAACCTCCCCCATTTTCGCAATTCAAGACATGACGGGAACGATACGATTCATCTCCAGCGGTTTCTCCACGCCATTGAACTCCTTCTGGAAGTCCATCACCACCTGGCCGAACTGTTCAATCGCATCCTGTGCCCTTGGGGCGCCAATAAGTACAATGTCTCGCGGTACAACCACGTCCTGCACCTCGAAGCACCCGAACGTTACAACTTTCTTAATCTGCGGGCAGCTCCTAAAGATACCCGCAACAACCTGCGTATCGACGACAGGGCAGAAGCTGAGGTTGATCTCCCGTAGGCACGGCCATGTTTTCTCGGACGAGAACATGTGCGCGAACGTCTCGTGGCTGATATGCCGACACGAGGAGATGTCGAGATACTCGAGCTTAGAACCTGAGTGCTGCATCAGTGCGTGGAAACCTGCAGATGAGAGACCAACAGGATCCTCCGGACCGTCAGGGTTTGCATTGTCGATGTCGCGAGTGCTATTGACGTCGATGTACCGGAGTGGGGGATTGGACCACTCTGCGAAGAGGTTCACGTAGCCGGCATCGGAGCACTCGTTATTCTCGCTGAAACGAAGTTTCTCAAGGTGCATGCAGGTGTTGTGAACAACGCCGAGGACGTCGTCGGTGGGTCCGTTGTCGTTCTCGGCATCGACGAAGTGCTCAAGGCAAAGAGTTCGGAGGTTGGAACCCACACTTGCGATGAGATTGACAACGCGATCGCGTGGAATGTCCTTCTGATAGCAAAGCGTGAGGTGCTGTAGCTTCTCGAGACGTGCAATGGCGTCGATGCTGTCAGGTCCGATCTGCTTGCACCGCTCTAGCTTAAGGCGCTCGATGTTCGGGCAGAAAGTTGTGAGGGCTTCAACTGCTTGATCATCGAATGCAGCATCGAGCCATTCGAGCTTTAGCGATCTAAGATCGTGACCACGGGCAATGAAGAGATCCATCCACTTGTCGTTAGACACAAGGTTCGCGCCAAGGAGTTGGATGTGGGCAAGGTGCTTAGCCTTTTCGATCATGTAGTCCACGTTGCTGTCCTTGAACTGGCAGCAGTTGCGCAGAGACAGCTTCTTCACATGCGGAACGACCGCGAAGATTTGATCATAGTCTTCCGTCTCCAGGTCTGCTAGAGGTCAGTAGAGCCACGAAATAACAAACGGCGAGTAACTCACACGCTGCCTCGTGGATAGCCACAACGTCCAGGTCAGGTTGCAGAAACAATTTGAACGTATTCGGCTTCATCGCACGCTTCTTCGAGAAGATCTCGCTCAGTTTGTTCAGGATCGGCTCAGGCATGTCGCCAAACTCATCAATATCATCGGCGTGCTTTGCCAATGTATTGATACAAATCTGTTGCAAGGTCTTCGCTCCACGGAAAGCCAGGCCGTCCAAGCGATTGCTCTCGATCTTCCTTCGGCCCTTGCGCACAGTCGGCTTGCTCGCCTTTACGGTAGCTTTAGCTTCTTTCGCCATCTCCTTTCCACACTTTGAGCACAGAAGACCGCCATCTGGGCCAGCCTTGCTGTACGGTGTGACCGTGAACCGCTTGCTGCACAACTCGCAGTTCTCCAGCTGGCCAGGCAGTGGCTTTGCCTTCTTGTACATGTCCATGACGTCGTCAAAGTCCGAATCATCGTCTGAATCCTTCTTTTTCTTCTTTTTAGCGCTCTTTGCAGCCTTGCCCTTCTTTATCTTCGCAATGGCCTCTTCTTGGTCGCGCTTGCGCTTGCGGGTTCGCTCGGCTGCCATTGCAGAAGACTCTGCCTGCAGGTCTTCCTCCGCGTTTGAAGGTCCCTCGTCGTTATCTTCATCTTCTCCATTTTGATCGACATCGGCCTCGGCTTGCTGTTGTCGTTGACGGTATGAATCGCGAATCTCTTGCGCGGAGATGTTGTTTGCCTAGCTAACGTGAGTATAATTTACGGGTAAATCGACTCAGAAGACCGCCCACTGCTAGAAAATCCGTCAGCGCTGAATGAGGGCCACGAATGCCAACCCCCCTTCCGCCGGCGCCACCCCTTCCTCGTCGTTGAGACCTTAAAAATCAGATTAGCCACTACGTGCAGTAGGTGGCGAGATTATTTACATATTGTCTGACTTGTTGGCTCTGCTTGAACAAATGCAAAGAGCGTTGCGGGTAAGCAGTTCGTTTGAGCGTTTAAAAGCGTCAGGGTAGACAAAGGAGTACTGCGGGGTGTAGAAGGAAGGCGCGTCCTGTCTCTCGGTAATCGCGCGGTCACATGAGACGCCGTGGCGAATTCGGACTAAATGGGCTTGGCAAGATACACTGCAAACGCTCTACCACGCGGTGAACGAAAAAGCACGGGCTCAGCGCCCGCCAAGTTGGGCGAACATTAAAACAAGCTCTATTTTCAATCCTTTCTAAATCTATAATTGTAAAGAGGGAATTCTTAGAAATTATATAGAAAGGCACCTGTCGTAGCTTAAGACCTTCTCTATAAGTGTACCCTGTAAGAAGAGTAGATCCTATTATATATAGTGTTGTCTGAGACAAGAAACGGCGACTTTTGGTGAGTCCGTGTTATTTCGTTTACCGCGTGGCTACCTATGGTATCTAAATACATTGTTGCCAAAACCACTAATGCCTGCCTCGTCGATTTGATATTGCCACTGTTTGTTCTGCCTTGTATTGCATGGATATGCTACTCTAATTGGATGCTTCTAGTTTTATTGCCGTACTCCACCTCCGTCGCCTGGTACATGTAGAATCCAGTTCTGTCTTATGAAGGCACACCTTTCCTTGTTCAAAGGTTCGGATATCATAACTCGCCTTGCGGGCTTCAACTTGAAAAACATAAGAAAACAACTGTATTTATACCGCACTGGGCTGCAGTGAGCCGTAAATGCCACCATGAAATTGAGGGGGTGCCTTGGTGGACATTCAATGAATGTAGAGCAGATAATACCGTGTGGTTGAGACGTTGTCTAAAAAACGTCCGATCCGCATGCCCTCTCCTGCTAAATAATGGGATGGAGCTCAGAATCGGAAATTGATAACTGAAGAAGAGTTTTGATCAACGACCGAGCAGACAAGAAAGAAACCTTAATTGATAAGTGCTGGTCCTAGACTATGTGCAGACCACCTCTTTCTGCGTGTATATGGAAGAAGTGGTCTAGGCTTTGCCCTGGAATTACCATAGCGAGAAGATGCCTTGCCGGTTAAGCGGAGCTCACAAGTCATCGTCACTATCATCGTCGTCACTCGCCTTTGAATCGGGGTCAGAATCCTCCTCATCGGAGGACCACTCTTCCTTCGGAACCATCTACAACATGTGAGTTGACAAAAGTCTGCAGAAGTTTGGCAGTACCTACATAGGCCTTGATCTTCGCGAAGTTGCCATTGGCGCTCATGGAGATAACATCGGACTGCTCGACAACACTGGAGTTGAACGAACGCTGGGAGCCAGCCACGGAGCGGGGCGCCGTAGGGTTGCCGTAGCCGTTAGGATTGAAACCACGGGAACCAGTATTGGAGGTGATTGATGTAGTCTGAGAGTGACCCGATGGTGTGTGCCAGGACCGCTGCCCGACCGTACGCCAGCCTTCATCATGAGATATCTGGCTACCGCGCTCGAATTCAGTCTCGATAAGGGTGTTGGCCTGAGAAGAATTCGAAATGGACATGGTACGTGCGAAACCCTCGGAGAGCCCGACCCCGCCACCCACATCATTCTCGGTCTCGACCCATTCGGAGGACTAGGTGTATCAATTGTGTTGTACTGTAAGAAGTAACAGAGGGCTCACTTACTGTATCAGACTGGGAAGAGACGTCGAAAACCGAGGTGGGTACGAATTCCGAGCTATCATCGAAGGTGCGACTACGATTCTCATCCTCGTACGCGTCCTCGTTGACGGGGTCGACGTCCAATCGCTTTTCGGTGCATTTGAAGCACTCTTTGTTGTCCTTGCTCCGCTGTGACTTGGCGAACGCTTCCAGCCCCTTGGTCAGACCGCAGACGCTGCACTCAAGCTCCACAGGCTGCCCTCCGGTGCATGGCATGCATTTGATCTTGTAGTGGGCGGACTGACCTTGGTTCTTGACCGCGTAGCGCGCGTCGGTAAGTTGCTTGTTGGAGAATGCTTTCTGGCCCTTGTACTTGTTGCAGCGATCGCACTTGAGCCTACACCGTTATTAGGAAAGTTGGAGGGGTGAACGGATGCACGAAAAACATACTTATCAGGAATGCGAACACGCTCCAGCCTGTCTTCATTTAGCTTCTGAGGGTATTGTATTTGTCTCGCAATGTCGACTCACATCCTCATCACAGCCGGGTCGTAGACTTGGTTGCGACGCATGGCGAGCGATGGCTGTCGACGGTGAGATCGAGTGGTGGGTGGGTTAGGTGTAGCCGGACGATTCGATATGAGCGAGGACCGCCAGAGGATAGATGGCAGGAGTCTGTTGGCAGCCGAATATAGAGAGGGAGGAGATGGTTTGTAAAGTCACGGTGGAGGCGATCAACTGAGTGCATATATGCTTGAGCCAACGGAATCTGAAGCGAAGATCCCGCGAGACTCTCACCTGTTGCAGCTGTCGTCCGTCGTCGTCGATTGGAGCGATGGATCTCGATTAACGGCGGTGGAGCAGAGGACGTGTAGAGATGGCGACTGCAAAGGTAGTGAGAAAAGTGATTGAGTAGCTGGGTTGAGAGATGAAGGCGGGTCAGGCGGAGGGTTTCTCCTTCCTTCAGTTTGTATTCGGAAGTCGCACACCGGTGAGCCAACCACGTCAACGGGAAAGCGCAAAGCAGGTCGGTTTGCTGGCGAAGACTGAGGCGATTGCATAGCGCACGTGAAGGGAAGGATGCAGGTATAGGCTGTTTACTATCCCAGGAACACTATGCGACGAGATGCAGAACTGAGCATCCCTCGAGCTGCGATCACAAAGCACTTGCCGTACGCACGAAAGCAAGAGCTCATCCTCTTCTATTTGGGTAGCTGCTTGAAACATGTTGTGCTCCTCAATCTGATTTCTTGCCATCTGCAAGAACGAGATTCTGCGACGGAGCAAGACTTGGCTACAGCGGTGCTTGCCATGTCCTCAGGCCTGCGGGCTCACGGGCCCTGAGAGAAGAAGATAAAGTAACACGGGCGTATGCAGTACCCATGGTGGTTGTACCGAGCAGTTTGTTTGCAGGTCCTCAGAGCGGGCTTCTCTACTCGAGACTGACGTCACCGAAGCGCAGCCAGAGTCAGAGGCCATGCACGGCACCCGAGGAGAGACCAGAGAACGGATACGAGTGGAACTCTACGCGGTCGCAAGACGTACTGTGTAAATTACGTGGCAAAGACCGAGGGCGAGGCATGGCAGAGATTTAAGATCAGCCCTACGACCCCTTGTTCCTCTGGCCATGGAACGTGCATGGGCGCTCCGCCCAAGTGGCTGCCGGGGCGTCTTAGCTAAGCAGGAGGACAGAGAATTATTATTTCATTCACCGAGCCCAACCTAGGCGTCAGGTCGTCCCAACCCGCTCCTAGCGCTCTTTTCTCTGCGCATTCCCTTCCTCGCCCTGTTTTGCATACTCTCGACTTGACCTTCTTGTTTCCTACAAGAGCGCGATTTGCGCAGCAGAGAAGCGAGTGTGCAATCGGGTAAAGGAGATTACCATCCGCCCCTATCGATAACGGCGGGCCCCTCCTAAAAATTCCCACTTACTGTGCCCCACGCATACACTTCGCAGACTTCCTACCCAGTCCTCCCTCACACGCGCGGGCATGCCCCATTCCGAGTCGCCTCCCATGGCTCCCGCGATCGTCGTGAACAAGGCCGGCGACGCCCCCGCCCCTTCTCACCAAGATGTCGCTGCCCTCCTCTCCAGCGTGCTCACTGCGAAGCTCTCCCACTCTTCGGTAGAAGCCGCCTACGCGCTCTGCACCCTCCTTCAAAACTCGGTCGGCTTCCGCGGCCTGAAGGACTATGGCGTCCTCGACGAGGTCAAGAAGGCGGCCGGCGACAAGAAGAACCCTGGCAAGCGCGAGGGTGCGATGAATGCGCTGGGCGCTCTGTTTGAGAAGATGCCGCCAGTACAAAGGTTGACCGAGATCGTGTTCCTCGTTGAAGAGGAGAGCACGGCCGTATTGGCGCTGGATGCTTTATCCGACAAGACGGGCACAGTGCGAGAGAGCGCGCAGTATGCGCTAGACTCGCTCTTTAACAACCTGAGTGCCGAGGCCAAGGTATTCGGCCTGCTACCGGTGCTGATCAAGTACCTGGGCAAGAAGTCGGGGAAATGGCAGGGCGCTGTGGGCGCCTTGGAGCTTATCGGAAGAATGGCCGACAAGGCAAAGATGGGCATGGAGAGCTTCGAGGTAGAGAAGGAAAAAGATATCCTGAGAGAAGCCATGGGCAAGAAGTTGGAAAAGCTGATCCCTGTGGTTGAGGGCGGTATGCATGACTTGAAATCAGAGGTAAGCCGTTCTCCAGCAGCATCTGCTTGGGTTATAACATTAACCGTACCGCAGGTTGCCAAACAAGCCCTGAAGACGATGAACAGTCTCACCACGCTCCTACAGAACGATGATATCGCTCCGCGGATACCGCTCCTTATCAAGTCGATTGAAGACCCCTCGACACAAAGTTTACAGAAAGCGATCCACGCTCTCTCGCAGACCACCTTTGTTGCCATTGTTACGTCGCCTGTCCTTGCCATGGTTACTCCGCTGCTTGAACGATCGCTGAACAACCCCTCCACGTCACAGGAGGTCCTCCGTCAGACGGTCGTTGTTGTGGGCAACCTGACGAAGCTCGTGCACGATCCCATCGAGGCTCGCACTTTCCTGCCCAAGCTTCAACCGGGTGTCAAGAACGTCAAAGACCGCGCTTCTTTGCCTGAGGTGCGAGAGATCGCGTCCAACGCGCTAGCCGTCATGGACAAGGCCATGGCCGACCAAGATGGCAACATTGCCAGTGGTGCTATCGATCGCACACATCCCGAAGACATCCAAAGGGTCATTGATCAGCAGGTTAAGGCTGTTGGGCAGATTTCCATGTTCCCTGGCGATTCCGTAACCTGGGGTTTCGCAAAGCAGTACATCTCTGACATGGTTGCCGAGGTAGTTAACGAGCGCCAGCTAGACCGGGTTTCTCAGCTGATCGCGCCTTACCTTGGGCCCTTGATGGACCCTGGAGATGCAGAGAAGGTTGCCGAAGCAGTGCAGCAATTCTATGTTGAGGAGGATCATCGCAAATTTGGGCAACCAATCAAGGAAGATGATGGAGAAGTCGAAGTTGTCAACGCGGTCTTCTCGTTAGGCTACGGAGGCATGCTCCTTCTGTCACACACCAACTTACGGCTACTCAAAGGTCACAGGTACGGTCTGTGTGGCCGTAACGGTGCGGGTAAATCCACTCTTATGCGCAGCATTGCCAACGGCAAGCTTGAGGGCTTCCCGCCCCAAGATGAAGTCAAGACTTGCTTCGTCGAGCACAACCAGGGCGAGGATGCCGACCTTAGCATTCTTGAGTACATTGTTCGGGATCCTCGTTTCGCAGATGAAAGCAAGGAGCGCATATCCGAAGTTTTGGAGGAAGTTGGCTTCACATCCGGTCCTGAAGGAAGACAGTCACACAAGGTCGGCTCGTTATCTGGTGGATGGAAGATGAAGCTCGCTCTGGCTCGCGCCATGTTGATGCGTGCTGACGTTCTCCTGTTGGACGAACCGACTAACCATTTGGATGTTGCCAACATCGCCTGGTTGCAGGAATACCTCAAAAAGCATACCGAAATCACGAGCTTGATCGTCTCCCACGACTCCGGATTTCTGGATGAGGTTTGCACAGATATCTATCACTACGAACAGAAGAAGTTGGTGCACTACCGCGGTAACCTCGCTGCCTTCGTCAAGGTCAAACCTGAGGGCAAGAGCTACTACACCCTTTCCGCATCCCAAGTACAGTTCAAGTTCCCTCCTCCCGGCATCCTTAGCGGCGTCAAGTCCAACACTCGATCGATTCTGCGCATGACGAACTGCAGCTACACGTACCCAGGGTCTTCCAAGCCGTCTTTGCACGATGTCTCCTGCAATTTGTCGCTTTCTTCCCGTGTTGCCATCATCGGTGCCAACGGTGCCGGTAAGTCGACACTCATCAAACTTCTCACTGGTGAGACGATTCCGCAGGAAGGCAAGGTCGAGAAGCACCCGAACCTGCGTATCGGCTACATCAAGCAGCACGCTTTGGAGCACGTCGAGATGCACATGGAGAAGACACCCAACCAGTATCTGCAGTGGCGTTACGCTAACGGTGACGATCGTGAGGTGCTTATGAAGCAGACTCGCGTGCTCACTGCCGAGGATAAGGTTCAAATGGAAAAGCCAGTCGATATTGGTGACGGCAAGGGACCGCGCAAGATCGAAGCCCTTATCGGTCGTCAGAAGTACAAAAAGAGTTTCCAGTATGAGGTCAAGTGGCTCAACATGTTACCCAAGTTCAACACCATGATCTCCCGAGAGACTCTCTCCGGCTTGGGTTTCCAGAAGTTGATTCAGGAGTTCGATGACCACGAGTCCTCTCGTGAAGGTCTCGGTTACCGTGTGCTAGAGCCCAAGGTCATCTCAAAGCATTTCGAGGATTTGGGCCTGGACCCTGAGATCGCTAATCACAATGAGATCTCTGGTCTTTCTGGGGGACAGAAAGTAAAGGTCGTACTAGGTAAGTCGATTCCTACCGGCTGAATATCTTCTGCAGCTAACCAGTATCTAGCGGGTGCCATGTGGAACAACCCCCACCTACTCGTCCTCGATGAACCTACTAACTTCTTGGACCGTGACTCCCTCGGCGGTCTTGCTGTCGCCATCCGCGACTACAAGGGCGGTGTCATTATGATTTCCCACAACGAAGAGTTCGTCGGCGCGCTCTGCCCCGAGCAATGGCATGTTGCCGACGGCCGCGTCGCACACAAGGGCCACCTCGCTGTCTCGATGGACCGCTTCGAAGACTCGCGCCCAGGTTCCAGCAACGTCTCTTCCGCCGTCAGCTCCGCGGTCCCCAGCACAGTCCCGAGTGCCGCGGGCACGCCCGTTATGAGCGACGCGGAAGGCGCACAAGACGATATGAAGTTCCGCGCGCGCAAGAAGAAGAAGATGACAAAGAAGGAGAAGAAGGAGCAAGAAGTCCGCAGGCGTTTGCGGCACATCGAGTGGCTTAACAGCCCCAAGGTACGATACGGCCCGCCCCGACCCGTGTGACTATGAAATTGTGCTACAAGAATAAATGACTAATGCTTCGCAGGGGACACCGCACACACCCAACACGGATGACGAGGCCGATGAGTAACATGACGCTCGATTCTGCGCCACTTCGTACGCTGCATGATAGACTTGCATTGGGTGGCGTTAATCTAGATTGGTTTCTATGCGCGGGAGACATGAAGTACAGCACCTGTTGCATCGTTTTGCGTCGAAATATCGCATTTTGAGGGAAAAGCTTTGAGGATCTATAGATAGTTGGCAAGAACGTATCCAATTTCTTTCACGAATATTCTCGACATTCCAGTGCGGTCGTTTACCTGTTGGGGTTCATTTGACTTCCTCTTCCTGCATGTAAAGATGGCTTTCTCGAATGAAAGAACGAAATGAAGTTCACCAATTTCGCCATCGCTACCAGTCTTCTCGCTGTCAGCTTTGCGTCTCCCATTCGACTGTTGGAACACATGGATCAGATGGAAAACGTCCGTTGGCCTCCGCTTCTCTCCTCCTCGTTCTTCTTTGCCATGTACATCCACTCACATCCAGCCATAGGCCCAATCCCATGACATGGTGTCCCCTTCATTCAATGCCGAAACCAGGCCCATGCCCACGCTCATGCCGGATTTTACTCACATGCTGTCCGTTCGCAGCATGCTCGACGTGCACGGCACTTTAAAAGTCCAACACGATGCACGCCGCTGCAAACAAGAACATGCTGAACTCCGCCTCGACCATGGGCTCGAAGCATGGAATGATGCCTGAGGACATGGAGATACACTGGGGACTCTTCCAAGTGCAGTATGAACATCGTCGAATCCAAGAACAGCATGGGCTCGAAAGGTATTGATTCTGGATCGAGCATGCTTGAGAAGGGGATGATCGGATCTCAGGACATGGCTGGTGGGAAAGAAGACATGATAGGTTCGAAGAACGTCGCCCACGGGTCTAGCATACATGATGTCCAAGGAAACGATGGGGGTACGGACGAGATGAAATCCAAGGCGATGATGAACTCCTTAAATAAGATGAAGACCGGTTCAAGCATGCATACAAAACATATGACGAACACTAACAATACGATAGGCTCTAATGCCTTGAGTAGAACTACCGACCTTGTTCACGGGAAATACAAACTTATCTTCAAGGGCTACGAGAATGTTCGCTATTCCACGTAGTCGGCGACAGCAAGTGCCAGACACCGATTTTCTGTTGTTAAATGACAGTAATGGGTCAAAGCAAGAGGCAAGCTGAGAACCAGTGAGTATGTACGCTGAACATTTGGGGCCTATGATGTTGCGTCCAACCGGCTTAGTTGACGCACTCTTCACTTTACTCGTGACCAAGTCTCAGTCACGGGCTACATCAATCAATCAGTGAAGACTTTTCTGCATTCCATTCCTACTATTACATTTGCAAGCGCTTGAACCATCACGACTCCATAATGCATACTGCCTATGATAACCCCGCAAAACGCCATTGTACTGAATCATGATCATGAAACGGAAGTCTCTCATCACAGGCTTCTACCGCTCGTTGCATCGTCGAGATGTCATAAGCTCTGCAACAGAAGATCAAGAGGGGGAACCAGACCGGGAAGAGAATAAAGGGTTTTCTCCATCGATGCAGCCAGTGCTCGATAGTACTTGTGGCACAGGTTAGAAGATAGTGCCAAAGTTCTCGTCCACAGAAGGTAGCGGCTTTCGCGGACTTGCAGGCTTGCCGTTCTCGTCGCCGGTCTTCTTGTGCCGGAAGGTAACTGTTAGGGGTTTAGTAGATGTCTGTAAAGGGTCATATATAATGACTTACATCCAACGAAGAGGCCTTTGTTCATCTTCTCATCGCGATCGGCCATGGCCTCTAGCGCCATCTGCTTCTCGTGAACCTCCTTGTATTTGGCCATGTCCGCTTCGCTACCGAAATCATCAAAGTAACCAGCATCTGTTTCGCTGTCTAGTTCCGGGACGAAGGGGGCCTTTTGGTCTCTCAAACACGTCCAATCCACCTCAGCGAAATATTGATGGGCATGGATCTCAGAGATACCGCGGAAGCGAGATGTTTTGGACGCCACAAGCCGGGTGATTAGATCCCAAGTACGCTTCGAAAGGAAGTAGGACGGGTCTTCGTATACGGGCTTACGGAGCACCTTCTTCCACTGCTTTAGATTTTGCCACGTCTCATCCACGGTTGCTCCGGCGAATGGTGGATATCCTGCGAGGGCCTCGAAAAGCATGCAACCTAAGCTCCAGTAGTCGACCGTGAAATCATATTCTTCACCCTTCAACACCTCAGGAGCCATGTAATCAGGACTGCCGACGATACTCTTGGCATAGTTGACATCTCGTTCTCGAAGCGACCGATAATTGTCGCGGCGCTCTGCAGCCGTCCGGTCTTCCATGGGTCGCCCGAAGGGAGACACTACATTCCCAACAGACTCAAGCTTGATTCTCATCGACTCGATTTTTGCCGGTGCAAGCATACCTGCGGCCAGTCCAAAGTCAGTCAACTTCACGTGTCCAGTGCTGTCGATGAGGAAATTTTCCGGTTTCAGGTCTCGGTGAATGTAGCCGAGTTGGTGAAGAGAGTCTACACATGAGAACATCTCAGCAATGTAGAAGCGAGCATGACGATTGTGTAAGACGCCGGTATTGTTGAGCAGCGTGCGGAAGTCGCCGCCAGGCACGTATTCCTGGACGAGTTAGTGGAGGATTAGCCTGTTGAGACTGGAGTACGTACCATAGCTAAGTAGATGCTCTTGTCATCCTGGAAAGCATAGAGCAGCCGTACCAGCCACTCGCTCTTGGCTGAGGTCAAGATATCGCGTTCTGTCAACACATGGCGAACCTCATCAAGCTTGAAGAGAAGCTTCTTGCTCATGACCTTCAGTGCGCACACCTCGCGTGTATCCTTCTTCTGGGCCAGATATACTTGTCCATAGCCACCCTGTCCAACCTGCGTTAGGATCTGGAAGTCGCCCTGCCTCAACCGTGTGCGTCGCTTCCTCAAATTGGCCCGTTCGCGTCCAAGGTATTGTGTGAGAGCCTCATTGTATTCCGCTTCGGGAGTTGCAGGAGGTGGCGGGTTCTGGGCTTTGAACTGCGCGAGCCGGTTCTGGCGAGTATGAACGTATGAGAGGAGATCGTAGTAGTGGTCCAGAAAGTCTACGAATTTATAAGCCTGTTTTGCATTGCCAGTCACCTTAATAACTTACACAGTTGTGTGACATTTGCCAGACGCTTGACCGATGGTTTCCTTGCTTTCTCCAAATCTTCTGCCGACAGGCGCTGGGTCTGGTAGTAGCGCCCTGACTGCTCCGCCTCACGCGGGCGGTACGGTTCCTGGCGCGATTGTGCTGCGTGCGTAATGTAACTGGACTCCTTCTGCAGGCCCGGACGAGTGCTCGGTGGTGTGTTCTCCTTGTTCGCTTTGCGTGTGGGGCTTCCTGGGCCCAGCGTGGTGAGGTCACTTGCCGAGAAGTCGACATCGTCGCCTGCTTGCACATTCGCCTTATTGGGCGATGTGGGTGTGCCTGGTTTGGACTTGGGCGAGCCCAGCGTCGGAAGCAGTCGCATGGCATTCTCAAAGACGTGGGGGAGGTCGAAAGCGCCGGGCGGGTGCTGATGCTTGCTCGGGCTGCCCTGTGGCGTCTGCTGCGGGCTGATGAAGGCCTCCTGCGAGGGCGTTCCGGGACGGTCCATGTCGCTGGAGCGAGTATGGAGCGGCGGGGGAGGGACAGGCAGCTGGAAGTTTGGTGCATTCGCCATGGTTGTGATGCGCGCTTTAGGGCGGTCTGGGACAGAGCGACGCAAGGAAAATGGCAGTCGCAGATCAGCGCAGCAACAGAATGAACAGAACAGGCAGCAAGCGCAAGACTCAGCTGATTCGACAAGGATTGCGAATGCGAGATGTGTTGTGCACTGCAGAGTGTTGTTCGCGGGGTGGTGTTTATTTGTGGACTAAGATCCAGATCTAACCCTGGCAACAAGTGGAATGCCCCGCACATCCCTGTCGGCTTTCGTCATCGCCAACTACCACAGCCTCAGCACTACCTTCCGCGCCATATTCAAAGCGTGGTGGGATCTTATCCTGTACTCATGCAATTCATCAGACTGCCTAGTTACCCCTCGTATATATACCCCCGTCATTACGTGCAGCAACGAACCGTTCCAGAAAGGGATGATATGCCATGCTCTCGTACGCCAGTAGAGCCATCATGATACGCCGCCTATGCTGATGCGAATGGAAAGAAAATGAACGCGTCCGGTTTAGGCCGGTGAGGGTTCTCCTGTTACTCTGCCTTCGACCATCGCTCTAGACATACCTTCCAAGAACGGGCGACCGCTCTCTGCTCTCCGCAGCCTATTCAATCTCTCCAACAACTGCTGAGGGGATTGCGCACTTTCACGTTGTCGCGGCTCGATAAGGAGTTTCCGACACATCGGACAGGTGATCTTGTTCTTGTGTTTTTTGCACGTCTCGAACTGAATCGAATTAGCCGGTGCATGGACGAAGCTCCAGTGAATATAGAATGAAGGGACACTCTGACACGCATATCGAGGCTTGAGTTGCCCGGGTATGAATGATCCATGAGTAGAGCACATCCAACGCTATAGATCGCCATCGCTCCTTGTTGATCCTCTTGCAGATGCTTCTGCATGCTTTTCCACGGTGGCACAAGCGGCGTGCTGCGGGGGAGAGCGGGTGACTTACCCAAGTGTTTATACAGTGCTCACCAAAAACGTGCTTGCAAGGTAGCTGAATCGCTACCTCAACGTCTTCTGAAGGGTCCACATGTTTTGTCGAATAGTCTTTCTGACAGATGTCGCACATTGCGTCAGTTCCCTTTGGCAACTCGCTGGGTAACAGATGTCGCAATTTTTCCCGGAGTTCTCGCAGCTGCTCCGTGGAAGGGACATTGGGGTGGTCCATCTGGCTTGATATGCGACGAAAGCTTAGGTGTCCTACCGTACGTTGCCGACGAGCCAATCGATCTATTACCATCAGCGACATGTTATACTGACATAAAGAAGAAAGGACTTTTTCGTATCTGAAGCGCCATGTCACTCCAGTACAGAGATAACATAGGCAGACGTACCTGCGGCACGAGACGCTGGTGAGCGTGTTGGTCCGTTTGATTCAGGTGCACCGTTATGTAGATCGGTCGAATATCGTTCAAAACTCCGTCTATTGGAGTTTCTCGGCGATGGACTGAGATCCGGCAGATGGATAGGACCATCGGCAGGTCTGGATGAATGGTGACGTTCTTGGCCACTCAATTCTTGACTACCTCGCCGGTAAGGTCGTTGGTTCGGTAAGCTTCGCCTAGACATCAGATCAGGTTGAAGGGTCTCGTTGGTTCGAAGATTCTGAAGATTGTGCGTCCCGTCGAATGCCGTATCAAAACCGAATGGGTCAGATGGGAACGAATTGTCAGAAGGCACGGGCCTATCAAGACGTCGGGCGAAAGTTCGAGGTGATTGTTGTGGCCACTGAAGGCTCGGGTGGCCCGGACTTACGTAGTTCGAGAAGCCAAAGTCTGGATGAGGACGCCGGCCAATGTCCTGAGTACTGAACATCTCGTCCACACGTCGTTCGTCGTTGAATCGAGGATAAGCGTTCGATTCTGGTCGGTGGTTCTGCGGTGGGAAAGCCGGCCACTTGAGATGATAAGTTAGCGATGCCTGTGATCAACGCACTGAATGACCAATGTGCTGTAGCGAAGACATATTCGAAGTGATGGTGGCTGATGATTACTGGAATGTTGGAGATGGTATATTGTTAATGCGTGCATGTGCATCCTGGTGTTCCCTCCACCAACAACGTAACAACGTGCAGACATAAGAAGCGAGAAGAACCAGGCTCTGTCCCTACGTACTGCCCGCCTACATGGACTGTAGCCCAGGGTTCCTCCCCTACGTAGGTAGAAGATGACGGTGGACGGGTCCTTGCCAAAGTACATGTACTTACCGCTCTCGTTCCGGTCGGGCCGTATTGAAACATGGCACTAGGGTTTCCCATGTATGATGCTGCCGGAACACCGCCGACCGGGTAAGGATATTGGTACTGAGCGTGCTGGGGTTGAAGACGCTGCCCGCTTGGCAGTGATTGCTGCGGAATTTGAGGGATAAAGGCATAGTGGTGTGGGATGTGCTGAGGGTCGTTGTAGCCGGGACTGAAATCGTAATTCTGTGGATAGCTCGGCACAGGAATGTCATGGTCTCGATGTTGCGGGACAAGTCCTCCTGCCAAAGGAGAGAACTGGTCTGCCATTCGGATTTGTTGGCGCAAGGCGCATGAGCCCTCGCGCCTTTTGGCTGAGGGTCGATTCTGATGACAGGATGTTGAGACCGTTGGACGGCGCGGTGTAGGCGATTCGGCTATGTTGGGAGGCGGTCTCAATACCAAGTACCACAGTACGAGGGACAACAGGGCATAGACAGAGTGGAGCGGAGGTGGAAAGTTTGGGGCGCAGAGGTGGAGTAGCGGAGCAGCAGCGTTATCTGGCTCCGAGCACAGAGTGAAGGGGCGGGCGGTGAGTAGAAGTCCCGTGAGCGGAGTGTGAGTGTGGGCGGTGCGTGGGGCACGGTGAAGGAGAGCAGGTCTGAGGGGGAAGGTGCGCGATGGCGGCTGGGAGAGGTTGCAATCAACGGAATGAGGGGCAGGAGCGGGCAGAGCACTATTATGCGGACGTTGAAAGCAAGGCTGCAAGAGGCCGTCAGCTGCTCCGGGGGCAAGTGACTTGGGACTGAGACGAGGGCAGAGGTGGGACAGGCGCCAGTCGTTGCACGCTGAATTAAATCCGTGGCAGAGCGCCGCGTCTCGTGGCTGGCAGGCCCAGGTCCAGCTCGAGGTCCAGCTCCTGCCGCGAGCTTGGTGTTGGTTCCGGCTGCGGCGGCCACGGCGTATGTAACATGTACGAGCTACAAACGGACGGCGCGCGTATGCACCGCTCGACTTGCTCTACCACGCCGGAGGGCCCGAGACAGGCCCGCAGCGTCTGCGGCGGCATCGCGTCCGCTGTCCAGCAACAGCAACACCGCAGACGCGACCAGGCGGGGCGCCGAGGGACGAGGGTGCGGTGCGCTTGCAATGTCCTGGTATGGCATGGTATACCGCACTGTACTGTACGATACGACGAGGGCGTCTGGTGGTTTCAGAAGGGGGCACTGCTACCTGCATCGTCGTCAGCAGCAGGTGTTGGTCTTGCTTGCACCAGTGAATTTCCCAAATTATCCGCAGTCGCTCGGAACCTCGCAGGGCTCCGTCGGAACGGGGCCGTCACGTGGTCCGAAAACGCCCGAGCCCTCCCCCGGCCCGCAAATTCGAAGCTGGAGCTGTCTGGCGCGGCGAGTCGACAAGAGCTCCTGTCTGCAATTGCGGCATCCAAGAAACCATCCTACCTCATACAACAGCATCGTCGCCTCTCTGCTGACCGCCGCCATGTTCCGATGTGCGCTGAAGCCCCGCGCAGCCGAGGCGGGCCTCCGCTCTGCTCTGCCACATGCGAAAGCCCGCCCTGCCGTCGCGACCACATATCGGCCGGCGCAGACCGGGCGAGCTCCTCTGTCGACAGCCCCGCGCTACGCTCAATTGCAGTCACAACACGCCCCGCAGCGCCGCCAGTTCACATCGACCACCACAATGGCTTCTACACGGGCAGAGAGCGATGCCTTTGGCGAGATCCAGGTCCCGGCCGACAGGTACTGGGGAGCTCAGACGGAGCGCTCCCTGGAGAACTTCAGGATCAACCAGCCGCAGGACCGCATGCCGCCGCCTATTGTCAAGGCCTTTGGTATTCTGAAGGGTGCGGCGGCCACCGTGAACATGAAGTTCGGCCTGGGTAGGTACACCCCCTCACCCTGCTGTGTTTCTACTCACCATGACCAGACCCAAAGGTTGGACAGGCTATCCAGCAGGCCGCTGCTGAAGTCGCCGACCTGAAGCTGATCGATCACTTCCCGCTCGTCGTCTGGCAGACCGGCTCCGGCACCCAGTCCAACATGAACGCCAACGAAGTCATCTCGAACCGCGCCATCGAGATCCTCGGCGGCCAGATGGGGAGCAAGAAGCCTGTCCACCCCAATGACCACGTCAACATGTCTGCTTCCTCCAACGACACCTTCCCGACCGTCATGCACATCGCTGCTGTTATTGACCTCGAGGAGTCGCTCCTCCCTGCGCTAAAGAGCCTCCGCGATGCTTTGAAGAAGAAGAGCGAGTTGTTCGAGAGCATCATCAAGATTGGCAGGACGCACTTGCAAGATGCTACACCCTTGACACTTGGCCAGGAGTTCTCTGGCTATGTTCAGCAGCTCGACTTCGGCATCGAGCGCGTTCAGTCTTCCCTGCCTCGTCTCAAGATGCTCGCCCAGGGTGGCACTGCGGTCGGCACTGGTATCAACACTTTCAAGGGTTTTGCCGAGGACATTGCGTCGGAAGTCAGCAAGATGACTGGACACGACTTCATCACTGCGCCGAACAAGTTTGAAGCTCTTGCGGCACACGACGCTGTCGTCGAAGCTCACGGCCAGCTTAACACTCTTGCAACGTCCCTATTCAAGATCGCTCAAGACATCCGCTTCCTAGGCTCCGGCCCGCGGTGCGGTCTTGGCGAGCTGAAGCTTCCAGAGAACGAGCCCGGCTCGTCAATCATGCCGGGCAAGGTCAACCCGACTCAGTGCGAGTCCCTCACCATGGTCTGCACCCAGGTCTTCGGAAACAACGCCGCGACCACCTTTGCAGGCTCCCAAGGCAACTTTGAACTCAACGTGTTCAAGCCCGTCATGATCCGCAACCTGCTCCATAGTTCTCGTCTCCTGGCTGATGCCATGAGAAGTTTCGAGAAGAACTTGGTGCAAGGCCTGGAGGCGGACGAGAAGCGCATTGGTGCTTTGCTGAACGAGAGGTGAGTCTCTTTGCTCTCTATGCCAACATTTGCTGACTTGAACGTAGTTTGATGTTGGTCACCTGCCTTAATCCCGTCATCGGATATGATGCCGCCTCCAAGACCGCCAAGAATGCGCACAAGAAGGGTATCACTCTCAAGGAGAGTGCCCTCGAGCTCAAGACGATCAGTGAGGAGGACTTCGACAAGCACGTCCGACCGGAGCTCATGATTGCGCCCAAGGAGAAGAATTAGATGTGGCTTCCGTAAATAGTACAACATATATGTAAGCGTATAGCAGTCGGCCCATGTGTAAATAGATGATATCCACCTGATCCTTCGCAAAATCTTGGTTGGCGTTGACTCAATACCGAGTTCTGCTGAATCGGTGGTCTTCCTGCTCGGTATCCGTGGTAGCCGCGCAATCATGGTCAGTGTGTAACTGTGCATCGATAGCCCTGTGCGGCTCCTGCGCTAAACGCGGTGTCACGTGCATGGGTCTGTGCGTCGAGCTGTCAACGCTCATTACTCAACAGCATCAAACACCAACGCAACGCCGCCCTCCTCACTTGAGGTCTGTCGCATCAGAATGCCAGGACTTTTGGAGAAGCGGAAACGTTCGACTGTAGTTGAGAGCGACGACGAGCAACAGTCGGACGTCCCTTACAGCTCGGCCAACAAACGCGCGCGCTCCATCCGCGACGCGTCCGACGATCCCTCAATCAGCCGCAATGACAGCTACCCTAACGAAGATGTTCACCAGCCTGGATCTTTGGTGCGAGTCAAGCTTACCAATTTTGTCACCTATACCTACGCCGAGTTCCATCTGGGTCCCAGCCTCAATATGATCATTGGCCCAAATGGAACAGGCAAGAGTACGTTGGTCTGTGCCATCTGTCTAGGTCTGGGATGGTCTGCACAGGTAACTACGTTTTTTTTTTTTGGTTTTTATTGGTCTAGCTGATTTCTATAGTATCTTGGTAGAGCCAAAGAGATCGGCGAATTCGTGAAGCATGGCTACACCGAGGCAGAGATTGAAATTGAGCTAGCTGGCTCTAGCAACCAGAAAAACCCCACTATACGTCGAAGGATTCAAAGGGACGGTAATAAGACAATGTTCTACATCAATGACGTCCATAAATCGCAGAAGGAGGTCAGGGCCCTGGCAGAAGCTTTCTCCATACAGATCAACAATCTCTGTCAATTTTTACCCCAGGACCGTGTGGTAGAATTTGCTAAAATGGATTCCATCGAGATGCTTGGTGAGACATTGCGTGCTGCAGCGTCTGGTCAAATGGTACAGTGGCACGACGAGCTTAAAAAGCTGCGGACCGACGAAAAGGTTCTTGAAGCCCAGCAGCAAGATCAACAGCAGCATTTGAAAACCTTGCAATCCAAGCAAAACGCTACGCGAGAAGATGTCGAACGGTATAACCAACGTCAGGAGCTTCTGACTAAATCGAGAGTCCTTGAACAGTGCCGTCCCATTATTAGATGGACAGAACTCAGAGCCGAGATTGATCAGATAAAGGAAGAAGAACGTAACGCTCGAATCGAATTGCGCAGATACGAGGACGAAGCCGAGCCTGTTCACCGTGCCGAGGCGGAAATGGAGAATGATAGGCTTCTGATCGAACAGATCAAAATAAGGCGCAAACACAACTTCGAAGTTAAAAAAGGCGCTGTGGAAAGGTTTGCGAAGAAGATCGATGACGATCAGCAAACCTTGGGTCACCTTGCAACCGAAATCGATGCTGAGAAGCAAGCTGAGAAGAAGCGGAGGCAAGACATCACGCGGCTAGAGAATGAAATCACCAATCTGAGACAACAAGCGGAGAGCAACACCGTGGATTACGACCCAGCCTCCTTTGTCTCACGCAATGCAGGTGTTCGCGCTCGAAAGTCTGCGGCCGATCGAAAAGTGGCTATGCTTCTAGATGAGCTAAGAAGAATACGCGAAGACGCCATTCGAGATACAGAAGCATTGCGGTCCAAGGAACAGGAAAAGGCGCACCTCAATTCGCGAAGCGGCCAGCAGGACAGTCTTTTATCGAGACTATCCATGGATACTCATAAAGCATGGACTTGGCTCAAAGCGAATGTAGGCACGCTCTCTTTGAGAGACGAGGTCTACGGGCCCCCAGTTGTCGAATGCTCAGTGCCTGATCCGAAAAACGCTGACGCTATTGAGACTCTGCTGCGTCTTGGAGATTTGACAGCCATCACATGCACAAACAAAGAGGACGCTCAAAAAGTCCAGGACAAACTTGTAGGCAGGAAGGATGCAGGTGGGCTAGGCTTGCACCATATTACCATCCGCACAGTTCCTCTACCGCGTTCTTCTTATCAGTCCCCTCTCACACCCGAAGAGCTTGCGAATTTCGGTTTTGAGGGGTGGATAAGCGACTTTATTGAAGGACCCGACGCCGTACTAGCGATGTTATGCGATAATGCTAAGATCCATGCGACCGCGTTTGCTTCCCGGCCGATCACCACTGAACAGTACAATGCTATAGAGGGGAGTGAAAAGCTTCAAAGATGGATTGGTGGAAATGAGCTCTATAGCATTACCCGGCGTCGCGAGTACGGGATCTCATCCACCAGCGTCAATTCAATCAGGAAAGCACAGAATTTCACTGGTCAGCCTGTCGCCACCATGGAAATGCAGCAAGTGGACGATGCGATCAAGGGTCTTCAGCGTGAGGCTGTCTTGAGAAAGGGTCTTCACGTAACCAAAAAGAAAGATTATGATGCAGCCAAGCAGGATCAAGGCGAAGCTGAAGCTGAGAGGGTAATCTACTCTCACTGTCTTCTAACGTGGGTTCTAACCGTCAGTAGGCCGAAATCCACGCCGAACAGGATCGTATGAAGAAAGCTCACGCAGCGTGGGAGGCACTGCCGCGAAAGATAGGCAAGCTAGACATCAAATTTGAAGCGACTTGATGCTGACTTTGACCAGCTGCGAAAGAAACCGATTTGAAAGAAACCAGGAGCTTAAGCCGCGACACAAACAGTCGCATCAAAGAGATCCAGACAAGACAGGAGAGTGTGGCACTGGCAGTGGCACGCGACACTCTTTCGTACGCTGTAAGTGAACCCCGGTCGTCAAAGCCAAGAAGCCTGTGATGCTCATCCTGTACCAGAAAGAGGTGACGCAGCTGCGTGCCTTACATGAATCATTCCTTGAAGCCGAAATTCGTATGATTGAGGCCAACTCCGAGGTCGATGGCTTCAAGAACGACAATCGTGAAATTCTTGAGGCAATCCAGCGGCAGAGGGACGCAATTGAGAAGTTCAAGACCGATCACAATTCCAAAAAGGCAGAAGCTCGGCAGATATCGGAGAGCGTAAAACGCATGCTTAGTAGCGCGTCGGAGGGAGAAGGAGCGCTTATCCAAGAGTACAGAACCCTGTCTATGGAGGAGTTGGAGAACGAAATCTCGGCCATTAACTCCCGTCTCGAATTGATGGCTGATGGGAATCCGCAGGCCATCAAGGCTTATGAAGATCGGAAGCGAGACATCCAGAAAGTCGAACGAACCCTTGCAGATGCTGCAGATAAGCTGGAGTATAACCGAACTAGGATTACAGACATCCGCGAGCAGTGGGAGCCTGAACTGGACACGATAGTATCAACTATTAGTGACGGCTTCGCTCACAACTTCGAACAGATTGGGTGCGCCGGACTAGTTTCCGTGAAGAAAGACGATGATTTCGACAAATGGGCCATCCAAATCGAAGTCAGCTTCCGGTGGGTCATCTTGTATAGCGTGATCTATTGTTTTGCTAATGTATTTGCAGGGAAGGAGAGCCGCTGGCCATTCTTGATTCCCATCGTCAGTCCGGTGGCGAACGCGCTGTATCGACTATCTTCTACCTCATGGCACTCCAGGGCCTTGCGCGTTCGCCTTTCCGCGTAGTGGACGAGATCAACCAGGGTATGGATCCGCGCAATGAACGCATGGTACACGAGCGTATGGTCGACATTGCTTGTCGGGAGCGCACGAGCCAGTACTTCCTTGTTACACCGAAGCTGCTCAACGACTTGAAATTCCATCCCAAAATGAAGGTTCATTGCATTGCGAGTGGCGAGTACATGCCTGATCAGCGCACGAACCTTGACTTCCGGAGCCTGGCTGACTTGGCGATGCGGGTGCGGAAGGGAGTAGCTGCTTCTTAAGCAGGATTCAATATCACACAAAAGGGCATTTGGGTTCGGGACACCTTTCTCGCAAAGGTGGGCGACACGGCGCACACGGGCGATCGTGGACATGTTAGCGCTGGGCATTTGGGTTCTACATGGCATTGGAATCATCTTTCCATCCCACAGATATGGCTTATATTCTGGGTTAATGTACCAATGTCACAGTTCTACGATACCAACGTATTCTTATCCTATCGAAACTGGGAGTATCTACCTATCTCGTGAGCTAGCAGCTGTGACCATTATGCTCGTGTCTCCTGTAGTACTGCGCTTCGAATGTCCGTACTGATAAGATAAGCATGTAGCATATCACATTCAGTGTCGTATATGACCGCATCGACATCACGTTTGAGCGTGTCGTTGTCGCATAAAACGTTGCTGGACAAGACTCATACCAGAAAGCGGGATAGCGCCAATACATACGACGGTGGAGAGCGGCTTGCTAAGCGACTTCTTTACCGTGGAATATATCACGACGGCAACGGGTACAACCGCTGGTAGTTGTTCACAAAGTTGCCGTTTAGCGCAATGTGGCGAACCTCTCCTGCCTTGATGAGAGATCTATTCGGGTTGCGCGCCGATCCTTTATGTTGGGAATCAACACAGCAGAAACGAACGGTTGTGGAGTGATGCGACGGGCCATGCTCTGGGTGTTACCCACAAGGTTCGCCTGTCAGTTTTACCGTTACCAGGAGACTATCAGGCCTTTGAATTCTTTGCTGGCCTCCATCCACGCCTTCGTTGTCTCTCTATTCTTCGCTATCACACTCTCAATCATGCAGATTCCACCGCTACTATCCCTCCTACCCCTCGCCGTCTCATCCCCCTCCTCCGACAACGACACCCAAACATGGACCATCACCCGCCTCGACTACCATTACATGACAGAATACCCAGGCTTCGGCCCCCCACACATGCCCTGGCCCGTCTCCGCCATCTTCAATACCACGCTCTCTTTTGACGTCTCGATACCGGATGCGACAGCACCGCACGGCAGCTGGATCGCGACGTGCGAGCTTGGCTGGGAACATGCAAGTTTGCCAGGGACGTTTGTGGCTTGTCGGGAACAGAAGGGGGAGGCCGAGGACGAGGGGAAAGGTACGGGGATGGTTAGTGTGTATTTTGGGGTGGAGAAGTGTAAGTGGGCTTGGTAAAGGCGGTGGTGCAATGCTGATTATTGATACAGGGAACGGGACAATCGTGGAAGCCCTGGGAGAGAAGCAGGTCGATATGCCGTTCAGTCTGAAGATGTGGAGATTTGATCTCGCCTCCAACGTGAATAAACCGTGAGTACACACGCCCTTCCAAGTCACTCTGCCACGATAAAATGAGCGCAGACCTGGCTCGCAAGAGCGCTGCTAGGCCTCGTTCTAGCCGCACATCACCCCCGTTTGTATTCTGATTGGAGCACTGCAGGCAAATGTACGGCAACGTGTCTATCAGCTGCGACGATCCGGGCTCGCATACGAGTTATCTCACTTGTCTGACGGGAAAGCCCCTGGATGGCATGCGGTGCAAGTTGCACCGCATCAACAACATTGATTTGAGTAATCAAAAGGAGTTGCGAATCGTGGCGCAGAGATGTTTGCTGCCTGGTCAATGCTGACATTGTTGGGCTGATGATTGCAAACGTGGGTGGAATTAGAAGCTAAATCGCGAAATAAAACGTGGAGCTGCTTCATAGGGATCACATAGAGGCGACGGTCAAATATGAGTGAAATGCTTTTATGCTATCAGGTACCTATGTGTTGTAGGCACTGATAGTGAAACATCATATAATGTAGTACCACCGCTCGTCTCTTCCATTTCCTGATCGTGTTATGCCGAGGTCCTATGAGACACCTCACTTATATGTCCTCGACCTCGGCACCATGCGAGACGCGACTTAATTGCCACATTTCGGGAAATTGCAGTTCTCAATCCCCGGCTTCCCGCATGTCTTCGTCTCGCAGGCAGATTCACATGCCGGATCTCCGAACTTGCAGGCCTTCTTGCAATCCCTCAGACCGTCCCTCAGCTCCCGGCACTTGGTTGAGCAACGCTTACTAAGCATGCTACGTTCTTCAACAGCCGCCTCGTTCTGCTTATCAAGCGAAGGAAACATGCCTTTGGGGCAGATGCACATGGTACCATGCGGGGGCGATCCGAACCAACTGCGAAACCCGAAGGTACCAAGTCAGTGTATGTTTCCAAGAAGTGGGGATGGTACTTTCGCTCGTTTCTCAGCTAAGCAAACAAAAGACTGACACAAAGAAGAGGGGTTCTCTCAGTCAGACACTTCCACTTTGTCCCCAGGGGACTTACCAGCACTTCGAGCCGAAAGGACCGCAAGGATACGGACAAGTGTAATCGGCGTTTGCTTCAGATCCCAGGTCAACTTCCATGGGATTAATCTTGCCGTTGGCGTCGTCGATGGACAGAACGGTGCCCTCCTTCTCGGCTCGGTCAAGCTCGTCGAGCGTCTCGGCCATGCAATTGCATCCGTGAAAGCTGTTACAGCAGTGGTATTTGTTGCATCTAGGATCGCAGCCTGGAGGGGGTGGCGACGGGGACGTACTTGTAGGAGGACTGGAAGTGGTGGTAGAGTTGCCGAGTTGAGAGTGGAATTGCTCAAACTCGGCAAGCGCCTCCGCTCGACAGTAACACTCGCCCCATGGGTAGCAGCAATGGTACATGATGCACCTTGCGTCACATTGTGGTGGTGGGGCTGGTGTGGAAGTCGGTGGAGCTGTTGAAGTAATAGTAGAGGTGGCAGGGTACTCGGGGAAGCAGTCATTGTTTGGACCATCCTCGCGAGCGAACAGAGGGTTAGTTTCGGCCACCTGCACCGTATTTAATGACGCATTATAGACTGGAGAATCGCCTACTCACGGTTGCTGGCACGGCGGCCGCGAGAGCAAGCAACGCTCCGAGGGCAATTGCGAGAAGCCTCATAGCTTGACGAGACTGGGATCGACTTTTGAGACGTTGGTAGGGAATGTGGTTGTACAGACCGTGAAGATGGAGAGTGTGGGAGAAAAGAAGTTGGGAGATAGAAGGTTTAATAAGCACCGGCTGTCATCGGTTGCAGACAGAGACAGTGAGAGATTGTCGTCGCCGTTGGCAACGGTGAGGGAAATTGTAGCAAACGAAGTAAATGTGGGCCGCTCGGCCGCCGACAAATAAAGGCGATAGAAATAAGCAGGAGCAGTCATTAAGGTGCACTCTTTGGAAATGACTGACAAACGCTGCCCTCAACAGTCGAAATCCGGCCCGGCTTAGGCGAAGACTGTTCTGAACTACATCTAGGCATGGGTTAACATGGCTCTTGGAGAGTCGCCCGGATCGCTAATAATTACATAAGGTCTTATCTCCCTAAACAAGACGTCTCCATAGGATGTAAGATCACTGGCACTATCCCATCATCTAGTGTCTAGTCGCTAATCCAACTGTTGAAACGTTCAGAAGCCTGCCGCTGGCCTCAAGATATCAGTGGATAGGAAAGTGTCTAGCGGCGTCCATCTGTCGGGGTAAGAGCTGGTTGCAGGGCATCTGGATGAGGCGCAGATTGCTGAGATGAGCTGTCCATCTGCTGATTTGAATGGTATGTCTGGTGAGATGTAGGTATCCTTGGTCCAGGTAGAGGCATGCGGGTTAAGGGCATGGTAGAGGCGGCTTGAAGGTTAGTATGTGGACTCTTTGGCAGGTATTGAATCCGAACTATAGGTGGGTGTGCTGCTGGGCCCATTGATTGCGAAGCTGAAGCTGTTGCCGCCTCATCGCAGAGGCCGCTTCTGTGCACGTAGGCATGGTTTCTCCTATTGAGCTCTTTAAAAAGCTCCCTACCGATGTCACTCCTTATATATACGTCCACCTTGTTCGTCTTGTTACCTCAACCCTCTGATCGTTGTGTGTTCTTGTGATTTCATTCTCCTGCGTCCTAGAATCAAACCTGTTATTTAGTTTGTCATAGCTTTCTTATAACGCATCGACTTGATGTTGCAGGCTGACATCCGCGATTTGCACGTACTGAATTTCTTCTTTGATGATGTCCTTTAACCTTTCCTTTAGCGCACTCTGAGCGTCCTGTAGCTCGTATGTCACTCTCGCTAGGCTTGTAAGCTTTTGATCGAGCTTTGCGATGTTGGGACCCTGCTCCTGAATCTCCTGTCTGATATTGGTGATATGGGCGCTTGTTTGGTTTTGGTAGTCCTCGAAGCCCTTCGTAAGATTTTCAAATCTTTGCTGGTTGATTGTTATGTTGTTCTCCTTGAAGGCATTCGTCTCTGCTTCTGAGTTGTTGACCTTCCCCTTGAGATGTCTGCTACTGTCTTGAAGTCTATCCAAATCTCCTTGCAACACCGCGAAACCTTGTTCTAGCCCCTTAGCCTTTAACCCCTGTTGGTTGATTTCTTTCTGGGCTTTATTGAGCTCCTTGCGTAACTCCGCCTGAGAGTTTATGACCTCTAATATAGAGGCCTCAAGCTTCTCTGTAAGACCATGAGCGCATATCTTGGTTTCTTTGCACTTCGCCTGTAGGGCTTCGATCTACTTATGTGCCTGCTTCTTATTATTTTTTGAGAGTTTTGATCCTCTTTTCTTTCTCTTCTGAATCCTTCCCCTTGAGGTCTTGATGCTTTTCTAGCGTCTTAATCTGTTGGTTCTTCTTGTTTAGGTTCTGCTGCATAGTCTCCAACTGCTTGTCCTGCTTTTCTGAGACCTCCCTCTCATTGTCTTGCCTAATCTGCAAAGCCGTGACCTGTCCTTGTAGATTTGTAAGGGTGGAAGCAGTGTATAAGGGACTTCTATGAGTACTGTGCTTGAACTCTTTCAAGCTCGTTTCCATGACGGTGACCTTTTAGCCTTTGATGACCATTCTTCCCAGAGACTTGACCATTTGTGGAGAGAAGGGCTATATGTTGCGTGCTGTTTCTTAAGCTTCTTGAGGTCAAATGTCAATGTGTCCACCTGTGTGCACAACGACTGCTGACTCTGATTAGGCTTCGTACCCGAAGAATTGGTCCCAAAGACTTGTTCAAAGATTGATTGTATTTGGGTGTTAGATATGCTTTTGATGTCTTGGGATATGGTCTTCCGAGCCTCTCTTAACTCGATAGATGATATGTTGGAGTGCTTTATCAGTGCGTGCGTCAACTGGTTGGATACTTCCTGAGTGCTAGCCTTTGTTTCAACACCCTGCTTTAGTGAAACCAACCCGTCTTCACAGACCTGGAGCCGCTTCGACGTTCTTATAACTTTCTTTATGACCATTGCGTAGGATATTACTCTCCTTCAATTTGCTATTGATGAAATTGAGACGCTTCTCATAGGGTTGGATTTAGTTGGAGACCCTATTATGTGAAAAGGTGCCTATATCCGCAAACTTGTTGTGGTTATTCTCGTTGTTAATGCGTAGTACTCCCTGGTCTCTGGTGTTGTTAATAATTGCCCTTTTAGGAGTTGGGCGACTAGTGGAGCCGTTGTTCGCGATGCAGGACAGAAGCTTGAAGATCATTGGTCCACCCATAGGGGAGACTTGGCTTATCTGCAATTGCGCGAGTGCGCGATGCAACTGATAGGAATATGTTCGACATTGGTGATATTTGTGCTACATCGCCGTCGTGAACGCTGCCAGATGCTAGACGAGTGTCTGCTTCAACGGCCGTTCTCGTATAGCGCTGAGATTAGTTGATCAAAACGTATGGAGCATTGCGTACCCATTGACGTGGCCCTTTTCCTTGCCGTCTTCGTCGGCCAGAATTTCTATCACCAGGTGTCGACGAATCGGCGCCCCTAAAAGAGTCCTCAGGGGTGACTCCAAGCATGGTAGAGATCCGGTTGTAGCGGTATTTCGGCGCTAATTGTTGCGAGGTACACTCGAACAGTCGGTGTTCATCTGACGGTATTAACAGCGCTTCGTGCTAAGCCGTAGCCAGTGTCGCCACTTCTCGCAGTCATATGCGGCCAATCATCTAAATAAAGTACGCTTAGGCGACAAAACGAGACGGAAGAACGAAGAGTAACGAGCATAGTGGGCCGACCACGATCGGCTTGAGGGTGTTCATGAAAGAATGCACAGTAAGCCTGGGAAACGCAAGATGCTTTACAACTATTCTGGGTATCATAAGGATAAAGTCACTAAAATCATTTCCATCGTTGTCTTCGTATCATGCGACAGTAGCCGCTCGCTCACAAGTCGTCATCCTCGGCTTCCCTATCCTTAAACACTAAGAATTGCTCAGGTTCTTCGTTCGTGATTGTCTGCCATATTGCTCGTACACGGTCGAACACGACATCGTCAACGACGAGATCTAGTGGTAAAGGAGGTAGACCGAGAAAGTGAGTTTCCGCACCATCTAGCAATGGTAACGGCTCCATGGAAGGCATCGCACGCTGTTCGTACTGCATGGACCAGATGATCCTCGGCGATGGCGAAACATCAACACTAGATAGCAGGAGAGATGTTGCATGGCTGAGAAGCTCGAAGCCTCGCTTGCCGCTCAAGCTCGTGGATGCGTACAGTACACCTATGGATTGTCAGCTTCTGTTGAACGACCTCGAGACGTCGATGAGAGCTGAAAGCATTGCCAAGATCAGGTTGTCAGAGGATATCTATCGTCAATGTAATTCGGACAATGTAGATAAGTATTCAAAAAATCAATCATCAGAATGGCTTGGATGGAAGAGCAGGCAGAGATATACTCACACTGACCGGCGGGGCATTCTCCTGACTCGCTGGAGTGGATATGAACGTGGACAGGAGGAATACCTTGATGCCCATCCAACTCATCTGGCAAGGACAAAGAGCCCGAGGGGAAGATTAGAATGGCAGACCCTGGTTGAAACGGTCTCTCTTCCACCATAACAGGCGGGAATAGTTTCGATAGGGCTGAAGACACAATGCTGACTGACTTGCAAAGAGAGCCTTCTGCCTGGTCTCGTGCGCTTTCGGCCACCACCCAACGCGCAGTGATAGCTTCACCATCTTTCAGATGGAGCCTTACACTGGATACATGATTTGTCATTGCAGTCATGTTCTGGCGCACTGCTGAGCCGTCTCTGCTGACCGGATTGGAGTTTGCCAAGTCCTTTTCTGTGTCCGACGGGCTTTCGACGGGAATCTGTACGGTCGACACAAAGCCACTCGAGGTGGAGAGACCGTTTCCCAAGACGTACACTCCGCCTCCAACGGCGCACGCACGACAGGCGACCTGGCAAAACTCGTCCAAACCACCATACTTGGGGATGAGCGCGCTGAACTTGCCCAATGTGCCGATTGACCTTAAGTGCCGGGCGATCCTAGGCAAAGCGTATTCGGTGGTCACACTTTCAAGGCTCTTTGTTGACATAGTGAGAGCAAGTAGGGGTGTAGACAAGACGGCTGGGGCTTTGAAGACGGCTGAGAGGAAGTCGGAAAAAGGTGACGCTCGGTACTGTTCCCACTTGACCTTCTCATCATCATTTTCGTAATCCAGAATGAAGCGAAGGATCTTGACGAGCTTACGCTTAGCCGGGAAGTCAAGGGTATTGTTTCCAAACAGGTCTTCTCGTGTATTGGGTACCTTCTCAAGGCTACCAGTCTCCTTCCCATTCGTGCCATCTGCAGAGTGCACCCACCAACTACCGACAGGAAGAAACGCAACCTGATGGTGGGCCTGCGAGGTGACTAGGTAACGCCTGAACGCTGAACCGGAGTATATGATCTCAGGGGCGAGCGCCAGGTTGTATTGCCTCCCGGGTTTTCGCGATAGCGCGGCTGAATCCGACTCAGAGGGCTCTGGCTCGTGGATGGATGCCTCAGCGAAGGCCGCGTGGAAAACGCCTAGGCCGGCGTTAGAATCGATCAGGTGAAGACGGGTGGGCAAATATTACCATGATTGACTTTTGCTACCCACTCTTCAGCTTCTGGTATGCTAAAGGCGGCTGCAGAGCCGCTGTAATAGGGATTCTGATCGACATGGAGTATTTTCTTGTCCGAGCGAGACAATGCTCTTCAAGTGCTGCGTCAGTCAGATTGCGGAACAACAGTGGCAAGTGCATAAGGCTTACAGGGCGAGCAGGGACTGCTGCAGGCCGGTGCCTGCGATCACGACGTCCCAGTGGGTGTTGTCAAGAGTGTCCATGGTGGATCATGGGAAAGAAAAGAGTGACAGCGCGCGGCAAAAGTTTGGCAGCTGGGTGGCCGCCAAGCGCTCTTTAGCGTGAAATGACTAAGCATGCGACACTTGAAAATCTGCAGCGCGTGAACCGAGCTTTCCTTGACAACGCGCTCGCTGAGAAACAGTTCTTGATGTGTGGGACTGTTCGCAAGGCACCGAGGCTTCATTGTCTCTGGACATGCGTGGAGAAGAGATCTCTTCGTCCGGTATCTACCGCTATGGATTTCACCTGAATTAGCGGCTCGAATGTGGCGATACATTGTGACTTGATTAGCTGTGACACCCGACAGAAGGAATATCGCGTGTGCATCATGCAATCCAAGGCCCGTACGTGTGCGGTAATCTTGTCTTCTTCCGCGCAGTCGCCGTCTGCGTGATTTTCGGGTTGTGACTTTGTTATGGGACCACACGTGTGCATGCCACAGCTGGAGCATCTTAGCCGCCGAGTGAGCAACCATCGGCTCCACAGAATCAGCAGTCTTGCGTGGCTAGCCCGTGTCCGCGACGACCGCTGCGCTCAGCCGATATAGATTTACACGCACGCGTGACTGACACAATAATCAAATCTTCCTTGGTCTAGTGGTCATGATTTCCGCTTGTCATCGCAAGGTAACGAGCGCGGGAGACCGGGGTACGTAAACAGCGTCTTGGGCACTCTCAACATCTGTCTCTAACTCCGCAATAGGTTCGATTCCCCGAGGGAGAGTGCATCCTTTGTTTCTTTTTGGCAGTTGGTTCGAATCGTGCATGCGCGTGGAGGAGTCGACCTCCGGATGTAAGGAACTAAGTTTGTGATTTTCGGCTCGGGGGCGCCTGAGTGCGCCTGCCAGACGCTCCTTGGTCGCTGCCTCTTATAGATGGTAGGTTCCTTCTGCATCAACCTACCCGTCATTGCAGAACCAGGCTCGGGATTACACGCATATAATAAGCTATTCAAAGTATGCATACCTTGAGTTTTGAGTATGAGAATGGGTGAGATCTTCCCGTGGACTAAATCAATAGTCCTCATCCACGCTGCCGGTTGGGCGGTGATTGTCTGGCTAGATTCTTCCATGCATACCCCGACTATCTGAAGGATTGTACGGGCGCATTGTCGTTAGAGCGCATCTTGGTAGGTCTACTGGACTTGGGAGGAAGTTCGAGCGGTAATCCAGCACTGATACAGCCGATAAACCCCTGAAATAACAGACCGGTCTATATCTAGAGAAATTTCGCCATCTTGCAAACGACCCGCAGTGGCTCTGCCCTAAGCCTCCACGCTCTCGACCTTGTTCGTTAGCTTCTCGTCTCCGCTCAACTCTCTTGACGCGTCACTCAAGCCAGGTAGATCTTTGAGCATGTGCACGATCTGAATGCCCTCACCATTCGGACACCTCCCTGACATTAGAAGAGAAATCTCTCAATCGTTCCCTGCAATGACTTACCTCACAACGTCTATCTTTCCGCTCCTCGTATATCCACACCGCTCATACAGCGCTACGCCACTCAGCGTTGCTCCCATTTCCAGTCCCGTAAACCCGCCCTCCCTCGCCTTGCCCTCACAATACCGCATCATCATGGTCCCGAGGCCTCGTCTTGCCCAGTCCGGATGCGTAAAAATAGCCCTGATACTCGCGCGCTCAACTTTGGGATCGCGCGCTTCAGGCAGCCTGTTGGGAGCAGTGTCGGCGCCGTATAACGTGCGGCGGAAGGACCACCCCCCGCAAGCGCTAATAACATCGGGAAATTCTAGAGGATGGAGTACGAAGTAAGTGTGGTCCTATGAGATGAGCGTTAGTGCTCTTCGTTCCATGCACCTTCTATCTTCCTTTCCCTCTCTCTATCAACACATACACAGACCGAATGACATCTGAGCATGGTCAAGCAGGAAGCACTCACATGCAGTAGCAGCGTGTCGGGTCCAAACAAATACCCAATCGACCCGTCAAGCTCCGCCTGCGTGTAATAACTTTTGCCCAGCGCCCTCAACGACTCCCCAATCATCTTCTGCAGTGCGGGAATATCGGCGATAGTAGCATTACGAAAACCAAACTTGTGCGTAGCTTCTTGCGCTTTCGCCGACGCAACAGGATCATGCCTTTGGCCGCTCATATCGTGAAATCGATCTTGATGCTGGCACTAGCTCTTTGTCTGAGAATCCGACCTGCTCCTGGGACCAGTATTGGAAGCAGCGGCCAGGAGCGGGGCAAATATATGTGACAGGGCGGCTGAAGTGCTCTGAACAATCTGCACAAGTAGTGGTAGCACGACAGGAATCTCAGCGCAATGCAGCTTGAGGTGTTCAGAGAGCATCCCACTTGCGGAAGGCGCGATATCGGGCCAATGAGATGCTTTTCCGTCGGGAAAGATTCACGTGCAATTGTTGGCCGCTCTCTACTCTGCAGAGTCCTCATACGATGACATGACCTCACAGCCTAGCAATATGAATTGAACCCGAACTTCCATATTCCATTCATAGGAAAACTCTTGGGATACTCTTCTTTACTAATCTGGGTTCTAAGACTTACACGTTATCCAGCCACGACGCCCTGCTCCGAAGATGTTCACGAAACCTTGCCTGTTCATCGGACCAACTAGGTCATGTGAGATGGTAAGCCCATGTAAACAACCTTTACGATTCGCCACTCTCTGTTCATCAAGAGACGTCTACATGGCGACACGGCTTCAGTATCCCTTATAAGTGAGCTCACTTCTTTTTCGCCTTGCTCGCAGCACCCTTGGCTTTGCCTCTGCCCTGAGGCTTGACACCTTCTTCACTCTCACCATCGTCGTCATCCTCCGCAGCGCGTTTCTTGCCACGAGATTTTGTCGCCGCAGTCTTCTTTGCAGCTTTCTTCTTAGGCTGCTTGACGTACTTGTCTTTGGATATATCGACGTCCTCGTCTTCTTCCTTGATCTCATTGACAACTTCCTCCTCGTCGGATTCTTCGATCGCTTCTTCAAGATCGGGTTTTTCCTTGCTCGCTTTTTTAGGCGCAACGACGTTCGAGGCTTTCATGAAGGGCAGCGGATGGGATTGCTGGTTGTAACTGTGCATCGTATTAGTCAGTCTCAAGATAAAAGTGGAGGAATATGCTTACAGTCTGGTGAAGGTTGCTTTGTCTTGAGAAGCGATCTTGACCTTCTCTTGTACCATGGGACCTACGCCCAGCTCCACGATCGCATCGAAGTCATCCTTTGTCAGGAAGTAGCTGTCCATGAGTTCGATGATCTCCGGGACAGCCTCTTTCCCTTCATCCTCGAGCCGCTTAACGAGCTGCTGCCAGAGGACAGGAACATACTGTTGTCGGACCTCGTGTCGATCACCAGAAGAACGTAAACGCATATGAGCCTGTATTTCCTTGACCTGGCGCGTGAGCTTTCCTTGAGAACTATTTTTACCGAGCCAGGTCGTGAAACGAGTCTGATGACCAGCTGTGCTTCCAGCAACGAAACTGGCCGGCCGTACGAAGCTGAACACTGCATGTGTTGGCATTAAACTCCAGTGCTGTTGCGACCCGTGGATCATGCGATCGACAAGGTCTCCGTCGCTAATGCTATCAGCGGCATCGGAAGCTAGTTCCAGCAGCTTCAATTTCTTATCGGGCCCATTGTATTGCAATGCCTGGATGGGATTGGTACCAAGATAGTTCTCTTGGAGCATTAGGGGACTGAACTCGTGGTCATTGAAGTAGAGTTCGATTTTCTCGTTCAATGTAGAGTTGCTGCTTGCAGCAAACATGCCGCCTCCGAGAATTTTCTGCGTGATGTCCCATGGTTTTAGGATGACGTGTTTCTGCCATGCTTTGGACATTTGCTTGCCCTTGTTGAAGTCCATAGCTTCTTGATCGAGTTTGGCTGTGGATATCATGTTTACGACTTGTCGAATATCGGCGTGGCTGCCCTCGATTAAGGCGTTGATGACCGGCGCAGGCATTTTCAATCCTTCTCGGAATGCAATAGTCATGATGCGAGAACGAATCTGATCGACTGTCGGTCGGCGAAATGGCAGATCAAAGGTTACATAGTCGAATGGCTTCATCTTCGGCAGCCTTCTGTCGTTACATATCAAGATCATGGGGACCTCCGTCTTCTTGCAAACGGCAGCCAGAGCTCCTACGCCACCCCGGTCGCCTGCAGACATACCATCGACTTCGTCCATGATTAAGACCATCTTCTTCTTATCCGACTCGACCTTCTTGCCGTCCCCTGCGAAGTAACCATGGAGTGAGTTCGTACTCAGAACGCCGCGCAGGCCCTCCTCCACAAGCTTTTTACTGCGAGTATCACTGGCATTGCTTTCAACGATGTCGTATCCTTCCATTTTGGCTACGAGATGCGCCGCCGTGGTTTTCCCAATGCCAGGAGGACCGTGCAGTATGACTGCACGGAAGGACCCGCTGCCATCGGGTCCGGCTAGCTTGAAGTTGGTCTTCAAGCTCTTTGGAAATCTCTGCAACCACCTCTGCAACTTCTCCACTGTAGCTTTATTGCCGCAGATCTGATTGAGTGAAGATGGCGCATACTTCGTCGTCCACAATCTTGAGTCCACCGCTGGCTCTGAGCTTTTGCCAGAGCTGAAGCTATCGGCGGAAGAAGTCTTGGCATTCCTAGCGGTTTCTGCGGTCTTCAAAGCTTTCAGCCTGGCTTTCTCTTCCTTTTCCATCTCGGCTGCTTGTGCTTTGATCTTCTCTTCCTCTTTGCGTTGCTTTTCCTTGAACGCCACCTGTGCTTTTGAGTCACCCTGATTGCCAGCTGCCGTAAGCTTTTCGATGAGTGCTGTGAGTCCGTCCTCATCGATAGTCTTGATGTTCAGTTCTTTGATCTTCCGCAATTTGCTTGGCCCCGCGTCCTGTCCGAGAACAATGTAATTTGTGTTCTTGCTCGGCTGTCCGGTAACCTTCCCGCCATGCCGTTTGACAAGCTCTTGAGCCTCAGTTCGGCCCCATCGCTGCAGAACGCCCGTGAAAACGAAGGTCAAACCAGCGAGACAAGTCTCGCTTCCGGATGGCATGGACCCTGAATCACCGCCGGCCGGTGCGGCATCTGCGTTCCCGCCGCCGGCCTTTTGTCTCCAGTCGAACTTTGCTGTTTCGTCTTTCGGGGGAGGGGTCGGTGGTCGCACTAGGGGTATGCTGTCATAGATGGCTTGTATGTCCTTGTTCTCAACGGCGTCTTCCTTCTTGGCCTTCTTCTTTGCAGGCGCCTTGGCTTGTGTATCCTTCTTCGGACGAGCGCGTTTCGGCTTGATCTCCTCCTCTTCCTCATCGTCATGCTCGCCCTCACCATCGAGTTCGGGAGTCTTCCGTTTCTTCCCCGCAGTTGATGTCTTCTTCGGCATGCTTTTGGTTGCTCGTTCATCCTCATCTGGTTCGACGAAGCCGTCCTCCGCGTCCACGTCCTTCATGTCAACATCCTCATCCTCTGGATCAATATCGTCGTCATCCTTGACCGTCTTCTGTTTCTTCGCAGGCTTCTTCGGCGTTCCCCTATGTGGAAGACCAGTAGGTAGATCATCGCCGTCGCTGGCTGCTACTTCAACATAGTCGTCGTCTTTGCCTCGTGATTTGAAGTCTTCTCCGAATATATCGTCCGCTTCGTCGAGATCGTCGTCCGGAAACTCGTCTTCGTCATTCTTTGCGGCATACGCGGTGACCCGCTTCCTCGGCCTGCCTGGACCTCTATTGTTTGTCACTGGCGTCGAATTCTTGGACGTCTTTCCGTTCCCCTTCACGGGTGTTGTTTTTGGTGTAGATTCCGCGGGCTTCTTTTTGAAAGGTTCCGAACGCTTGGGCTTGTTCTTGCTAGCGAAGAACTCTGACGTCGTTGTCTCTTCAAGCTCGGGGGACGGTTCCTTCTTGGTTTTCTTCGGTGGAGGCTTCTTTGGGGAAATCTTCATGGGTCTGCACATGCTCAGTTAGTTGTTCCGCAATGAGTTCCAATCAGTCTCACTTTGCCTCTACTACATCGTCGTCGTCCTCGTCGGATTCGTCGGCGACCACACGGCTGGCACGACTGGGCTTCTTCGGTGCTGCCTTTTTCGGCGCAGGCTTCTAACGTAATGTGTCAGTCTTTTGACGTCTCAGTGTCAACCAAACTGGTGTGCGCCTCGATTGTGTTACTGATTCACGCACCTCGTCCTTCTTCTGCGAGCCCTGGTTCGCCTGTGCTCCGCCGCCAAAAAAACTGCGGATATCCGCCGGCATCGTTCCTCACTGGATTGACCAGAGCTACAAAGCCAATGCAGCAGGTACACTCAAGACAGGTAGCAAACAGGGTGCGGCGTGGAAAGCGTGTGCGTTGACGGCGTGAGGGCTGGTTGATAGGACGAGGACGAGGCACCAAAACGCGTCAATGACGGGCAGGCAGTCGCGCGCCGTCACGCTACGCGGCGGCCCCCGGCCTTGCCTACTTGGCCCGTGCCTCTCAAGCCACGCACGAGCCACACGCCAGAACTTCCATCAAGATTGACTGCTGCCGGCATCACAGATGACCATGCCGCCGCCCAGGATAGCCACCATGAGCCTGGCCGCTCAATTGAGCCGGATGACCCTCTCGGCATCTCGGACACGACGTAGAGACCACCTGCCCTCATCGTGTCTCAAGAGCTCCAGTGTGCTAATACGACCAGTGCTCCCGACCGTCCTAACCCCCAAAGTCCGCATACCCTCCGCCCGCGCATTCTCCTCCACACCGCACCGCCTCAACTGGCTTGCTCCCAAAGCCGGTGAATCCCGCAAATCGCGAAAAGGCCGATGTCGTGTTCCCACTGGCGGTAGCATGCGGGGCACCACCGTCGTATGGGGCGACTACGGCTTGCGCATGCGCGACCACGACCGCCGCATCTCCTCCTCCCAGCTTCACATTGCCGAAGAGACCATCAAGAAGCGCCTGCGAGGCATGAAGTTCCGTCTCTACGAGCGCGTCTCGGCCAACATTGGTGTCTACACGAGCGGCAACGAAAGCAGAATGGGAAAGGGTAAGGGTAGTTTCGATCATTGGGCGACGCGGTTGGCCGTGAGCAAGGTCGTCTTCGAGATCAAGGGAGATTTGCACGAGCAGGTCGTAAGAGATGCTTTTCGATTGGCAGGGAATAAGCTACCTGGTGAGACCCGTCTTGCTTGAGCGAAAAGACATTACTGACCCTAACAGGGCTGTGGGAGTTTGTGAAGAAGGGTGATGCGCCCAAGATGGGCATAACAAAGGTGGGCGTTAACGGCATTACCGCGGAGGATCTCAAAAGGCCTAGGAGGAAGGTTCCTCTTGAACCTCTAGAGCAGACGGCTGCCCGCCTACCATCGGCCTCGCCCTCATAGATCTGTATGTATTCTGTATTATGAAATGTACACAACTTCCTTCTGCTATTTGCCGTTGCGGAATCAATACATTTCAACGCCGACACGGTTGACCATGTGTCACCGATTGTCTCGTGCGGCGCAGCCTTCTCCATCCTCTCAAATAACGAGCTTGACACCAAATATTTGCCATTTGTGTTACGTCTTTGGATATGTATGTTCTGTAAGGGGCTAGGTGCCTAAGAGGCCAGAGTGCAGTTAATAACATTATTACTCACTAAGGGTGTAAGGGGCACCTGGCCGAGTGGGCGGAGTGAGGTAAAACATAGATAAATTTAATAAGGAGAGTGTAATTGTTACGATTAAGGGTACTATGTACTAGATAGGTAGTGTATTAGCTTAGGTGGAATAATTATCTGTATAGGGTCTAAGTGTAATGGACTAGCCCTAAGATTAAAATGTAATAGGTGTTAAGGCCGGCGTTTTATTTACTTTATAACTTACTAGTCACCCTTTTTCTTTTATATGGCATTACTATTCACTTAAATCTTATTTATATTAGAGCTAGACCTCTACTAAAGGCTTACTAATATATAGCTAGATACTAGTTTACTTTATATTATAATATATCTAGCTCTACTACTAATATAACACTAAGTTTCTAGTTATTACTATTACTATTACTTTTATTATTACTATTACTATTACTTTTATTATTACTATTACTATTACTTTTATTATTACTATTACTATTACTATTACCTACTTAGCCTTTTATATACCTAAACTCTCTATAATCTCCTACTATTAGGTTTATAGTTACGTAGTAATGTAAATATTAGTAAGATCTAAAGTAGGTAGTAAATAATTAAATAGATAATTTACTATTTAAATCTCTTAAATAGCTTACTATTCTTTATACTTTAAAATAAGCTTATAAATACTAAGCCCTACCTTCTAGACCTAGTTAGTACCTAAATAGAATATTTAATACTTATATATTATAGATTTTAATATTACCCCCCTTTTAGGTAGCTTCTTAGCCTTAAAAAAGCTTTTTAGCTTTTTTAGATATAAGGAGCCCTTATATAGGCCTAACTAGTACTATTTAGCCTATATTAATATAATTTAGAGTAACTTAACTCTAAATAGCCTTTTATATAAACTTATTAGTTTCTTTTACTTATTTTAGTACTAAAACCTTAGTATACTAAAATATTTATATATTCTAAAAAATAAAATCTACTAAAAATCTTTATTTTTTTATTTTCTACTTTCCTACTACTAACTTTAAGTAAGTATTTTCTATAATTCTTTTATATATTAGTATAATCTAGCGTAATTTAGTATAATTTAGTATTTTCTAATACTAACTACTAATAGGGAAGTTAATTTTATACTTATCTAGCTATAATAATAATAATAATAATAATATTTTAAAGTAATTTATTATAATTTATTACTACTTATTATAATACCTCCTAAAAAGCGCTTTATAAGAGATTACTATATTAATAATATTTAATTTAAAGGCGCTTTTACTAAATAGCCTTATATTAGGTATATTATAGTTTATAAAAGTTAGGGTATAGTTAATACCTAGTTAGTATACTTAATAAACCCCTATAATAATAATTAGAACTTATTAGTCTTTTAGGGCTATAGCTATAAAATATATAAAGCCTATTTAAAGAAGAATAGCTTATATTTTATAGTAAGTACCTAAGTAGTATAATTTAGTATAATTTAGTATAATTTAGTACTAACTAGTTTATTTAGATTTCTTTTAAGTATAAAGCCTACCTTAAGCTCCTTATAGTATATATTTAGAATATTTTAACCTTTAGTAAGTAAGTTTTAATATAAAAGGCTTAGAATACCTATAAAGTATATAAGATATTCTATACTACTATAAAAGTAAATTAAAAGGCTTAAGTTATAGATAAAAACTATATCTAAAAGCCCTAAAAGCTATATAAGAGTTAGTTTTACTAAATAGCTTATTCTATAGTTATTCTATTCTTTAGTATCTTAATAGTCTACCTTAAAATGTAGAATACCTAAATTAAGCTTAATAATAAGGTAAAGAATACTACTTTCTATTTAATAGCCTCTTTAAATAAGTAAGTCTATCTTTTAGCTCTATTTAGTACTCTTTATTACTAATTATTATATAGAGGTACTAGTAAGTATATAAAGTATTATTAAGCTTATAATACGGGTCTAGACCTAGATCCAGGCCTATAGGACTATATAGGATACTTATAATAAGAGAGAATCTTTTTCTATTCCTTTTTATATATTTTTTATTCCCTTTTATACCTTTTCTATACTAACATAGCACTAACTAATAGTAACTTAATCTCTTTAAGTAGACTAATAGTATCTTCTATACCTTCTATCCTTACCTACTAATACCTTATAACCTAAGTAATATACTCTAGTACTCTTAACTATATCTACTACGTTATTATTAATAGCCTTTATACGCTTATTTATATAAATTTCTATAATAGCTTCTCTATATTAATAAGCTACTTTAGCTTTATAGTTTTATATATAATTACCTATACTATAAAGCTAGGCTTACCTATTATCCTACTTAGAATAAAGTTCTTAATCTTCTCCTACTAAGTAGTAATAAACTTTCTATTCTTAGACCCTTACTATAGAGACTTACTTATATATTCTATATATATATAACTAGTTAGTAATATATTATATAGTAATAGTGCACTTAACTTACTAATAAGATCTATAAATATATTCTCTAGGACTATAAGCTTTAGTATCCTTACTTTAGGTATAAGGTTAGGCTATTAGAGCCTAATATTATATATAATACTATTAAATCTAGAAAGGGTAGCTAGTCCTAAATAGGTTAAGGTTAGTTCTCGGGCAAGACTTACTAAGGGAAGGAAGAAGGGGTTCTTATTAATATAGAAGTATCTTATAAGGTATAATAAGTTAATAAGGGAGGCCTAAGTAAATCTAAATAATAGATTAAAACTTAGGTTAAATATAAGTATAAAGATTTATCCTTATATTCCTATATAGGGATCTTATTTAGTTACTTAGGAGCCCTAAATAACTAAGTAGGTTATGTAATAACTCTTAGCTACTTAGTTATTTAGGAACCCTAAGTAGCTAAGTAAGTTATATAACTACTATCTAAGTAACTTAGCGTGTCTTTATTTTATTATAATCCTAGTTATTACATTTTCTACCTTTATAAGCGCCTAAACTTCCCTACTATTATCTAGTTTATAATATTATCCCTCCCCTTCTTATTCTTTGCCCTAAAGAATTATGCCTACTAACTATTATTCTATAAAGCGTTACTATAACCTTATTTTTACTATTAAAAACTACAGCATTATTATAGTATTAAAATATTTATTCTATTAGTTATATACCCGTGTTTATAAGGTCTATATTAGTTTAGGAAAGTGTAGTAAGTGTTAGAAGTAAGGTTTAAAGTGTAATATTACTATTACTTAGAATAAGTTCTTATAGTTAGTTACTAAGAAGAAGAAGTTAGAAGTGTAATTAAATAAAGCATAAAAGGAGTAGGATACTACTTTTAAAGCTATATACATAGCTTAAGTAAAAGAGGATTAGTTAAAGAAGTAGTTATTATAGAATAAGAAGTATACTAGTAAAGTTATTACAGTAGAAAGTATAGTATTAGTAGAGTTAGATAAAGATCCTATTTAGCCTACTTAGCCTACTAGTCCTATAGAGCTTTATCCCTCTATCTAGTTAGTAATAGATAATCTTTCTTCTAATTTCTAAGAAAATATTCCTCCTATATCTAGTAGCTAGGTATGTCCTTACACTCTTTATTATATAATAGGGTTCTAAAGGTTTTACTTATATTTCTTAACCTTTTATTAATAGTTATCTAGATTACTTCTTAGTTCCTAAGTATTTTTACTATCTAGGTATCCTTTCTACTTAATAAGGTACTATTAGATTCCTTTATAGGTTCTTATGTGTATAATACTTTTAACTTTAAATTTAGTTTCTTCTTTAGCTCTATAATAGAAGGTAGTTTTAACTAGTGTCTTAGGGTCTACTAGTTCTAATAGTAACATATAGAATACTAAGTATATTTTTATATCTAGTAGTAATTCTAATCTATAGTTTACTAGTAATACTTATTTAGAAATGTAAAATAGTCTAACCTTAATATAATCTAATTTTTATGCTTTTTCTTTTATATATAAAGATTCTTTATAAGTAGATATGCTTTATCCCCTTCTTTAGCTAAGGTGCTATTTTTTGTTTCTAGTTTATATATAAAATATTTTGCTATTAAGCTTTCTTAAGGTTTTTTAGAGTTTATTATATATTTTTTTATATTATCTACTATATCTGTGGCTTCTTTTACGTTGATATTTGTTAGTAGTTGTTAGTTAAAGAGATTTAGATATTTTCTATATATAGTATAGTAAGGTGTTTGCTTTATTGCTATTAATACTTTATTATTATGTGCCAATTATACTATAGGTAATAGTAAAACCTAGTTATTTTTTTATTTATTATAGTATATTTATAGATATATTTCTATAGTTTAATTTATTCTTTCCATTTTCCTATCTATCTGTGGATAATATATTATAGATAGTTTTTATTCTATTCTAATAAGTACTATAAATATTATCTAGAAGTTTAATATAAAGAGTTTGTCTCTATCGCTAATAATTATCTTTAGAATGCTATAGTGTCTAACCTATTTATCTTAAAAGAGGTAAGCTAGTTCTTTAGCTATTATATTCTTTAGATATAGAATTAATTTAATATAGCTTATAAATTAATATATAATTACTAAAATGCTGTTATATGAGGTTTTTGTGGCTAGGTTAATTAAGTCTAGTATTCCTATAATAAAGTCCATAGTAATATCTTTAAAAGGTATTATTAGTATCCTAATTAGTTATATTTCTCTATACTTAAGGTGTGTGCTATGTTTATTTCTCTAGTAGTCTATATATTTACATATATATGCTATTATAGCT